GCACCCAGCGCCCCTCGAAAGATCCAGGCCGTCGACTTCAAGAACCTCCCATGGCAGCCACGCGTGACCTTCACAGAGGCCGCACCACCGGACCGCGACTGGGAGAGCGGACGCTTCCCGGGCCGTGGGTCCATCAGGGACAATGGACAATAGGAGGGGGGTAATGTCGTGGAGACGACGAGACCCCTATATTTTTCCGCATTTTTCCTTATTTTCTACGGCCATTCGTACGACACTTAGACTTAGAACCAGTAGGTAGAAGCATGTGACCAGTCACCTGACCCCCACCTGCAGAGTGGCACTAATGTGCGCACAGACCACCTTTACGTTTGTACATGTTTGGCTCCCCTGACTCAGTATATAAACCCCACCTGTAGCGACCCTAGCCCTCATCTTGACCTCTTGGTCCTTGGGCTAGGTAAGCCGTCCTTTGTATTCTCTTAGTCAGCATAATATTAACTTGGTCCTTGGGCTAGATTTGACTTGAAAGTCTACGCTCGGCGTTAGCAAGCCTTCGCGCTCGCCGCCCTTGGGTTAGATCGTATTAGTTTCTTTGTTGTAGGCTCGAGGCTAGCTCCGCGACAGAATTTGAGCAAGAGGAGCAGAGGAAGGCAATGGGGGATGCGAGTCTCCTCCCTTTAGCGACAGCCAGGAAGGGGGTTGGCAAAAACTATAGACCTTTGAGCCGGGATCGAACCAGTGCACCAGTACATACATTCGATCCCGCTTCGAAGGGGTAAAAAGCAAAAAATCCTTCGAACCGGGATCGAACCAGTGACCTTGGGATGATCGATTACATAACCATTACAGTCCCACGCTCTTCCAACTGAGCTATCGAAGGCTTGACATGTGTCATTGTGATGCTGATATGTATTGTACCTCTCTCCACATATCACAGCCCTTAGGTAATGGGATGTGACGAGGTAAACACTTTCTTCACGCTTGCAGTCGGGCAGCATGCTCGTACATGTACTTGTAGCACATCCAGTGCACTGCAAGCCCTCCACTTGTTCCTCTCCGGACTTTAGCCGCTGCTTCGCAATGTGAGGCTCTTCCCTGGACACGCGGAAAGGAAATCATCGCTTTGTTTGTTAGTCCGGTACGGGCCACCGTGGTAAGTCCTACCAATTCTGCCTGAGGACACATCTTCGCGATGGCGACTACTAGGAGGAAATTAAGCATAAATACCGAACAGCTGTCCTGCGCCTTGCTCAGGTTTCTGCATCCAGAAGCCGCTCGAGGTGCAGGACTTCGTAGCTGGATGATTGGCAAACGTAATTTGCAAACTGAGCAGTGCCGTCTGCGCATGAATGGGAGCCAGATGGGGGCCTAGCAGCGACCACAGACCAGCCTGGCGACCTGTACAATCACTGACATCTCGCTTTATCCTATAGGACTGGCTTGGCCCTGTTGGAAAGGAGCATCAGATCATGGGCGCTGGTGTACGCCGTACGGTGGGCCGGGGAGTAGCAGTCGTAAAAGTACGAACCTGACTGGTTGCAAGAGTCCTGTATATACTAGAGCTGTGAACCTGGGTTCCTCCGCTATTCCAAATCCCATATACGTTGCGTGGACATGTCCGTTTCCCTCCTAATTGCTGTCGAAACGATTGGCTGCGAAGAGGGTGAGCATGACTGAGCGCTGTCTGCTGAATCATGCTCGAGGGGTCTCCGGGCGTGATGATGTCGCCAAGATGGTGTCGACCACTCTCCGCACGCCCATTCCTCTTTCTCGTCCTGCCTTATAGCCCCGGACGCTCAGCATGTCGTGTTCTCCCACAAACCACCCAGCGACCCCTGAGGTACACCTACCGGATTAACACATACCCCCTCTGCGATCGCTTTCCGTTCTCGCGAATCTCGATCTCGACTGCTTTCCTCCATGGCGCCTTCGACCTCAGACAAGCCGACCTTTGACAAGCCGCTACAACTCCCTCTCTCGCAGGAGGACATTGACCGCATCAATGCCTACCTCCGCGACCTAACTCCTGAACAAATCCTATCGTGGGCGGTCGAGCATGTCCCTGGTCTCTTCCAGACAACCGCCTTCGGGCTCACAGGGCTCGTCGCCATCGACATGCTCTCGAAGATCACACAAAACCCGCCCCCGCTCATTTTCATCGACACGCTGTACCACTTCGCGGAGACGTACGAGCTCGTGGAGGATGTGAAGCAGCGGTATGGCCGGGACGTCCATGTTTACAAGCCTGAGGACTGCGCGAGTGCAGAAGACTTCGAAAAGCGGTATGGCCAGAAGCTCTGGGAGACGGACGAGACCACATACGACTATCTCGTTAAGGTGCGTGCCCCACAGTACTTCTATCGCCTGCCGTAGACTGATCACCTCGAACAGGTCGAGCCCGCGCGCCGTGCATACGAAGAGCTCGGAGTGAAGGCGGTCATTACCGGCCGCCGCGCCTCGCAGGGCGCAGACCGCGCGAACCTGCAGCCGATCGAGGTCGACAGCACAGGGCTCGTGAAGCTGAACCCGCTGTTCGCGTGGACGTTCCCGTTCGTGCAGTGGTACGTCGACGAGAACAAGGTCCCGCGCAACAAGCTGCTCGACCAGGGCTACCGGAGCATCGGCGACTGGCACAGCACCGCGAAGAGCGCGGACGGCGATCAGGGCGAGCGCGCGGGCAGGTGGGCGGGCAAGGCGGACAAGACGGAGTGCGGGCTGCATGTGGACTACTTCAAGATGAAGGCTACTGCGGAACAGAAGGTGTGTCTCTCGCAGTTCGTCCTTGGTCCGCGACGCTCACTGTTCGCCCAGTTGAAGGAGAAGGCTCTCGCCGAGCAGTCCGCTCCTGCGCCTCCTGCAGCGCCCGCGGTTGAGACTAGTGCCTGAGATGCCTTTGTAGGAGCCGCGCAGTGTACCAGTTTGTATCTTATGCTGTAAACGATATCTTCCATTCGTCGGTCAAGTGGATATGGCAGTTTCACATCCCGCTGCGCCCGCTCGCCACCCACCTCACTCGCGGCCACGACCCTGGCTGTGCGACGGCGAGCGTGAGGCCGGGGGAGGATATGGGAGTACACGCGACGGATGCAGATCTATGTGCAATCTGCGGGCGACAGATGACGGATCGCCCGGCGAGAATTGTCTCTCAGCTCGACTCCCTCACAGTCCGATGGAGCTCCGCGCACATTGCACGCGCGCCCGTATATATTCGCTGCCCTCCTGGCCCAGGCCCCGCGTTCCTTCTCGCACACCCCCGCTGCGCGGCCTGTGTCTCTCAGTCGAGCTCGGGCATGCCGTCCCCGATTACGTTCGTAGTGCAATGCACATACCATTATCGTGCACTGACGGCCTTTCTAGTCCCGTCGGTCTGCCGCGAGGGCCATCGGTGCCTAACGGGCGCGTTCCCATCCAGTATGTCGCTGATGTCTATCGCGCAGTATCGCACAGTAGTCTGACAAGTGAGTACCAGGCCGGAGTTTGAGGATGGGTTGCCCCCGCTCCCGGAGATACACTCGGAGGCCCTACGCCTCCAGGTGTTCACCCACCGAAGCTTCTACGCTCGTCCGACGCACGTCTTCGAGGACATGCCCGATGACCCAAGCCCAGACAATGAGTCGTACGCAGAGGTTCTACAGATTATCTTAGGACCTCGCTAACGCTCCCGCAGATTGGAACACTTGGGCGACACCGTCCTCAGTCTGGTGGTCACGGGTCTTCTGAGAGAGGTCTACCCGTGCCTGCGCGTCGGTCCGTCTACGGTATGTGCCCAGCGTTAGCAAGGCGAGACTGGGACAACTGACATGGTCTGCGGCTGTCGTAGAAAATTAGGGCATTGGTCGTAGGCAATCCTACCCTTGCATGGATGTAAGCATCACAACACACCGCACATGAGGAAGACTGATGTGCGCACCAGCTCGGTCCAATACCGTCTGCCGGAGAGGCTGCGTATGCACCCCGCCCAGGCGATCACCTTGCGCGCCTCTGCTAACATCCAAGGTGCGCACCCAAGACCTCATCGAAGGCTCATTGCACTCACAGCACCATCCAGCTGACCTGTTCGAGGTGAGCAAATTCCATCCAGTCGCGATCGCGCACGCTGACCCTCCCATAGTCGTTCGTCGGCGGTCTCTACCTCGACCAAGGTCTCGAAGCGGCCAAAGCCTGGCTGAACCCGCTCCTCCGCCCGTTCCTCGTCCTCGCTTACCGCACCGTCCGGGTCCAGCACGGCCTCACCCCCGAGCCGTCCTACGGCCCCAAGCCGCCGCCCTACTCCGAGGCAACGAGGACTTCTCCCACGAACAACGTGATACCATACTCACTGCAGACGTGGTCTTCGCCCCCGCCGCCGCGCATGCCCGCGAGCATCGGCCACCTCTCGCTCTTCAACCAGCACCTGCAGCAGCAGCTGAAGAGCATCGAGTGGGTGTACTCGGACAGCGCAGGCGAGGGCACGCGCACGACGCCGATCTGGGTCGTGCGCGCGATGGTCGACGGCGAGTGCCTCGGGCGCGGGCGCGGGAGCACGAAGAAGGCCGCGCGAAACGAGGCTGCCAAGGAGGGCCTCGCGAAGCTCGGGATCGCTGTCCCGTGAGTGTTCCTGTATGCCTGTATGTGCATGGAATATTGAACGCTGACGGGCAGGTGGGAACGCGCAGGGAGCTTCTGGAGGGCCAATACCCCGTTTGAGCTCGGGCACCTTGTCTTCAGACTCGCGCTGGATGGCCGCGGCTTGCGACGCCGGTCATCCCGCACAGGTGTGCAGGCAGCGTGCGAGGGTTTGCTGGGGCGGATGTTCATACCCCGGATACGGAGGGAGGTGCTGCCGCACTCGGAGAGGTGGGCTCGTGCGCTCGGTCTGTTTTCTCGTCTTCTCAAACTGCGCTGAATCGCTCTGTATGTTTGTCGGTGGTTTGCTATATCTTGCACCATGTTGCTCTGATCTACGCGCTTGCTTCTATGTCGTTGGGTGTATTAGTATGATTGCAATGCGATATCTATACATATGATGAACGGTAAAGCGGGGGGGTGGTACTTTTCGGACAAGGAGTAGCACAAACTAAACGACCCGCTTGCTCCCGGGTATGGGATCCCACATCCTTCCAACTTTGTCCACCGGCGGCGCACCCCAAACGATAGTCTTCGAAGAAGGGTCCAACAGGGAGGGGAATCGAGGCTCCAGCAAAGGAGGGAGAACCCCGCGTCGTGACGCGCTTGAGCTCGACTTCGTCCCTGACTGCACTGTAGTAGCGGGCGGGGCAGCTGATGTAGTCGGGCGGTTCAGAGCTAATCACGTTCCCGACGAAGACCGCGACGTACCTGTGACCTCCTTAACCTCCTTGACCACCGCCGCGGCCGCGCTCTCCGCGCTCTGGATGCCCGACCTCGCCATGAGAGCGCGCGCCTCGTCGTCTACATCGTCGAACACGTCTTGCTTCACCGCGCCAATAGAGTATGCCCATACGCCGACCGTAAACCCAGCGAGCAGGACGCCAGTGATGGCATTGCGCAGGCGAAAAGGTTCGCGCGCGCGTTGCAAGCCCGGCGACATCAACTGGAGAGACAGGCAGCTCAGGGCGTGTGTCTGGTAGTACTTACAGCAAGACGTACGTTCCGGGGGCGGTAGGACTGCCGCGCGGTCTGGCGGTCGACATACGGGTCTGCCATGCTTGCAGAGTGCGAGGTGCGTAGAGATGTGCAAGGACAGGTGGTGGCTGAATGCGAAGGACGAGCAGCGTGTACCCGATGCCGATGCCGCCGCGCTCTCGCCCGCGTTCTCCGGGCACGTGCAAAACGCCGTCCTATGACATCCGCCTGAATTCACGACATTCCGCTCACTCATGCACTGGTACTGTCAGATATGTTTAGAGCCCCTCGTACACACGATAGAGCGAACAGGGAACGGCGAGTAACATGGCATCACGTCTAGACCAATAGCCGAGGCTCGACTCGGAAGATATCGGACGTATGGTATAGTGTCTTAAGGAGTGCGACAGGACATATAGTACGGCCAGCGATACGAGTGCTTTCCAAGGATAGCGTCCAGCAGATGTATTAAGGGATTATTGCATTCTCCTCGTAATTGTGTGCTACAGCATCTATTCGCCAGAGGGCTTGCCCTGAGGAGAAGGCGGAGAGCCGTTAAACCATGCACAGTCGAGATGGAAGACATGTACTCACCCGGATGAGCTGGAACGCGCCGAATGCCGTGCTCAGCATGCCAACGGTGAAGAGGGCGTAGTAGGAGCCTAGGGGGCATGAGGTTACTGGAGGCCTTCTGGACTTTTCACTGAAGTGTCACTTACGGACGTAGAGCTTCGACCGGGGGAGACGGTAGTAGATGGGCTCGTGCGAGGCCTTTACGAGGAGGTTCCCAATAATTCAGCCATCTATACAGGCAATGAACGGGCGATAAATGAACATACCTGGACGAGCCTCTGCTTATCCACAACGCGGTTGGGCTCTGGCAAGGGAAACGAGTCAGAACACGCAGCACAAAGTCCCTAAGACGTCCAGGATACTGACTGTTGACGAGAACGTTGATCATTTTGAGCACGGATGCAGCGGGCGGGAGGAGGTGGTGGACGGTGAGGAGGAAGAGGAGGCGCACGGCGCGAGGCGGAGTCCCAACAGCCGAACCGGCGCGGCTCGTCTCGACCGCCATGGCCTCCAGCGATCGCGTCCGCGTCAAGGTCTGTCCTCTCGCCGTCCACCCATTTCCTCGCGTATTCATATGTTTTCGCCGCACAGGGACTTGACATACACCGTCCTATCATCTATGGGAACACCGCCTGGGTGTTGACACAAAAGGAGCGGGAGGCGCTGCCCACCCCAGACCACACACATCGGTGGACAGTCGCGGTGCGAAGCGCGACGTCTGCCCCCGACTCAGACATCGTTGGGGGTGCGGATGACCTCAGTCATTTCATAAAGCGCGTGACGTTCAAGCTGCACGACACGTACACGAACCCCAACCGAAGTGAGTGGCGTGAGCTCCCTTCTGTCGAAGACTGTATTTGTGACCATTCATAGCGGTCGACAAGCCCCCCTTTGAAGTCTCGGAAACGGGGTGCGTTGTGTATCACTGCTCTGTAGAAAAGCGCGTCTGACGGTGGTATCCAGCTGGGGTGAATTTGAGATCACCATCCGTATCATGTTCGTGCAAGAGTCCGGCGAGAAGTCGATCACGTTCTACCACCACCTGAAGCTTCACCCTTGGACTGCCCCGGGCAGCGGCGAGCCCGAGATCCCGCCACTCGATGTTGCCGCCAAGATGGGCCCGGTGCACTCCTGGCAATACGACGAGATCGTCTTCCACGAGCCGTACCAGGCGTTCCTCAACATCCTCACCGCGCACCCGCCGAAGCCGCTGCCCAGGACCAAGCGACGTCCGGTGCCATTCCACACAGCCAACCCCGGCTCGCTCGAAGCGTCCAAGGGCGGCGTGCCGGAGTTCACGCAAGAGATGGAGAAGGACGAGGCGGAGAGGCTCGAGGCCGCGCGTATACAGCTCGCGAAGGAGTACCAAAGGCTGCAGCTGCAGGTACTCAATAAGGAGGCGGAGTTGAGCCAGCTGAAGAAAGAGATCGAGAGCGCAACGCAGGCGTCGTAACAGATGGCATGGTATGTTTTGTACGAGTACAGTGGGTCAGTGGTGTATAATACAGCGCAGCGTGGTCAGTGAATATTCTACAGAAGATCGATGTCCGCAATAGCCAGAAAGAAAAGGTCAGTGATAGGGAGCCCATCCTATATACATTCTACACTGTACGTCGCGCGTTAGGAACTGGCCTAATTCGCAGGAGGGGGTGAAATGACTTACCAAGTTCTGATTGTCGCTCGCCTGCAGGATCAAGCTTTGGACATGATTGCTGACCGAGAGCTGCCTCCCCGGACTCGACTTGTGAAGCTTGAAGATCCCTTGCAGCTTCTCCTCGATAGGTCCCAACGCGTCTTGGGATACGGTGCGCATGTCCACGAGAGGATTTGCACGAGTGAGCCGTCGGAGTTTGTCCGCCCACTCGACAAGTGGATCGTGCACGAAGGCATCGAGGACGTTCATCAGACAGTCTTTGTTCTCTCTCAGAAGCCGCAAGGTGACCTCGCAAGAGATACGGAACACGCCTAGGAGGACGTGAGCTAATGCGGAGCATAAACTGTATGGACACCATACCTTCTACCCCCGTTACGCCGAATCCATCGATGATGTTCTGCGTCAACCTGAATGGGACAACCTCAGGTGTCTCCAAAGCTTGTCCCTGTACGCCCGGTCAGATGTGATGGTACAGGCGAGATTTTGGAGGCCTGCATACCTTCTCGAACAGACAGTCGAAGTCGACGTGAACCGCGTCTCCGCAATTGGTATCGAGTAGGATGTTCTCGCAATGCCGATCGCCCAGGCTGTATGCTTGTGTCAGTCCGTGACGCATATAAGGAAAACGATATGCTTACCCTAGAATGTATCCAACCATAGACATCACGGCCGTCGTACGGCTGTACGCTGTCCGACTTGCAAGCCAAACGGAGGGCTCCGGGAACGTCTCTATGAACCACTCGTGCATGATCGGCGGGAAGCTGGTCAAGAGACATAATTTGTCAGATATCCTGTTGCTTGTCGACCGGCCTTTGACACTTACTGTGATAGGACTTTGTTGGAAAATATCTTGGCGGCCTCATCGTGTTCCGTAGTCGTCTTGACCTGGTCGAAGGCCTGTCGTATTGTGTTGTTCTAGTTTCACCCAATAAGCATGGCCGATCCAGCGTGCATCTCAAACTGCTTCTTACCCAGCTCTGTATGCCTTGACGATCGTACAGTCTGAGGAGAATCGGTCTGATGGGAGCCGTGTTGGGTACCCATTGGATCAAGCCAGCCTCTTCGTTCAGCGAGACCACTCCGTATGTACGGATGTCTGGGGGTAAAGCGTGAGCATCCAAGAAGTCGCTGGTAATTACGAATGACGTACGAAGTTGGCGGCGACGCGAGTCTGTATCCGACTTGAGGAGCTTGTTGAGAATGGCATCGAAATCCATTAGCCGACTGTCCTTGCGCAGATCGTCTTTCTTCGCCAGGAACGTGTAAATCAGTCCGTCGCTCCCTTGGATTGTCATCTTCTTCGGCTTCGCCATTGAGCTCATAACCTCGAGCTCGTCGTGGATCCCTATATGGTTTTTAGTAGATGCTATGATCACATTGTGATATCTAGACTCACGGGCGAACGTGGGTGCGTTTACAGGGAACGGTTTATGTTGCGCATCCAACGCGGAGGTAGGAGGAACACTGGCCGTGAGGGATTCTTGTAGTGGAATGAGGACGGCGGAGGGCATGAGCTTGAGCAGTTCCCCGCATACTCTCGCCATACTGAGGGGCTTCTTATCCGTAGCTTCGAGCTTGCTCAGTTTCAGCAGATCTGCGGTCATCTTGGTCATAGTCGAGATGAGTGCGGGCACATTGTTCTTGTTCACACTCTGCAGCGCATTACGTCAATGAAATGTTACTTGTCCAATGCAAGTGTTCCTACCCGGAGCTTGTTCAGAATGATCTTGCTCCTGTTCGCTCGTTGAGGATCTGTCGATTTCGCTACGGCCGAAAAGAGCCACAGCGCCTGCTTCGGGTACTCTTGTATGACCGTATAGAGAAGGACGGCAAGGACGTCGTATGCTGACTGATGCTGAACTCCTATGCGAGAAACGATCTGCGGAAACGCCGTATACCACTAGCAAACATTGAGCTAGCAATCACGATACAAACACCGTGTTGTGGGCGTACTTTATACGTTGGGGCTGTCTTGATAGCACGATTTACTTCGTCGTTGATCTTCTTGAATATGTCGCCAGAATTAGTACGTGGGTCCTCGGCGAGGTCGAGCCAGATAGTCAACACGCGAGGCAAGGTCTGGTAGATGTATTTCGATCCGTATCGGATGGCGCGTACGAAGCATCGCACAGTCTGAAAATTCATCTTCATGCCCCTGGGATGCGGCGTTAGTTTAGCACTACTGTATGCCTTCGGCGACACGCACCTGGTCTTCTTGTCGGCGGGCGGTAGAGCCTTGAAACAGTCGTCCTGGAACTGGCCAAGGTGAAACTGACCACTTTCCCATCTGTCGGAAGTACATATATCAGACGTTATTACGTGGCGCTGCATGAACGAAGTGCATACTTTGGCCACATCTCGGTCGCTCTGCGGAACTCTTTGCAAACCCTGGAATCCTCGAACCGGTCTGAATGGTCCATGTAGCGAGCTCGTAGCACGTGGATCTGTGCAAGTTGTAAACTGAGCAGCTTTCGTGGTCAGCTATGATAGAACATGCCTTTGCCCTCATCCGCATCTCTTCTGAGCCAACCGTCAAATCGATGACAGCGTCCTGCCCTTGGCTTCGCTCCGGAGGTAGAAAACCGGAGAGGCGCATCGCCTTTTCGAGCTCTTGGAGGGCGCGCAATGGGTCTTCTCGCGTCCTGACGAGCTTCGCGTTCTCAACGAACGAGTACGGAGTGTTGCAGCGCTGAGCTTGCAGGATCGCGCTGTATGCAGTCTGGGTGTGTCCCGCCTTCCGCGCGATCTTCGAACTCGTCAGCCACGATTTTCCAGTGGCGTCCTTGACCCCTTCGCTATGAGATCCGCTGGTCCAGCAATGTTAAGCCGCAGTGAGTCGCAACAAAATTATATGATCGCTCACCTGAGATTGAAAGCTGTCCTCCGCATGTTCAAGATAGGCTCTCGAATTCGGAATGTGGGCAGTGTCGAGTCAAACCGAGCGGAGAGACGCTGCAAAAGGTTCTGGAAAGTTTGGTCGCTCCTTTGGCTGGCGCCTATAGGACCTGCTCGGAGACCTTTCACGACATCGTGGATGACCCCCAGCTCATGGACAAGATGCAGATTGAGCACGGCATCATAGGAACGACGATATCCGCTTGCGCCGGTTGCTGTGATGGACGCCCCCAGAACCCTCCGCGCCTCTAGGAGGGAAGAAGTCACCGCTGAGGCGTCGCCCGTGCGCATGGCGAGTAAGATCTGTCCCAAATGGACTGCTGGTGAACGAGCATCCGTCTTCTCAACAAGCGCCTGCACATCATCCCAACGGCCTACCATCCACTCGCTTTCGATCTGGTAACCGACGAGGTCCGCACTCCACTCGGGATGTTGGGTCAACACCCCCATTACGTGTGTGCGTAGGGTGTCTGCATGAAGCTGTCAGTGGTGGTAGTCCAGCTGAAAGGAACGATACATACCGTAATGACCAAGGTTTCTCAAGCATCGTAGCAAGCCGAGGTGGTACTCGAGGTTGTCTGGTTCGTACTGCAATCGCACTTCCCAACAGCTCTGCGCAGAAGTCCATGCGCCTGTGCTCTCGTGCTGGCGAATCTGATGTTCTAGAGACGGCGACAAAATCACAGTAGACACACCCTCCATCCCATCTGGCTCGTCGAGGTGCGCATATAGCTCGTGCAGGCGTTCATACTGGTCCTGGTAGTTGGTCGACTCGATGGCGCGCACTGCGTCAGCATCTCCACGCTGCTCCGCGTCGCGTTTGGCCCTAGCATCGCGTAAGCGGTAGGCCATAAGGCGTTGTTCGAGGTTCATCAACGACCGCGCGTAGGCCTTGCACTGGAACGCCGCATCTGCCATGAGGCCTTGGTCGATGCTCTCCAAAAGGGAGTCGATCCTCATCATCTGTTCGCCAGCGTCACTGCTGATCTGGGAGTTCCTGGACACCCGTCGATTGCTGTTGGCGTCCGCCTTCTGCCTGGCAAGGTCTTGACGAACGGCGCGAAGCCACTTGTTGAGGTGATCGAGGAGCATGAAGACGATCTATTTAGTGACGCATGAGTACATGAGTACGTCTGAACAAGGGTCGCGCCGCTTTCACCAACCTGTGCACTGAGGAGCTTCTTGTCGGGGGAAGAACGACTATTCGGATTGACCTGGTCCTCCAACACAGACAATAGCTCCATCCGAATGGCTCCATCGTCAGACTCCCCAGAGGCTAGAATGTTCAAGACCAGATGCGGTAGAATGTGATGCGCAACACCGACGTCCTTGTTGCGCACTACTGAGGTGAAGACCTGGAAGATCTGCGCCGCGCCAGTACCCGAGACCTTCTGGATCAGATCACTAGTCCACGCCTGTACCCATTGGCGATACGTAGCATGGTGTGGATATATGGGGTACGCAAGGGGCTTGAGCGGACGAATCTCCAAGCTGAAACGAGTTTCTAGCAGGGGGGAGACCGTCTCGAGGACATGCTTGGGAAGGCTGTTCCAGCGATTCCGGACCCTAATAGGGACAGAGTTCGAACCCCCGGGGTTGACGAGGGCCGGTGGGAACTTGCAGAACTGTAGGAGCTGTTGGATGGCATATGCGAGGTAACTTTGATACTTGATGTCGCTGGTCGAACGGAAGGCGCCGACGAGGACGTCGCGAATGAGGTGCATGGCGAACGCCATGGACTCCGCCTCGTCCGTGAAGTTGCTGAGCATGATCATCCGGTTGTCGTTGACGCGCAGTTCAAATCTATCAGGGTCGATAGCGCCAACGATACCGATGCAGTCGAAGGCAAGGTCGTGGAGCGTCTGCATTCCTTCGCCATCTCTACACGCCGCACGATAGAGAGCAGCGACGAGATGCCCGACGAGTGGGTCGAAAACGTCGCCGAAGGTGAGGGACCGAATGTACTCTTCGTCTGCCTCCGACAAGAACGCCTTCAGCTCCACCGCCGACTGAATAGCGACGGCCAAGCTCTCGCTGTCCAGACGCTCTAGCAGGGCGGTCAACCTCTGTTGTGGCGTCCAGGCCGACCTCAGGTCCTTCAGCGCCGCGTTCGTTTCGGCGAGCTCAGGTATGGAACTGAGATCGGCGACTTCCTTGAGATAAGGACCGAGTTCTTGACCACGGTTCAGGACCATGTAGTCCAGACATTGCTTAGCCGCCTGGCGACCGCGATCGGAGAACAGAGACCAGGAAGCCACGAAGGATGCGCTCGTAGGTCCCACATGAGGACCGATGTCGGCGGGCTCCAACATTGCGAGGAAGGCATGCCAACTCTGTAGAGCCGCGTCGGAGAGTTGTGGGATGATCAGAGTGGTCTGCAACGTTGCCATGATCTACACCGCAGGCCCTCAGCAATTGGTGCAGTGCGAACGATGACGATAGACATACCTGTGGGGCGACGTTGCTGATCGCGGAACCAACCTGCTTCGCGAACTCGCCAAAGCTTCTCAGGATCTTCTGCTTCGACTCGATCGACTGTTTCCCGTGAACCTCCTGTAGCATGTCGTTCAAAGTCGAGATGACGCCCAGCATGTGTTCCTTCATGCAAGCCGCATACTCTTCGTCGGAACCGCTAGCCAGCTTAGACTTTTGCGGTGCGAGCAAACGTGCGACCTTACGGAGGCCTTGACTTGCCTGTCAGGCGTCAGCATGTTGACAAGCAGTTCGGTATGCCATTAAACTTACTGCGTCGACGACATCTGGATCATCGTCCCCAAGACATACAACGATCTCAGTCAAGAGGAGGACGTTGCAGCTATCCACAATTGTCGTGATGCTTAGCGTGTTAGCCCCGGTCGCGGCTGCCTTGAGTACGTTCAGGATGAAATGGAGCGTCTTGTTCGTATGACCGACGGCTTGCAGCATGAACGTATGGGCCAGGATGTGATGAGTGTTGTCGAGCACCAGCATAGCAACATTTGTCGACATCTCTAACGCGACGGCCTGGAGCCCTTTCAAGTCGCTGTCTGCAAACAGCTGAGGTAGCGTGTGCTTGAGGGTCAAGTTCACAAAGTCGTGCTGCGAAACGGAGAGGAAATGGCAGAACTCCTGGACACCCTCTGGATGCGTCTTGAGCCTGTGCACGAGGTATGGCGCTATGCGGTTGAGATACGGGGCGGTCAGGCTATAGGGTGACTTCTGATGATGTTTGACCAGTGTATGGAGCTGAAGTTCGAATACTCAGTTCAGCGTCGATAGGCCAAAATAACATGATGAGCAAGTACCTGGAGCACTGCACCCCCTTTGAGGACTGGGTTATGCTCACACAGCTGCGTGACCAGTGCGCACACGCTCTCTCGCAATGCAATGCCTGTAGAAGCCCTATACACATTTGAGTCTCTGTTTCATTGCCAGCACTGTAGAGAATGCTCACTTTCCAATCAGGCTAACAGTGACTGCTGTCGTCTCCTTGATCCTATTCTCTGTGTGCCGGAGGAGACCATTGATCTTCTGGAAGATGGCCAAGATGAGTTCGGCAACTCTGTCGTCCAGGCGTTGTACGAGCTTAACAAGGTCAACCAACGCACGACTATATAGTAAAGGTATACTTAGTGGTTCGTCTCGTAACGAAGCAAAAGGCTTACCCAGCAGCAAGCCGGACGAGGCGCTCCGGGTCTCGCATCCCTCGCGTAATGAAGCCAAGGATATCATCGAACATGCGCTCATCCGTGACTGCGGTGTGATGCCGGAGGGACTTGCCTAGTGAATCGTATACGGCGGCGCGTACGGCGACTTCGAGTCTGTCGGAACTGCCGGTGTCGTTTTCGAGAATGCGAAAGGCTACCTTGAGGTACACGGCAGCGAAACCTAGGTCGGGCTGGTGGGACTCCGTGGAGCAGGCTTCCTTCCCGTGAATGAGGAGGCAAGGGAGTTCGCCTAGTTTCTTCGCGAGTGCTTGCAGCGCGGTGGGGGCGGTATTCCAGACCGGGCTAAAGGTATTGGTGTAACGCAATACGGTACAAGCAAGTGCTCACTCACTGCTTCTCAAACCGATTGTCTACCTCAGCCAGGGCTCGAAGGATGAACTCAATACCCGTCAGAGAATCGTCGTCGTCCATCCATTCAAGTACATGAGGCTCTATGATTACTTCCACAGCGTCGCGAGCGAGTTGCCTCGACGCGCGTACGTCCGATCGCGCCTCCTTGCCCTTATGCGAGGGAGAGAGCTCTTGCAGGCGTTTGTCGACGGCAGTGAGGAGGGCATCGTACGAGGTCGACGCGTCGTCCAGCAAGTCGTGAGTATCCTGGAGTATCTTCTCATCCAGTAGAGGGACGAAACGAGCGAGATAAGTTTCGCAGAGCTCCTACGTACGCGAGCGTGAGCAAGTTAAGGCCGAGGCAAAATGTGCATGCATACCCTCAAGCTCTCACCACCGTCCTCCCAGTCTCCTCTTTGCGAACCTTTGAGCAGCGGTTGAAAGTCAGCGTGGTCTGGAGGGGAAAACCCAGAGGAACGCAGAGTCGCTGTCATGGTTCGTTCGGCCTTGTCCCAGGCACTGTTCGGTCCACTTTCGATGCGATACAATAGCAGCCTGGTCCAACAGCTAGCAGCGACAGCTTCAAACCCATAGGCCGTAGCGAGTGTGGACATGGCCGTACATATCCGCGCCAGAGCCCTGGACGTAGTCTCGCCGTGGTTCGCAGATGAGAAGAAGAGCTGCTCGTAGGCCTTCAAAGTCGTTTGCGCCGCTTCCCGAATGAGGTCTGCTAGGAACCAGTGGTGAGCCTTGATCGAGGAAAGCGCCGTGCAGCATATCTCCAAGAGATTCGTGGCTACTAGCAGCACTTGTGATGGCGTAAGAATATTGATTTTACAGCCCTGCATAACATACGTGAGTACGCATACAGGAACCCAACTATAGTCATAACCTTGGAAGCAGCAGAGAGACTTTTCACGACCTCCTCGGTAGTACATAGCGCTATGGTTTTCGGGAACTCGATATCCTCCGACGGCCACAGGAGCTCTTCTGGAATTATCAGCACACGCAGCTTGAAACGTATATTCGACGCACCGTTCACTAGTCCCAGATATCGGCTGAGGAGGTCACCCACAATCCCATGGGCCTTAGGGCTAGCTTGAGGTAGCACTTCATTCCCTAGAGATTGCATGAGTGCAGCAGCGGCTGCGGTCGCCTTAGTGTATAGCTGGGAAGGGTTCAGGTAGTCTATCTCGTCGGGTACGTCGACGTCGATCCACAAGTCGAGAGTTGCACATAGGTTCGTGATGGCGGAAAACAGAGCTTGGGCGAGTACTGTTTCTCCCGCGAAGAGTGAAGGGACGCGTCGAGAAGCATGGTAGACCAACAAAAGGGATACTTCGGCGAATTTGTTCTGCTCGTGCAAGGTCGCCCACGGCAGCTCGACTGGGGACGGCAGAGAGAGAACCGTGAGCACATTTGAGATGGTCTTGACCCATTCATGTCGCTTGGGTGTAAGCACGAGATGTGGGTCGCCGAACAACTCGTCCATCTGGCTTTGCATCCAGTCGAGGAACTGGGCGGGCCCGCCATCTTCCTGGAATGTCGGTGGAAGCGAGGACAGTGGCAGCTGTGAGCTCATTTGCGCATTATTGGGGGTTTGGAAGCCACTCCTGGATGTGTTTGGGGAGTTTCACAGGCAGTGATGATGGAAGAGAGCAAGTCGCGACGCCGCGACGCGTCGGTGGCACGAACGCGAACCAGGGTAGGCGCTTCTGGACGCGTTTTACGCCGAGCGCTTACTAGCGGCTTGATGATCAGAGGGCCATATACCTCTAGAGTCTTCGATGAATATGTAGGCGCGAGGTGCTCTGCGCTAATTCGAGTATACCAATGCATAGGCAAGAGGTATGTGAAGTGACATAACACAAAGGCGGTATCCTATATGGTAGATGGCTACTTGCGGCCCGCCCGCCTCTTGTCCCGATCCTTCTCGCGCTCCTCCGCCTTCTCCTCCGCCCGCTCCGACTCGAGCGTGCCATACACGCGCTTCATACGGCTGTTGTACTCGAGATCCTTCTCCTTCTGCTTCTTCTGCTGCTCCCCAGCCAGGAAGCGCGCGTCCTTGCGCAGCTCGCGTATCGCGCCCTTGCGCTCCTGCTTGTACTCCGCGCGCAGCTTCGCCGCCGCGTTGCGCTCGTGATCGGGGTCGCGGTTGCGGAGGTAGTTCGACGACGTGTGCTCGAACTTGGGCACGTAGGTCGGGATGGGGATCGGCTTGTGCGCCTGCAGGCGGAGCGGATGCCTCCCCTGGAGAGCGAACTTGAGCAGACGGCTAAGCGTGTCCTGCAGCGACTGTAGACGAGTCTGAACGGACATTTAGCCGATGAAAGAGCGAAATGAGTGGGTGGGCGAACTCACCGACAGATCCGAAGGAATGCTGCTGGTCTTAACAGAACCGAGGATCTCCTGGACCGGAGTATACAGTTCAATGAAGCCCTCCAGGCCCTTGTACATGTCGGCGAACCGACCAAGGAGCTCGAGTGAGAGGGCGAGCAGATCGACCTTCTCTTGCTCTCCAAGGTCGACATCGGATAGGCACTTGCTGAGATCGGGCTTTCCTGGCGACAACTTCTTCGCTTTCTTCGTCAATGCGAGCTCGGCTGTCGAAGCAAGTCGGAAGTCCTGCAAAGGGAAGTCTCCCGGTACCGATGAGGCGTCCTGGTACGAATGCGGGGCCAGATGGAGAATCGCGTTCACGAGGAAGTTGATCGCCTCCGGAACGAACCGCTTCGACAGCTTCTCGTAGCTCATGAACAAGCTGCACAAGTGCAGGCCGCTGGCGATGTCTTGTAATGACCGGACGCGGCAGAGCCCGAGGTAGGAGCCCATAAGCACCCGTGCAGGGGAGACAACGGCGTGATTCATGTCACTCGTCGGCCACAACTGACCAGCGACTCGTAGGAGAGAAAGCTCAGGAAGCCCTGGCCAAGTCTTGGCTTCTGAGTCAGTGGCACCTCGTGAGAGACCACGCTTGAGGTTTTTGTTCATGAGGGTGAATTTTTCGACGAAGGCCTCCGCAGATTGTATGGGGTATGTCTTCGTGAGCGCGGCCAGGTGGGGGAGCAGAGAGGATAGGAGTGTGAATCGTGGTGTAGGGGGAGCAGTGATGTAGAGGATGTGTTCGATGAGAACGGAATTCAAACGCTAAATAGACATGAGCATGCTGATCATTTCGAGGTACGATATTGGGGGACTGACCTGCAGCTTGAACTTGTTGTCATCTGCCAAGCTGGCATGGTGCAGTGTACGGATGCGCTTGACGATGGTGGGGACGTCCGCTTCGTCCACATCCTCAACGATCTCGAGCAACTCGTCGTGGGTTTCTGGACAAGGGAAAGTGTACGGGAGCTCCTTCCGCGCGGGTTTTGACTTCGAGCGGCGTTTCCGGCTCGATTGAACGAGTGCCTCGGATTCGCCTTCCTCACCGTCCTCCTCGCCGGAGTCTTCTTCCGCACTCTCGAACTCGGCGGCGACCGAACCATCCTCTTCGTCGTCCTCTTCCGAGCCTTCCGCCTCGCTGCCGTCCTCGTCTTCGCTGTCTTCCTCTTCTTCATCCTCGTCTTCTGGCACTTCCATTGCGACGTCGCCGACAAGGCCAGCGCCCAATCCAGCTTCTGCCTCATCGTCGTAAAAGTCGTCGTCGAGGTCGTCCCCACCGCGTCCTCGCGCCTGCTTACGCTTCCCGCCCTTCTGCTCGTCCTCGCTGTCCGACTCCTCTCCCCGCATGCGCTTGAGACGTCTCCGCTCCGCCTTCTCCAGCGCCTCCTTCTCGTCCCGGGCAAGTTCCTCCTCGGTCTTCGTCCTGTCCTTGGGCTTTGCGCGCCGGTCGAGGGCGAGTTCGCGCACATACTGGTCATACTCTTTGTCATCCTCGGGCGGTGCTAGGGGTGCCTGGATGTATTCTGGAGCGGCAGCGGAGGACGATTCGGCAGCCGTCTCCGCGGGTGGCCGAGCAAAGAGCAAAGAACGGATAGAGTCAAGCTCTCCATCGAGCTCACGACGGAGATTCTCGTCCTCCTCTTGTTGTGTTTGACGGATCATCTGTGCAACACGGGTAAGATTCAGAAAGGAAGATCTCGGGGGACGATGTGCAACGAACCTTGTGCTCCTTGCTCTTCGCAATGACTTCTGCCATGACCTCTGCCTTCGACTTCTTCCTCTCGGGCTTGGTAAAAACGAGTTAGGTACAGCCGCTGTGTTTCTGTGTAAGGCCTACCTCATCATCGTTGTCATCCTCATCCTCGTCTTCGAACCCACCAAAATGACGTCTTGCCTCGTCTCGTCTGTCCATTGCATCTATACATGCAGCATTTAATTTCCACACGAAAGGACGCATTATCACACTACGCACCGTCGTCCTCGTCGTCCAGACCCAGTCCGACATTGTCGAAATCATCTAGCTTGTTCAGGCTTTGCCCGTAGTGCGTGAGCTCATCCTCGTCGTCAAGGTTGAACGCGGCGCCCTTCGACGCGCGCTGACGCTCCCGCGTGAACCGCTCCAGCATACGCTCCTCAGGCGTCATGGTGGGATCATTTTCACCGAACCGGCGGTCGACAATGCCTCCCGAACGATCCTTCTCCTCGTACTCCTTGAGCAACGTTCTTTTCCTCTGTCATTTGTGGATACAAACAAAAATGAGGGAAAGCTCTGTGAGCCTGTGCGCGTACTTTGGACAACTAAAGACGAAGTACGCACCTGCTCGATTCCCGCCTGCTTAGCCTGCGCAGGCCGCCCGGTCGTGCCAATGATCTTCCGCCCGCCGACGTCGTGCTTCAGCTTCGTCACCTTTACATCAAAAGGGTTAAGCTTCTGCTGGATCTGTTTCAGCCTTTCGGCTTTCTTCTCCTTGTCGCGCTCGGTGGGCGCGGCGCGTTTGCGCTTCTTTCCCGCCTGCGGTTGGTGCGAGAGCCCTGCTTGGTCGAGCGCGCTCTTGAGCTGCTTGAGCTGGGATACTTTGGCCATTGCGCTTATAGGCTGAGTATAGAGACCTTTAGGATAACCAGAGCCGACAGAAGTCCCCAGAGTGTGTTAGAGGGAAGCCCAAGCCAGTACTTGCTCGAGCAGATGCCAGAGAGAATCCAAAATTCTGTTACGCACATCACGTGACATGAGATGCAGATCTCGATCCTCCGAGTCTTTGACGAAAAAGGTAATTTAGGTAGAAGTTCGCGCTCGAAGAGATGCAGCTCGCGCCGCCGAGACTGTTTGCCAACATGCTCTCAACACTACATTTGTCAACCGTGTTTCAGAAGCTACTCTGAACGTTACAACCCGCTATATTGCCAAAGCAATGACCAAAGTGTCTCGTTCAAACTCATCTTAGTTAACCTTGATACGAGCCCCACCCTCAAGGAGTGCTCGTCAAGAACGAAATTTGACAAAGGAGATTGGCATTTCAATCGTCTATATAAGCGTCCGAAATGAGCGCCACTTTGCTCAGAACATACCTTTCTCGGCCAGTCCACCCCCTCCCTTCACGTCGCAGTCCACCCGGATCGACCAGTCGTCGGTGCACGATGAACGGCAACTTGCAGAACATCACAATCAATGCTCCCTCCACACCCCGCCGTAGCGCGCGCATCGGCGGCACCTGGCGAGACGGGCAGGGTACCGGAAGCCCTCCTACCCAACGTGCGCGTCCTACCTGTCGATATTGCGGCCGCCCACGGAAGGGGCATCCTGCATCTGGTTGTCCATATGTGGACCCTCCTATCCCCCCCAGTCCGGGCGCAGGGAATAACAGACGCCACTCAAGCCCCCCTCCTGCCCAGTCATCCGAGACCATCACCAACCTTGTCTTGCAACTCGGAAATATTCAAATTGGGTCCAGTTCGGCTCGTATAGAGTCCGCCGCGGACCGTAGAGGAGATGAGGAACGGGTTAGACCTTCCGCCAGCACGCGGGCGAGGTATCCGAATGCGCCCCTCAGACGGATGAGAACTCAAGAGGAGCACGAGTACTTCCATCACGAGGTAGTCCAGGCCCACCCCAGCATGGCATATGTCATGCCTTTGTGGCCTGAAGACCTCCAAGGACAGCGCGATGCGGCGCAGGCTGCGGGTTACCACACACGAATTCTTCGAGCCCAGCCCAGCTGGCAGGACCGCAGGGACGTCCTCATCTTCAGCGACAACCCCAGGCTGGTAGACGAGCACTACAGAAGAGTAGGGCAGCGCGCCGCCGAGGGCCTAACTTGGATGGAGATCCTGAACGGCCTCGGGATGGCGCGGGGCTTCGTCGCGGACATGATAGCCGTCTGGTCTCTCTTCTCCGCGTTGCGGGGCTAGAGCCGGGCCCCGGCTTGTTGTACAGCGCGAATTGGTAGGACCGAGGGGCAGCGCAACGAGTGAGTTCCACTATATGGGGACCAGCCCCGCTCGCACACTAACTAAGCTTCTGACATCCATTCACAGGTTGCCACTCACCCGTCGTCTTGGTTTCGGTTGTGTATGTTATTCCGCATGTGTTCCTTTTGTGTTTTGTAGTTCTCTATGTTATTGTGCAAGTGCTTGGATTGAAAGCGCTAAGTGTGAGCCGCGGCCGCAGCAGCGGCGATCGAGAGGGAGTAGAATGAAAGCGATGCAACGCGTACGGGTGAAATGCTTGGGAGGCCGTCGCCGGGACGCTAGCATGTACCGCCACCCTCCGCCCGCCGTCCGAGCCTGAGCGCTGCCGCCATAACCTTCGCTCTCCCACTCTCCCTGCTCCGTCGTTGATGTGTCCGTCGCAGTCCCAGAAACCCCGCGCACCCGCCTCCTAGTATCGCCTACCATGTCTCAATCAGATTCTTTCCATGTTCCGCCCCTACCTGAGCAGGACCAGGCCGGCGGAGACACTCTACCCACCTACGACGATCTAGCATCCCAGCACGGTCCGAACTCGAGGTCAGTCTTGCGCCCTTGTTCAGCTCGTGATATAATACCAAACGGCCACCCCCAGATTTGGTCGCTGGAGAGAATGGATCGAGAAGAGGTGCGATCTCCGTTCAGTACAGGCGCTCATCCATACTAACCTTGGCTTCACCTTGGCCCCATGTAGAGCCGCAGAGCGGTACGCTGATGTCACTCCGGACGAGCGACAGCGGCGAAGAGAAAGAGGATGGGGAAACGGAGTGAGTCTTTGTTCACAACGTAATGCCGTCTGCATGTGCTCCAACCGACACCCCGCCTAGCTCGAGCAACCTCAGGAAGCTGTGGATCCTAGATCCCAGGCGCATTCCGTCTACGCACCCTCGTCTCAAACAAACTCCCTCTATGTGCCACAGTCGCAAACGAACTCAATGTATGCGCCGCCATACCAGGCCAACTCCGTCTACCTGCCACAGTCGCAAACGAACTCAATGTATGCGCCGCCATACCAGGCCAACTCCGTCTACCTGCCTCCGTCGCAGACAAACAGCTTCTACGCGCCCTCGGCGTACAACTCGTCCTCACATCCCAACTCAATGTATTCTAGCGCAACATCGTCCTATGCATCCCTTCCACCACATGTGCTCCATCCACAACTACATCTTCAAACCAATTTCCCTCTATCCGCACTCCCAGTCTCTCCATTAACGCACACAAAGCGTCCCCCGGTGCCGGCCGCGCTCATTCCCGAACCCCTCGCGCCGTCGCGCCTGAAGCTATACAACTTTGGGTCCCGATTCTTGCCACACACTACGTCACCGATTCGGTGTTTGCTTCCCTTGGGCAATCACCACCTGCTGCTGATCGGCCATGACAAGGGTCTGTCTGTCCTAGACATGTTCCCAAGTGATTGGTCCGACGAGGACGAGAACCAGAAAGGGCCCTCCGACGCGGAGGCCAAGCTCATCTGGGAGGGCGAAGGGTGAGCGCGGTCATGTCCTACCAGACGGACAGTGTGCTAGAACCATCCCTCCTAGTGTTCACCAGATGACTATCCTGGAATCCGAGAGCACGGGCGAGGGCACGCCGCAAGGCGTGGTGCTTGCCCTGGTCAGCACGGAAGCCGACTCGTCCAAAGACCAAGAGACCCCTCGGATGCTCCGTATGTACAACCTGGCCAGTCTCGTCAGCCTCGCGAAGTGGATCGTTACCCAGAAGGTATGCCTCTCGTACGCACTTGATTGATGCAAGCTTCTAACCGCTCTGATTATCAGGACGCCCGCCCGCTGGATTTACGCAATTCGGCGACAGGGAAGAACTCGCAAGGCTCTGTCAAGAAGCACCACCGGCCTCCGAGTTCCATCACGAAGGGCTTGAAGAACCTGGTGCTCGATCCTGCGATAGCGCAACCGCAGAGCTCATCAGCGCGAAAACCCGAACCACAGGCTTCGTATTCTTCACTGGCTTCATCCTGGACGTCGCCCCAAAAGGGTAAAGGGGTAGCCTCGGTGAGGCGGACAGATTCTATCGACTCTGATTGGGATATCGTGAGCGATCTACCACTACGATGGGCGACCCATTTCACGCCTCTCGCATCCGCGGGCTCAAGACTACACAACAACCCTGTGTTGTTCTACGATATCTGGCGCAACGAAGGTCAGCGAGGTCGGGGCGGGGTGCTCCTCGCCGTTGCGACGAAGTCAAGTATACTCTTGTACGAAGCCCCGAAGGGAGAACGAGCCTTCCGTTTGGCGAAGGTGCGCATATTCCGCCCACACATAGCACATCTCACGCATACTGCGATGCTCACCGACCCTGCAGGAGTTTTACACGCCGCTCGCCGCGCGTAGCATCACCTTTATCCATCAATCTGTGCAGGACAATATGTCGCGAAGCCCCTCGGACATCTTTCCTCGCTCCGCGGCCCTCGACACACAGAGCCACCGGCATTCCCGCGTGTCCTCCTTCGGCTCGACCGTGCTCAACTACCCCACACAGCTCAGCCTCTTCGTCATCTTCGAGAAGAAAGCTGGCACCATCCGCATCGCTGACTCGGCCGTCGGCGAGGTCGATCTTTACGACGACAACTGGGGCGCACAGCAGCAGTCGCTGCTCACGACCTCCCCCACGCGACGCTCCCGTGCGTCCTGGGACGGTCGCGCCTTTATGAAGGACAAGGGCCCCTGGGCACGCCCCATCAAGTTCAGCGTGCCCGGCCCGTCCTTCCAGCCGTCCTCCGCCACCCAGCTCTTTCTGCTCACGCGTGGCCGCCAGTCGCACATCGTCCCGCACCCGCTCCCGGCACGCCTCGCAGGTGTTCCCCCGCATCGCGTGCTCTACTGGGGCGCGCCGCCGCACTCCGTCGCCGCACGCGTGTGCACGTCCGACGACCCGGACGAGGCGCCGTTCCTGCAGATCACCGCGTTCGGCGAGGACGGCGTCGAGGTGCAGGAGGTGCCGCTCGCGCAGCTGTCTGAGCGCAAGGGCAAAGGCCGTGCGCAAGACCCCGTCCGCGCGCAGGCGGACATTGGGGGTGCTGCAGGCCTGCTCGCCGTGGGGGGCCACTGGAACCGGCCGTTCTACCCGGGCCTCGCAAGGTCGTACTCGACGTCGAGCTACCAGAGCTACGACTCGACGACGACGGCCGAGGAGGACGGGGCGGGCGACGGGGGCAACGAGGGTCTGTATGCGTGGGTGCAGAAGGGCGCGGAGGACTGGAGGGTGGTCTGGCTTGGTGATGGGGCCCCGCTGGATGATGAGTTTGACGATGAGATGTGAGCACGATGACGGACTCCGCGAAGGCTATGGGGAATCGATAGACTGTATAAATTTTGTTTAACATGTACAGCAGTGCGAGTTGTTTCCATAGCTCCTCCACCATCTACCGCAATCGAGTAATCTTGGGTATTTGTACCATTCACATGCAGTGGACCACGGGACGAGAAGAGCGTCGACTGTGGCCAAAGCATCCAACATCTGGGTTTACCGTTTCCTTAGAAATTCCTACACCAGATCTGCAGGTGGTCTAGCGGTGAGGGGCATGGTCAAGAAACCTATGCTTCAGCTTTAGTGATGGACGTTGCAAATCTCCCTTACGCTTCAGTGAACGGATGTATAGACTTTGAGGTACGATGTGGATATATGGTGGATGGTGAGCGAATACGAGTACATGGTACGTGAGCTACGAGGTCGAGAGCAAACTAAATAGGTTAGACTGTCCGAGAACTACAGTGCAACTATTGTCCCAAAACTAAGGTATACCATGTATGAGGGGGGCGGCACAGCGCGAAAAACATGCACGAAGATTAGGAAGCGATGAACAAGGCTAAATTGCGTAGAACGGGGCTTGTGGGTCAGAGTGCGCCGGACCCCGCAGCGCCGAGAACGACGGTCCCCGCTCCTGCTCGACCACGTCTTCTGCGGGCGGTGCAGATGACGAACTCGGCGAAGGTGCCCCGGGGCGCTGCTTCCGGACCACGACAAACGAACGACCCGCATCCTGCCCAGGGGGCGTGCTCGGGAGCGCGTCGCTCTCGCTCATCCGCCGATTCTTGCGCCTGTTGAACCAGTGCTTCTTCTTCGGCTGTCCGAGGGCCCCCACGTCGTCCCCAGCCGCCGCCTCGCCGCGCACGTCGGGGGCCGCCGCCGTCCCAGCAGCGCCTTGGTACGGCAGCGCGGCAGACACATTCTCGATGATAGCCGTCTGCGACTTTGTCCGGACGTGGGCCGAGGGTGGCATCGCCCCGGGCGGCAGGCCCTTCGCCGCACTCGAGATCGACGGCGTCCCCGGGGGCGAGTAGTCCGCCACAGAGGGCTGCGCAACAGAGCCCGCGCCGCGCTCCACCGAGGGGAACGTCTGCGTGGACCCGGACGCGATGGCGTAAGGCGACTCGTAATGCGCGCGGCCGCCGGCCACGCGCGAGAACCCTGACTTGGGCGGCGAGGGTGCTGGGGCGGGGGGCTCCTCCATTGCGCTGTACCCGGGTCCCGGGAACGGTTGCCACGCGCCCATTATGAAGCCTGTCTCGTCGTCGCTATCCTCCTTGTATGGTTGCATTGCGTGCTCCGGACGGAGAACCGATGGCGGTCCGGACGAGGGCGGTGTAGAGTCCTTGAAGGGCGGCGCAGGTCTAGACAGCATGAGGGTTTGTGGTTGCTTGCCGGCATCCGCGGCGCGGTAACCACGAGCGCGGCGGGGACGTCGGGACCCGCAACAGCCCATGAGCCCCATGGTCCCAAGGAGTCCACTGTCGACGACATGCTTGCTTCTCCCGAAGCCAATGCCACCTATGATCCGCAGGAAGGCCTCGAGGATTTTGACGAAGAGCATCAAGGCAAATGCGAGGTAAATCAGGCCCAAGATGAACAGAATCGCATACGCGACCCATTGCCCCGCACCGGCGCCGATGGACACCTAGGAATTGCATTTTAGTGTTACGTACTTCGGAACGGCGTGAGACCCTGAGACTCACTACTGGTGTCAAGATGACGAGAAGGACCGCAATGACTATTCTCCCAACGCAGAACAGGAAGCTGATGAGCCCCATGCTGGCACCCTGACCCCACGGCAACCAGATACTGGTCCCGAGAGCGGCAGCCACCTCGACTACAAGGATGACGATAGCCTGCGCGGTCCCGCTCTTCTGTCCGAAGCCTATCGTAACGCCAAACGCTAAATTGATAGCGAACAGCGTGCACGCAAAGAGCTGGGAGCCATGCCGGTAATGGTTGTAAAGCGGCCCGAGAGAAAGCAGGGTCCAGGTTTCGTCGTACAACTTGCTTGTCCGCGTGAGCGTAAGACGCAGCACCAGGAATGCCGGGATCAAGACGGAGAGAATCGTAAACGCTAGGGCAGCTAGAACCAAGGTGCCCGTCGACACCTGCGCTTTGCCTAGGCTCAGCTGGTAGCAGGAGAAGATGGTGATGGGGAGGTGGAAGAGGATGAGAATGCGGACAAGGTTGCCGTGCAGGACGCTCCCGTGGAAGGAGATGAAGCTACCGCGACTGCGCCACCATGACCGTCCGACTGGGAAGCGTGCCGGTGAACCGCGGAAGAGGAAGTTGCCGTTGAAAGATCTGTTCTCTTCGACGGCAGACATCCCTGGACCGTCAAGCATGTCCTTGCTGCCCGCCGAGTAGCGAGGGCTACGAGAACCTGCCAAGGTAGCGGCGGGATGATTGGTACCAGTCCCACCTGATAGTACCGACATCATAAGGTCGAAGAGCCAAACCAATATGCTGATGACGATCGTCGCCGCGATGATAGCCAGGAAGAGGGTGAGACAAACACCGAATAGATCCTGGGGCCGAAGGCCAACCGACCACGCAAATGCGGGTATGCCGGTCGTGGCATTGTCCGGGAGCTGGAAGAAGTAGTTCGGTGCACTACTGTCGATGAAGATGGGGGAAGTGGAATCGCTAAGTTGATCGGCGAAATTTGAGGGAGGGTCATATGGCGTGACAGACAGCGGGTTCCATCGTGCATTCTTGCCCTGAGAGATCGTGATGTCTGACGGAGAGTTTAGCGGTTACATTATTTAACGGAGATGCTTAGAACTCACTGTAACTCAGGGTCGACCATGCAGTTTGCGAAAGGAGCGGGTCTGACTTGGGAGTGAGCAGTATGTTCGAGACATGCATATCTTCACTTACAGGCAAACATCGGCCATTGCACAGCGACCATAGACAGGGCGGCGCACCACTGTGTGTGGAAGATGATGTCTCGCAACGAGGGCGTACCTATGACATGACGTCACTCCATAACGGTGCCTTGACCCGAGAGTCTTAAGACCACTTACAGAAACGCATGAGCGCAGGAGACGACGCAAACCGTTCACCGCTCAGCGCACTGGCGAAGACAAACCCGGCGCTTTCGAGCTTCGCTAGTACGCCGCTGCCTCCCCTAGATGATCCGCGGCCCCAAGCAGCAACAAGGCGTGCGATGCCTACAATTGCCCAGTACCCGATCGCTAGCCCGACGGTGCACCAGAAGATGATATGTGCATGTCCGTATACCGAATCTACCGGACCGGGATTCAGGACTGTTGTGTTCACATCTAGACAGAGCAGTTCGTGTTGGAAGGGGTCCAGAGCTCGTAACCGCGTATCGAATGTCGCCAACTCGGAGCCAGGCTGGATGGGGACTTTTGACGAGAACGCGAAAGGTCCGGCATCCAGTGGACAGAAGCCGTTATGGGCGTCGGGTGTGTCAAGCGGAGATGGCGGGCGTAAGGAGTTGCAGAAGAAGGAATTAGTGTTGTTATTCGGTTGCGCGAAGGTGAGCAGTTCAGTTGTCGTGAAAAGGGTCGCTGTATGGCAGGGTAAATGGTTACTTCCTGTCAATTGCTCACACGAGTAGACAAACTCACTGGCAACGGGATTAGGCCCGTCCGATGCAGCCATGATCTGCAGAGGCGTAGTGCCTATAACCGTGAAGTTGATGTAGGCGCCACTCGAGGGTCCAGCAGGGAAGAACTGAGCATAGACAGTCGAGACATCGAGTTTCTGAGATGTATTTGAGCTGGAGAAACAGTCAGAGAATTGGAGCGTGGCGGGCTGCGCGGTCGTAGACGTGAAAAGCGAGAGAGAAAGAGCGAGGATGAAAAGCAGGTGGGGAAGAGCGCACCCCCACTGGCTGGATTCATACGAACCGGCCATGGTAAGCAGGGGTAGGCGGTCGAAGAGGTCTTCAACGTCGTCTACAACGTCGGCGGCGAGAGAGGCATGGGCGGACGGCGTCACCGTGGTGCTCGTCCCGACGGGCTCTGTTGATCGGCGTCTATTCTCAGAGAGACCGGAGTTGGAAGCCCGTAAGCGTGCTTCCTTAGCCCCGTAAGTGCATGTTCAAAGTCCGAAACAGGACCACGCCTATACTTGGAACGGTGAGAACTCCGCGGTTATACTCCCCCGACGCATGTCCGTCTCGTCCGATCGTTCCTTGAGGTTTACGCCGTCTTCCTCCTTGTGCACCGTGGCCGATGGTTCCTGTGTTGCTTTATGCTCGCTCTTCTAGTGCGATTGAGGGTTTTGCTGCTCTAATTAGACATCGGCATCCGCTGCCTACTCTTGCCTGCTGCCGTCAATGCCACTCTCTTGGGCGAGACTCTTGAACTTCCGGTGACAGCGAGGGTAACCGGTGGCTGCAGTTGACCACACCGTGTTGACCACACCGTTGACACGCGACGTTGGACACCCGTGTCCCGAGGCTTTGGAAAACACCGTTGCAAGCGGCGTTCGCGGTGCTGGAGGTTGCCCAGAGCAAGTACTGAAAGCCCGTATCTACTTTTGTCGTTGCAAGCATGTTATAGGTGAGCTTAGTCTCGTGTAGCTATCTGGAGGAGCACCTTACCGACAGGAGGAATCTCCCGTTCTTCTCAACAGTGTGTCGGTCTAGATTTCGTCCGCTCATAACAGATTCATGATTTGGCCCTGAGCCGCCATTACTGCATGACGGTCCAACTGGTGTAAATATTGCTAATTTTATGAGCGCCCATATAACTCTCTGTAGACACGCAGCCATACTGAACGTCTATGATTGATTCGAGTTCGCAGCGGTACTTCGGCCCTGGGCCGTCAGCGGGCATAATTGCTTGAGCTGTGTTCAATGCCTCCCGTTCTCCCTATAGTATCAAAGCAGTGAAGGTGCGCACAATTTCTCCTTGTGCCCGCGCCCACACGAAGTGCTCAATCTACCTGATGTATAGCCGTCGAGTCCCAAGGTTTCTGCCGGAGCGACAGTCCTGCGAGCCTATGTCATGTTGACATCGAACCCCCTCGATCCATGAGGCACGAGGCTGTGGCCTTGTTGCTTCTGGTATGTGCGCCCACCTTTCGACTGGATGGTTCTTACCGCTCAGAGTTTGTAGATATGGACTGCACCGCATTCAAGTTCGCCACCATCTAAGAACACCGTTGGCGTTCAACCTACGTCCACTCTGTGTGGTGTGCCTGTTACTATGCTCCCGGCCGGTGTCAGCGTCCTTGACGTCCGCTCCCATACTTCCGGCGGCACTCCGCAACGGACATGACACCTTGGACATCTCGCTGATGCCTTACCGTCATGCCGGAGTGCCAGAAGACGGTGCCCGAACCAATCAATTTGGCATGGGAAGGCGAAGCTGCGCGTCGACTTTTCCCCCGCTTATCCCTGAATTCCAGATTCCAGACTACGGTCCGGCAAAGAAAACCCTGCACGATGGTGGCATACCGGCATCCTTGCATGCGTTAATTCGCCGGCGGGAGGAACATCCCGAGCTATAAATTGTGAGTGGCCATATGTTTCTGCGCTGCAGTCTCACGGGAGCACAGTACATGCCATCGCGTCCCGAGTCGCAGTCCGCACGACACATGACCGACATTCTATGCCCGCCCTCTGCGCGCCGTACGTTGTGGCAGCCTTCTGAACACCAACCGAGGGCGCCGCTGGGTGAGAAGCACGCGCCTGCGCAGCCTCGGTGAGAGCGGATGGCTGTCAAACGTTGATAACTCCCGGACGCATGATCGGTGGCAGTGACTCTCCCGCTCTCCATTCGCTGTGCGTCACCTCCCGCCAAGAACGCAGGCGCGCGTGGCTACCGACCGCCACGCTGTCCGCGCCCCATATCGCAGTGACAGGCGTCCTGCGGGGCACGCGGGGAGCCTATTATCTGCGATCAGCCCGCACGCCGAATCTCGTGGGCGCAGAAGATCGGGCGCGGACGCATCTTGTGGGCGAAGCAAGCTTGTTCGTGATCTTGGTGCGCCCATGCCCATGGGGGCGCGTCGGGCGCCCTGCTGCTGCTGCACTTCGGCATTCATTTACGCCCGTCACCGCTCCCATCGCCCTGCGCCTCGCCATGGCGCCTTGGTGCTATGCGATCATGCGAAGCTGTTCGAATGTCGTTTTCCTGTGCCAGCCCTCGATGGTGGGGGAGCATCGTGGCGACGGTAGCGGGCCCATCTGTGGCCAGCGCGCCGCGCTGCTCATCCCGGGGTGCGGCCTAGCAGGCCTGTGCTGTATGCTTTGACAGTGCCACGGGGAGACGGCGGTGTGTATGGGTGGGCACCGTTGTGGTGGGCCAGATGCTTTTCGCAGCGCGTCTGGTGCCATCCACTTCTCGGATGCGCTCGCGGTGTTGTCAAGAGCGCGCCGCTGTTTTCGCGCGAGTTGCGCTGCTCTTGTGATATTCCTTGTTGCCGGGGATGTCCCGTACCGGTGAATGGGGGGCGTTTTTTCCGCCCTGGTCGAGGTTTTTTGGCGTGCCACTCAAACTTCGTTAGGGACACACAAGCTCGTTCTCCATTTCAGGTTTATGACGAGTCGGCTCGCCCAAAATTCTAGGTTCATGATCCTTCCTGACGCCGTCGAGCACAAATAGCCATTACAGCATACAATTTTCCGACCGCCATGGCAAGCTCCGGTTCGTTTGTCTAGCTACACATGGTGCGAATTACTTCAGCCGGGATACAAAACAGGTCCGCCGTGGTGCCCGCCGCGATGCAGACGCAGCAGCGGGCTTCTATCTCGGTGGCTCTCGGTCCCGCGGCGTTCAATTCACAAAGAGCCCGACGTCGGGGTCCTGCTGGAACCGCGTAAGCCCTCGCGCTTGGCGTTTGGCGCATGTCTCGATGTCGCGATGGCCCGACCCGCCTCTCGAGGCCCCGCTGCCCGTCCAGTGACGCACTTGACGCCATGTCTCACTGCTAGCATCATCGATTGGCCCAGTCTCACTCAGCGCGGGGAGCCCGGGCGTTCGTGCGCGCGCACCTGCACGCCGCACTCCGCTAAGCGAGCGCGTCCCACGCACGCTGGGGCGCCGCGCGCAGGCGCCAGCGTGGTCACGACCGGGACGGTTATCGTCGGGCACTGAAAAACGCAGAGTCGCGTCCGGGGGGGCGCACCTTGCCAAATCGCGCGAAGCGGGGTGGGATTCCGCGCCGTTCCCACCGTGCGCGTCGTCGTCCGATAACCTCATGGTGGTGATGCTGCTATCGCGCGCGCGCCATCGGGGGTGTTCTCATGACGAGTGGCCACGGCCATCCGGGTCAAGAGAGAAGCCGTGTATGGACATATGAGGGCCTGACTGTCCAGTGCTGCGCAGTGCAAATCCCGACGTTGAGTCCGCCGTCGGACGACGAATGCAGCACGCCGAGCCCCACGGGGGTGCGCCGTGTACAGACACCGGGCGGGGCCTCGGGGGTGGCTGCAGTTGGCGTCGAGACATGTCGGAGCGCGTCCGCGGCGTAACGTCAGTGGGACCCCCGTAGGAGAGGCCACAGAGGTGACGCCACGACGGGACCAGTAGACGAGTGAGCGGAGGCTGCGAAGCGCGCTCTGTGCCTTCCTCGCCTGCTTCTTCGTGTTTCAGGTCGCTAGCCGGACAGCGGCAGGCTTCGCACCCTGCGGATTTAAGAGGCAGGCGCGGCCCGGTGAGGCGCGCCAGCGCGGGCTCCCCCGTCCTGGGCTCGCAGAAGGCGGGGCGAGAGCGAGAAGCACGCACCTGCCAAGGCACGCGGGCGGAGTGCAGCTCGCTTGTTGCGCTGGCTCGCCCCGCGTGCGAGCTAGTCGCTACCCGCGAACCTAGCAGGCCCAATCGTCCCAGAGGACGCGGACGCGGGAGCGCTGCGCCCCTGCACGTCCGTTCTGATAGCATAGAATTTTTGAGCTGTGTGGGGAAGGCACGAGTGCGGCCGGCCTCAAAGGAGCTAGCCGGCTAGACAGCGAGCCATTTGCAATGGGTCGGCGAAATAAGAGGGCAGAGTTTGTCGTCGCCGTGTGAGGAAAAGAACGAGAGTGTGGGCCGTTCTGCTTCGACGGTCGCCGGCGGAAAGTTACGTGCCCCTGGACCTGGGACGTTTGGTGGTCAGATAAGGACAGCGCAGGTCGGCTTCGGGGACCAGTGCAGAGAGTCCAGCTCACCGGGATGGCCCCTCGCTGCGACGCACGGGGAGGGCAGTCGCGCTGACTCGCAAAGCGCATGGGCACGCCGGGCGAAGGCCGCGGGGACCTGCACACGTCAGCTGCCAGGAGGACGATGAGGGCGGCTCGTTGACAGCTGGTAAATAATCAATAGGCCGTTTTCCTGATCGCTCGCCTCGGAGCTTTTGTTTACCTGTGGGGCCATACAAACAGGCGGCATATGTCGGCGCACCCAAATCTGGCAGGCTTACGGCGCTGGGCTCCGACAACGCTGATGAGAGCCACAACGACCGCCCGAGCGGCCTCAACCATTGGCTCAGGCGTGTTTGTTCGGCCCCACACGGTAAACAAGGCCCCAAAGGTGAGCGGCCGAAGAAACGGCCTATCGTTTCTTTACCAGCTGGAAGGAGGAAGCGTCGGTCTCCAGAGCCGGCAGGACGCGGACGGCGGGTGCTTCTCGCGCAGGGCTGGACGTGCTGGTGAAAGACACGGAGGGTTTTACGACATCGTTGAGTCATGCGCGGCAGGCGGCAGACGATCCAGTCGTCGCGCACGGCCAGAAAGGCAAACGGTGCATTTATCACGGCTCGCTGGGGGCGCCACGACGCCGAAGGGCCCGCTCGGGAATGCGCGTTGCGGGTAAGTACGCGGGCCTCCGTAAGGAGCACGTCTGCTGCCGACTGTTGAGTAACAAGCTACACGCACGTCAGCGCTGGGGTCCCGCCGCAGGAGAGGAGAGTCAGATTGCGGACAGCCTTCGCGACTCAGCGCAGACTCATCCTCACCGCCTGCGCACATACCGAGAGGGGGCAGCTGGGGGAGGGTGCTGAGTGACGGAGGAGAGGAAGCCAGCGCCGCTGCTCGCCCGCCCGCGCCCGTCCCGTCCCCCGACATTCCCGTCCGTCGGCCATCGGGAGCGTGCTAGCGCGCGGCAAGCGACGCGATCACATGGCGCGCCCCGCCGCCACCGCCCGATGCAGCTTGTAGGTCCCACGCGATCGCGCACCTCACTTTACCCCCCGATCCCGCCTTCCCACGACCCCCGCCACCCACGCCATCGCGTCAGCAGGCCGTCGCGTCAGTCACGCCGTGACCTGTCGCGTTCCGGTCCGCCCGGGTCCGCCAAGCGCACTCGGGATTACGCCGGGCGCTCGATCGGGCCAGAGGCGCGTTGGTCACCGACGGCGCTTGATGGGCGCTACACAACTCTCTCCCCGCCATCATCCTGCACTGATCGCGACGCCTCGATCCTTTGCACCACTCACTCCGTTACCCGCGACACTGCTTTCGGACGTCGTGCGCGAGCCCCGTCGTAGCCTTTGCTCGACCAATCACTCAATTTAGCGCAGACACTGCGCACTTTCGCGGTTTCCATCTCTCCCTCCGCCGCACGCACACACACACTCGTGAAACCGCCCGCTGCCGCAGCATGAACGCGAACTTGGAGGAGGCTGCGAACATTGCGACCGAATACCTTTCCAGTCTGTATTTGCTGCTCCGTCATACACCCCGCAACGTGCCTCGCCGCCCTTGATGCCGATCGCATTATTGGTCTGCGCACAAACGCGCTCCGTCCGCTTGTGTGTCCTCCGTGCGCAGCGGTGCTCATGTTTGTACATGCAGGTCTGGAAAATTTGCCAAACGAGACGCAGCACATCCTTGCCGAGATCAAGCACAGGGACGAAAAGGCGCAAGGCATGTGCAATCCGCTTGTGCGCGCCCGGTCCGACGTACTGAACGCATTTCATCTCTTTTTGTCTGTGTCATTTCCGCTCGCCTCGGTCGATCCTTGCGCACGCGCGTCTAGAGCTGACTGACGAAATCCGCAAGGAGACCCAGAAGTACTTCCGGCATTCCTCGAAGAATGCAGGGCAGGCCCTCCCCAACAAGGACGCGGCGATTCCAGACACAGTGGACAACCTGTATGCGGAGGTGGACGCCCTCGCAGCCGAGAAGTCTGCGCTCTCCCAGCGGCTCGTGCGGACGCTGGAACGGGCCATGGCCCGTCTCAACCATGATATCCAACGGATACTCAAGCTGCAGGGCGACGATCCGGGGCCACCGGCGACGCAGCATTTCCTTAGCACCGCGGACAGCACCGTGCAGCAGATCAAGGCGATTTTGCGCACCGCCGCAGCGGCGGAAGAGCCGCCCTCCGCCTCAATATCCGCCGCCGCCCCTCCACCACTAAAGAGTAAGTCACTGACGCCCTCATGTTCGTTTCGCGTGCGCCCAGCCCGCCGCGTGCCTCCTTTGCCCCTTCCCCCCTTGTCTCGTATGTTGTAATCGTGTTCGGACATCCTTTGTTTCACCTATGTCCGGACACCTCCCGCCTTCCTCGGTTGCTAGGTCCACGCCTGTCCGTCCGTTTCGCCGTTTCGTCACCTGCCGTTTGCCATTTGCCGCCGGAGCGCCTTTGTGACACTATCTCTCATTCCTTTGTAATCCAGGACGAAAGGTGGCGGCGACGGCCTCGACGCCGGCCGTGAGCATCAAGCTGCCGAGTCCGGTCCCGGTCAACAACAACACATACACGGGCAGCAGCGCGCAGAAGTCGAGCCTCTCGCGGCAGGTGAACCACCGGCACTCCCCGATGCGCTCGCGGCGCACGCACACTACCGCCGGCGGGCCGGACGAGGACGACGCGGAGGGCGACGAGGACATGGACGAGAACGACGCGGACGGCGCGGACGCGGAGGACCAGGAGCTCTATTGCTACTGCCAGAAACTCTCTTATGGCGAGGTGCGTCTGTCCCCCTCCCGGGCACGCTCTAGAGAGCGGTGCGCTGACGCTGGGCGTGGCCTGGACGCACAGATGATTGCGTGCGACAACGACGGGTGCCGGTTCCAATGGGTAAGTGCTGTCACTACTGCGAAGTGGTCATGCTGTTGTTGTGTGCTCTATCTGACGGCGGGCGCCTGCGCAGTTCCATCTCTCATGCGTGAACCTCAAGCCGCCGCTGCCGGAGAACTGGTACTGCGAGGAGTGCTCGGTGAAGCTGCGAATCGGCGGGGTGCTGACGGCGGCGCCGGCGGCGACGACGTCGAGCACGACGACCGGTGGCGGGCGGAAGGGGCGCAAGAAACAGTAGGGCTCGGGCTTGGGCTCGGAGGACGGCTGCGGGTCGCGGAGGGACGCGCCGGGCTCGTGAAACGGGAGCACACTGGGACGGGAGGTGAAACAGGACCAGGGGGCTGGCGCCGAGGGGAGGGATAAGTGGGAGCGTCGAGGCGCTGTCTGTCATTTAGCTAGGTTTGGGGCTCTGTCGGATTCGAAGTTCTGAGGGGGGACACAGCCCGCGCACGCACGGATTGGGCGAGAAGGTGATGAGGGAGCTGGATGACGTGGGACGCGCCCGGGAGCGGGCGACCGACGCAGCTCAGCGTAGGTGTACGGTACGGTAGGAGGTGTCTATGGGTATCTTTGTCTGGCACGGGTGCAGAATAGGAAGTGTGATTGGAGGGCGGAGGGACGGGCGAAATGCGAATTCCAGCGTGGTCGCTATGGGGGGAGAGGGAGGCGCCGGGCGATAGGTGCTGGCGACGGGAAGGGCCGACTGAGGGATCTTCGGCTGGGAGGGACGGGCGAGATCCAGAGGGGGCGATGAGGGGACACCTCACTTCGGCTGCGAGCGGGGGGAACCTCCCAGGTATGGCAATGCGCGCTCGGGATCGGAGTAACAGAGCGTCCTCCGAACGGACGCGGACGAAGAGCCTTTCGCGCAGGAGGACGACAAAGTGAGCAGAATGTGTATGTGTGCACATCGATGTGGTCTGCGGTGTCGCCGCGCTCGATGGAGCGGGAGGAGAGGGTGGAGGAGGGGTCGGGCGGGGAGGAAAGGGGGGACCTGCGAATTCTTTGTGGAAAGGGAGCGCGTGTGCACCCAGGGGGGCGGCGCGCGATAGGCGCAGGGGTGGCATGGGGCGTGGCAGGAGCCGGGGTGTCGGAGACGCAGTGGGAAAGAAGCGGCTAAGCCGTTCTGGGACGGTGCACAGGATCTGGTCAGACCCCGGGAGGAGGTTGAGCCGGAAAAGGACTCGGTTCGTCTGGCGGATACGGGCCATAAGTACGCTCGCGCAAAAGACGGCCTGCCACTATAGCCAGCTCCTCTAAGTACTGGCTCCGGCTTCCTCTTCCGCCAGACCCTTCCAGACGTGCCCCCGCCCCCGCCCCGCCCTTCTCCTCCTCCTCCCCTCCCCGTCCAAGTCGCCCCGACTCCCCATGGACTCCTTCGCGTTCGACCACTACACCTCCTACTCCGACGCCTCCACCCCCCGCACGCCCTCCCCGAGGACGTCCATCTCCTCCGACGACATGCACCCATACCCCACCCCGCCCTCCTACAAGGGCAACGTCGACATCCACCTCTCCCGCAACATCTTCGACCACCACCCCGACGATGGTGGCGTCGTTGTCACCGACCACGCCGGCGTATGGTCTGCGCCCTACAGCAACTCCTTCCCGACTCCCCCGGGCTCCCGCGGCTCCCTGCTCGAGGAGCTCTACGAACCCGACATCCGTGATCACGGTGTCCCGCAGTCCGTATACCTCGACCACCGCCACCAGCAGTCCGCCGAGCCTGGCTTCCACGGAGGAAACTGGTCCGGCATCCCGCAGACCGCCAACGGCCAGCACATGCAGCAGCAGCAGCAGCACATGCGCCACCCCCACGACATTGCCATGACCCGCCGCGCCACCTTCCCCTACGTCCGTCACGATCGCGAGCACATGCAGTACGGCTCCCCCTTCCTGGGCAGCGACCACGACTCGGTGAGCCCTTACGGCTCCCGTCCCGGCACCATGTACAGCGAGCCCTTGTCCATCGACGGCTCCCCGCACATGGGCATGTGCGAGCCCATGCACCACCACATGGACGAGCCCTTCGCGCACTCCGTGCCCATGAACGGCTCCCCGCATCCCCCCTACCACGACTTCCACCCGCACCACCCTCTCGACGGCATCAAAACCGAGGAGAACTCCGTCATTGTCCCCTCCCAGACTGCGTGGAACCGGCCGCCTTCAGCAGGAATGCAGCCTCTTCCGTGCCTCTCCCCGCACGCGGGCCTCATGGTGCAGCACACGGACGACGCGGCCTCGAAGGAGACGCAGTACCTCCGGAGGCGATGCTTCAACTGCCACACGACCGAGCCGCCCAGCTGGCGCCGGTCGACGCTCAACCCCGGCAAGATCGTCTGCAACAAGTGTGGCCTGTACGAGCGCACGCACTTGCGGCCGCGCCCGCTCCGCTTCGACGAGCTCCGCGCGGGCAGCAAGACGCGCAAGCAGCCAAAGGTCAACGGCTCGCCGAAGGTGTCGAAGCTCCCTCCTCAGATGATCAAAAAGGAGCCGTCGGAGGGCGACAACGTGATGCCGCGCCGCTCGTCGGTGTCCTCGTCCGCGTCGTCGGTGCACTCGGGGAGCAGCGACTGGGATGACTCTGGTAAGTAACGCGTCGCGTTACGGTCAGCGCCGCAGTCCGGATCCTAATGATCCCCTGCAGTGTCGGTGTACTCGTCGGGCTCCAACCCGCCGTCGTCGTTCAACTCGCCCGCGGCGTCGACCTTCCCCATCCCGCGCGATCCCAATTCGCAGTCCCCTCCTTTGGAAGGCGGCATTCGCCTCCCGAATGCTCCGCTCTCTGACATCGCGTCCCTGCAGTCCGCGCACGGCTCCCCGCCGACGCCGCGCAAGGCCTCGACCATGCCCGTTCCTTACTACCCCTCCTCCTCTCCCGCTATCCAGCAGGCGCAGCAGGCCGACTACTTCTCGCGCCGGGGCTCGCTCCCCAGCGAGATGCAGCGGCGACCGCTCGATGGCCCGATCCCCGAGGTGACGGGGTGGCAGAGCGTGCCGCTGTCCGACATCGCGCCCGACGCGAAGTCGTCACCGCGGCCGCCGAGCCAGCCCATCGCCGCGTGAGCGCGACCTCCTTTCCGCCTCCTCCTTCGCATAGACTCTCCCGATACCTTCTTCGCATTTGTCGCATTAGCATTCGTGCGCGCGGCCTGCCTGTGCTCTCCTCGGACGGGCGCGCTTGTTTATACTGCAAAATTAGCTCCTCGCCCCCAGATACCACTCTCCCCCCTCATACCACCCGCCCGCGGTGCCGGCAGCGGCAGCGGCGGCGACGCACGCAAAACGGCACGCTCTCGCCTGTACACTTCCGCATCTCCGTCCCCCACCATTGTATCACCCACCCCACACCACCACCCCCACCGCTTCCCCCTCCCGCACGCATCCCGTCCGTTGCATAGCTGTTCATCCACTGGTCTGTTCTTGAAGGTATCCACGCGCTATTTTTCGTTACTTATTGGTCCCCCGCTCTCCGGTCTCCTCTCCTCCCCTGCCTCTACTATCGACGCCTCGTCCTCCGGCCGCGCAGTGTCCGCGGCCGCCTGCTGTTGCTGCCTGGTGCCCGCCCACTCCCCACCCCTTCCGCTCCTTTGCTTGGTTGCCTGGACTTGCACGCGCGCGCGCTCGATGATCTAACTATCTATTTATTACTTGTGTGTCGTACTACAGGTCCTCTGCTGCATATTCCCCCACCCCCGTGTAATCGTAGTCTATAGGAAGTAGCCGTATAACGTGCCAATAAAACGCGAAATCGAGAACATCTATATCCCCATGCGTGTTTCTGGCTGTGTTTATCATTGGTCCCTTCCCTACTCCTTAGTCCCCCGTTTACATCTGCCTACCATCTATCTGTCTGTCTGCTAAATACGCTCGGGCTTCGCGGAACAGACCGTCCGCGTCGCCGCCACGAGAAGCCAATGTGCCGCGCGCCACCTGCGTCGTCGACGCCGTCGTCCCCCGTTAGAGTTTGCGGTCGCGCGTGCCACACCCGATCGGTCGTCGTGGCACTGGCAGCTAGGGGCGTACGTATCGTACAGGCATGTATCGCGTCGGGCGCGGCCCCGTTCCTCCGTTCCGCCGCGTTCTCAGCAGAGGAGTGGCAGCTCGAGGACCCCCGGCGGTACCGGAGTGGCACAGGCCTGAGGCACCGCGCTCGGTGGCACTCCGCCCGCGCACGGACGGACTGAGGAGCGTGCGTATGCGTACCCGGCGAAGGCCAGGTGCTTCCTGAATCCTTTGGGCTGCTTCTCTTCGCAGCCCCAGCGTGAGCGTGCACACGAGAATTGGAACGCGCGGGGGCTGTAGGAAGAGCACTCGGACTGCATTACACCGCAGGACTCGGACGTGCGTACGTACACCTAGGCACGCGCGGCGGCATCCCCCAGCACGCTCAGGCTGAAATTGGCAGCCGGGTGCATATGTATTGCAAACTGCAAACCACGAAGGTGCGTGGGTGGTCTGGTAGCGGCCGGGAACCCCAGCGGCGCGTGTTTGCGAATTCGAAGAAGTCCAATGGCGCGCGCGCCCCGGGCGGCGTCGCGTTCATATTTCAGACACTCGCGACAGCGAGCGCGGGCGCGCACCGTGAGCAGGCGTACGATAGCCTGCCGTCTCGCGTCTCGCGACGCTCGCCCCGCGAAGGACTCGGCGTATTCGATTCGATTTTCCGCCCATTCCGCCGCGTCGAACCACATGGCCCGCGCAAGTACCCCCGCAGTGGCATTGGTCCTCCTCGCTGGGGCTCTTCCGTTCAGCCCGCCTCCAGTGTCCACGCGGGCGGCGGCGACCCACCCGGGAAGGAAGGAGCGGCTTGCGCGGCCCAATCGGCGTGCGCGCAGTGCGCATACGCACCCCCACCGACCTCAGCAGATGCCTCCGTCCGAATCGCGAGTTCGGGCTCCATGTCATTTGTGCGGGTGCCCCGCGCGAGCTCCGAGAGCCTCGAGCGTCGCCGCCGTGTTTCATGATTCATCCGTCGTGCCCCAGTGCCCCAGAGGCTCCACGCGCACGCCGCCCCTCCCCGATGTGCCCTGTCTCGAGGTCCCGCCGCGAGGCGCGCGCCCGATCGCGCTGCTGCGTCTGCATACCGCGGCCGCGCGCCCGCTGTCTTTCGGAGACGTTCAGGAAGGTGCACGGACGGACGAGGGGGTGCGAAGGCGAAGGTGGCACGATGGTTCTCCCGGGCGATAACCTTTTCGTGCCCGCCCGTCTTCTTCCTATCGCGCGCGGCCGCGGCGAAGAGTGGCTGGGAGCACGTCGCCGCGGCTGCGCCCTCGCGCGAGACACGCGAATTGCGCCCGACGCCAGAAGACGCCGTGCGCGAACCCACCCGGGGGGTTCGGTGGTGGGCCCACCATCGCATGGCTACCGTCGCGGGGCGCCGACGCCGCACTTGGACTAGCGCAGCCCGGCGCGATAGCGCGCGTGCGCGCGACGCGATTGGCATTTGCACATGCACATGCCCCCTCCCCGCTGTCGTCACCGCGCTGGAGTCTGGCTCGCGCGGGGCTCGAGCAGCTCAGCGGGCGGAATTGCAGTTGCGCAAGGGCTGCCTGCTGACAGGCACGCCCGCCACGACGGGCGAGCAATTCGCAATTCCCGGGCCGCCCTGCGCGTAGTCTGCCGTGGGCGAACGGTTCAGAAGCTACCCGAGCTCAGGTTCGTAGCGGCGTGGCCGCCGCGCGCCGCCGCCTGGGCACCCGCGCGTCCTCATCCGGATCCGCGCCCGTGCACAGTGCGGAGTGACGATACTGCAGCTGGTCCCCCGGGCGAGGCGAGTCGGATTGGGTGAAATGCGGCCGCGCATGCGCCGGGCGTCCGCAGACATGACACACGCGCGTATACGCCGCGCAGGCTGCCGTGTCGCGTTTGCACAACCGTCGGAGTTGGCAACTTGGAGCCCCATGGAATACACGGCCGGCCCTGTACATAATCGTGCGTGACGTGTCTCAGAGCTCGATCCTATCGGCCTCGGCTATGCTGCAGGAGCGGGAGGAGCGTGCTACTGCACGAGCTAGCTGCAGCTTTGGCCCGGGGACACGCAGCGGGCCATGGCAGCACGGTCGTCTGGCCGCAAGTGTTCAGCCGTTACAGTTGGCCATGGGCACGGCGCACATCCGACGCAACGTTCGCGAGCACAAATGGAGGGGGCCTCACGCGGACGCGCCGCCGGGGCGGCAGATGTGGGCGCAGTGGGAGTGCGGCGGAAAGCGTGCCTGGCCGCGTATGTTCCGCACTGCGCTGGGAGGGGCGGGCGGGCCCAGAGCGAGTCAGGCCGTTCGGAAAAGCTATGGAGGCCGTTTGAGAGCCGTCCGGGGGCGAGCGTTGACGCACGGGCGTCGCAGGATGAGCGTGCAGCACGTCGTCGTCGGGCGGGCGCACGGACGGCTCCTCGGGCGGATGACGCGGCAATTTCTTTCTCTCGCCAGCTAAGCGAAAAACTTACAGGGTGCGGTCTGCGAAGCCTGGTCGCGGGTGGCCAGATATGTTGCGCCCCCGCCGCTTCTTTTCCACGTGCCCGCGCGGAGGTTTATTGCCTCGCTGGCCTGAACCCCGGACGCACGCGAGCCACGCTATCCGAAGCGTCGAGCCGCGGTGCGAGGGCTGGCGCAAGGCGCGTCGTCATCCGGAGAGGCCTTCACACAGACAGAGACTCTGGTCTTACTCGACCCCGAAGAACCTTCGGAGAGAAGACGAGGCACGAGCCCAAAACGCGCGCGATATGGCGCAGCGGAAACAAGGCCAAGCGAACGAGGATATACGTCGGCGCTGGCTGGCGCCGCGCAGGCTGCAGAGGCTAGTCGTTCTTTGTGCGCGATCTGCCTCGAATCTGCTGCTCTGGAGCCCTGAGGCCGTCGCCTTCCACCGTCCGCCGCGGATAAGGCCTCGCAGCAGCCACCCGCCACGGCGTTCCCTCTCGTCACAGAATGGAAGCGACACTTAGCCTGCGTCCTAGCGTCCTTCACGGCCTCCAGGTGGACGACCGCGAGTGCGTGGCCGCTACAGTTCTTGGCGCTGTGGGCACGGGCCCGTCTGGCAACTTACGTGTAAGTTTGTAGGACGCGCACCCGCGCGCAGGGTGTGGCGAGCCGCGACAGCGGCCGGCGCAGGCTGCCAGGTTCCCAGCACGAGACTCCGAGGGTCGGACCTGCGCGCATGCTTCTCGGGCCTTGCCAGTCCACCCTGTTGACGTCGCTGGCGGACGTGTCAAGGGTGGTGAGAGTCCGCTAAAAATGCGCCGTCGCGCTGCAGAGGAGATCGCGCGCGCGCGTGCTGTCCTGGTGCGAGTGCCTGGGTGCGTGTATGCCTGCGGCGTGCGCATTCTCCGAACCGCACGCACAGGGCTCACGGGTCGGACGGGCGAAGGCGCCAGGGCTTCTTTGGTACGTCATCTGCGCCGCCCAGAAGGGCCGCTCTAGAGGGCCCGGTCGCCGAATTAGCAATGCGCCGACTGCAGGATGCTATGAGCGGCTGCTGCGGAAGAATGCCATAGGAATGCCGTACTCACGCCTCGCAAGCGAAAAGGATATTTTGCAGGCGTCTTGTGATCGAGGTGGGCGCGGGGGAACACAGCCGGGGACTCAAGCCGCCCGTCAAGAACACGCAGGTGAATACGACATACGAGCGCGCGTGCACGACTCCACAGGAGGCCAGACACGCTGCCGATGAGTCGGGACGAAGCCTCGGAGGAAGGGGCGCGGTCCGCAATTGAAAGCTCAGATAACACGGAAGTCCCTTCCCTCTCGGAGATTCAAGAATCTAACGCAGCACTTTTCAGGCGAAGGAGACCACGCACGGGCCAAGCTTCTTCGGTATTGCCAGTGCGTCGAGTTGTCCGGACGCGGGCGAGGAGCGGATAATAGAACGTTCATGACGCCGGTGGCAATCCTTGTGTGGCCGGAGGATGACTCGCAGCGCACCCGGGGGCGACGGCGTCCGCACTCGCCTCAGGGGCTCAAGATTGGGTTGGGCCTTGTATCTCCCCCGCGCCTAGGGTGGACCACTCCCGGACGCCGAAGAACGAGGAGGCGTGTTCCATAGTGGGTGCCTCCGCACGGCAGGTGCCTTCCTGCTCAAGAGGCGAACCATGAGGAAGCCTATGCCCGAACGGACTTCCATTGTGACATCCCGCGGAAGCACAGACGCAATACCGCTCCTCGGAGGTCCACGCTATGCCCTTCCAGGGCCAGGCCTAGTCAGCGAGTTCCACGCGGTCAAATAACAGTGCGCACCGTCCGAGTACAGGGCTGCATAGCAGTACACCGTGGCAACCCGTTCTAGCCAAGCCATGTGGCGGCGTACCTGTCTAGTAGCAGTGAGTCTATGCCGGCGTAGGACGTCGCCGCCACCTGGGATCATAAGACCACATTGTGGTTCTCCGCACCTTCGCGGAGAGCGAAGATCTAGCACCGGGCAGTAGAGCGGCGACAGTGCTTCGCAATGGAAAGCTCGGTACTTGCTCTGCGAAGCGACATACGGCATTGCCTGCCACCGCCCAAGTCTGTCGGCGGCCGCTCCGGCAGCGCCTGTACCAATGGGAGAGCCTTGGACGCTGTGGCGATAACGGCGGACTTTTGTTGCTATACACGTGGCATTGGATAGGAGACGCCCGCCTTATACTCGCATTCCTAGTCGAAATTCTTCACGCTGCTGGCGTAGAACGCATATGTGGAAAACCAATGGAAGGCGCTCGGATGAAAGGTTGGAGGCGTTAGTTAGAACAGTAGCTCCGGCGTATAGCTACCGTGGAGTGAGTTTCAAGGAGCAATAGCGCCTCGGACTCTACAGGCTCCGAAACGGGGCGACAGGGCTCATGGGACGCAGCGAAAGCGATGCAGCGGCGCCACCGTAGAGGCCGTTGTGGTCTAGTGAACGCGGGGTATCAGTACTAGTCCGTATACTATACTGAGAGATCTACGACCTTCACGCTCTGCATACCACGCGCTCTTGTTGCCACAAGGGCTAGCCCAGTACACGTCGGAATGAAACCTTAGGGAGAGGGCAATGTTAGAGCTCCAAAATAGGCGCCTCCGATAGCAGTGAATATCGTACCAGCAGTCACCGGCACCGCTCAGCAGGCACCTGCAATTGTAAGTCGTATCTCACATCAGCTGGGAAAACGTGCCTCAAGGTCCGAGGCATTGTGGTGCACCCCAGTAAAGCGGGGGAAGTACTTACCTGTCTGCCAAAATTGACTTGGAGCAAGAACAGGCACACATCATTAGACGCGTGTTACATCCAGACTCTCCTATAGGAGTGCGCGCCCTGCCCTGGGTCATGCGCATACAGCGTGCGTATATGTTTCGTTTTGAGCGAGGTTTGGTTATTGAAAGTCAATCAACATTTTGATACATACTCACCTGAGACGAGCCATGACGGCGTACATCACCACAAAGATTTACCTCGCCCTGCTACACCGGGTTCGGAAAGCAGATGGAGATTGCGTGCGTAACCCCGTTTACACGCCGATAGTCGTAGTGCAAGCTCAAGCTCACGTTGAAGCACGTTCAGTGGACGTGAGTGATCGACCTCAGCTGGGTGATCGGGTCCTCCGAGGACCGTCGAAGAGCAACGTTGCAGTCCGCGCGAGATCGAGTTTGATGGTGGCCCGGTCCTGACGCCTCCTGACGCGTGTGCCGATAGCTGATTGCAGATCATTGTGCAGGGAAGGGGTGAAACTTATGGCTGATTGATTCGTGGCTACTCAACGCTGTGTCGTTAGTACGAGGAACGCGAGGTGTGGGGGCCGCCGTATGTTGATGCGTCTCGCGCGCTGGGATTGCAGGCGTGGCTAGATTGCGCGGCCAAGGATCGGAAACACAATCCGTGTGTATTCCAGGGCGAGATTAGAGAGTTGCAACGTGCGAAGAGCAGTTCGTGGGCGAGCAGCAGGCCCAAGACGATCTACAGCCAGTCGGGAGAGAGAGGAGGACGCGTTGAAGACGTGAGACCCCGTCGATCTCGCTGATCCCGATGCTCGATCACGCCAACCTTAACCAGAGTGTATCGGCCACCCGGCCCGGCTACTGCTCTACGCCGGTGCCGTCATTGGCGGGTGGGCGAGACTTGTCCCCGCACTCCCAAGCACCATGGCGATGCCGAACTCGATATCCTTTCCTACCGCCCCTTCCACCCTCAGCTCCTCCCAGTCTAGCGTCGCCGACACCACCGCCCTCTCGCTCGCACACCACCGCACGGCCGCCGATGTCTGCGAACTCTTCTTCGGGGCGTCCCCGCCCGCCTGGCAGTCCGTCGAGCGGTTCTATGATGCGCATGCAACGTACGAGAACCCGTTCATAACGGCGACCTCGAGAGATACCATCTCGGACGTACACGCCCTCGGCCATGCGATCTCCCGGTTGGATGTCCCGAAGCCGTGGGCCGTGCTCTCCTCGCTCTTCAGAGTATCGGCCGACTCGCGCTGGGGATCCTCGTGGTTCCGCGGTCTGAGCATGTGGAACGAAGTGAACAACATTTCTGAGTGCGATACTTTCGGTGAGTGTCTGCGGTTATGTCATCTGTGCCCTCCCTGCGAGCCGTACATGCTTCACCGTAATATCCGTGGCTCAGCGAATTTTCTTTCTTACAGATGGCCACAAACGTACAATGGTCGAACATACCCTGCATATCCTCATCTTACCGGGCCTTCACTCGGCAGCATCCAGCCCATCCAGCCCACTCCCCGCCGCACACTCCGACTCGACGGTGTCATTATTATCCGACTCTGCCCACTCGCGGGCGCTGCACTTCCAACACTCTAGCCTCTCCTTCTGGCCGCCCTCGCCCTTTCACCTGAAGCTCCCAATAATCACGCGGCTCTCCTTCAACGATGCGGGCAAGATTACGCACCATCGCGACTTCTGGGACGTAAAGGTGCGACCTGCCATGCGCTCTAACTACGCGCAAATGTGCTGACTGACGCTAAATTTCGTCTAGGACCTGCTCGGCCTCCTTCCGGGCATGACCCTCTTCCAGTGGATTAGCGGTCGACTGGCTGCGCAGAGCATTCGCGGCATCGTCAGGGTCGGCCGCGCGCTCATGGGTACTCCACCACACGACGAAGAAGCCGGTCTTCCGCGCACCAGCGCCGCCGCAGGCGGGAAGAGGCAGGCCGCCGATCCGTATTGAGTCCAGACCCACGGTCTGCTTCGCGCTCGACGACGGGTCCCGCCTATCGGGTGCGGTGTATTTCCTTCGGAGGTCTCTGTAATTCACGTACTCGGCGTCTTGTATCATACCACATGGATGTACTACGTATACGCTGTCATGCCACAATTTGTATTTTAGACTTCCAGCAATGACGCTCTGCGTAATGTTCTACCAGAAATTGGCCAGATGAAAAAGTCACCACATGCCTTCAGAGTTTGCATTCGCGCCGCCCTCCCGCCGAAGCGCAGGGCGCCTATGCTTCTACTTCCAAGAATCCTGTGTTTCTACGCCTCGATCTGCGCAGACGCCCGAACAGCGAAGATCCTCCAGCAATGCATGGAACGCGCACCATCTGTCCACGCTCACTTCCCGTGCGGCGACCCCAGAGCGGCGACCGGGACCGAGGCGATGCCGTGATGTCCCAAACATGAATCCCAGTGTGTGCCTACTGCCGCAAAGCAGGTACACACTGAGTCTGACACCAGCACCGACCTCCGCCGCGGCGAGGCCGGACAGGGAGCTTGGAGCTTGGAGCGAGTGAATATCCTTGATGGGCAGCACCGCCTCCGCGACATCTGTGCATTTCGGCCCTTCCGAGGGGCACGCTGCACGCGTCACCGTCGCCGCGGCATGCGAATCGCCCGTGTGGGCCCTTTAATGAAACGACAGATGCGTGATGGGCAGGGCAGCTCGCCCGGGACAGTAGCCGCGCTTCCCTCGCGGGCCGCAAAGGCAAATGCACTTACAATGCAGAACGGCGGCGCATACGGAAGCGGGGTGGCGGCGCAAGCGGACGCAAAAGACCCACATGCGCCGGCTGGGGGCGGTGCAATACTGATAACTATAGGATCCGTGTGGCCCAACGCTGGGCTGTCGCACTCGGAACGAGCAAGGAGCTCGAGGCGGCGACCAGTGTACAGAGTTCAGTCAGGCCTGGGCTGGGGCGGCGCCTGTTGCGGGCGACAGGGAACGGCACGTACACGTCATGCGCGGAGCGCGACTGTGGCTTGCAGCGGCGGCGACGCGCTTCACAATGCGGAGACCGTCATCGACGCACATGTGTGTGCCCTTGACGTCGCGGCCAGGGGCGCGCGGAGTGGAGAAGACGAAGCTTCAAGTGACACGGACAGCCTGCTGCAGTGGCTAGCAGCGACTCGCGAGCGCGCGGGCGGTGCAGTGATGGCGACATGTTGAGTTTCGGGTTTCAGGGGATGACCGATGGGCGAGATGCCGCTGACGTGCGCGGGGATGGGCGAGTACGACTCGGAAGCGTCCAGTGGCAGCAGCAGCAGCACGCTGGGTATGGCTGCTGTGGCCCGGCCGAAGGGGATGCGCGTGCGGGTTTCAGGATCACGCCGCGGTCGTTGTGAGAACGGGCGAATGTGGCAGGACGCCGGAATTCACTGAGCCCTGGCGAGTGGCAGCTCGGACGACTGGGTCGCACAAGCTTCGCAGCTTCTGCAATGAGATCTTGCAATCTGAGCATGACCTCGGTCACCCTGATGGATAGCATCAGCAGCCGGCGGCATGGGTCCGACTAGCCAATGCGGCGGCCCACCTATCGATATCAGCCCTCTTGGAGCTTAGCCAGGAATTAGAAGGCAATCATGGTGAGGAGGTGGAACCTTGGTGGGTGAGAACGCGATGGCAGGGCGGGCCGCTGCATCGCATTTCAGGACGCCGCGCGCACTATGCGCTAATACCATTCTATGCGTCGAGGTGGCCTAGATATTGAGCATCATCTACGGGATGTGTGGAATATGGGCGGACCTGGGAAGCAGAGAGATCGTACCTTGCCAGGGTCTCCGTGCAAGCTAGGGCTTCCAGTACTTCCAGGTCAGCGGCGGTCCCTGCAAATCGGTACAGGCGTCGCGGTATATGGCCGCAAGGTGGGGCGGAATGAACACGGATTAACGTCAACGTAGGCTGTTGACACCTTCTTGCTGGGAGGAAAGGCCGCAGAACTCCTGCATGGACGGAGGATGAAAGGCTCGGACGCGTTGCTCGCAGTGGAGTGGGCCCGGAACGGCGCGGTGCGTGTGCCACGTGGGCGTGTGTACTCAGCGCTTAGCTGCCTCCCGCCTGCCACAGGTTCACCACCACCTGCAGCGTGTTGTGCACACAGCTCACCGTGGTACACATTATCTTGGTGAAGAATTCCCGCTAAAATTTACGACACAGTTGCGAAATGTCGTTTGAGAATGCCTCAGTGACCAAGGGTAATTTTCAGCGGCCTGTACTCTCTGTCGCTCTCGCGTCATACCTGACACGCACTTCACTTTACAGGTCTGATGCTTGGCATCGCGCTCACCTCAGTTGCGGCCGGTATATTCGACCTGAAACACTACCTGAATTTGCAGCTGGTGCCACATATCTCAAAGCATCATCAGGTACGCTACACCATGTTGCCTGCAGTGATAATACAATTCACACTGACCGTTGTTTTACAGTATTGGCGGCTGCTCGTCTACCATCTGGTGTGCGGTAGCTCAAGCGACCTTCTGCTGGTAGAGACCTACCTATACAACGTCAGTATATGTGTAGAGAGAGCCTTCGGAAGCGTGAAATATGCGGTATGCCCGTCCTCCAGCCTCCGTCTGTGTCGAACTTGACTAAACCTTACGGCACGCACAGTCCTTCCTCGTAATTTCCGCGGTTACGACGATGCTCCTTTCATTCGTCGCCCTTCTCGTCGCGCAACTGACCCCGGCGACGAGCACATGGTTCAACAACATCCCGCCTGGACCGATCGCCATCATGTCCGCCCTGCTGTACCAATACATGCGGCTCGTACCCCCGGCCTACCACTTCCGCATCTTCGGGCTGGGCATGAGCGACAAAGTTTGGGTATATGCGATCGCTGCTCAGGTAGGTACCTTTTGCCTTCCATGGCTCCACAGGCTTGAGCTCCATACTCCGATCTATGCACCACAACGAAGTATTGCATCCGTCCATTTACTGCGTAACTTGTCATGCTGCGAGTTCCGGCCTGGAAGCGTGTACCTGGTCCTGGTGTCCACAAGTCAGAGGATCCTAATCATTCTTCGTTCACTAGCTCGCAAGTACACAATTCCCTGCCAAACTGCTTCCCACGGCAGTAGGTCTCCTGGCCGGGTACCTCTACCGCTCCGACTTTCTGCAGCTGAAAGGATGGAGGCTGTCCACCAAGTGAGTTTAATAACAACTGCATGTGCCTGACCTGGCGGCTGAACGATTCCATAGGGTCGTGCGATTCGCAGAAGCTTGGATTGGGCCTCTCCTGGGCGAGGCCCAGCCCGTACGACGGACCAACAGAGTGCTGCCCGAACCACGCGCTCAGGCCGAAGCCCGCCGCCAGGCAGCTGCGATAGACCCGGAAGAGGTGGTGACCACTGCGCGGGTCCCACGTCCGCGTCGGACCCCAACCGCCCGCCCACCTATTCCCGCCGCACCGGCACCGAACGGGGCCTCCAGCGCGGGCGAAGACGCGCAGGAGACGGGACCGGCAGCAGGCGGCGGCGGGGTGGTCCGCCAATGGATGTCCGAGCTCGCGAGCGGTGCGAGACCAGGCGCAGGAACGGTCAGGGCACCGGGCGAGGCCGAGATCGCCATCCTCACGGGGATGTTTCCCGGCCTCCAGCGGGATGTCATCCTCGGTGTGTTGCAGAGGAGGTGAGTGCCCGCGCGTTCCTTACCCCCTTCCCCTCCTCCCCCTTCTTCCATTTCGCCCCTCGGGCCTCGCGGCGCTAGCGCTTCTGGCGCGGTCGTCCGTCGCTGCGCTGCATATGTCTCCGCGGCGTGATGATCGACCTGGAAGATTCGGGCGCGGCGCGGCAGCGGCCGCTGAGCCTGCATCTCGCCATCCGCACTGATGCGCTGCCCCGATGCTCGATGCTGACGTGCCTGCGCATTAGTCCCAACATAGAAGCGGCGGCGGAGACGCTTCTCGCCAGCGAGGCCTCGTCGTAGCCTACTTACTCACGACTTCCCTCGGCTATTATGTCCCGCACGGTGTACGATCGTGGAGCAATGCATGTGGGCGCGCGGCGGGCACTGCGCAAGGTGTCCCCGTGCGTGGGCGCGGTGCGTGATGCGTATACCCCTCGCGAGTCTATCAGTCAGCGTGCCCCTCGCCTCGACGCATCCTCCGACCTTGGGGGTGTCTGGGATTAGGAAGCCCGCTCGCACGAACGTGTGCTGCTCGTCGTCCTGGCGCCTCCCCTACTCGTGAACCGTGCAGTAGCGTAAATTGCGTTGCCAACTTGCTACCATCGCCGTGCCTGGCCACCTCTGTGGTACCGGGCCGACCGCACGCAACGCCCGGCTGGCACAAAGATCATATGGGTCGAACCACTCGCATCCGGGCCCGCTGGCGGGTGCGATACTGCCAGACATACCGCCCGGCAGCGGCACGTCCATGTCGTTTCGTCGCAACGATTTCCCAGCGCCCGCGCCCCATCAGCCGACGGTACGCATAGGATCCCGGAGCCCCTCCTGCTCAATGGGCGTTAGCCTCTCCCCGCCCTCCCGAGCTGAGACCCGCTGGCATCAGAACATCGAAGCCGCTGCGTCTGCGTCCCTGCGTGCGGGGGCCGGCCGCGGGAGGTGAATGCGCGCGCGCCTCGGCCTCTCCGACATTCACTCCATCAACACCTGCGCCCCCCGCAGATCTCGATGGGTGCCTACATTGAGGGACCGGCTTTAGCGAGTGTTGGCCACGGTAAACAGCGGGCCTTGAGGTTCGCGTATGAGCCTGAGCAGACTAACGCGCTCTCGGAGTCGTGAATACATGTGGGCGCATGGTTTTAGTACGGGTATTGTGGACTGTCTGGCCCATGGAGGTTGTTTGCCGATATCAACACGCTGAGTGCACGATTGGGGTAGACGTCAGGTGGGTGTTATGCTTACTGTGCGACATACCTGCGGGTCTCCTTCAAACACTCGTGAGAGTCACACCGTCTCACTGCGGTCGTGCCATTGGGCGACACGGGCGTATGATGGGCGTCGTGCGTTTCAAAGGCCGAAGCGCCAGAAGACCTCCAGTTGGAAGGGAATAAGCGCCTCATGTGTTCCAGCGTTTTCGGACGCAGCAGCCAGTGACGTTTCAAGAAATACACAGCAGATTCATACACATGACACGGATAGATCTCGTATGTAGAAATACAGCCGTGAGTTGAGCATACAGAAGCACCGGGAGAGACTACGCATCGCCATCCTCGTCGAACCCACCCTCATCGTCCTCGTCCTCGGCGGTGAACGCGTTCGCCGGAACGGCATAGAGACGAAGGACCGGCTGTGGGAAGATCAACCGTGTCAGTAAGTGAACTGTAATCTCCCCGAGACGCAGCACAATGGAGATAACGATGCAGCCATGATCCCGCGAGGACTCAGAGACCTTGGCACGCCGATCCGCCTAAGCCATTCCGGTCTCCAAACGAAACCATGCCCATTAATGGTTCTATGAGATACCATTGCTGATGCGGACGAGCAGCCATACAGTCGCGCAAGCGCGCTGGGGCGGATGCGGGAGGCCGCCGACCGCGACAATGATGAGATGACGTGAGCCCTGCTTCGGCGGGTGATCGCAGGCGCAGAGTTGTGGGCCAGGCCGTGCGCCAACTGAGCGGTTTGTGCCAGAAAGAAGGAGCGCGTACCTTGTTCGGGTCCTTGATGAGCACGTACTTGCCCTCGGGCTGCTTCATGCACATGTCGGCCACGGTCCGGACGATGCCCCAACCGTTCGCAAGCGAGACGTTCAGCTGAGCAGCGAAGTCCGCTGGGCGTGTGGAGGTGGTGCTCAAAATAACATGGCGAGTGTTGTCGCGCGGGTTGACACGAGAAATGAACCTAGAACAGGTACAATTGGTCGTTAGCGAACGCGTGCCGAGGTGAGAAAGACCACATTGCCCCAGGGACGTCCCGGGAGAATGGAGACGCTATGAAGAAACGTACCCTATTTTCAAGAGGTCGGCGCCAGCAATAACACTCTGCACGGTCCACTTGGCGAGCTTGCAGCTGTTGTTCTTCATCTCGGTGGCCATGACAGCACCGCGCTGGGAGTCAAGCTTGGCTCGCCAATCCGGTGCACCGCCAGCGCCCGCTGACCGAGAGTCAAACTCGTTCAAAGCGCGAACAGTGACGAGGCCTTGGCCTTCGATGGGGTTGCCCTGGCCGGGGAAGTACGCGTCGACTTCCGTACGGACACACAGCTTCATGTCCTCGTCCTCGGTGATGCCGAGGTCGAAGACACGGTAACGGTAACCGCATGACGCAAGGGGCTCAGTCTCGTCGGGGCCGTAGAAGGGGTTCGGCTTTGAGAACTCAGCTGCCGGAGGAGGCGGCGTCTCGATGACCGTCTGGAACATGAAATTCTGGTTGATGTAGGTAGCCTCGAGGGAGAGAGAAGTCGCAGTGTTGATAGCAGGGGTCTCCGGTACAACGACCTTCTCGTTGGGGTTGTTCGGGTTGGCAGCGGTAGGATCTTGAGGAGGGTCTGCGGCGTTCTCGTTGACGGTGACGGTGTCGAAGGGACCGCCGTCACGCTTGTCAAAGAACAGCTTGTTGCCCTCGCGAACGACAACGATGTCCCAAGGGTAGACCGACCGTGGCGCGCACATGAGCACACTAAGGATGACATCCGTCGTGTAGATGGTTGCAGTGTCCTTGGCAGCGAGCTATGTTGCACATTTAATAGGCAATCGATATACATGACCAGCACGACGTACCTCCTGAATGACCGGGTCATCCGAAGTCGTAGGGTTGTACTTGATACGGTCAAGCAACTGGAGAGGCTTCTCGGACTTGGTGGTGATACGATCGTAACTCTTTTCGTACGGGAACACTCGGCCGTAGGTATCACTACAAAATACTCTCAATTGCGCGGTCAAACGATGAAGAAGACAGGATGTAACATACAGGTTTTCCGGCTCATCCACCTCAAGGCGGAGCTTGGCAAGACGATGGAACTCAACCTCCTCAAGCATGGCCCAGTCTGGCGAGATGGCCACAGAGGACTCCCGCGTGCGACCGTTCTGGAAACATTTTTTAGATCCTGCCACAGCCTGAATGAAGCTGCTTTCCGACATACCTTCTCCCAATCTCTCCACCCTCTCCTTCCGCCGCGCTGACCTCCACCGCGACCACCGCCGAAGCCACCGCGACCGCCTCGCTGATTGCCCCGGTTGTTGTAGTTCTGGCCGCCTCTTCCACGGGCACCACCGCGAGTCATCGGGCCGCCCCTGCGAGCAGCACCAGTCTTGTTGTCGACCAGAGAGAAACTGGACTCATCCTCCGCGTGGAAATAGGCGAACGCGCTCGCGGTGCCGCTACCGAAAGCGGGCTGTCCATCGCGCCTTCCACGTCCTTGGCCTCCGGAGCGAGCATTTCCTTGCGCAGACAGACCAATGTTCGTCGGGCGGTTGTCGCCAGACAGATCGTTCCAGTCCGCGAAACGACCAAGTTTGTCAGATTTTGAGTACGGGGCATAGGGGATGTCCTTGAATTTGAACTGTGCGGGCAGGTTGGAGGTTGACGGGCCCCAACCTCCCTCCGGGTTGTCGTTGATCTGCGGGAGTGAAAAGGAGGACATTTTGCGGACTGAGTCTGTGAGCGTACAGACCAGATACACAAAATTTAGTAGGCGCCCAATCTAGCACTGACGCCGTCCAGATAGACGCCCATGTGGCGGCGCGTCTCATACACAACGCCCCTCACACCCCGACCACAACCATGAAGTGAGTCCCTCAGTCGAATGGCTCAACATGTATGCTGAATATATACGCACAGCGTGGTCAAAGAGATCAATAAGATCAACGAGCGCGAGCTTGACCTCGATACGAAAGGCTCATGGCATGACGACTACAAGGGTGTGTTATGCGCGTCTTACCGTGTTCGGAATGTTAAACCTGGTTATACAGATTCTGCGTACATCTTCGCCGGAGGACTCAATACGGAGCTGACGGAGGGCGACGTGATCACTATATTCTCACAGTACGTGTCTACTATCCCGTGTTCTTATTCTCCCAAACTGAGCGTACCAGGTATGGTGAGATCATGGACGTAAACATGCCCCGTGACAAAGAAACTGGCAAGCCGAAAGGTTTCGCCTTCGTAATGTATGAGGACCAGAGGTCGACTGTTCTGGCGGTAGACAATCTGAACGGCGCCAAGATCCTAGAAAGGACCATTCGTGTGGATCACGTCAAGAACTACAAGCAGCCGAGAGAGAAGGGCGAGGACGGCGAGCTGCACGAACGCGAGGAGCAGAGTTTGAATGCGAAGCCGACTTTGGTCCGAGGTAGGTTTAGCCTTCGTCCATTTTGTCCAGGCCCTGATCGTATGCCTTCCTTCAACAGATGAGGCGGAGGTCTCTGAATCTTCGGATGACTCCGGGCCCGAGATCGACCCCGAGGACCCCATGCGGGATTACCTGATAGCGAAGCGCAAGGAGGAGAAAGCTGCGAAGAAGGGTAAGAAGTCCAAATCGAAGCGCAAGCATAAGGACGAGACCCCGGAGGAACGGCAGGCGCGGAAAGAACGTAAAAGACTCCGGAAAGAGAAGACCAAGTCCGCAGGTATCAAGGCCGCGGAGGAGCTTCTCAACTCGCTCGCAGGGCTGGGTTCAGTCGCTCCGAAGCGGAGAACCGAGTCGCCCAGGAGGTCGCGCAGCAGGACCCCGGTCCGCAAACAAGAGGGCGAAGCCCGTCATGGTCGCCATTCTCCCCCAAGAAGACGGAGCCCGTCTCGCGACCGCTCACCAGTCCGACGGTACCGCAGCCGTACTCCTCCCAGACGCTCTCGTAGCCCTATGGCAGTCTACCATTCACCACGTTCAAAGCCGTACGACGACGATAAGCGAGACGTGCGCCGTGAAGGTTCCGACCGTCGGAGGTCACGCTTTGACGATGACGCTCCTCCGAGGACGCGAAGGGGGTACGACTAACGAAAGCCGTTGAGAGGCGCACAGTTTACCGACCAGCTGCCAATGTGTCGCAGGTGAGTTAGAGGCTTTACGCAAGTGTACATTCAATCTGACAGCTACGGCACAGCTTCCCCGTTATGCCATGCGTGTCTACAAGGCAACCCCACGACGTTCCTTGCATGTACTTTTACACCTTCTGCGGATTTCAATCGATGCTGATTTGTTTGTCGTCTTGCAAACTTAACCACACGGATGATAGGCACCATGTAGTGGAGCTCTTCCACAACTCCTCCATTCCCATATGTGGCATGCGTTGACGTGCTGTGGGAGGATGTGGGATGCGGCGCTCATGGCACCCATCTCGTACCTTCGCGAAGCATTGCGTCCAACCCCGCCGGTGCTACTGTGCGTTTTGTCTGACACATACGTGACCGCAGGTATACCCGTGCTCCGGACACTGGTCAGGGAAGGTCATTCAAGATCCAATTGGGAGAACGAATCGTTGGGCCAGGTACTCGCCAACTTCGGCGGCCTCACACACGGCGTCGACCCTTGGCGAACCTTGGGACCTGACCAAGAGCCTGGGAATCCGCCACGGTCAACCGAGCGGAGTGGATTCAAATGGCAGAGGCGGTGCCAACTTCACTTCTCGACGCAACGCTGCTCGGAAGGCGCGGGGTTTGCCTATCTATTCAGTGGTGCGATCCCAATCCTGGCTCGCACCATCGCAGCGGTAAAGCATGCGCCTCCACCGGGAGCAGTTTGCGACACAGCAGGCCAACCTGGGAGGCCTGCTACACGAGTTACGCCGGAGGCGATGCAGTGGGTGGCCATCCACACACTCCCCCATCAAGGTGGCTGACAGAACCTAGTTGCGTGCCGCCGTTCTCCCGCTGCACGCTCCCATGGCCCGTGAGCACATTCGACTGATCATGATGTGTGCCAAACGGTGTTGCGACCCCTTCCGCCGTCCCGGCCGCCCGTGAGCACCACCCAACCTAACGCGGACGGCGAGATCCTGCAGGGCGGTCCTACTGAGATATCACCGTCGCAGCTCGCAGCCTCGGGCGTCGGACGGAGAGCGGCCCATCGTCTGGTCATCGCCCTGTGCGTCCCCACCCCCTTCTCGAACCACTGTTTGATGCCTGCAGGCGGGCCCAGCGGGGCCTGGGAGCAGAAGGCGTAGTGCGGCGGCGAACCATGGCTTCGCGCTTCAGCCAATCACGATGGAAGGCCCAGCGCAACGATGCGCACGGGCTCTGTGCGAGTTCGACGGATGCGCGCAGCTCACTCAAGTCCTTTCAGTATCATTGAAAGGCCGCCCAATCTTACGCGATCCCGCGGGCAGGCGTTCGGAGACATACAGAGATCCACCCACGCTTGCAATAACACGGTGTTCAATAAAGCTGTACAGCATTTGCCGTATATGGGGACCACCACGAAACCCCTGTAACGCGGGAGGATGGTCTGGCGCCTTGCAGCTCTACCAATTGCCATGAACCCAGACGGATGGTTCAAGACATACTAGCGTCGAAGGCGACCAACGGCCGAGCGAAAGCGGAGCGCCAGGGAGCAGGGGCGTCCAAGACCCTGTAGTTCCAGGCGCAGTCTTTCATTAGCAAGGCGCGTATAATGTATCACAGTGCAACTGTAATTCTGGGAGCAGCAAACGCCAGTCGCATCTCCGGCACGAGCGTGCGATGTGTACCAGCCGGAAACAGCGTGCGCACGTCGCTAGTGCGTAAGTGCGGCATGAACTCATCGCGGTGGAAGACATACTTGCACTGGTTCGTGTCTTGTAAAGTTTGCTGCTTCTTCGATTGATATGAGCACTGGAGCACTGAAGAAACTCACCTTGGAGCGCCACCCATTGCGAAGATGGATGGCCAGGTGGATTCTGGCGTGAAGAAGTAATGTTGGCCACAGGTGTTCACAGCGAGCTCCGCGGAGCGTAGCCACGAATTAACCGCTATATACAACAAAGGCGGTAATGTATCAGATAGCCTGTGTAATACACGTACACCTCTATAGCAATGTTGACATGGTACCTAAGGGCAAACACTGTGAGCTGCTACACTATCGGTCTGTAACCAAATATGTTAGCTGTCTAGGGGGAAAAGTTCGGTCGTGAGGACGGAGTAGGATAATCTATGACAAGAACAGCGGCATCAGCGTAAGCTAATAAGTGTCTCGTGTGGTGTGTGCTCGTTCTGAAAGTAGAAAGGGCGGTATCAGTAGCGGCGTCCGGCCGCTCTGGCGCGTTTGACCGCGGCGTTGCGCACGAAGTATGTGGCGGCGGCGATCGCGGCGACACCGAGAATGACACCGATTGCGATGCCAGCCTTGGCGCCACCTGAGAGGCCTCCACTGGAGCCAGAGTCGGACGATGTCGGCGACGACCCCGAGGTCGGGGAAGACTGGGACCCAGACCCCGATGACGACGGGTTGCCACCAAACGGCCAGTAGTCGCCGCCGTCGGGCGGCATGATACAGGTCAAGCTGTCGCCGTCTGGGATCTGCTGGAAGCCGTCCTGGATGCTCGACGACGTGACCGTGGTCTCGTCCTGGACGAAAGGTGCGGGGGTGGGCGTGATGTCTGTGGTGCTGCAGTTCGGACCGTTCGAGCCGATGAAGGACGTGTTCCCGACGAGAATATTCCCCTGTACGGTGAAGTTCGTAGCGGACGAGATGGCCATGCCATAGCCGAACGCGCCCGTGAGTTGGTTATTCAGGACGGTCCCAGACAGGCTGACGTTGTTGAAATAGCGGTCGCCGAACCAGGTCCGTGGGCCAATGGCAATACCGATCCTAACCGGAGTTAGACTCAGGACGTGATATGGAGGAAAAAGACATACTTGATAATTGCGTCTTCAGCATTGACGCCTTTGGTCTCGGTGCCCTCGGCGGTCTCAGTCGCAAAACCGCCTCTGATGGTGTTGTCGCGCACGACTGTATTAGTGTAGTTTCCGTTCCAGGGGTCGTAATCCACCATGTTGATACCGCCGAGAAGTGTCATCTACGAAGAGTTGTCAAGCTTCTATCCACACGCAAATTTGAGTGGGCAGTGACATACCGTTTCGACCCATATAGTGTTATTTTCTACCAACGTTCCAGGTGCCCCAAACAGAACGATTCCTCCATCCTGGAGACAACGTGAGCGCTATCCCAGAGTAGCTCGGTGTACATTGAATGCTTACCGTCGGGTTGTTTACCATGTTATTCCGGACCAAGCTATTCTGGCAACTGACGCTAATGCCGTCCGCCCACTGCTGGAACGCATCAGACCCGCACGGGCCGATATCGTTGTTCTGCACCGTGACATTGGTGCATGTGAACGCGCCCTCCGCAATGTGCAGACACGACCAGCTGCGCGGGTCGAACGAGTGCACGTATTCGATCAACTGGTTCGCGTTCGAGCCGCCCATTTCGATATTCGCCCCGCCGTTCGTCGGCGCCGCCCCGGCGCGCGTGCCGTTGATCTGTAAGTTTGCGCGGAGGTAACCTAGAAGTTAGAACGGGGCGCGCGGGGAAGATTTCGCCTCTGCGGACCTGGATGTTACGCAGCTTCACCCCGCTGCAGTTCTGACAGGTGCCATCCACTGCGGTGGTGTGGCCCTGGCCGTTAGCCACGGGCCCGGAGACGACAAGGGTGGCACGGGTGTCGTCAGTAGGATAGCCTACGGTGCTGATTTCCTGATCTTGGGCGTTGAATAGGATGGGGGCTTGGATGTGATACTGGACGCCCGGACACAACGGAAGGACATATCCAGCGCCGGAGGAATTGAGTAGGGTGTTTAGGCGGTCCGTAAGCGTGTTCAGAGGGTCGGCAGGTTCGCAGTCTGCCCGCGCATGAAGCGCAGGGTGATGTCTATTTCTCGTTGAGTCCCTTGATTATCTAGTCCGGGTTGCGAAGGCATGCTTACTCGGCGAAAAGGGTATCATCCGGTACTGGGAGACCTGAAACGGACCGCCTATGTTGGTATGCCATCCTGCGGTTCTCCAACGCGCCCTCCGCGACCGAAACGAGGAGCATTGCCGCCAGGAAAAGCGAGCGAGACGCCATTTCGGAGATGTACCTCCGGGAAGTCGTCCAGAAGTCGTACCAGGGTAGTAGGAGCAGTGCCGAGCTCAGAGAAGAGCGTTCCTACGGTTCCGGGCAGAGAACGGACGAGAGAAAGGAGGGTGTGGAAAAGGAGCGACTGAAAGGGGGAGATAGCGAGGCAAACGCGAGGCCGTCCGGCTGGGGCGTCGGCGTCGAGCTCGGCGGTGTCCAAGAGGGTTGGCTCAGGCGCCCGTACACAACCCGATCGTGGCGTCAAATTCGGTAATTATATTCTTACGTTGCCTCCTCGACACTCCTGCTCATGCTGTGCACTGTCGGCAAAGAGGTTCCTGCAGGGAAGGCTCGATATACGCTGCATACTCGATACAATACATCATTGCTACTCGACAAACTGAAAATACAAGTGTAGTGGGCGGGCTCGGCGAAAGATGTCACAGGAACACAAGGAGAGGCAGGCACGGCGTATACCCAGGAACAATCCAGAGAAGCATCCGCCAGCAGCCTGGAACATCGCAAAGCCGTATAAGTTACCTGACAAGGCCAACGGCGGCAGAAAACAATACGATCCGAACGCTGACGTTCACTGTATCGTAAGCAAACAAGGGCCAGAGGTCTTCTCTATGTCTTGAGGTAGCGCAGTGGGAGAGGAGTCGTCCGGGCGGTAGGCAAGACGTTGAGGTGCTCGGACAACACACCGTGGTGCTATGGTACAGTCGCCGTTGCGACAGCGACATTCTCGCCTCTCGGCAGTTGAGGCGACTTGATTTGTGAAGGCTCTTTGATGGGCGACTTGTAGGCAGCAGCAGAAGACGGTGGGCGTTCTACAACCGTGGCGGTGTTGATGTGCGGCAAGGAGTTGATACCGTTTTCCGCATTTTTCAACGCTTCGTGCGGAGGTACAACCGCCGATGTTTCTGACATGGAATGTCTGTATAGCATGAGCATACAGCCGTGACGGAAAGGTGCAGTAGTATTTTGGACCAACCGGGCTTTCTTGTTGGGGACGTCGGGTGACGTGTTATTGAACCGATCGGTAGTCTTATGCAAATGCAAGATAGAGGTCAACGGTATCTTCTTGAAGGCATCGAATTTACACACCTTTGTATTTGGGCGCTTCTGTGCCAACCTAGGTTGTCGCTCGCCCTCGTCGAAGACGTAGTCCGGTAAGATAGCGCTGGCGAGAACGATGAGCGTAGCAAGAGGGAAACGCAGGATGGTGTACCTTCGGATATGTCGCACAACGATGCCCATTTTGTTCTCGTCAAACTTCTCCCACATCTTGACGAGCTTGGTGAATTCCGTGGTCGGATACGAGATATCTAACCGTCGAGGACCAACAGAGCCAGCTTCACATAGACAAGGGTGAGTTACTACGCAGACAGGAATCGGTGAGGACGTACGTTGTCGAGGCTCGACCACTAGGCCGATGTAGAAAGTCGTCGAGTAGACCGCACTCCCACCCTCCACACCCTCGATATCCTCTTTCTTGCGCTTGGCGATCGCCTCGGAGATCTCTCCTTGAGCAACAGCTCGTACTTCCTCGTCGGTGAGGCAGTATGACACTTGCTCGAACCCCTTGATGAATGGATGGGCGAGCGCTAAGCTCTCGACGTATTCTAGCTTCATGACGAGCTGTCGTATCCGGGACTCAACAGTGCCGGACCTGTCCAATTGTCAGAAAGCGCTTCGATGTCGTGCGAGCCAGGCATAACGTACCATTTGATCTGTACGTCCGGGCCACCTGTCGAAGCGATCACTTGCAGGTAATACCGGTATTTGTGGAAGAAGTCGTGCTTGGCGAATAAGTCAGACCAACTCGCCTTCCCCACTATGATGTTGTCCACAATGTCGGACGCTAATGCAATCATCAGCACCTAGTCAAGAAAGGAAAAAAATTATCCATGAATGCTTACCTTTCTTGAACTCCTCCGTCATGATCATTTGAGTGGACTGAGTTACGTTGTGCGTGGCGCACATTGAAGGATAGGCTGGCGTGATGATGGGCATACGGTGTGCTCTATCGGCGGGATACAACTGTGTCCGGATTAGTGCTGGGTTCCCGGAGGAAAGGATCTCCGAGCGCTATACCTTGGGGTTCCATACCCGCACGGGGAGCGGTCCGTCTTCGATAGGTTTCAACATTACAGGTTGTGGCCACGTCCTGAAACGTACGAATCGTTAGCTCGACTGAAGGAAAAGGAAAGAGGGCGCACCCACCATTGATACATGATAATGAAGAACCTGCTGACAATCGCGCCTGCTATGGCATTAGGATACAACTGGCATATTCGAGCGACAAGCATCGCCCATGCTACGCCGCCCAGGAACCCGTTCACGTTCGAGTAGATAGCTCGTCCTAGAAGAACCGTGAGTGACGCGCTTTACCGCCGCTAAACTGTGACTTACGTTGCGCCCAGAGCTTGATACATCGGAGAGCGTTGCGGAATACCGTCACATTAGGGACTAACCGCAGAATTTCATCCGTTACTCTTGAACCTATAGTCATGCTGAGCCAGTGTGTCAAATTCAGACGGACGGCTTCATACCGTTTAGACTGCGTACGCATCGCTCGTCCAAGTTACGGAGCAGATTGTCGTCTTGCAATGACAGGTCGTCCGAGATGGTTGATAGCGCGAGGCGCGCCATGACCAAGTCGATCGGAATACCGGAGATCTTCGTCTTGATGATCGGGACATACGCGTCCGGGACACCCTACATTGCACCTGTCACTCCCCGCCGCCCGCGAGCTTCCACAAGACACTAGCCAACGCACCGACACCTCTATCACGCCTTCTGTCTCCTTGAGCATGTCCTCGAATACGTCGAAGAAGTCCTCTCGTGAAACGTGCTTGGGCACGACACATAGCGTGTCGATATCCGAGCCAGGGCCGTGGACGCCTAGTCGATATGAGCCGAACGTGAAGATTTTCCCCCCAGCGGCGGTGGCAGCGGCTTCGGAGAGGCCTCTTGATAGCGATACCTGGTGTACAAATTTCTTGACGAGGGCTGCTAGGCGTCCTAAGACGATCTCCCTACGACCGAACGGGTGAAATCAGCATATATCCAACGTCTATGCCACGCGCCACGAGCGCACACAATTCATGAAGGGCGCAAAGCACGCCAGGAAAGATTGAAACACAATACACGTCTTCTTGCATCGGTGATATGACGCATACGCGCGGGGAAGTGATCAACACGGGAACAGGTACGGGACCTGCGCACCCACCGCACCCAACGAAAGCAACTGCGGCTACTCACCTCGTCTTGGCTTCAGCCTCGCTCTCAAAAGTCCCTTGCCGTCGGAGCTCCTCGAGGAGGGTCACCGTAACCTCCTTCTCGCGCGGCGTGGATTCTGCGACAGCGATGGGGGGCGTAACGCCCAAGTATTTAGGTGTTCTGCGCCGAGCGAACGTCGGCGAGGGGTAACGCATATTTGGCGAAGACAGCTCACCCGTTTGTATGGGCCATTATATCTGAAGCGACAGATAAAACGGCGGGGGCGAAGTGCGGGAGATGGGCGAGAGTATGGTGTTCGACTGACAAACTCGCGGAACCTCGGGAGCACGCCCAAGCTCGGAGGACCCTCGGCATCTCCCGAGTCGACATTACGCCGCCCGTGCCGACGTCACTCCTGCAGCAGCTCTTTTGTCAACCACACAATTGTTGCACGCAATCGGTCGGTGCGAGCAGCGGTCGAGACAAGGATGACATGTTCGAAAATCTGATCATTGATGCGCTAAAATACAGGGGTCGTGTGTAAAGACAATACTAGACTGGAACTAATGTAACTTGAGAACCCAAATGATCGCCCTGACCCAGCAGATACCTCGGAAGTGGAAGAAGCGTACGTATGGCTAGGTGAGTGTGTGCGAGTGAATAAGGTAGACGGACTGCAGGAGATGAGCTGGTGGCACATGAAGCAGAAGATGTCCGGCGTAATAACCAACGGTACCTGAGATACGGGAGACATGAGCTCGTCACGCGCTTGCGGCGACGGTCAAGGGATCTGGCGTTTGCGAGGTCGCAGACGTGTGGGGCAAATCGTCTAACATGTTGGAACCTGCGTCTGCGGAATTGGTCTGTAGCACCTGAGATGAAGACGCTGGGAGGCGTGTAGACGACGCCGAAGAGGTTGGACGAGATTGCATATCGACTCCGAGGTCCGTTCTACGGTGACACATAAGTCAGCCAAAAAGACACATGACCCGTCAATTGAGTGCTTACCTCGACCTCTTCGTAGCCGGGGCCGGCGAGTCCTTCAGTGGAAGGTCAGCGAGCCGTGTGGTCCTACGGTCATCTTCGGTACTTGCCTTGATACTCCGGCTGCGTTTGGTTGGACGGGACGCCGCCTCCCGCTCACCAGGCTCGAACACGAAGTCGGGGAGCACCGTGCTGAAGCAACATCAGTTAACAACTCTTACCATAAACGTGCGATATACGAACTGCTTGATGTGCCGAACCGCTATGTGCATTGCAGATTCGTCGTACTTCTCCCACATCTTAGTCATCTTGACGAACTCCGTTGTCGGATACGAGATGTCGAGTCTGCGAGGGCCCGTCGAACCCGCTTGGGATACACATAGGTCAGCATATTTCAAACGATGGATAATCTGGCGTGAACACTGATAACTACCTTCCTTGGGCTTGATGGACAGGCCAATGAAGAATGATGTGGTGTGCACGGTGATTACACCCTCCTTGTCGGCCACGTCTTCCTTCTTGCGCTGCGCAACGGCTGGAGGAATTTCACCACGGGTTACGACCTGCGCTTCCTCCTCGGAGAGGCAGTAGTAGACGACATCGAATCCCTTGATGAAAGGGTGCGCCAACTTCAGGGCGTCGACGTACTCAAGCCTCATTACCAACTGCCGAATCTTAGACGCCACTGTGCCGGACCTAGGACGCAAGGATTGAGCACTGAACGCAGTCTGAAGTTTGTGTGTCTTCGACATACCATTTGTTCTGCATTTCAAGATCACGCGACGCCGCAACGACTTGAAGATAGAACCGATATCTCTGGAAGAAGTCATGCTTCACAAAGAGCGCGGACCATTCTGCTTTCCCGAGCATGACATCATCCACGATGGCGCAACCTACACCAGGACATCAGGCGAAGTAATTAGAGAACTGCGATCGCGTTACCTCTCTGGAATTCCTCCTTCATGATTTGCTGCGTAGATTGCATTACATTGTGGGTGGCACACATAGATGGGTAAGCCGGCGTGATGATAGGCATCCGGTGAGATCTGTCCTGGGAATACACCTAAAAGAGGACTTAGCGGCCAGAGCGTTCGATGGAGGGATAGTGCTTGCCTTGGGATTCCATACGCGCACTTGCAGTGGGCCGTCTTCGATAGGTTTGAGGAGTACAGGCTGCGGCCACGACCTGTGACAGATGTTAGCCATATGTTGTTCAATTCGATCGCACAGCCCAACTGACCACTTATGCATGATGACGAAGAACCGGCTGACGATAGCACCAGCAACGGCATTAGGATACAGCTGGCAGACACGGGCAACGAGCATTGCCCAGGCGACGCCACCGAGAAAGCCGTTGACATTGGAGTACACGGCTCGTTCTAAACAAGGCATGAGATGCGATCTCGGTTACTGTGATTGTACTTACTCTGCGCCCACAGCTTGATGCATCGCAACGCCGTCCGGAAGACGTCGACGTTGGGAACAAGCCGCAGAATCTCGTTGATCACGCGAGAACCTAAATGCAGCATGAATGACCTGTAAGCTGACAACTCGCTGTTCACAAACCGTTGAGACTGCGGATCGACTTCTCGTCGAGGTTTCTCAAAAGGTTGTCGTCTTGAAGGTCCAGGTCCTCAGGAATTATAGGCAGATCAAGCTGAGCGAATAGCAGATCGATAGGGATACCAGAAATCTCTGTCGAAATAATGGGTACATATGCCTCGGGGACGCCCTGCGGTAGATAAGCAGTCAGAATACGAGGCATCCTGATACGTACGGGTACGTACCGAGACTTCCGTTACGCCCTCCATCTCGCGCAACATTCCCTCTAATACATTGAAGAAGTCGTCCCGAGTGACATGTCGCGGAGCGACACAAAGAGTATCTATGTCAGCGCCCGGGCCGTGTACGCCGAGCCTGTATGAACCGAAGGTGTAGATTTTGCCTCCTGCGGCGTTTGCTGCTGCCTCTGAAAGACCGCGGGATAAGGATACTTGTCGTACAAACTTCTTGATCAAAGCAGCTAGACGACCGAGTACGATCTCCCTAAGAACAAGGGTACACCGTGTGAGCTCCCGTCGCCACTCACGCCGTGGCCGCTCCGTCCCACACGCAGCCAGCAGAGATCGTGCATGCTTACCTCGTCTTCGCTTCCTCCTCACTCTCAAAGATTCCTTGGCGTTGGAGCTCACCCATGAGGGTAGTCGTCACTTCCTTCTCCCGGATGCTCGATTCATTGGTAGAGATGGGCGGTGTCACGCCGAGATATCTGCCAGGAAGTAAGCCACAATCCCAGGGGCTGTCTACTGCTATCGTACCCAGTTCCTGACGCCATTGAACGAGTATGTGCAGTGTGCGATAGTGAGAGTAGTGGATGGACTCGGACGAGAGGTCGTCGTGGAGAACAAGGAAGAGTGCGAGGTCGGGCTCCGGCGCCGTCCATGTCTAACCTCGGCCACTGCCGAGATGGTTCTATGGGCGCCAATGTTGGAATTAGACACGGGCGCTAACTTTGCCGCACTTGGTCGCGCCTCGGGCTCGGGGAGTGAGGTTGTCCCTTACCACCATCCACATATGCTCGCCTATGGCAGGGCACGTCTTATAACGCGTGTGACTGTGCCGAATCGACATGTGCACATAGGCAGAAACCACAAGGAGGACGCACGGTGGCCAGGCTGGGAGCTCGTGGTAGGAATCGAGGTGCACGCGCAGATCAAGTCGAGTCGGAAACTCTTCTCTGGTAAGCACGCGGATACCACCTGCACATGCACCATGCACAATATACTCAGGTGTGCCAACAGAGACTTTGGTGTCTAAATGGACTGGGCAAAATGCACACGTTTCCGCCTTTGACGCGGCGTTCCCTGGAACTCTACCTGTAACGCGTCTACATGAGGTCACCGTGCCTGCCCCCTGACCGAGGTCGTATCTATTGTAGCGACTGAACCCTAAATGCGTCGAACTAGGCGTCCGGACTGCCATTGCACTGAATGCAGACGTCCAACAGAGGTCCGCTTTCGACAGGAAGCACTATTTCTATGCGGACCTACCTTCAGGGTACCAGATCACGCAGCAATACGGTATGTGCACTTGACACGTACACGAGCCATAGTCTGACACGGTTGCAGCACCCATTGCCCGCAACGGCCATCTGCGGTTGGAGAAGGATGACATCGCCGTGCGCATTAAGCAGGTCCAGCTGGAGCAGGTGAGTGTTTCGGTAATAGCGCATCCCTGTCCTCGGCACCTTTTACATCTCTCAGGACACAGGGAAGTCCACCTTCGTGCCGCGAAACAAACTCACGGCGATAGACCTCAACCGCGCCGGAATGCCGCTCATGGAGATCGTCTCGGAGCCTGACATGCGGTACGTTCCATTCATGCCTTCGTCGTCATCCCGGTGTATTGAGGCAAGGCGTTTCATGCGGCAGCTCGCCGGAGGAAGCAGCGAATTACGTGCGCACACTCCAGGCACTCCTGCGGTCTGTAGGTTCCAGCGACGGTAACATGGAACAGGTACTAGGAATCGGCTTCATTCCAGTGGATAAGCTCACACACCCTATGATGTAGGGTTCGCTTCGCTGCGACGTCAATGTGTCTGTAAACCGCATAGGTCGGCCTCCTGGCACCCGTTGTGAGATCAAGAACCTCAACAGCGTCAAGAACATGACGGTGGCTATCAGTGAGTCAACCCTGACTTCCTGGATGTGGACGTCAGCGTCTGACGGCAGCAATTGCGCATAGCCTGCGAGGCCTTCCGACAAATTGCGCTGCTCGACCGCGGCGCTCCTGTTTTACAGGAGACACGCGGGTTTGACGAGGAGAAGGCGGAGACGTATGCTCTGCGAAGCAAAGAAGACGCTCCAGATTACAGATACATGCCTGACCCGAACATCCCGCCGCTGCTCCTCCACAAGGTTTGTCTTTCACGTTGTTACAGTGGTTCATCGGCTACGTGCTCACACTTGAGCGCGCAGAATTACATCGATGACATCCGTGGCAAGATGCCCGAGCTTCCGGACGCCACCCGTGACCGTTTGTTGAGTCAAGGCCTTTCCGAGCGAGACGTCGAGGTCCTGATGGACGTCGACTCCGGCCGAGAAGTCGGATTCGACGGTGAGCTTGGTCGGGGTGCTGTAGCCTACTTCGACGAAGTATCGCGAAGTCGAGACCCCAAGGCGGTCGTGAATTGGTTAGATTCCTCGTTCACACCCGGACAGAACTGGCAACCTATTAACACTTCGACTTTGAACAGGATCACACACGAGCTTCTCGGTCAGCTGGCATTCCGCCATGAGACCTTCAAGCAGAACCCCATCTCCGCCGAGCAAATGGGCGACCTCGTCGACCTTGTGCAAAGTCAAAAAGTGACAGGTATGGACAAAACAATGAGATAGGTCGACGGAAACGCTGACTATATGCGGCGCTATACAGGCACGTCTGGGAAGACTATCCTGCGACATATGCTCTCAACCCACACCCCGGATCTGCCGTCCAAGATCGCGAGGGATTTGCAACTCGTTGCTGTCAGCGATGACGGCGCGTCCCTCGAGGGGTGGTGTCGCGACGCGATCGCCGCACTCCCCGCGGAGGCAGACGCCGTGCGGCGGGGGAATCCAAACGTCGTGAACAAGATCATGGGCCATGTCATGAAGGCCAGCCGTGGCACTGCGAAGGCCCAGGACGCGCGCACAATGCTGCTGAAGCTCCTGTAGCAGTCCTGATGACGCGTTGGCCCCACGTCGGGCTGTCGCGCGCTGACTGATCGTCGCTGGCGGACTTAATTGCTGGTCCAGCTTCGCTGCTGGGGGTGGATGGGACTTCTGGCTTCTGATTCGGCATATGGTACAGCTAATCTGATACACCGCTCTGGCTTTATTGCGCCCCCAGCTCACGCCGTGACCTTCTTCTCGAGGAACTCGGTCCACTCGCGCTCGCCCCACGAGCTCGAGATCTCGTTTGCGATGAGGCCGTCCCACAGGACAGTCGGCGAGACGTGGATGCCATTCTGTCTCGAGAACTTGACTGCAAACGGACTAGCGTCAAGAACCGCCGCCACCCACGCGTGCAGACATCGGCGGACTTACTGGTGTACTTCAGGTCCTCGGTGACGTCGACGCCGCCGTTCGGGGTCGTCTTGAGCGTGACGAGGTCCTTGAACGGCGCCGCCTTGTCCTCGCTGACGGACTCCGCCACGAGCGTGGTGAGCTTCTCACGGATTTCGGTCGGGGTGAGGGTGGAGGTGGGTATGTCGAAGTAGTCGCGCTGGCTCGCAAACAGCGCAAGCGAGAACTTCCAGAACTCCTCTGGGGCGACGCGCGCAACCTGCACGGCGGTCATTGTCAGCCGCTATGTATTGTGTTGGCGTGCGGCACTACACAGGACTTACGGCGAGGCCGGCTTCGTGCACGAAAGTGGAGCTCGCGTGCCAGGGCTGCACCTGGTTGCGGAAGATCACCTTGACCTTCCCGTCGTACTTTCCGCCGGGCGCGAAGAGCGGCTTGAGGACGGAATCGATCGCGAGCGCGATCTTGGCGGAGAACGGGCACACGTAGTCCACTGTGGCCCATCAGCGTGTCAGAGTACAGAGTGTCTTATTCATACGGCGTGAGTGCGGCCGGAAGAAGGCACGTACGGAAGACGTCGAGCGTGTGCGGGGCATCGTACTTGCCCGCGATGACCAGGGCACGCTGGAAGGACGGTTGAAGAGCCATTTGTTGCTTACTGCTGGGGTACTAGCAGCTGGGGACTGTTGCTGTTGGGTGGTGGAGAGGATAAGAGGAGTAGGAGCTGTTGCGAGCTTAGATATAGATCGCCGGGCATGGGCGGCGCTCCCGAACACGCCATAGGTTGCACCAGCGGGTTGGTGATACTCGCACGAGATTGTGCAAGCTCTCGTAAGCGACTAGGTCTGCGTGAGGTTCCATATCGAATTTGACAGTGGATGTATGTTGCGAGCACGATTATTCGTTGCAGCAAGCGTATGAGGGATGGGTAGCATGTTGAGCGTGATTGCAGCGCTCACTGCACCCAGCGTGCCAGCGCTAAACGTCCTCTAACCGTCCACCGGCGTAAGCGCTTCATCCGCACTCTGCTACGGTCTACCATCCCTGACACTCCGAACCTTGGGCTTGCAGCTTTACCTGGTAGTTTCTGTGCGAAAACAACGCTTGCATGCAAAAGAATAAGAGACGCAAACCCTCCACCAACTCTGAAATGTCTTCCTCCAAGTTCTCCAAGTTCTTGACCGATCTTGCAGTATGCCTTCAGGGGGAGAAAGGCCCTGAAATAGCGTACCTGCTAAAGCCAACCGGCGAGCATGGCAAGGGGCTTTTGAAAGACTTCCGCAATCCCACCGTGCGTCCCGACCCGCTATGGTTCCATCTTGTGCCTTACCCATGCGCTGTACTCGTAGCGGCAAAGCTTGTCCTACTACGAAGGAAGCCTCGAGAGCCCCTGGGACGAGATCGCCATCCAATACGTGCTGGTCGTGAACCACTGCGCGCGAAAGCGCGCCGTTGACGCGTTCAAGGAGGAGTGCACCCTAGTTTCGTGAGTGAGTTGGGCCCGCGCCGAAGACAGAAATCCCCCTGATCCCTCGCCCGCGTCGTAGTCTCTTCCTGCGGTTCTTTTCCACCAACAGCGGCTGGACGCTGCCCGCGCTCTTCTCCATCATGCGTGACCTGCGCGACTTGGCCTCCGATGTACGTACGCTCTAGTTTTCGGCGTGAGTGTGAATGGGTAGCTCAGTCCCTGCAGGCCGACCTAGAAGCGGCTTCTCGTGGACAAGACAATACTGCGAACATGGAGGAGGCTGCCCGGGTAATCAGCAAGGCGTTTTCGAGTTGCGTAACTGACAGGTACATTTGTCACTGCCCACCCTCGATGTCCGTGCTCATCGCCGCTCTCCAGGCAGTCGCCTCTGGCGGAGTCGCGAAAATGGGGCGTGTACTACGTTGTTGGCTTGATATTGAAGTGCTACTTTCGGGTATGTGGTTTCCATCTTTTGTCTGTATGTGCGAATAGTGCTTAGCAGTGGCACAGGTCAGGCGAATATCACTGGCGAAGAACATCTTGCGCGCCATTGACGCCAATCCAGATATCCCGCCGCTTTCGGCATACCCTCGATCACACCAGGTATATGATCTTCGCATAGGCTGTTCGGGTCCACCTCATGTCTGCTTGTTAGGTGACCTACAGGTACTATATCGGGATGCTTGGCTTTTTGAGTGAAGACTTCGCAAAGGTACGCCTCGAGGAACTCTACAGGCTGTGACTCTACTAATGTCCGGATCCAGGCGGAGCAAGAGTTGACGCTTGCATTCTATAACTGCTATACGGGCGCGCATAGCAATCAAGAGTCAGTACCACATTGCTGCGCCAAAACATGACGCTGATCGGGCTCCAGGCGTGTCTTGACCTACCTCATCCCGTTACGCATGTTCCGAGGACACCTCCCTTCGCGGGAGTTGATGCGTCGTTTCCCGGTATTAGACGACCTTTACACGCCCTTCCTCAATGCTCTGCGCACGGGTGATATTCGGACCTACGACGCATCGCTGGACAGGTTCGAGCGGCGGCTGGTAGACCTCAACCTGTATCTCACGCTCGAGAAGGCGCGCGAGCTCTGCGTGCGTGGGCTGTTCCGCCGAGTGTACGTGCATCCCGCTCTTGTCGTAAACATCCGTTTCTGACTCCGATTTCTGACATCCACCGCCCGTTGCTTGCAGTTGGATCGCAGCCGAAAAAAGCACACGGATACCGGTATCAATGTTCCTGGCGGCGCTGCGAACAGCCGACGAAGAGACGGCGTCGGAAGAGGCGGAATGTCTAGTGGCGAACATGATCTTCAAGGGCTTCATGCGGGGGTACATCTCGCACGAAAAGCAGATGGTCGTCCTGTCGAACACCAACCCCTTCCCGCGGCTCGCGGACCGCCCATCGCCATATGCACTGCTCCAGTAGTAGTAGTAGTTGGCATATCCGGGCGCGATGTATTGCGCTCATGTACATCTGTGGCGTCGCGTATGGTCATCTTTCGGGGGGACTGCACCGACCTTGAGCGTTATCCGCTTTAGCATGAGGGCGTTTGCACTGCCGGTGCCGATGAGTGTGCCATGCGTGTCGGGATGCAGTGTACGTATACACTACTATTTTCTACCAAGAACGAAAGAGATCGCCTCCAGCCGCGTCGGGCCTTGGTCCTGACTCGCGCTGTACAGCCCGCGCTCTAAAGAACGCACGTCGGGCCGCGCATGACCCAGTGCTCCGTCTTCCAAGCACAAGGGCGCCTCGGTGCAAGCACAGCCTCTGTAAGTACCACCAGGGTATATCATCCCCGATCCCGAGCCAAGTGTGTTCCGTACCCCGACATTACATCCCAAGCACCACCACCCCAAACATGGGCAACTCATCATCCAAGGCACCGAGCTCCGCGTTCAGCTCCGAGTCCATCTCCGGCCCCTCACCACTTGACAAGAAGCACGAAGGAGCCTCTCTCAACCGTCGCGCCACATCCGCAGTTCCGAACGTCCACAGGAGCTCACAGAACCTTGCAGTCCCCTCCGGCTCGCAGACCCACCGCCGGAGCAGATCCGCACTCGTGGGCTCCGTGAGCAGCCAGCGGCCGCTCTCGCGCATCTCACAAACAGGCTCCGAGGAGCCGCCGCCGCCACCGTCGTACTCGGAGGCACTCTCCGACCAGTCTTTCCTTGCTGTGCCGACGCAGGGCCTCGGGCAGCGGTCACGCTCGCAGGATGCTCCGCGCAGCAACAACCCGTTCCTGCGCCGGCCTGTGAGCAGCGTCGGGCTGCCGTCCGCGAGCTCCGAGGCCAGTGCCGCCACATTTGTGTCATCGTCCCCTGGGCGGTCGGGGGCGGGCCAGCCGATGACTTTCGAAGAGCGCGCGGAGTATTTGCGCCGGCCGATGCGGCAGAACACGATCGAGGACGCGTTGGAGACGCTAAAGAAGTATAATACGGTTATCGTCGTGGATGATTCAGGCTCGATGTCGAAGGGAGGGCTGTGGACGGAGGTCGGTACAGAACCATTCTGCGTGCCTGTGACGCAGCGGCTCACCATAATTAATTTCAGGCACGAGAGGCACTCGCTGCCCTCGCGGACGTTGCGTCTAAATACGATACGGATGGGATCGATGTCTGTTTCCTCAACAGCAAGAAGACCGGGACTAACATGACGGTAGCGCAGCTTTTTTTCTTCGCGATCTAATCCATCGCTCAATTATCTCTTCTTGTAGAGCGGGACCCAGATACGGCGAATGTTTGACAGTGTAGTTCCACGCGGTGCGACACCCATCGGTGAACGGCTCGAGGACCTTATGCTGTATTACTTGAACGAACTTGACGCGGCGAAGGAGTCTGGCGGCGTGGCGGCGGTCAAGAAACTCAAGCCCGTGAACTACATCATCATCACCGACGGTGTTCCTAGTGAGTATTCGGGACTTGGCACGCCCCCATTCGATGCCTGCGCTGACTGTTCACTGTGCCAGCCGACGATCCAGCCGCTGTAATCGCTGCTGCCGCTAAGCGATTGGATGACGGTCATTACCCTCTCACGCAGGTCGGTCGATTTGAATACAGTGTTCACTTGCAATCTTCTAACCAACTCGTCAATAGGTCGGCATTCAATTTGTCCAGATAGGCAGCCATAGAGCGGCCACCGAATATCTGCGCACTCTGGATGACGAACTGCAAGCCGAATATCATTGTCGAGACATCGTCGACACGACGCCATACCTCGGCGGTCGTCTCAATGCGGATTCTATCATCAAAATCCTCCTTGGCGGCATCAATCGACGAGTGGACAAGAGAGGCGGCCAGAGCGTCATGTAAAGAACATTTTGATCGTACATCGTGCTATGCTGCCCTCCTCCTTATACCCCCACCCCTCACCGATCTAATCTGGACGTCCCCGGATACGCCAGATATAGCCCCATTCATGCGACACCGCTGCTAGTATTATTGATCTCTCTCCTCTCTCCCCCTGCTACTAATGCTTTCATGACCTTTCCGCACATGCTGTGTCCGCCCCAGTCTAGTCGCTGCGCCCTTCTCCAGATGTAGCATACGGGTCTTTTTGCTCTTTGTATCACGATCCTACATTATGCGTACACCCCCACCCTGTATTCTACCCGTACTACCCGTGCTCTGCGATTCAGATTCCAAAATACAATTGCCCCTACTAGCCCGTTCAACGTCTCCGCGGCCTGTCTATCGGTCCCAGTCCTCCAGCGCGAACGCGAACATACCAAACGCAGGCGCTGCCTCGCCCGTGCCCGCCGCTAGGCTCTCCACACCGCGCCGCACGAAACGCACCAGCGCGTCCAACTCGCCAGACATCTTCTCCAACCGCGCCGCCGGCCCCTCCTCCGCAAACGACATCGTCGTCGATGCCCCAAACGAGAACGACGGCTCGCTCGCGCCCCCGCCCTCCGCGTCCCCTTCGTCCTCGGAGTCGGAGCTGTCCCCGTCCGAGTCTTGCAGGAGTGAGGGTGCCTGCGCGAACCCGATGACGTCGCGCCGCTGGGTGCGCACGCGACGGCTGCGGTGGCGGGACCGCCGGGAGACGAGGCGGAGCGAGGCGCGTGAGATGTCGTGTGTGGTGTCGCCGGCGTAGGCGACGAAGCATTCGGTGTAGTGGAGGGACATGTCGAGGATGGACATGATCGCGCGGTGCAGCGCAGCAGTCTGGGACGTCGCGTTAGGGCAGGGTCCAATGACACGAATGCGCACTCACATTGCGTTGGAGAAGACAGCGGCCTTCGAGCTTGTCGAGGCTGAGATACTCCTGTGAACATGGTCCACACAACAGGGGGAAGGGGGCACGTACTGATCGTTCTGCAGTTGCACCATCTCGTCGAGCGACTTCGCGCCGCGGAATGCGTCGTGGAACTTGAGGATTTGCGTGTGGATCACCTATACACCGCCTCAGCCCCGACTTGTCAATCTAGCTCAACAATACACTCACATTAGTCGTGATAAAGTTCAGCAGCGTGCTGTACTCGTAGTCAGCATCTCAGCTTCACCTCACCTCTGCCAGAATCAACACAAACACTCACTTGACGAACCACGACAACCTCCCCCTCACCGCATAAAACACCTTCATCTCCCCACTCATCTTCCTCCCCCCGCCCCCGCCCACGAGCCCACCCCTTACCAAGATCCGCTCCAGCACGCGCTTCGCGCGCCGCACCTGCAGCACGAGCGTGAACACGGCCGAGCACACGCGCACCGTGCGCGGCCCGAACACGTACGTGAGCGGGAACGGCACCGCGTACTCGATGAGCAGCCCGTCGAGCGCGCGCACCGTCTGCGCCGCGCTGCGTTCCTGCGTGGTGCGGAAGGAGAAGCGCACGAGTGCGGGGTCGATCCAGCGCGTGCGCCCAGGGTGCAGGGCGACGACGTCGCGGAACGCACTGTTCATGAAGTGGAAGTCGTTCCATGGCTGGCGCGTGTCCATCTGTATGTTCCGTGCAGTTAGTTGAGCGGAACAGGGCGTGTAGGGGAGGACATACGCGGGTGAAGAGGATGTCGACGAAGTGCGACATGGCGTCGCCGCGGCGCATGAGGAAGAGATCCTCAATTGCGTTGAGGTGCGCCCAGAGGTCGCAGTCCTCGACGAGCACCTTCGTGAGCGTCTCGTGGGCGCGCTCCGCGTACGGCAACAGCTCCTCATACACGACGTGCGAGAGGTTCTCGCTAGACGCGATCGCAGCCTCAGGGGACAGCACATCATGCAACACCTCCTCCGTCGGCGCGCCAGCAGACTCGTCCAGCAGCGCGCCGAACGCGCGCCAGCCCGCCATCCACGGCTGCCCAGACGCGACATCAGGCACCTCCGCCGCGTCCCCGTCGAACAGGGACGATATCCCAAGCGCGCGCAGCAGCCCAGTTACCTTGCCCGTCGACAGCACGAGCTCAGCGACATGCACCAGAAACACCGGCAAGCCGTTGGGCGCCTCCCCGCCCTCACCTTCGCCGTCGCCCGTCTGCCCGGCGCGCAGCGTGAACCCATCCGACCAAAAGTCCGGGTCGAGCATCACCAGCTCGTTGTCCTCCACGAAGAACTCGTCCGGGACGGCCCGGGTGCCCACCGCGCGCACGCCAACGAGCGCCGCGGGCGAGTCGCGCACGGGCATGCCGTCGCGCATCCAGCGGTGCATCATCGCCCACACCGGCTCCGCGCTTGCGCCAAAGACGCGCGTCAGCGCGCGGGCGGCGACCGCGTCGCCCATGGACATGCGGGCCTGCACCGCGCCGAGCAGCGCGTCGAGGAGGAGTGCGGTGACTGCGGACGGGGGCGCACGCGAGGGCAGGTCGGGGAACGTCCATATTTCAATGAGCGGCGAGGGGGCGCGCTGGGCTTTTTGTACGACGGTGCGGACGAGGGTGAGCAGGACGGAGAAGGTGTCCCCGAAGGCGTCGCGTACGCCTTTTTCGAGGCTGAGAAGGGAGACGACTATTGGGGGGCCGGGCAGGACGCCGCCGCGTGCACGGCAGATGGATTCTTCGCGTGCGGCGCACCATGCGTCGAATGCTCGCAACTCGGTGTCTAGCGCATCGGCGAAGGCCTCGAGTGTTTGGGTGTTACGTCGTTGGGACCTGACGAGATGAGCTGCTTGATTGGAGTCTGAGCTAGTGCTGGCAGAAGCCCTGGCAAACATCGCGCTGGTGAACTTGCGGAGGTGTGCGAGGGTGGTCGCTAGGGATGCGAAAGCAGAGACGATGGACGCCTGTGCGCCTGCTGTTAGATGCAAACACCGCGGTGCTGTAGGAGAGAACTACACAATGATGAATATAGGCTGGGAGGTCAACAGGACGAGACGTACGACGAAGGAGAAAGCGTTGGGACCGTTATGTGCCCAAGTGAACATCATATTACGACGCCCTTGTAAGCCTGTAAGCACTTCGCGGACCAGATACTCTTCAGGCCTATAGTTCTGCTTCTGCCTTGAGCGCATATACTCATACGACAAAGTCCCGAGCTGACCTCTTTAGTTGGCCCGTCGATGCGCAGCGTAGCCCTGGACCCCAACACTCGATGGAACGATGGCGCTGCCACCCGCATGCACAGTGTCAATATGTGCGACCAAAGTGTCCGCTCCAAGCGACTTACCGAGAGATGAGGCATCTCCAAGGTCGAACGGTTTCTCAATCGCCGCATCGGTGCGCCACTCAGATCGCCAATACTGTCTGGCCTGCAGCTCTTCCACATCCTGTCGATGTCGATATGCATTCCGTGGGTCTATTGTCGCACCCCCTTCGAACTCGCCAGTCTGTTGAGGCCCGGAATGAGCGGGCGGGGGTGTGTCCGGAATGACGGACAGCTCGGAGGATGACTGGGCCCCTTCCAGATCGGAATCGCTGTCCCAAGGCGAGAGCGAGGGTGTGCTGCCGTCGCTGCGTGTCTCCCAGCCCTCGACAGTGCTTCCGCGGGGGAGACCATAGACGCCTTCCCAGTGTTGACCTTCGAAAGGCTCCTCCGCAAGAATGTCTTTCCAGGTCAGTTTGGGCTTGGCTACTGAGGGATGTTCGATTCTTTGAAGGACGGCTTCTGCGTTCTCCAGTGTCGTGGGATTGGAAGGGGTTGAGAGCAGTGTCTACGGTAGATGGTATAGTCAGAGGGATTTTCTCCTTCGTTTCCTTCTATCTTACAAGAAACTTCAAGTGGTCAGGAAGACGAGACAGCTATATCAAAGAGGATATTCAGGTCTGCAGTCAGAGCTCAAAGAGAAGTCTGAATAGCCGTACTTGTATGCTCGCGTCCAGATCATCGTTGCTCTTGGCATGCGTTTTCAACCTATCGTACACTATATCGAGTGTATCACCGAGGACATCAAAGGAGTTGATTCGTGCCTTTCGCGCATAACTGCAGGTGTTCAGCCACGAGAACTCATCGATGCGTGAAAGCGGAATACCCTCTCATCGCCTTGTCAATGGTAGGGAAGTCAGTGCTCCCTGAAGGTCGGACGGTTGAGTCTAAATTCTTCGCAACATACTCCACAGCAGCCCGGAAGTCCTCGGGGTCTACGTCAGGGGTTAATGGCGTGAGCTGGGATACTAGGGATTCACATAGCGGGATCAGACGAGACGGTTGTCGGGGAGGGACGCGATGGGAGAAGCGCGAGATAGGTCGCCTGACAGAAGCACTGGAGGTAGGGCGTAGGGAAGCACTCGACGGAGGCCGGACAGATATGCTGGACGGCGGTCGCGCTGATAAGCTCGAAGGTGATCTGAATGGCGCGCTTTGAGAAGAGCGAATGCCAGCACTAGAGGGAGGACGAGTTGATGCACTTGAAGGGGGTCGGAGAGGAGCACTGGAAGAAGGCCGAAGACTTGAGGCACTCGACGGAGGCCTTCCAGCTGAGGACGCGCTTAGCTGAGAAGGGACGGCCGAGTACCAGCCGTCGGCGTCCACCTGCAGGCCGCTCGTGCCAGTGCTAGAGGGAGGTCTGATCGTTGGCCGCGGTGGTTTGGGTCGCGAGCCGGAGGGCTGCATCGAGTACAGGGCGCGTGGTAGAAAGGGCCTGTAGTGAAGAAGTGGTTCACCGTCAGCCACCTGGATTATTTTCGAGTTTATGAACAACTAGACTTCACCTGAGTCCCTAGCTGCAGGTGGTACGCGGAGGAGCGTGCTCATCGTGGCTGAGACTCGTCCCCAGCGTGACGACGATCGGGGGACGCGTCGCGCGTGTCACGCGTTTGCAGACGCGTAACCGTCACGTACGGACGTTTTCCCGCGACGGGACTGCCGAGGCTGCTGTCCTCTCTCTCGTCGACGATGGCCAGCATGTTGCTCAGCCGACTCTCCGCAAGCTCGCGCAGCTTGGCCTCTGTCGCCAGGTCCTATGCGACCGCGCCCTCCACATACCAGCGCCGCACGGTGGTCAGGAAGACCGCTGCGACTTCGTCAGGCGCCGTCCCCGGCCGCGGCAACCCCTCCATCGTGGACACGCTCCCAAACACTGCAGACGAAATTGATGTCCCGCCTGAGGCGTATGCCATGCCCGCAGAGAGCGTTCCCTCGTCCTCTGCGCTTCGCACCTCTGCGGCGCCGCCACCAGAAAGCCCCGTCCCCGTCCCGTTTTCCGATAGCAACGCTATTGGCGGTTCCTCGAAGGATCCCTCCACCCCCGATTGGTCCAAGAGCTACTTTGGCCTGTCTACTGCGCCGTTCCCAAAGGAAGCGGCGGAGATACTTATGGCGCCCATTGACCCCCTGGACGTTGAGATGAAGCCAGGTCCGTCGCTCTTCTGTCTACATATCGTATACGGAAGAGTGGACTAATAAGTGTGCAGACGGCCTCATATACTTGCCCGAAATCAAGTACCGCCGCATACTGAACAAGGCATTCGGCCCCGGCGGATGGGGTCTTGCGCCTAGGGGGGAGACCAACGTGAGCCAGAAGGTGGTGAGCAGAGAGTACGCACTCGTCTGCTTGGGCCGGTACGTTCTACACTTGCGTCCCATTTCCTCCTGTCACTAATACACGGCGTTGCGTACAGTTTGGTGGGTATCGCTCGCGGGGAGCAGGAGTTCTTCGACCAGAACGGCATCGCAACAGCGACGGAGGCGGCCAAGAGCAACGCCCTCATGCGCTGCTGCAAGGACCTCGGCATCGCGAGTGAGCTCTGGGACCCGCGCTTCATCCGCGAGTTTAAGGCGAAGCACTGTATAGAGGTCTTCGTCGAGGATAGCCGGACGAAGAAAAAGTGCGTGTTTGCAAGCTTCCTACTCAGATGCTAGGGCTCACATCGTTTTCCTCAGGAAGAAGCTCTGGCGCCGCAAGGACCAGCCCCCCTTCGGATACCCCTACGCTGAGACCTAGAGCCCTGCACCTATCTAATCACACCCGGCATTGTATATTACATCTCATAGCATATTCACCACTCTACAGACTTCTAATGTCTTGCGCAACGACGGCTGGACAGAGCAAGAATAGTGATAGATATTAGCAGCAACGATAGCACTACAAAACAGAACTACATGCGCTGGGCGACCGCGTCCTGGCCATACCCTACAGGTGAACGTGCACATCCGTCATGAAGAAGTTACGATACACAGGCCCCAACTCCCACCCATCCGCCCAACTACTTCTTCCCCTTGCGCGACTTCGCCGACCCTTTCGAACTCTTGCTCGGGCTGGACGTCGCCGTCGACGCCGCCGTGGTGCTGCTGGCCGCCGACTTGCTGGTCGCCACTGCCGTGCTGTCCTCTACCGCAACCGTCGGGTTGGCAGGCTTCGTCGGCTCAGCAGGGCTCTTGTGCAGCAGGCGCATGACGAGGCTCGCGATCATGCCCGACCCGATCATGAGCATCCAGCGCGGGAAGCGGTTCACGAAGTTGAACGCGTGCATCAGGCCGAACGCGTAGTAGTGCAGGATCCACTCCCTGTGAGTACGAAGAGGCGCATGGTCAGAAATTGTGTTTAAGGCGCGGGGGCGGGAGCGGGGGATGCGTACCGCTTTCCGCCGGGCGCGAAGTTCGTCTTCCATGGCTGGGTGTTGCGCCAGTGCTCCTCGGTGAGCAGGTCGCGCAGGAGGTCGGCGGTGACGCGCACGCGGTCCGCCTTGTAGAACCGGAGTGTCTGGCCCCTGTCGGTGATAATGACCAGATACGGTCCTCTGCAGGCATGCGTTAGTTTCTACACACCAGCAAATAAACGAAATGGAGACGTACGACCAAATGGCCCACTTCGTGGTGAGGTACGTGACGTTGATATAGTCGACACGACCCCAGCGCACATGGGGGAGGTCACCCGCAGTGACCGTCTGGTTGTACGCCTCGTCAAAGCTCTGGTCGACAAACTTCGAGATCGCGTTGTTCTGCCCCGCCGTCACCGAGCTGCCGCGCCCCGTCAGTCAGTCTCCCTCTTCCCGCATCAAAATTGAACTGAGACGCACATGATGAGGAACCAGACGCGCTCCGCCTCCTCCTCAGGCGTGAGCTCCTCGCGCACGATGACCTCGTCAAAGTTCTCGTCCGTAATAAACGGGATGCGCAGGTCCCACGGCGACTCCGCGCTGCGCGCGACCGCCTCCGTGATGTTCACGCCCATCTTCCCGAACAGCGACGCGACGGGCCCCGCGGTGAGCAGCCGGTTGATGTCGAGCAGCGACGTGAGGCTCTTCAGCACGCCGCTGGGCCCGCCCGCGAGGCCGCTCGCTGGGGGGACCTGCGGAGCTGGGGCGGGCTTGTCTGTAGGGGCGGCGCGGTCGAAGGTCTGTGCGGGGGGCGGGGCGTGCAGGGGCGGGGCGTTGGCGGCGAGGTTGGGCTGCTGCTGCTGCTGCCCGGGCTGCCAGCCTTCAGAGAAGTACTGTGCGCTCGCGGAGGCGGCGCACAGGAGCGAGGAGAGGAGGATGGACGAGAGCTTCATGGTGTCGTGTACAGACGGTCGTGTGCGACGTCGGCCTTTAGCGGGTTGCGTCTGGAGGGTGTTTTAAAAGCACCCTATGTCAGCGCGTGCGTGGTTTCAGCACTTGGGGAAGCTCGAACACAAGGTGGACGAGGGCGCAGGTGCAGGAGGAGGGTGGCAGGAGGCAAGCGGCGGGGAAGGGGCTGCTTGAGCGAACGCTATTGTAGGTTCAACGCAGGGGCGCGGGTGTAATCGTCCACCGGGTGCACGCCATCGCGCTGTGTGAACAGGAGATAAGCGTGCCTGATCCAGAGTATTGTCCGTAATTATGTTTCTCCTGATTGCGGCGGGGCGTTCTGATACCGCCCGCGCAGGTCTTGGAGGGGGCGCGCGCTGCTCGCGGGGGGGTTGTACTCGGGCGTGGCCGTAGCGGGTGAGGAGGACGTCGTGGAGGGGTTCGCGACTGTGCGCAGTCGTCGGCCCGATTCTATTTCGAAATACTCCCATTTTGACTATGTATGCCCCAGAATGGACATGGTAGTGCAAAAGTACCAGACGCGTATGATGAGCGTGTCAAGCCCTGGTGTCTGTCAATACTCTACCGTGTCCTCACCTCTCTTGCCGTCTCCCTCCGCTTCAGATACCCTCGGACTTCTGCTGGCCTATCTCATAGCGGCCTGGGCTACTACGCTCACCTCAACCGATAGACTCGGTCATTTGTGGTGCCCTTTCCGGGCTGGTTGCCTCCCCCGCGCAGGCCCACGTACCCGGCGCCATGCGCTTCCCCGCACGCGTATTCGCGCTCCTGCTCTCGCCACTACTTTACTCGTCTCTTAGTCTCGCGGCACCTGCAGATGGTCTGTACATTGCTCAATAAACGTCACCATGCCATACTGAACCCACAGCGCGTGCGCAGTACCCTCCGCCTCTTCTTTCTATGTCTCACACCTCCCGGACCTCCACCAAGATGAGACTCGGCCCCTGCGCATGTACGCGGGCCACCTGTCCTCCGACCCAGATGCGGGTACCGCTGAGCCTACAGACGTCACCGCGCATCTGTACTTCTTCCTTGTGAAGGCGCGCCGTACTGCGGACAAGGAACGAATCATCTTCTGGTTGAATGTGAGTGCCTTGATTCTCGCCCGGATCTTCTATTCGGAGATGTGCTGAAGCACCTATGCACAGGGGGGTCCAGGATGTTCGTCGTTTGACGGCCTCATGATGGAGGTGGGTCCTTGGCGAGTGGATGGGAAAGGTGGCCTTAAGACGGTGGAAGGTGGCTGGGAAGAGTATGCGACAGTGGTCTACAGTGAGTGCTCACCTCTGAGGCCTGAATATTTCAATATTCATTTCGTTTGTCTGTAGTTGACCAACCTGCCGGAACTGGCTTCTCATACGCCCCGTCAAATAAGTATGACCATGAGCTTCCCGAGGTAAGTCGCCGATCTCGCCGCGGCGTGGCGCTGTGTAATGACTACCGCAGGCATCTGCGCACTTCGTAGAATTTCTGCGCAATTTCTACAGGGTCTTCCCCGAATACCAAGACGTCGACGTGAGCGGCCGGTTTTCTTTCTGTGGGACAGAGCGCAAAGCTAAACGCTTGGCAGGCTTACATCGCGGGCGAGAGCTATGCGGGCCAATATATCCCATATTTTGCGGACGCAGTCCTCAATTCCAAGCTAAAGATGCCACTGAAAGGCGTAGCAATTGGAAACGGGTGGACAGACGCACGAAGACAGTACCCAGCTTACTTGGACTATGCCGTAAAACAGGGCATCATCGAAACCACGTCGGAGGTGCGTCGATTGTTCTACAATCAATTCAGACAACTGACCCTCCATCGGCGATGCAGGCATACAAGACTAGCAAGGACATCACGGACCGTTGTATGCTGGAAATGGCCAAGTACACGGATGTGGAGCCTGTGCACGTCGACATTTGCGAGCAAGTGATGATGACAGTCATTTCGGGCAAGAACCACAAGTAGGTCCAGTGTCGCCGCGTGTTCAAACGGTAAGGAGTTGACAAGTGCGTTAGGGTCGACGGAAAACCAAAGTGTCTCAACATCTACGATGTGCGTCTGGAAGATGACCAGCCGCAGTGCGGGATGAACTGGCCTCCGGATTTGGAAGACGTGTATAAGTACCTAGCCGTACGCCCAACTTCCCGTCCGCCTCTCTCATCCGCACTAACACCAGATTTTAGAGGAGAGACGTAGTGTCTGCAATCCACGCGTCCAACGTGCCGGGGACGTGGGTCGAGTGCAAGAGCCGCGTGCACTCCGAGTTTTCTGTGCGCAAGTCCAACTCGTCCATCACGGTGCTCCCGCGCGTCCTCGAGCGTATCCCGGTCATGCTCTTCGTCGGAGACCAAGACATGATCTGCAACTATGTCGGTATCGAGAGCATGGTCCAGTCTATGAGCTGGAATGGCGAGACTGGCCTTGGGGTGAGACCGCTTCCCTCAGATACGAATAAGCCGGAACTGATATTGTGTACGAGCGCAGAAGGTGCAGACGCAGTCGTGGACGGTGGGCGGAAACCTTGCAGGGACGTGGGTTGGCTCGCGCAACCTCACCTACGTCAAGGTTTGTACATCCTCTGCATGGTTTAGCTTTGTACAGACCGTTCTGACGTCCGCGCCGCGCAGATCTTCAACGCGTCGCACATGGTCGGCTTCGACGCCCCGCACGTCGCGCACGACATGATGCTGCGCTTCATGGGCGTGAACTTTACCGCGATCACGGATGGCTCCGCGCGCATCCCGAGCGCGGTCGGCGACGATGCGAAGCCGCTCCCCGCCATTCTCGACGACGTCCCTACGTCCACGCCCGTCGCCAGCAAGACCCCCGAACAGGACAAGGCGATGTGGGAAGGTGCGTCCTGCGTATGTTGCGTAAGAACCGGAGGTGCTGATAGGCGTTCAGCATACTACAACGCGGGTTCGGCGACGATCGTGCTCGTGCTCATCGCCGTGGCGGTCGGCGGCTTCCTGTGGTGGCGCTCGCGGCGGAACCGCATGCGTGGCGGGCTCTCGCTCCCGACGCACGAAGAGAGCATCCCGCTCAACTCGGCCATTGGCCGGCGAGATCGCGACGAGGATGGGGAGCCCGCGTTCAGGCCGCGGAAGGGCAAGGAGCGGGCGGGGACGCTAGAGGAGGAAGAGGCGATATTCGATGTGGGGAATACGAGCGACGATGAGGACGAGCGGAGTTCGATCGCGAAGAGGGATTAGACGGTGTAATTTATGCATCCTTTGTTTTACATACTGGAGTCGGACATTTCAGCTCACCCTTTTGACCATTCTGAGGGTACCCATCGACCTATTCGAGACTTAGCAGTGACCTACTCCGTCTGTTTCAGCCGTTCAGTGTTGCGAGTGTCGTCACTTTGCGGTGTAGGATGCATGCACAATTATCAGCGAACACGAGGAAGATGAGGATATGCAAAGATTGTTTATTTCATCGAAGATAGTACACATACATGATCGAAGTACGAAGAGATGTCTGCGTCATGGTTTCACTAGACCGTCACGGCCACATAGTGGCACCCCGCCCGAGAGCGAAGCTGTACGGAAAGTTAAGGAATATAACGCCGCGCCGCCACCCTACATCGACCCCTCCGGCGAATCAACACCACCCGTGAGGGCGGAGGACTCAGCCGTAGCGAGAGGGAGCAGGGCAGCGCCGCTCATTCTGGTGAGCGCCCCGAGGGACGCCTCGCTCCGCCAACTGTGAACGACGTCAACAGACGAGCAAACGTCTGGACCGATGCGCACCCATGGGTGCGCTGGCTGACGCTTCGGAGGTTGGGCTGGACACTGGGGAGACATGATGCAAATTGCGCGGTTATATAGGGTGCGCCAGGCGGAGATCGAAAAAGATGTGGCTTTGTTTGGCGGGCGTGGTTTGCAGCCACAGACGCGTCGGAAGCGCCTGAACGCGCTCGCTCACTCAACGCCACAGCTGAGCGAGATGGAGAAGAGCCACCGGGTGTCCCGGTTGTCCGTCCATCCTCGTCTGGGTCCGAGGGACTCCATCTTTCCCGGGAACCCCGACCTGTACCGCACGGTCGACACGAATGCAACATGCAGTCCGTACCTCCAGGAATGCGTGCTCGCCATGGAGGATTGCTGCGAGGAGGTGCGACATACTTTCCGCACCCGCACTGTTCTCGCATCGACCGACACATTATAGGCACATTCAGCACAGGAACTGATACGACAGGGCACATACGACCTTCCGCGTATCAGTCACGTTCTCGATAGCGAGCGGGTAAGCCATTCTGATATCTCCACACCTACATAGTATTGACTGTGAGACGACACACTAGGTATTCCTGCTCGTTGACGAGAGCACCGTACGTCGTTACAAGGCCGACCTGACGGATGAAATCGAGCCGCAAATCAACGAGCTCCTTTCGCGAGCCGAGAAAGGGCTGCAGGTGCTGCTGAAGAGAGAGAACATGCTGCAAGCCAAGGTTGGTGGTACCCATGAACTCAGGGCCGATCGCTGAATGTCCATCAGGCGGAAGCGTCGCAGGGGCGCCCAACATCGAGAGCCGCGGCCAACACGACCGGCATGAACAAGCTTGATGTTCGCCGGATGCAGATGCTGTCCCGACAACGGCAGAAGCTCGAGGATGAAGCGGCTGCACTGCAAGCTGAAGTCGATGCTATGGTAACCCTTTGCCTTCCTCGGTGTTACTTTCCACTAACGCTTACCTTGTAGGAACTGAATGTGATGAGGAAATGAGCATCGAGACCTCCGACCCAATCCCTCGTATGTTGTACAACATGGTAGTGTACTGCTAATTTCCTTTTGTCTCGTCATTTCCCCTACTCCATCAGTACCTCTCCTATCAAGATCGCCTCGACAAAGTCCCCGATCTCGAGCTTGCTCGGCCCTCTCTCTCCTCTGCCCGGTAGTGCGATCAAACCGTTCGCACCTTTCAGACTCCCAACTCTGCTGGACCGCTGGCCACCTGTGCTGTATGCCTTGAATCCTACTGGATCGGCTTTGATAATCGCGCGATGGTACTCTGGGCGCGGATCAAGGCGCATAGATTCTTGAATCTATGCAATAGGTACGACAAGGACAGTTAATGACGTGCCATGGTCGACCGGTTTTGCACGTACCTGAACCCTCACGCTAGGCAACCTGCACTTCGGCTCTGGCCATCCCCCAAGTTTCCTCAGCGCCGGGACAACGAACACATGGAACATGACGAGGGCGCTGGCCGGGTTGCCCGGGAGTGCGAAGAGCGGGATGCGCTCGTTCCGCCCGCCCGGGGTCGGCACAGTTGCAAACGTCGTCGGTTTGCCAGGCTTTACCCTTACACGCCCGAAGTGTATCGTCCCGCCGAGGTGGTGCTCGATGACGGGCTTGAGCAGGTCCCCAACGCCCATCGAGGTGCCCCCGGTGGTCAGTACGATGTCGGCGGACTCGATGCCAGTGCGTAACACATCAATGTGCGCTTCCAGGCTGTCACCAGGGTGAGTTATACCGTAACCAACAAACAGAGGGGAGGGTACGTACCTATCAGGGACGATCCCGAGGTCAACGACCTCGTATCCCAGGCCCTCAATGGCCGCCTGCAAAGACGGCCGGTTCGTGTCCCAGATCCCGCCCCACCCATGGCTCGGGAGCGACGTCGGCGACTGCAAGTCCAGCAACTCGTTCCCCGTGCTCAACAACGCCACGACCGGCCGCCGCACCACCTGCACATTCGCGCGCCCAACAAACGCAAGCGTGCCGATCTCGCCCCCAGCGCTGCTCACGACCGTCCCGCGCTCGAGCACGAGGTCGCCCTGGCGCACGTCCGACCCGGGTTCGCGCACGTTCTCCCCGCGCGGCACCTGTGCGAGCGTCTCGATCTCCGCCTCCTCGTACTCCTCGCCTGTGGGCGTACGCTGTGTGGTGTGCAGACGTGTGTCTTCGACCATAATGACGGCGTCGGTGCCCGCGGGGAGTGGTCCGCCGGTGTTGATGCGGAAGACGTAGCCAGGGGGGAGCGGTGTAGCGAGTGGGTGCGTGCGGTGGTCGAGCACCCTATAAATCCCCGGGGGGTCAGTGGCTATTATATTCAGGTCAGATTCGTCTGCGAATACATGTAAAGAGGGCGGGAGGCGTACAACGTAAGGCATATCCATCGACGTTTGTGCTGTACGTCGAGGGCACGTTGATGGGTGAGACAACGTCCTCTGCGATGACATGGCCTCGCAGCCTCGGCGTCACCTGTTTGTGCGATATATCAGTACCGCTTCATGCTTTGTATGCGAAACCAGGTTCTTACGGCTTCCTCCAAGACTGACAGCGGCCGGACCTCTCGCAGGATTGTCAGATATGCTTCCGCGACAGAGACGAGCGGGTATGGCGATTCTCGGGCGCGCGTGTGGGCTGCAGAACCAACCAAATGTCAATTACCGTGCTGTCAGTGTACCATCCTGCGCGGTCACCTACCGGGCAGCGCCGGATCCTGAGATAGCACACTCCTCGGCTGTGGCACCTGGTGGTCATGTCCATGTGGGTGGTGGTGGTGATGGTGCGCACCTCCACCACCGGAGGCAGAGCTGGCGCCGCTGACCGACGCCTCTGGCAGCCCCACCGGGCCCTGTGCCGGCGACGCCTGCGGCATGCGCACGCCCTCCGCGGCGAGCGCGGCATGCACGGCGCCCCCCGAGCCGCCCCGGACGAGCTCAAGCGCGTGCGGGACGACGCCGAGGAGCGCGGCGAGGTTCTCCTGCACGGCCTTGACACTCCCCGGGAGCGTGACGACGAGCGTGCGGCGGATCGTGCCCGCGACGGGGCGCGAGAGCGCGGCGAGCGGCGTTGCCTGTAGAGACGCGGCGAGCATGAGTTGCACGAGCCCGGAGGCTTCGCGCTCGAGGAGCGGCTTGATCGCCTAGGTTCATCGCAGCAGATCGCGTGAGTTTACGGCGGTTATAGAAAACGTCCCATAGGGATGTATAAAGGCACCAGCTTAGTGTGGCAATCGCGCGAGAGGTTGTAGGGCACGGACTTACCTCCGGAGTCCTGTCGCGCACGCCGAAACCAGTACCGCCGGTGGTCACGATCCAGTCGATATCACCCGAGTCGCACCAGCCGAGCACAACGGTGCGGATGCTGATCTCGTCGTCGGGCACGATGACGAGGTGCCTGCACACGAATCCGTTCTGCGTGAGCACACTCTGGATGGTAGGTCCGGAGCGGTCCGCAGACGCATCCGCCGAGGCGGTATCGCTCACTAGGATTCATGCACTCAGTTAGCTCACTTTGTCGCGTTTTGCGCTTCACAGATGGGCCGGACAAACCTGTTAGTATCGCTACTCGCGCTCCGGACATGGTGGTAGTGGAGGGAGTCACTGAGTTCAACTTCGCGGGCGTCCCAGACGTCATAGGGCCGCAGTTACGGCCCGTGAGCTATAAGTACTCATACGCATAGTAGTACGGCGATGCTCGGAGAGCTTGGCAGTTGTTCATGTACGGTGTGCTCGTCGAATAGATTGGAATGGGCAAGTACATGAGCATAGATAACATGGGCGCGCTACTACTGCTTCATGAGAGAAAAACATTGGCCAGAGTGGGCTGCCCACCTGAGCGAGTTTACGGATCATCCGGTGGTCTTCCAAACTGCCACTCCCTCCGACGCGCGGGGAGAATCACCCTCGTGAACAGACAACAGGCGGTGAAGAGGCACTGGTTCGCGTCCCGCACATTCAAACAAGACCCCTGGGCGCGTCCGCAAGTGCATTGGCTGTCGCCCAAGAACTGTCTTCTGACCCTCTGTGGGAGAACCGGCCGGTGCTTCTGCACAGTCTTGCTACTACAAATGAACGGCTATCACCCCCGCGTACGGAGGGAGTTGACCTTGTACGGTGCCGGAGCTTCCAGAGCTAGACCATGAGGACCGCCCGAGGGAAATTGGCTAGTCAGAAGGCTAAAGGCAAACTCACGCACGATCATTTGACTCGGGCGGCTTCCCAGATGAGAGCACTTCCTGCACTTCGTCGACTAGTTGAGGACGTCCGAAGTAAGTTAGCAAGGAGGGGAGGGACATCGCGGTGGCTTCCCCGAATCACGCCTTCGGAGGGCGATCCGACTCGCGAGGGAAGTTCGGGACGAATGCGGGGTAGCAGGGAGGTCATCCGGGGACGCGAGACGATCGCCTCGAAACATGTGTTGCCCGCTAATTCGAGCGGTGAGCCGGCGGCGGTCTGGACCTGGTTCGCGGCTTGTTTTGTGTGACGGCGGGGGGCGTGGATGAGCCAGGGGTCTGACTGAGTCTGATATGGAGGCAGGCGTTACGGCGACATGTTCCGCCAGGAACGAGTGTGTACGGAATGTGAGTCGGCAGGGACGTCGGACGCCGACGGACGGTCATGGGCGAGGTCGGCAGTGAGCTGAGAGCGAGGGGGGTGATGCAGGGATGATGGCGGGGGGACGAAATGTCGCGAGCATGAGGGTTGTCCGCAAGTGGATCCGGCGAGTGCCACAGTTCCGGGGCCTCTTTACACTGGCGCGTCCGCTTTCCCCGCCACCTGCATGTTCTCCTCTTCCGTCCGCGCCCTCGCTCTCACTCGTATAAGACCCCCACGCGCCCTCTCCCATCCCTTCCTTGCCTCCCTCTCTCGGCCCCCGTCCTGTCCCCTGCTCCGTCACGTCCCGCCTCGCCCCTTCGCCGCCTCTCTAGCCACCATGTCCGCTTACGCTGCCACGAAGCCTATGCCTGAGTGCTGGGGACACCGCGGAGTGTGTAACGTGTCCGCCATTGCGTCTGTGCCAGTCCCTGACCTCCGCGACGCGTGAACTCCACAGGCTTCAGCTACCTTCCCCGAGAACACGCTCGCAAGCTTCGAGGCCGCCATGCGTGACGGCGCCGAGGGCATAGAGAGCGGTATTGTTTCCTAGCGCGTTCCCTCTCCCCTTGCAGCCCCGTGACCATCGTGAGCAGATGTCCACGTATCTGTAGACGATGTTGTTGTCATGTTCCACGACCCTTGTGAGCCTCTACTCTTCGCTGTCTCCTTAGTGCCACTGGTCTCACGCGTCTCTTGCAGCTGTCGACAGGGTTACGGACGGGACAGGTAAGTTATGCGCGTAGTACGTGTCATCGCTTGCTGAATGTCTCTTCTCGTGTAGGGCTCATCAGGGAGAGGCTATGGCACGGCGAGGGTGGTCTCCAGCAGCTCCGGACCGTCAAGGAGCCGAAGCAGGCGCTTGCCACTTTCGAAGACACCATCAAGCTGCTCATGCGGGTATGCACGCGTCTTACGCTGCTTTGAACGGCAACTCACCTCCTCTCTAGCCCGAGAACCGACACGTCAAGTTCAACGTCGACGTGAAGGTTCAAAACAAGCCCGCACACCTCTTCACGCTCATGCACAAGATCATTTCTGCCCAGCCAGACTGGGAGACCACGCTCGCGCCGCGCATCCTCCTTGGGCTCTGGCATCCCAGCTTCCTCCCGCACGCGAAGGCCCAGCTGCCATACTGCCGTCGCTCATATATCGGGTCGGACATTGCTGTCGCGCGCAAGTTCTTTTGGGACAGCTGCGACGTGTTCTCCATCAAGTTCTCGACACTTGGCATGGCGGACGGCGCGAAGTTCCGCAAGGACTGCAAACAGGCCGGGAAGCGCGTCATGGCGTGGACCGTCAACGAGCCCGAGCATATGGTAGAGGTACGTATAGCAGCACACTACGATTTCGAGATGCTCAGCTCTTCATTTTCAGGCTGTTCGCTGGGGCATTGACGTCATCATCACCGATACGACGAAGACATGGCTTGACCTCCGCTCTGCTCTCGAGGGTAGGTTCTTGACTGCTACGTGCAGTGAATATGTTTTTGACAGTTGCTTGCAGTTGACTATGACAAGATCGCCGCGCAGCACAGCCGGCTGTTCTACTGGACGAAGCTTGAGTTCTACACCCCCATACAGATCATCACGCGCCGTCGCGACCACAGCTACCTCGAGGGCTACGCGGGCCCCTTCCGCAAGATAGAGGCCGCGGAGGCGCTGCCTCGCATGTCCACCGCCGAGGCGTGAGCAACGCGCCTACCGCGGACCATGACCATTAGTATAGACGTCCCGCCTCCTCCCACCCCCGCTCTGCTGCTCTTCCGTCCTTTTCCATTCTGGGTTTACGTAGGGTGTTCCGTCGTCTGCTTTCGACTCTCGAGTCTCGCCTCATCCAGTCCTAGTCTCCGTCCAGTTCCATACCCTGTTCGTTCCCCTGACCCCGATCCCGTAGACGGCCGTACGTGCCCCCGACCCCTAGAGCCCAGTTGGGCGTGTCCTGTCTGGATTCCCGCTGGATAATCGTCGCATATCACCTGTGTAATAACCTGTACTGTTCGTGTAAATGGGACATTCGTAGTGTTGGGGTTTTGCTTTCTTATATACGCTGGGGAGTTTGCGCGTGGAACTCGTCCATCGTCTCGTCCACTATACATACAAGGCATTGACACCAATCACTGCGTAAAACCCCCTTCTAGTACAGTTGGGGCGTGATCGCGCTGCAAAGGCCAGTCAATACTAGTGATTAGTGAGCTAGGTATGGTAGTGCGAATTTACCTGAGGGTGCGCGACGTTACCGGGTATCAGGTAGTTTCAGGACGTAGCTGGACCGCCTAGCAATGCAGTTGCACGATCTACGGAGAGACCAGGTAGCTCAGAACACACCTAGTGAGGACGATATCATATAGTAGAGCTGCAGCAACATCGCGCGAGGCAGCGCCGCGCACGCGCTGCGACTCTGCACTAGGTAGCCTAGTCGCGCTGCGAACGAGAGACCGCTAGAGCCCTCCGCGGGCGGACACATTAGGAAAGAGCCCTGATCACTCTAGGCCTGCTCCTAGCTAGAAGTCGACGTTTCTGGACCAGATACGTATAGACACAGATAGTTTATTTTCACTACTACGCGTACATATCGGTACTGCCCTGAAATTTGGCTATTCTAGGCCAATGACCCACCCTGCCAGTGCGCGACGCGGCACGGCGCATTCACCGCCCTCCAACGACCCGGAGTCACTGCCCTTCGCTTGACCGGCAAGGCTCTTGGCTGCCGCCTTGTGTTGAGAGCTTGTGAACGCAGAACCGGTACTGGACGTGAACGTCAGTTAAGGATGCGAGGATTGAATTAAGCTTACCGGTGCGACTTAGAGAATGCGTACCATACTGAGGCCGCTAGATGCGGCGCCGCCGTGAGGTTATCCAGATCCCCGGCCACGATGGATTAGCCTGACACGTGCAATCAGTCATGAAACACAGTTCGGCGCCGGCACCGAAGACGAGCCCAGAAGGGCTGGATACGCACCTCGGCCTGAAAGGCAATTCTCAACGTTCAGTGTGGGGCGAGTAAAGTTCTTCCGGCACAGGCCGTATCACCTTACCTTAAACTCCCCGACGAAGCTGAGGATCCGCCACCATGGGGATATGTCGCATTGTTAGCTGCTGTACAGATAGAGGACGGACTCACCATAGATACATATAGCCTGATGTCTGTCTCCACGCCTTCCGTGCCAGATCGCGCTGCATGTACCAGCAGAACAAAGCAGGAAGAACGAGGTCAGCTGGACGCTCGATGTTCTCGTGCTTTGGAGAAGTCTGAGGTCTAGGGGACTGTTCGTGAGAGCGTGGAAGTTGACCTGCAGACCTCCGGGAGGGCCCGGGGTGAAGGACGGGTGCAGTCGATTGGGGTGGCATGATCGTAGTCGTATAGGGCTGTTGATGAGGGTTCGAGGGTTATTTAACGAGGCTGCTACCCACACGTATAAGATATTACGTGGCGTAGAAAAGAGAGACGAGGCCAAGCGGCCGCCAGACGCGTTGTGTAGTTCGAAGGTAGGACGAGCAGAGGCCGTGGTATACGAACGCTAGCCTGTGCGAGACCAACTGGCACCCCGGACACCATACACCGCTGGTCCGTCTCGCGCGGTGTAGCTCCAACTCTGACTACACTAAGTAGGGTTTACCGCGCCTACTTACAACTAGTTAGTCTCTCAAAGGTCAGTATTAGGCGGCTACCCATTATCTCTCATTCCCTTCCTCACCAGCACTCACTCGTCCGTGGTGGACGACGTTGGTGGTTTACGCAGTGAATCCAACATCGAGAAGAACATGGCCGAGGCACGACCGCAGACGAGAAGTAGACGTGTAGACCCAGCTAGCGCTTGCTTGGACTTGTCCACCTCAGAAGAGGCCATCCAGAACTAGTGAACCTATAGCATGTGTTCCTCGGGATCCCTTACCGTATTTGTCACACCATGCGCATAAGTTTCAGGTAAACAGGTGCCCACACCAGCAGTTGACGAACATACAAACAAGACATCGGAGCCCGTAGCCAGACCAGGAACAGGATAGATAACCGTACACACACAAGATACCACAGGAGCAGAAGCGAATAGAACCATGTTCAAGGAGCATAGTTTGGAGGCCGGGCCTTGGAAGCCGTGTAGAAGCGCTCATTTGGGTGTGGGGCGGGTCCGGGGACGTTCGGTTCCGCAGAAACTTCCCCAGAGGCTCGGGGAGTCGGCCCAGAGTCGGGAGCACGAGGCACCGGGGGTTGTGGGTGCTTTTCTGCGTACGCTGCCACTCCCTGTGAGTCGGAAGAGGCGGCGGTCGGTAGGACGAGATGGCTTCCTCCACGCCATGCTGCGAACGGTCGAATGTCTGGAAAAGCGAATTAGCGCGAATGCTCCATCACGGAGGTTATGGGCGACACAAGTCTGCCAGAATTGATACGTACCAGATTCTGGGCCACCTTTACGCTTGGCGAAGTAGCGCAAGGCGAAAAACCCCAACGCAGCGAGCACGAGGAAACCACCGACGCCTCCCACGACGCCGCCTACGATCGCGCCAGTGTGGGGGTGTGAAGACGACGTAGAGGCGAGCGCGATGGTGGGGGTTGCGGACACCGAGGAAGATGTTAGAGTCGGAACTGCCGTGGATGAGGTGGACGAGCTGGTAGTAGATGATGGCGCCGCTACGGGTGCGAAGAGCTCAGTCAACAACTTGAATGCTACCAGCCCTAGGTAGAGACGTCACGCACCGGAAGAGCTCGTGTTTGTTTGCTGCAGCGGGGTGATAATGAAGCCATCGATCTGCAGCGGATTGGAAGAGTTGCCACCAATGTCCGTGATTATGAGCTCATGCTCGCCCTCGCTCATGCTCAACGCGATGTAGAGCACGGATTGGGCGAAGCGAGTCCCCGGGAACGTCTCCCCGTCGGTGACGCTGAGATTCATCTGCGTGAAGTGTCCGTCGAGAATGAAAGTCGTGGGCGGCATCGGGAAGGTGTTGTTCGTGCCTACGATGCCATTCACAAAGAGGCATGAGCCTGACAAAATAATGCATGTGAGCTGAATGCTACGGTGTAAAGGAAATACATTGAAACCGGCATCGACATACCGTTGAACTTGAAATTGGCACTGAGGCCGGGGGTATTCGCGACGTGTCGTGTCCCGTTGAAGCCGTATGTTTGGTTCGTAAACGCTTGCCATGGGCCCGAATACACAATATTATCGTTGAAGTCGTCAATCGTGACGCTATTCGGGCAGAGCGCCATATTCGTAGAAGATGAACAGGTCGATGCGGCGTACTAGGATGCGGGCACCAGAGCAATGAATGACCGTGAGGGGGGCCGGTCCAGCTGGGGTCGGGATGCGCAGCTGAACTGCGAATGCTCCCTTTGAGGACCTTGTCCCGCCGGGTTCCTGGGACTCGGGATTACGTGACTGCGGTGCTACAGATCGTCCAGGAAGATGGACATTGAACGCTGTGCGGCGAGCGCGGAGGCTTCTTCATTGTTGGCTGTTGCAACGTTGATGGCTCGGATCGCCCACAGCTGGACGCTGGAGGCGGCGGCTGGACCATAACTCGAGCACGACCAATGGCGTCGCCAGCTAATCATAGAAGATTTCCTCTTTAGCTTCGTTTCAGTGATACCTTTCAGCCCAATTGGTCGTCCAGCGCCCGTGTCCTCTGGTGTCGCAAGTCATTTCAAATGAAGGCGCAAGCTAGCGGACGTCTTGACATCTAGCGACACGCGGGAGTCGACGGACACGTAAGATGTGAGTCGCGTTCTATCTCATCAAATTGGAAGTACTGTCACCCACCAGGTTCATCAAACACGAGATGGCGGTGAGTTCGGGGTCGAACATATGGTGGTCAGGGATTGAGAGAGCCGATCATATTAGCGCTCACTGGGCTCTGCTGCACCCACAACCCAAAGGCACAGCCTCTTGATCACCGTTTCGCCTTGAGTTCATTCCACTTCTATCCGCGCAACCTGTGTCCTCCGACTCCAGCGCATCATGAGCAACACCCATTATAGAGCCATCGACGCGATGGTGGCATGGACCCTGGTGAACTCATACACATTAAGTAAACGAACATTTTTAACATCATGATGCTTGCCCCCGCAGGCTGTTACTACACACCATGATACAACTTTTTCCTACCCTGCATCGACCCTCGCTCTCCACGTCCCGACCGACAGTAAGCTCGGTTACACAATGCGACGCCTCAAATCGCGGGCGGCCCGTTCGTATGGTACCACGTCTTCCAGATCTCCTCCAGCTTCTGCTCCGGCCACCGCGTCCTGATATCCTGCGCCCGCTCCTTCAGCTCACGGACGACAGGCTTCCAGTCCCGCACCAGTCGCCCGTCTCTCTTCACGACCTCGCCGTCGACGAACACCGTCTTGATGTCCTCGCCTGACGCGTGCATGACAATGGCAGCGATGGGGTCGCCAGCGCCTCCCAAGTTGACCGAGTCTGCGTCGAGAACAAGCAGGTCGGCGCGCTTCCCGACCTCGACGCTGCCCACGAGATGCGCAAGGTTGAGCGCCTCGGCACCTCCCAGCGTCGCGAGGCGGAACACGTCTGCGGTCATATGTTTGAGGTGCAGCGGTGTCGTGAGCTTGTGCTGGCGGGCGTGCTCGTGCTCGCGCCCGCGGCTCCACTGCAGAGCGAAGCGCATGGGGCCGAACATATCGCCGCTGTTGGCAGATATGCTGTCCTGCAACGCCACGCTGGTCAGAGCCTGGCGTCCCTGATCTCTCGTTCAGAGCTGCACTCACCGCTCCCAGCCCAGCTTTCACACCCTGCTCGACGGCGTCGAACGCAACATGGTTGCCGCACGACATCCCGATCTCGCCCACTGGGGTCGCCCCAACGGCAGTGCCGCTCTCCTTCAGCGCCTTCCAGGCCTCGTCGTTGAGCTCGGTGTGGTTCCCGAGGCCGTTGCAGTGCGAGAACAGCACGTCGGGGCCGAGCATGCCGCCATCCCGCCACGCGGTGACCGTCGAGGCCCCGATTACGTGCGCAGTGATGAGTGTGACCGAGCTCGCGCGCGCATGCGCGAGCCACTCCTTGTGCACCTCAATCGGGCCACGCCAGGAGACGTCGTACCTGCATGGTCAAAGGTGGTCAGCGTGCCACACCACGGCCGCACGATCTCAGCTCATAGTACTCACGCGAGTCCGAGCGTGACTCGCCCGTCAGGGCGCAGCTTGCCCCCGTCCACGCCCCACTCACGCACCTTCGCGCGCTGCCACGCATCCGTCTCCACCTCGTTCGCGAAGTCGAGGCTCGGGGTAATCTGCGTCGCGGGGCTCTGGCGCGCGGGCGCCCAGATGACGCGGGCGCCGGACTCGCGCACGGCGCGGAGGGACGCCTCGGCGTGTGCGGGCGTGTGCGCGGTGTTGAAGTGGTCGAGGATGGTCGTGACGCCGTTGTGGAGCGCGTCGAGGCAGCCGGCGAGCGTGCCGATGCCGATCTCCTCGGGTGTGAGCGACCCCTGGACCGTCCTATGATAGAATGAGTACGGTGGGACGCTAGGTAACGCAGGAGGGGCATACCAGAATGACTTGACGAAGTACTCGCTGATCGATATGCTACAGAGATGATTGTTCAGTCTCAGTCTACGGCACATGTGGAGATGGGGGTGCGTACTCGGCGTGACTACCCCGCGAAACGGTCATGTACAAGTGCCTGCCAGCCGAACACTCCAAGGTCAGAAACTTGAAGTGGTTTCAGGAATGGCAACACTATACCTGTGAGTGTCCACAAATCCAGGTGTGACCCACTTGTTCTCGCAGTCGAAGACTTCGACGCCTGACTGGGGCGTGATGTTTTCTTCAATACGGGTGATGCTGTTGCCCTCGACGAGCACATCCGCCTTGTAGACGCGAGGCTTGCTCTCGCCCTGGACAAACGTTACGACAGTGCCTCCTTTGAGAAGATATTTCGACATCGCGGTCATTGGAGAGTAGAATGGGGCTGAGAAGTTGACGATTTGGCCCAACCTCTCTCGACGTTTTATGTTCCCTGCCTAGACGCATTATGTAGCGCTATTTGCTACGTCCCTTGCTGCCCGCCCGCGGCAGTCGGATGGATGTAGGGGTGCTTGTGGATACGTTGTGGGAGCTGACTCAGATCCCGAAGCCCGCTGTTTCACCATCAACATGCCGCAGTACATTGAGCTGTTCTTGAATTAAACCGTTGCTTCTTCTGCCTCACACGCGTGCAATAGCAGGGGTTTGGTCGTCCGGACTCTACCAGCGTTCTAGTACTGCTATGTCCGACGAGCTGGCGTGGTTGCGCTATGTCCGACGATGGTGACGCATTCGCAAGCGATAGCAACCTGTATGTAAGCCAGAGGACTGCAAGAACTTGACGTGTGAGCATCCCGGAGGCTCGCAATGACAGTGGGGAGCATCTGACCCTTTTCTGATCGATACAGACGCGATTCGTTATTGACATAGACCGCCCGATTGCAGTTCACCTGTCAATGTGCAGTACCGTAGCGCAGCGTTTTGAGGTGCCTCGCGAGAATCGTTTGGCCAAATTTGCCTATTCTTATCCCCAAACGATCCTTCCTGCTCGAATAGCTCGTAGGAAGGGCGGAAGGGCCGAAAATGGAAGGCTGCTGGAGAGGGGAAGGCACGCTAGGTGAAGACTGTTTCTCGTGGTCTAGAGGGTGCGTAGCACCAGGGCAGTTATGAGAGTTCGACAAGCAAAGAATAGGCACGAGGCCCCAGTACCACTGCCAGACTTGATATGTTTGGACGTGAACCTACATGAACGACGGTGGCGAGCGAGGAGAAGTTGCGAAAGTGCCTGACACTGACGGGAACCTCAGGTTCGTCGGCAGTCTGCGGCCGCGGCAGTGCACAATAGAGCCACACAGTAGCGAGCTGCGTCTGTTATAACAATGATAAGTTTCCGTCGAGTGGAAGAGGGCATAACAATGGTCGACGTACGCACATGCCACGCGCTGAGGACGTAATGAGGACGGATGGCTGTCTCGCAAAATGCCATATTTCAGAGTTCCCTCATAAAAGACCGCACATGCTGTATGTCGAAGAGTCGAGCGTCCGCGTTCGCAGACAATCCACGACAGAGCGGGAGCGGCGATCTCTACGAGTAGACCTCGTCATCGGACGGAAGCATACAGGAACCGCCAAGCAACTAAAGTCGGGAAGATCACTCACGCTGAGTATGCGTACTCATATTCTCTCAGGTATGTGGTCCCCTTGATACTGAGCTGTTCGCAGACAGCTTGCAATGTTGCAGTCGTCGCACACGCGAGCCAAGTCGAGAAATGTAGGTTTCTTCATGGTCTTGCCTGGTAGATACGCTCAGGGAGTTCAATGGCGGCAAATTGAAGACCACGGTATTGCGTCCTATACGGATACATGTTGAGAAGTTCGTGAGGCTAGCTATAGTACTGGCGTTGAAGAGAGAGAATGATATGTCGAGCAGGAGGTAGTGCCTGGTAGTGCGGCGGCGGGCGAGGCCTGAGCGCGCTGGCTTAGCGCCAGAGTCTGGCCGTGCCATGTGCGCGTGACGTCATCGGCGCTAGCACGAAGCGTCCGGCCAACTCGGAGTTCTGCTCTTCTTCTCCTGCACTCACTTGCTCGCCGATTGTCGCTGTTCCTCTGGTTGTAGACCGCACGTCAAGTACTGGCTGGTTTTTCTGTCTTGCTTTGCTTTATTCTACCCTGGATGCTCTGAAGTCAACACCTCAGTACTGTCGCACATGTACTACACCTATCACCTATATGGTCCTCCCAGCGACGGCTAGCGGACATTGGGGCCCGGCAGAAACGCGATCAGTGCCAGTTTTCGACGAAAATTGCATCAAGGTAAGCACAATCAGGCTTCAGGTATATATATACATTTGGTCAATCATGGAGATGTTTGATCCGGTCTACGTCTGCCCTTCGCTTGAAGTTCGAATGTTCGTGTTGTACACTCTCCCCTTTCAGTGCGATCGTCCTGCTTTCGAGTCTATGCACATCAAATATTGCTGTGTTCACTCAAATTCCGATACTTCAGGATGTAGCCCACTTTACACCGAACGAGTGTTGACTGATACCCGCTTTTAGGCTGCATTCTCGTCATTCGACCTCTGACCGATGAAGACAGCCTCCGAGAGTGTGGCAGTTTTCAGCATGCAACGGAAGGATTCATCCGGATCAGGTAATCACATATATCACCATCCGGACCCCTCGTACAACGCAGCCTTAAGGAATGCGCAACTCTGAGCTGCCCGTGTGGTGCCTGTCATCGATGCTGTCCTACGTACGTCGGTGCGCATCGTCTACTCACCAATTTTCTCTGCGTCCCATGGAATGACTCACAATGGAATAAGTGCGATATGAGGCAGGCGATTGCGTGGATATATAGAATAAGACACTGACCACTTCGTTGTTCCGATAGGTCCTCTCATCCGGCTCTCGACCGCGATCAACGAGGTATGTTCATCATATCAGCTGAGCTACGGACATCTCATGCTCAATGCTCTCTGCTTATTACGCCTAGTCCCAAAACTCACTTCAGATGATCCCTGCAAGGGACTATTATACAACGGGTATTTTTACACCTCTCAAGCTCGAATCGGCTGGCCACCGGGTCTGTGTTCGCTCTCAAGATGGGGATGAGACCGCTGTGTGGCACTGCTCCCGATTTTCCTTGGCTCTGCTGAACGTGCGACGATCATGGCGTACGCGCGCCCCATCCCCCAATATTCCTGGGATCCAAAACCTCGTCGAGGGAGCCAGACTCGATGCCAAGAACTCACATACGTTCATACGGCTGCCCATCTCTCGAGTTCCCTGTCTGCCAACTTCCTCTGTATCGGACACACCTTCGCGTATGCTAGGCCTCACATGCTGTCCCCATGACCGTGCACGATTCCCTCCGCGTCGGGCAGTGAGCGCGCTGTTTCTCCGAGCCTAGTCGCGGAGTGCGAGCACGTCGTCTTGGATCTCCGCGGCGCGATAGGTGTGCAGCTCTGGGTCCTGGTCCCCCTTTGGTCTCGCCCAGGTCCTTTGATGCGCCCATGGACTACCTCTACGCGCATGTTGTCTCACGTGTCCTCAGCAAGCTCGTCCCCACCTCTAAGCCCTTGGCACCATCTACATCGTGGATATACAGCCCTCGCAAGGTCGTCCGAACTAGCGCATTCTCCGACCCACCACGGAGCGCCCGCATAGCGCGTACAAGCTCGAATGCGGGAGTGTAGGGTGAGTAGGGTGAGTACCGATGCGGGGGCGCTGTGGTGACGCACTTCGATGCATTGATAGCATGTTTTGTGGCTATACAGACGTTTAGCAATACTATCTAGCTTGTCCCCTGATCTCTCATGGCATAATGACATTGGAAGGTTGGAAGGTACGCCTCGATTTGTGCGCCCTTCTTCAGAATGTTCGTGATAATTTATTTTCACCAGACGTACATCGATGACACAATTCAGCTACTCACGGTTCTCGGTCCCGACATGACGGAGACTGCGGAGCCAGTCCGCGTATGCACTGGTGAAGCACGTCCTTCGTATACACGCTGACAACCGGTACCAGGTGAGGGCCAATACAGGTCATCGCCTATCTGCCATTTGCCTCCTCAGGTCCTTCACGTCTCATGGGGCTGTGCTCGTAGAGCCGGCCAACACCTCACCGCACTTCGAACACCTCCCCTGGGTTTTTCCGCCGAGGCAATGCTGTGCGCAGACTGGACTGCCATGAGGCAGTATGCGACTGCGGTAAGCGGTTGGCGGTCTCTCGTACTGCATTCCCTGCTCCCGGCGTCTCGTCATGCAGTGTCTCTTCTTGAAGGCCACCCGCAGGCCCGCGCTGTCCAGGACATGCGGTTGAGCTGCGGCGGACCTCAAAGTACATACAAATTCTTGTTAAATCTTCACAACCCATTCTGATCTGCATCGTCTCCCCAGAAGCGCAGATATGCAGTATGACAGAATCCCTCGCATGGCCGCTGCGTTGTACAGTCCGTGCGGCTCGAGGAAGTCGATTCCAACGCGAATTAAACTGGTCGACTGTCGTCCTTGCGTAGTCAGAGCAAGTTTCAAAATTCTTGAGAGTCTGGGTTCAATCAGGCAACACGCCAGATCTGGCACCCGCCGCAGGACCGACATCAGTTATACCATGTTCCACGGCGGGCTCATCGACGTTTGCTCACGAGGTTCGCCAACAACAGTGAATCCCGATGGATGATAATCATTGCCACTCCTTGCCTGTACGAGGGCCCCGAGGCGCACTATGCGCGAGGTCGTCCCCTTGCGCGACCCAACAGAAACAATGGCGGCCAAGCGCTGGCGAGAACACGGCATCACATTTCGAAGAGGGCGGATGACATGTGGAATAATACGCGTCCTCGCATTGGTCTCTATTCTGAGAGCCTTCGTCCGCATGCTGTTCCATATATGACGAAGTATCCCATCGTCGAACCATGTAGCCGTTCGGCCATCGGATGCGAAGCATGCACCGCAGGGGCGATGCCAGTGCCTTTCCATGTCATGACATGGTCCGAATCTAATTTCGATTCGGGAGACCGAGTCGTTCACGCAACGCCCGTAGTCTTCCGGTATTGTGCTGGCACACATATGCATGTATCACCTCTTCCAACATTGATGCAAAGCCTTCAAGTTGGCGCTTTGTTTCCAGTTTTCGACAGTTGAATTTCGGGTGTTGCGCTTACGAGTAAGACATTTGTGCAGTCTGTGCACGATGCATGATATTCGACAGAACCTTGTACACAGAAGACTTCTCCTCTTGTATGCGGCTACTGTATTTAGCATTCGGCGAGATCTGTCCCATGCGGGGCGCGCAGTATAAGGCCTCAGAGAACACGCTCAGGACTCCCCCCACGCGTATCGGGCACGCTGTCAGCCCTTCCCCATTCTCCATATCTCCAATCGCTCATAAAACCGCGGTGTTGAACTTCATTCCCGGGATCAATGTAGGCATGAAATCAGTCATGTGCCGGCAGTACACGTTACTTACCAGTTGGTTCGATGCCAATAGCATGCCGCGATTCCTGAACACCTTCACGGGCGAGTTCGAGTGGCACAGTGATCCGAAGAATGCCATCTACGCTATTCTATCCCACGTTTGGCGCGACGCCAAGGATGGCGGAGAGCAGACGTTCGATGACGTGCGGAGGATCCAGGAGGCTGTGAGGGGAGGCCGTCCACCTGCCACTAATCCGTCACCGACGGTGTACCGCGAAGAGGACACCATCTTCGCCCATCCTGATCTCTCGGACAAAATCAAGGGCTTCTGCAAGGTCGCTCGCGAGGCCGGATTTGATTGGGCATGGAACGATGCTTGCTGCATCGACAAGACGAGTAGCGCCGAGCTCTCCGAGGCTATCAACTCGATGTACGAGTTATACAAGTTCTCAGACGTCTGCTACGTCTACCTCGCAGACGTCCACCACGAAAGCAACGGGAATATAAAGTCGCTATTCCGAAAGAGCAGATGGCACAAGCGAGGCTGGACATTGCAGGAACTTCTCGCACCGGAGCGCGTAGAGTTTCTGACGCGGGACTGGACCTTCCTGGGAACAAAAATAGGACTCGCTCGGACGTTGTCGAACATTACTGGAGTGGACGTCAACATCCTCACGGGTCGGGCCACCGTAGACTCGGCTAGCGTTGCTCAACGGATGTTGTGGGCCTCGCAGCGAGAAACAACGCGCATCGAGGACAGATCATACTCGTTGATGGGTCTCTTTGGTGTCCACATGCCTACCATCTACGGCGAAGGTCCCAACGCGTTCCTCCGTCTCCAGGAGGAGATTCTTCGGACGGTCCCCGATCACAGCCTTTTCATCTGGGGTGGCTATGTGCGGAGACCAAGTCTAATCTTCCACAAAGGTTTGCACCTTTCTGAAGACAGTCCATACCAACGCGAGGCCAGCACACCATACTTACTCGCCGAATATCCGGACTGCTTCAGGTTTGCTAATCTCGCTCATCCAATTTCGTCCTCAAGATTCGCATCGCGTCTGCGCCTCAAATCAGGCGATGACATTCCACCATTGCTCTGCGTGTTCACCTCGCAAGGGGTTCGCGTGCAACTGCTTTGCCTTGACTTCGCCAACCTAACACGTCTACAACGGAGGCCCCCAAGTTGGACAAGTCTTTTCGGGGACCCCCAATGCATGGACTGCCATGGACATTATGCGGACAAGCTTGCACTGATACAGTGTGAGAGATGGAACGGGGACCTCGTCGCACTCCCTTTGTGCAAACCCCCCCAAGAACGAGCCGATGAACGCGGGCTTTCCATCGCGACATACCTTTACTGTGACAACTGCAAGCCTAGGTCTCGGCCCCCTCATTATGTGTCTATAAGCCAGAAGGCGCTAGAAGAGGCTTTGGAGCACGTTCCACTTGTGGCTCTCGAGGTCCATCTCCGTCACCGCAACATGAGGCGCCCAATCCCGAAGTCACGGATCACGTACAAGCCCATTGTCCCCACTCCTACTCCCCTCCTTCTACAGATCGCCCCCCGATACTCTGAGGCCGAAGTGCGTATTTCCATCTCACCCCAAAGTGTAAAATCCCTCGATGCGATTGGGTGCCACATCTCCCCTTTGAAATCTACGTGCTTGGCTCCAGGTCAGGAGTTCACCGTGGCCACCTCCCTTGTGCTCGATCTCACTCGTAACTCGAAAGAGTACGATTCGGACGAGGAGTCCAGCTCGGGAAAATGTGATTCGGATTCGGGCCCCACCACAGAAAAAACACCCGAAGCACGGAGGCAACACGTTATTAACCTAGATATCTCACTCAAATCATATGCACCCCCGCCGCCGACCGAAACGTATTCAATTCAAGACAAGTTCAGCCACGATACGCAGGTCTGCTTCTCAATCTCTAGTTGCATCCGAGTCAATACCCCTACTCCCTATCTGAATCCTCCCCCCAATAACCCTGATACCGGTGCCTGCGACCACACACCTGCAACCAAGGGACCGGGAAGGCCCTGTATCAGTGATAGTGGAGGCACCCGCACTTGCACATTTCATTCAGAACATCACATGCAGCGGATCATGGCACAAACCGACTTCATAATCCCTGCCGACCTGGACTGGGAGTGCGAGGATGAATACAAAGTGCGGCTTCTGCGGCTGGGACTGGAGTGGGCAAATTGGGGTATCGGTCTGCTTGATCCAACCGACCCAGGTACTCTTCGCGTACTATGGCTCACCATCGATCTGTCGGAGAAGTACGAAATCCAACTCCCGAACGACGTAGACAAGGGCAGGCACACCGGCTTCGCCCCTGTGGAGCCCCTGTCCGATGTTTTATTTCCACGGTGCGACGCTATGGTGAGTGACTACTCTGTGAATATGTATGCAGTTCTAATTACTCATAACAATGGGTCGATCGATGCTCTTGATACCTAGATCCGAACCACTCCGACATCCGATTCCACTATCACTATGCTTGGTGCCACGACGGCAGGGCCCGCAGAGAAACACCTCGGTCAAAAGCGGCCGCGTGAAGTGGGCTTGGATGTGGAGCCGCTGGAGAGTGATCAAGCGAAAAGGGCCCGTCTCGATTCTCCACGCATGGAAAGCCTCTTGGAGGGGGAGTTTACAGTGGCCTGTCAAGAACGCACGGACCCGCATCCTTCTCGCATGGAGAGCCAAACCAACAGCAGCGCCGGTCGTGTCGCGGGTTCCGACTGTCAGAGCACCACTTTCAGCCAAGAAGGAAGGAGTATAGGCACACGAGAAAACATTACGATGATGTCGCATGCAACACCAGTAAGTCTGCAGCTAGTTTTGGTTACCACCCTCTGCGTTCCATGCAAAGATGTAACAATGTTTAAATTTACAGGTGCACACGCCATCGTCCTGTCTCAGTAATGTCTATAACGACGTTGACGCTGCTACTTTGCTGCTTTCGCTTTCCGGAGTGCGCTCCTTTGAAGGGACTTGCGATGTTGGGTCGAGCGACAAACCCGAAGGCTATGAGAGCCATCAGTCGTTTCGCAGAGATCCTCCTCCCCCTGCAATCAATCAACCCAGCAACCCACCAAACATTATCGAACCCTCCGAGCGCGCAGGTACATGGTATGTGGACCCCGCTCCCATACACCCATTGCGACACGACAGCGATCGTCTGCCCTCCTCCACGGACATCCCATCGCTGTCTCGTAGGTCCCCGCGTATCCAATCTGGCGGTGATGCTTCACTCGAGCTACCGGAGTCGAACGACAGCTTTTGGAGCTCAGAGATCAGGCGGCCCTCGACTGGACTGAAACGGGGCGACCATAGGTCTCTTGGAGACAGAGTCATCAACCAGGCAATGGATGGTGGCGACGACTCTCTCAGCCGACATGAGGACTCCGCCCTCCGGGCGCAGATCGAGCTCTTGACGAAGAAGAATGTGGAGCTGTCGTCGGCGGTGGAAGCCCTCTCTTCTCAAAACGGAGTCCTCGCATCGCAGATGGCCACCGTGTTGGCTCGACTGGATGCTCAGGCCGCGTCTCCAGGTGTGTCATGTCATGGTTTTTGTGCGTTGAATTGTTGGGAACTCAAGCTGTGAGTGCTGCAGGACACGCCTCGCGCGCCGCGTAGCAGTACGATGACACGTTTCCGGGCCGTGGACAGTATATGTATAGTAGACGGTGGTCATGGTGTATGCAAGGTTTCGACGGAGTATTCATTGTCCTCGGGGTTACGCAGTCACTGCAGCTGCAATCCGTTTGCCTAAAAACAGACGGGGCTTTTACGGGGTCTCGCGCATACAGCATCGGTGAGATAAATGTAGTATACATCAGAATGACTTCACCATTCGTACTCTGCGCTGCTAGAACTATCTGACATGTCTTATCCGGCGCTACGTGCGCGGCCTAGTGAAAGGGTCGTCTCATTTTGCAAGAGCTTAGCGTGTGAGGACGAAAGCTACGAGACACTGACGGGAACCTCAGGTTCGTCGGCAGTCTGCGGCCGCGGCAGTGCCACCTGGACCACGGATCACCCAATGTGCGACTCCGGTACGTGCGTCACTCCTCGATCGGACTTGCGTTCCGGGGTCATAATCGGTCATAATCACAGTACGTGCGCGTTATTTTTGGGAGAATTGCAGTCTGATAATGCTCGCGCAGAGGTCTAGACAGGAGGGTACAGGCCGTGCGAATGCGTGGAGCACGTTCGTGAAAGCCTCGGTGGTGGAACGGCGCACAGGATAAGCGTGACGCACGCCGTGCCCTGCCCGCCACGCCACTGGCTCGAGCTTGTGCCGGTGGCGGACGCGTCCCTCGTCGCGTCGTCGGCTGCGTCGCATGCGCAGAGATGGGTGCAGTGCAGCGACGGCTGGATGCTCTTTCCAGTACCTCTTTTTCCCGATCGGAACCGGGCCGGTATACAAAGCATACGGTACCTCCACGACTCCGAGTCCTCTCCCCCTCCAACCTCTCACTCTCCCCCGCTTGCAGCTCTGCTATCCCTCTTTCTACGGAGGTTAACCCCTCTCTCGCCGGCCGTCCACTCTCTGTGCTTGTATAGACGACGACATACCATGGCAGCACCGAAGGCATTACCGGAGTGCTGGGGTCACCGTGGGGTGAGAGTTTGCACGTCCCAATCCCGTCGGAGGCGGCCGGCTGATTGGCTGTATGGTCAATGTTACGCGTGCGAAGGCCTCAGCAGCCTTCCCGGAGAACACACTTGCGAGTTTCGAGCGCGCGTTCCGCGACGGGGCAGAGGGGATCGAGAGTGGTGAGTGCTACTGCGGTCATATCTATACTCACCTTTTGACGCGCGCCGTACCACGAATAGACGTGCACGTCTCCTTAGACGATGTCGTGGTCATGTTCCATGATCCAAGTACGTTCGCGTCTCCGTGGGTTTGACCTGTGGAATAACCATGCGTTGCAGCTTTGGACAGAACGACCGACGGGACTGGTCAGAGCCCTGTTGCCTAGCGTCAGTGCAAAACCTCACAGAACCGTCCAGGTAATATCCGGGACCGAAACTGGCACGGCCCAGACGGGATGGAACACCTGAAGACAAAGAAAGAGCCAAAGCAGTCCATCCCTACTTTCGCAGAGACCGTCGCGCTGCTCATGATGGTAAGGCACAGTACGCACCCGGTCGAGACCTCGCGATTACTCACCACCTTGATATGCACGTCTCGCATAGCCCGAAAACCGGCACATCACGTTCAACGTTGACGTAAAGGTGTTCAGCGACCCGACGCGCCTCTTCACGCTCATGCACGAGATCATTGCGGGGCAGCCAAACTGGCAGACGGACCTCGCGCCGCGCATATTGCTCGGGCTCTAGCATCCGCGCTTCGTGCAGCCCGCGAAGAAGATCCTGCCATATTGCAAGCGGTCTTTCATCGGAAGAAGCGCCTGGGTGGGCCAGAAGTATTTCTGGGACAGCTGCGAGGTGTTCTCGATCAATTTTGCTACGCTCGCGAGCTGGGAGGGTCAGAAGTATGTCTGGGTGAACATTGATGGGGCATAGCTGACCTTCGTGGACTGACGATATAGGTTCATCGAAGAATGCAAGAAGGAGGGAAAGAAAGTCATGGCATGGACTGTGAACGACCCTGGCGAGATGGCCGAGGTGAGTATGCCCAGACCTGAGCGCAGAGTCGTCGCATGAACAGGAACTCACCGAGCTTACCGCAGTGCGTACGCATGGGAGTAGACGTCATACTCACTGATAAGACGAAGGTCTGGCTTGACCTGCGTGAGGAAATGAAGAGTGCGTATTTCTCACCCCCTCGATGGTCCGCGACAGGATTAGCTGAACGCTAAACGCCGGGGGTGTGCAGATGACTACGATGGCGTTATGCGGCGGTACAGTCGCACCTTCCTCTGGACGTCTAGCCGGTACTACCTGCCCACCCGGAAGCTTTGGGAAGGGCTCCTGCTGTATATCTTGCAGAAGTATGGCGGGCCGCTGGATCAATTTGATAAGGTGGAGGACGCTCCCATCACGGTGGTGCACCCTGCGCCCACAACCGCCACCGTGAAAGCTTGATGGGACTGACTCGCGTTGGACTCGCGGGACCAGGGCGTCGGTTCCGGGGCTGCTGCGACCTTTGTATTGTGCGCCCTTTCGGCGGCAATGATGGTGTACGATAGACAGGACATACCCAGTGTGCATGTAGTATTCGTATGTAGAGCACAGAATGAACGCGATGTGTAGCCGAATTTGAGTGGGCGTGCGGAGGAACGTAGATGGCCAAATAAGGGACAACAGCGGAGTGTGCAGCACGGGGCCGGGGAGCGCATGGCGTCGTCTGCAGGAGCGCGCATCTGTCTGCTGCTCTCTCACTCACCTCCGACTCCCTCGCTAGTTTCGTATCTCGCCGTTCTGACTCGTTCCCGGACGCGTAACGCGTCCTTGACCCGCGGTGGCCATGTACGCCTCCTCCCAGCGCCGCGGCCACCACCGCAAACGTCTCTCCGCCCTGCGCCTCTCCTCAGACTCGACCGTGACCACCCTGCCCGTCTACACCTCCCCGCCTAGACATAGACACCCCGATCTGCCCGAGATTCCCTCGGAGCAGCCCCCGGCGTACCCAGACAGCGCAGAAGAGGCCGACGAAGACACCGACCCCAGCGACTCGGACGTCTTCATCCCCAGCCTGCCCCCTAGCCTCCCTGCCTCCCCGCGGCCCACCTCCCGCCGGCCCCGCCTCACCCGCGGCCACCGCAGGCAGCAGAGCCTCGCGAGCGCAAGCGACCCGTACCTCGACTCCCTCCTCGAACGCAGCGTGCACGCGCTCGAGATGTCCAACGCCCTCTTGCAGTCTTCCATGTCCACCCAGTCCAGCCTGTCTGCCGTGCTCGCTGATGACCGCGACGTAGATCGCTCTATCGAGCAGAGAACTGAGGCACTCACGTCGCGCATGCGGAATAACAGGGACATGCACGAGTCTTGGATGGACGACCTCGATCAAATTTCCCGCGGCGTCGAGGGCCTTGTGCGCGGCGAAGAAGAGCAGGAGGAAGACGCGGATGATCGTGCTGAAGCGGACCGGGCTCGCCTACAAGAGCCAATCAGCCAGAGCCTGCCCACTGGCGGTCTATCTGAACGCATGCAAAGGCGGCAGCTCAGGCGGGCGTCGCAGGATTTCCGCCCGGAAGCAAGCTCAAGTTCGAGTTCGAACCTACAACTCTCCACCCACGACAGGAGCGCGTTCGTTGCCCGCGCCCCGCGTGCGCTCACGATGTACATCGACTCCTCCGAGGCTGCCGATGCGATTGCGCTCCCATCGACGCTCGGGGTGCGGCCGGCTGCGCGGCCAATGCTCACGCCGCTGCCATCTCAAACATCTTTCACCTCCGTGAGCACCGAGGCGGAATCGCCCGTAGCGGACGAACAGCCGAGGCGCGTGGTGGACATGCTCGCGTCCTTCGTGATGCCGCGTTCGTCTTCTTCCGTGTCTTCCTCGCCGTCAAATTCGTCCCTCCTGCGGCGCCGCGATTCGAGCAGCAGCAGCTCTCGCACCGTCAAGAAGCCGCGGGCCTCGAAATCGCCTCCGCCAGCGTTGCAGCTCGATACCCCTGGTGCAGCCTCGAGCAGCAGTCGCCGTTCGCGCTCTCTCACCCCGAATCACGGGTCCCCCGTGATTCGGCAGTCCCGGCCGCTCACGCCTCCCATCGAAGAGCTCTCGACGTCATCGACGTCCTCGGACTCGACCTCCTTGCACGTAGAACGTACCGTGGACTCTCTTCGCCAGATCCTCGAGAAACAACGGAGTGCGCAGCGCAAGGGATCGACGAGCTCCGCGCCGCCACCTCTGCCCAGACCTTCCCTGCTATCCACTCCTAGTGTGGCGCCGATCGCCGGCACGTCGACCGCGACCGCGTCCGTGTCGCGTCTATTCACGAAGAACCGACATACAACAACACGTCCGCCTTCGCCACCCAAACAGTCCTCAATGAAGGGCCGCTCGGCCCCTTCTACGCCTATCACCCCACTAACGCCCGCCCTCCATACCCCCTCCACATCATTGCTCAACGTTCCCGATGTTTTTGGACAAATGCTCGGCGTACGACCCCGCAGCGGCACTTCCTCCGGCGCCTCTACCCCCAAGCGCATCTCCTTCGCAGAACCCCCCGAGCCGTATTCGAGCTCGAAGCCCGCCGGCGCGTCCTCCAAGTTCCACAAGGGCAAGTCCAAAGCCAAGGAGCGCGGACGCGCGAAGGGCAAGGGCAAAGCGCGCGAGGGCAGCGGTGCAGACAGCGACAGCGAGAAGACCGGCTGGTGGACGGGCTGGCTGCTCGGTGCCGCGGGTGCAGGTAACGCGAGCGGGTTGGGTATGGGCGTCGGCCGTGCCCGCTCGGAAGAGCGTTATGCGTATCCAGGCGCGCGCAGCGCAGGCACGGGCGGGAGCTCGTGGTCTACGCGGCCTGGCTTTGGGAACAGCTTGGAAGAGTGGGGAGCATAACCGGGTCGCAGAGCTATGTGTATGTCTCCCGGTATGATGTCTGTTCATATGGTGGCGATCTACATGGATCTGCAGGTGAGTATTTCACGCCTTCGGTGATTTGCCTGTATAAAAAGTTGCTAACCGGCGTCGGCGTACAGTACAGGCTAACTTATACATAACTCCGTCATGACCCCTAATGAACTAACGACCTACTATCTATCCTCTATCTCTACGCGCCGCCAGGCGGCGCTCGTATACACTCTTTCATCCGTTATCGTTCCCGCATATCCCCATTGCTGTATTTTTTATGCAGGGCCATTCCGTCTTTTTCTTCTATCACGCGCATTCCTACTCGCTTTTCCACATTTTCCCCAACCTTCCTTCGCATATCTGGATACCCCCCGCACCACACCACTCCGGTGGACGCTGCACCATATATCACCCGCATTTACGCATTCACTCGAACCTTTCATCACAAACAGCACAGCCAAAGCACGCATGTAGAGTAGTATCCGCTAGCGTGCGCTCTCATGTCAATGCACACTGTATTTTGTCGCCATCTCGCATTTCATGCCAAGATATACCCGTACTCGAACAACAACCAAACGCCGAGTAACGTGCGCAAGCAAAAATTACAACACGAGCTCCTCGACCTGATACAGCCCGACAGCGACCGCGGCCTGCTCGTGCGCGGCCTTGCGCTTCCGCCGCCAGTCGCGCCCGCTGTCGCCCTTCGACGCGACGTCCTTGCTCTCTGCTGCCCGTGCCTGCGCCTTCGCGGCTGCACGCGCGAACGGCTCCAACGGGCCGGCGAGGTGCTCGAGCGCACTCGTGAGCGCGAGCGTCGGCTCGAGGTGTGCCGCGAGCGTGCGCAGGAGGCGGTGTGCCGGAGCGTATGCGAGGAGCGCGAGGAACGACGCGTCGAGCAGTGGCTGGAGGAATGCGAGCACCTGCGCGCGCGCGAGAAGATTTAGTTATGGTAGCGGGACTGGGGAGAGCGTCCGGAGACTGACCTTGTCTAGTGGAGGAAGCTCAGAGGCGGGCACGGCGGCAGCTAGGAGCGCGCCGTCGTCCGTGTGCTGGACGATCCACCCGTCGAGCACCTGCAGCACGGGCAGGAGGTCCGCCGCGTCCGGTATGTTCTTGCGCACGGCGACGCGCTGGAGCGCGGGCGTGAACGGGTACACTACGCACTGCGCCAGGAACGCCGCGAGCGCAGGCGTCGGCGAGGACGTAGCGTCGACCTGCATGGCGCTGTCGTCTGCAGGTGCGTTACGCCTGTGCGCCGCGGCGACTTTGCTGAGAAGCAAGATGACGTCCGTCTCTGGCAGGTCCGAGACTGTGCGCATCGCGAGGCTGATCGTTTCCTACAACAGAAATGTCAGCTGCAGATTATATCCGATAGACGGGAACACGAACCCAGTCTTCCCGCGCCGCCAAGGCGGGCAAGAGGCCACCATCCACCATGGACGAGTTCACCGCGCGCCGCTCGAGCAAGTGCCGTACGATTTTCGCCGAATACGTAACCGGCCCAGACGTCTGCGCGCCCGCCGCGGGCAGCACAAGGCCCAACGCGCCCTCCGTGAACACATACTCGACGATCGCGACCCGGCCCTCCGCAGCGTCCGCGTTCGAGGCCTGCACGGCCTTGCGCGAGTTGTCCGGCTTGAAGTACTCGAAGAACGCGGCCTCCGCGCCCGCGACGTTGCCCGCCGCGCTCACGTTGATCGACGCGCGCATCTCCTTCAGCGCCTTGCGCGCGGCGGGGCTCATCTCGGGCCCGCGCGGGCCCGGGTTCGCGGCGTTTGGGGGCAGCTTTGTGGATATCCACCGTGCGCCTGCGCTGGCGCGGCCCATTGCGGCGGCGATCGTGGAGGTAGCGGGGACGGTGAGCGGGACGACGAGGATCGTCGATCGTGCGGGCGTGCTCTCGGCTTGTGGGTCGCGGTCGGGCGCGGGCGCGAGCACGAGAAGGCCGTTTAGATGTACCGCCGACTTGTTGCTTGCGTCTGCAGACGGCACGGATGAAGCTGAGAGGCGGATTATTGCGCCAGTCTTTTTCGGACGAGGAAGAGTGGAGGGGGCAGGGATGGCCTGTTGCGCGACCAGAACGCCGTATCGTAGATCCCACAAGAGAAGGACAATTTCGGTGGGTGAGCCGGAAGACACACCAGCAAGAAGGACATGCGAAGAGGTGAGTGCTGCGAGGGACACTTCACTAGCACGGCCGGGAGAGGTGAAGGTGAGGGCTTGGAGGCGGAGGGGCTCTGCGGCAGAAGAGACCGAGAGGGAGGAGGATGGGGAGGTGGTAAGGGAGAATGCGTGCCAAGTTCCGGAGTGTACTAGAGAATACTGCCTTCAGTATGCAGAATAGCTCTCACCGGTGAAAGGACATACAGAGGACACTGATAAAACCGGAGTTACTACATGAGACGTCGATGATATCCTGAAAGACGATTAAGTGAGCTGGCTGGTGAGCAAACAGATGCACGTACTGTCTCTTCCATGGGAAGTGCGCTCTCCCCTAGTGAGCTCAAACTTCCATCTTCTGATATACCGACAATTGCCACCCTTGAAATGTCTCCACTCTTGAGGAACAGTGATAGCACAGCACGATGTGATGCTGCGACATGCGGTGACAAGAAGGAGCAGGTAGAGGAGGGGAAGAGAAAGTGTTTTAGCAAAGTGCTCGCTTGCTGATTTTGTGGCGTGAATGTATGCTGCACTCGGAGCTCCTTGTCCGCTACAGATACTTGGCCTGCAGGACCCACAAGCACTGCGGCGTCGGGCAGGTATTCGGGCGCATATATGTGGGAGACCGGGTGAGGAGCCTTGGCACGGGGAGGTTGAGGGCGAACGCTTGACTTCAAGGCGAGGACAGAACTCACTACTGCCACTGTTTTGTTCTTCTCGCCTTGCAAGTCGGCGGTCATCACACCTCCTGACAGCGATTCCTCCCATGCGACCACTGTCTTCCCCTTCCCTTCCGGCTGTACGTCGGGGCCCGTTTGGAGCACGGCATAAGTAGTGCAGACACGACTGCCGCTCTTGTGGGTTGTTCGCGACGCCGGAGGGCCTGCGAAGGATGTTGATGGGCCTAGAGTATGTGACACTGCCGGGTGCAGTGTCGACGTCTATGGAGAGCAGGTTTTAGCCGGTGCGGAGAAGCGAGAGAGCGGTACGGACGTCGAGGACATGTATGCCGTCGCCGTGAACGGCTACGGTGACGAAGAAGTCTGCATCGCTGGTGGAGGGTAGCGAGGCGTAGACGGGTACAGCCGAGAGTTTTCTGTGGGGGGCGGAGTCCGGGTAGGAGGAGAGGAGGAAGGGCTCTGCGACGGTGGCTGCACTCATCTCGGTCAAGAACAAGCCCAAATTTCAAAAGTACAGGAAGATACAGCTGCTTCTATTTTAGGGTTAGGGTCCCAATGCCCATCCGGTAGTTCTCCTTGCAGCACTGCACCACCTCCTTCGCGCTCCCCACATTCTCTTCATGCCCCTCCAGAATATCGGAGAGGTTCCTCAATAGTTGGGGCAGTCGTCTCTCGCTAGGCTGGGCGGCGTCTGTAAGCGAATTCACTTGTGCCCGCACATTCTGGCACTCTGCCTCTAGCGCGTCTGTAGCAACTTGGTGAGCTCGAGTCTTTGCTAGTCGTCGCGAAGGTACTCACCGAGGGTATCAAGCAAACCGGTATACTGCGTAACGTGTGTAGTGTCATCCAGGGGGGCAGAAGTCAGACGTAGTGTCTGGGCTATAGCTTCGGCGAGGTCGTGTTCAGCCTCCTTGAACCGCATGATGATCGCCGCTACTTCTTCAGCGACCTACGACATATTGTGATGTTAAGTTCAAATTTATGGTCGTATGGGACTCACCTTGGTATCGTTCAGCTCGTCGTAGAAGTCCAGTAGTCGTTCAGCCTCATAGCGCACGCGACTTTCCGCGATGTCTGTCTCTTCTGCATCGAGCTCCTCCCGCCGTTTCTTCAGTGCGCCTTGTGCAGCAGCTCTTCCAGACGACAGCCCTTCTTCCACAGTAGAAGTCATGTATGACCAGGCGCATGATTGAGCTGCGAGCTGCAATGTATCCGGTGGTCCCGGAGGCGGAGCTGCTTCGGCGGGTGGACGCGCCTACTCTCAGAACAGGTGTAAGGTTTGGTACGTGCGCCATCGAGTTGAAAACTAGAACGTAGGGTATAGGACGCAACGTACTTTGGACGCGTCACGCGCTGTTGTGTTCCCGGTTCTCGCACTCACGGAGTGCGCTCCGGACTCCTTGAGCGTGGTTGTGGCTCTCACGCGGGTAGAGGGCTCTGCGCGGGACCGAGACTGCGCGAGCTGTGTCGTCGTGGCCTTCGGTGCTTTTGCCCCTGGTCGCGCCACATTGCTTTGGTTCAGCGTTCGTGCAGCAGAGGCAGAGGGTTTCGAGTCTGAAGTGTTAAGATTGGCGCGGGTACCGGATGACGCAGTTGCTTGACGAACTGTGCTCGGCACAGCCTTGCCTTGAAGAGGTAGTCTATGAGATGGTGTTACGAGAGGAGAATATGGCAAAAGGAGACTGTACCGCGCTGGGACGGCCTGAGGGCGGAGGAGGACATGGTCGCGAGAGGACAAGCGCGGCGCGTGTGGCGAGCGAGGCGTGGTGGGGTCGCCGGACCGAGCCAGCCGGGTGCAGTCGAGTGTGCTGATTCGTGCTTTCTCGGCTTCGACGACGACGTACGCAGGCCCGGAGTCCTCCCAATTTCTCCCTCTCCTCCCTCCATCTCAGCCATCCTCCCCGCCCTCCTCTCGTCGCCCCCCGCGACGTCCAGGACGGCAATCATGACTTTTCTGACTGCTCTTGTAAAGCCTCTGGCATATCTATCACTCCCCGCTTTCGCTATCCACGCCCTTGCGAACGCCAACCCCGCCATCCGCTACTATGTCCGCATCGGCCTCTTCTTGTCCACTCTCGGAGTGTGCTCCGTCTGGGGTGTGATCTGCTCGATTGGCATGGGCCTCGTCGGCCGTCGATTCGACGTCTTCTATGTCATCGCGCGCAGCTTCTACTACCTCACCAGCCCGGCCATCGGCGTTCGCCTCGTAGTCGAGGGCGAGGAGTACCTCGACACGCGTCCGAGCGTCCTCGTCGGAAACCACCAGAGCATGTTCGACATCCTCTACCTCGGGAGGTGCGTGCACCCGACGCTATCTTGAACACACAAGCCTGACCTCTCGTCCGCCTCGCCCTCACGCGTTCCTCTCCGTATCGCGGCTGTAGGATATTCCCGAAGCGCGCGTCCATCCTCGCGAAGAAAGAGCTGCAGTGGACTCCGTTCCTCGGGCAGTTCATGACCTTCGCGGGCGCCGTGTTCGTCGACCGCGGGAACAACGCCCGTGCGGTGCGCTCGCTTACCGCAGCCGGCGAGGTCCTCAAGGAGCGCAACAGCTCGCTCTGGCTCTTCCCGGAGGGCACTCGCTCGCTGCGCCCGGACGCGTACATGCGCCCGTTCAAGAAGGGCGCCTTCCACACTGCCATTCAGGCGCAGGTCCCGATCGTGCCCGTCGTGTGCGAGAACTACTGGCGGGTGTACAGGAAGGGCTACTTTGCGCAGAGCGCCACGCTCAAAGTCAAGGGTGAGTTACACTATCACTCTATCGCGCCACAGTTCACGTCCGTTAATCGTCCTTAACATCCCCATAGTCCTACCTCCGATCCCGACCATTGGCATGACGGCGGCAGACGCGTCTGCTCTTGCTGACCGTGTGCACGACCTGATGGTAGAGACCCTGCGCGAGATCTCGGTCCCGCCTCCCCCAGGCACTGTGCCGGAACCCTCGAAGCCCGCAGTGACCGCAACGCCTCTTGCCAACCCGGACGTCGCAGCAGATACCCCGACTCCCGCGCCCGCGCCGGCCCCGGTCCCTGTAGCGGAGCCCGAGAAGGCGGCGGAGCAAGTGAGGACGGAGAGCAGAGCGTCAACAAGCGCATCGGAACACTCGTCAACGTCTTCGCCCACCCTCAGCCATAGCCGGGTAGAGGGAAGTGAATACGGTACCGAGACCGAGGAAGATGACGGCATGGTTCTGGTTGGGAGGCCAAGTCATTGAGGATGTGATGTAGTTGTGGGAGCGGGGGAAGGGAACGGCAGGCGGTTCTATAGGTATGATGCGACTCGTCGATTGCTTATTCTAATAGGGATCTTGGGACTCTCTTCTGCCCCTTCGACGGCCACTTTATGAGGGCTGCAGTGTTCAAGTTCGCATCCTGATCTTGTCGGTGAGCCTGCTATTTGTGACGCCACTAATGACGCCCACCGTACAACACCGGGGAAGTACATATGCTACAAATACATGGTATGAAGACTTCTGCCGCTCATGCACTCTCAGAAGAAGGGCGCGCCATTGGTTTCGTACCACTTCTTCCAGTCCTCCTCCAGCTTCTCCGCGGGCCACCGCGCCCTCACCGCATCCGCTTTCTCCTTCAGCTCTCGCGCGACCGGCGCCCACTCACGCACGAGCTTCCTGTCCCGCTTCACGATCTCGCCGTCGACGAACACCATCTCGATGTCCTCGCTCGAGGCATGGAACACAACGCCACCAATGGGATCAGCAGCGCCAGCGAGGTTGACCGAGTTTGCGTCGAAGACGAGCAAGTCCGCCCGCTTGCCGACCTCTACCGTCCCGATCAGCTGCGACAGGCCTAGGGCTTCCGCACCCCCGAGCGTCCCGAGACGGAAGACGTCCACGCAGTTGTACTTGTTGTGGAACGGGCGCGTCGCCGGGTTCTTCTCTGCCAGGATACGCTCGTGATCGTGCCCGCGCGCCCACTGCAGCTGGACGCGCATCTGCGTGAATATGTCGCCGCTGTTGGCGGAGACCACGTCCTACACGGGCCACCCTACTCAGCACTCCACGCAGACCACCACTCGAAATATCAACAAAGCACTCACCACGCCAAGCCCGCACTTCACCCCACGGCGGAGCGCATCCAGCGCGACCGGGTTCCCGTGCGCCATCCCGAGCTCGTCCTCGGGCGTCGCCGCGATCGCCGCGCCGCTCGTCTTCAGCGCGGCCCACATCTCGTCGTCGGGCGCGGGGCGGTCCGCAAGGATGTTGCAGTGCGAGAAGACGACGTCGGGCCCGAGCAGGCCCGCGTCGCGCCAGGTCAGGATGCCCGGGCTCTGCACGACGTGCGCGGTGATCACTGCTACGGGAAGCGAGCGCGCGAACGTGAGGAACTCCTGGTGCGACTCAATGGGGCCCTGCCAGAGCGTGTCGTACCTGCCGGGCGCGCGCACCGTTAACCCCATCTATTCAAGCGTAATCTCACGACATGACAACAGAGTGCACTCACGCAAGACCCAGCGTAACGCGCCCATCCGGACGCAACTTCCCTCCATTCGGCGCACCAAGCTCCTTCAGCTTCTCGCGCTGCCACTTCACCGACTCCGCGTCGTCTGCCCACTGTAAGTTCGGGAAGAGCTGCGTGGGGGGGCTCTGACGCGCAGGAGCCCAAATGACACGCGCCCCGGACTCGAGCACGGCGCGGAGCGCGGCGTCAGCGTGCGCGGGCGTGTGTGCGGCGTGGAAGTGGTCAAGGATGGTCGTGACGCCGTTGTGGAGTGCGTCGAGGCAGCCGGCGAGGGTCCCGATGGCGATTTCGTTGGGCGTGAGCGTGCCTTGAACTGTCCTGTGTGCAGAGAGGTGAGGTGAGTGCTCCGCTATGCAGGCGGAGTGATAGGAAGTGTAGGGCCTACCAGGACATCTTGATGAAGTACTCGCTCAGGAGGTAGCTGCGAAAGCCATCAACTTCGACCTTCTCCAACGGAGACGCGAGTCGAAGACTTACTCGCACTGATTCGCGCGCAGGACCGTCATGAAGACGTGTCTGCATCCCCCCAGCGCCACCGTCAGCCCTTGCTGTGTCGCCTGCGCCCACAACGCGCCCACACGCACCTGTGGGTGTCCACAAACCCGGGGGTGATCCACTTGTCCGTGCAATCGATGACCTCCACTCCGTGCCCCGGCGCGATGTCCTGCTCGATGCGGGTGATGGTGCTCCCTTCGACAAGCACGTCCGCCTTGTACACCCGTGCGGCGTCGCTGCCCTGTACGCAGGTCGCGATCGTGCCGCCCTTCAATAGATACTTCGTCGACGACGACATGGCAGTGCAGCACTAGGGTCGGTAAGATGGGAGAGAGATGTCCCCGGTGAGAGCAGGTACTTATATATCGTGCACTGAAGGTTAGATCATCAGGGGACCTGCGGCGGCCGCGACAGAGCTGCTGCGCGGGAAACCCGCCGTTGTCGCCGAACTCTCAAGTAAGAACAAGACAAGCTGCAAACCAAACGTACGATGTGGTGTTCAGGTCGTCCGGTAGTAAAGCCGTTCCGTGGAGCGGTACGGTAATTCGTCGTATTCTCGAGCCTTTCGCATCAGCGCAAACCACAAAGACCAATACTGTAAGTCTTCTGGTCTGAAGCAACGGGCGTGCCGCGCGTGAGCGTGAGCAATGGCCGTGCCAAGTCGGAGGCTTCTGCAGGAACGGTGGTCACCTGGTATTTGGGGCACGTATGTACTCCGTGCGAGTTGGGAGGCAACTGGAAGCAACTGGCCGTTGAAAACCCCCACGCGTGCCGTACCGCGCTCTCATCCTGCCAGTGCTTCTAGCTCTCTTTCCTATTCTGGGAAAACAATTGGGTTCGCGCCATACAGGCTCCGACCACTGCTGTGTGTCACAGTGCGGAACATCACGGGTGAACATCTATCACATATTAAACCTTGGTCGGAGATATCTGCGAGCAGAACTACGATCGACGACGGCACGAAATGTTCGTGCGATGCCGACAAGCGACATGAAAGTTCAAAGAGCGAGCGAGAAGGCGGAGCGACGGAAGAACAACGCATATGTGACTTGCAAGTCGGAAAACTCGAGTAGGAATACATGGGTGTACATGCATTGTTGCATAGATGATCATACTTCAATAGCGGTACCACAATCACGGTGTCCGAAAGCAATGCGACAGCGACCCGACAGCTAGCAGATCCCCCTCCGCCCACACTCGCCCTAAACCCACGCACGACACGAACAAGTCACATCAAGGACAGCAACCACACGGCGCAGAACGCGCTCACTACCGCCGCAATGATCACATCGCAGAAGTTCTGGCGTATCGTGCGCGGGTCGACCGGGTACGCGCCCACGCCTTCGTTCTGCTCCTTCAGAAGCCCCATGTCGTAATCATATGGCTCGCGTTCTGGCTTCGTTGCGGCCGCCGCGAGTGCCGTCCGCGCCTGCGAGCCCGCGAGCGCATCGACCGCGCTGCGATCGCGCCCCACAAAGACCCACCAAGAGGACTCGCGGGCGAGAGTCGAGCGCGAGCGGCCCGCGACGGCCGCGCCGGGGCTTGTGGGTTCTGCCTTCACTATAGCACGCGGGCGGTGGACGACGGCGGTGGAGAGTCCGTGTTCGTGCGCGACGTTTTCGATGGCCATGACCTCCTCGCTGGGCGCGCTGAACACAGACGCGAGTGGCGTGCTGCGACCGAACAGCTTGGAAATTTGTCGGGTGACGGCCGTAAAAGAGGAGGTTTGGGAAGGCGTGTTGGCGTAGTCTGAGTCGCTGTCGTCGACGTCCTCCCTCTCCACCTCCTCCACGGAGTCGTGGGAGAGGCGCACCCCTTGTGGCGGGGAGGCGGCAGCAACCTCATCGAGCTCGGTGGAGTGCCACGACGCGTCGGTGTCGCTGCGCTGAGGAGCTTGTACAGAGGACATGCGCGCGTAGTGCGCAGGCTCGACCCAGTTCGGGTTCTGGCGGCGCCAGTAGCCGTCGTCCTCCATGGGGCTAAACCTCACACTCTCGGGGCTGATGCGCGAAAGCAACGTTGGCCCTCCAGGAGCGCGGGGCGGGGTGGTCGTCTGTAACGTGCGGCTGCGCGGGGGCGACGGAGATGCAGAGTCGCGCGGGCAGATGGGGTTGCCATTCGGCCGCTTGTGGCCAGCCATGGGCTCGCCGCAGGAGTGGCATATCGGCTTCTTACGAGAGCTCGAACCGGGGGTCATGGTCTGGTCGGAGTCGGGGTCGCTGTCGGAATCTTCCTCTCGGCGACGAGGCCGTGTGACTTGGGGAGTCTGCGGATGCATCGAGGTCAGCGGCGTGCGCGCAGAGTGGTGAAGTGGTGTGGATAGAGGCAGGTGGGGGGTGGTCGAGGAGATAAGAGGAGAGAGGAGGACATACCCGTTTGACGGGACTGGCACGCGGAGCGGGGCTGCTGCTTGCGCAGGGGGCTCGGGACTCGAAACAAGCGAGACTGAGGGGTTTTGTACGACGCACCCGGCGATTTGACCTGATCTGCCTTGAATACAAAGTAACCTGGGAGACGAGCTCGGCCGGGCGGCGCAGGGCACAGAAGAAAGACAAGAAGCAGCGGCGGTCAAGAAACAAGAAAGCGTCCCATTCCAGGCACAATACCATGGCGCCTATGCGCCTTCGCGCACCGCCCGTCGCGGACGCGGTGGTGTGACCATGGCGGGCAAAACCGTAACCACTCGCCGGGGAATTCTTCCTGGAAATGGGCGCCTACGATACATTATGAGAAAAAGAAGGACTCCATGGGACTTTGCAGTGTCGTGGTACCGCCGCCATGAGCCGCGCCCTGCGGCGACCACAGGTTGAGAGGACAGCCGCGGCCGTCGTGTTTTAAAGAGCCTTTCGATATGTGGTGCCTGAAACTACTCATGCGTAAAGTCACAGCCTGATCTAACCGCATCCGCGGCGGAAACATCGCAATTTTGAATGTGCTACCAATGTGCTACATCGACCACGTATATCGACTTATTACAGTTACATTCCTATGGATAATGGCCATCACCGCTACAGTAAAGTCACTGTTGTTCTGGAAGGATTCTCGAGTACAGTAATCGTACGGCCATAGTGGTCGCTTTTGGGTATTACAATCAGGGAAACCGCGAAGGAACTAATCACTGACAACCGCCCGCCCGCCCGCCCTTCCATACGCCCCTCAAAACATGAAACTGAGAGCCCAAGCCGCAGCAATGGAGACAGCGAGGGAGACCGCAACTACCCCAGCGATCACGATGTGACCGGGGGCGGTCACGGTAGCTATGACTTGCACGGAAGCGTTTACGGCTGCGACGGCTTCGCCTTCGCGAACAGCCGTGGGGGCGGCGGGAGGGGGTGGGGGTTCGAGCGCGGTCGCGGGCGGTGGCATGTGGGCGCGCGGGCATTCGGGGGCGGGCGAGGTCATGGACCGGGGAAAGAAGGGGGCGTGCGCCGCGTCCTCGTCCTCGGTCTCGAGGTCGTCCTCTTCTTTGGGCTCTAGGGACGCAGAGCGTCCTTCGAGCGGGACTGGTCCCTCGTCGTAGTCCTCCGAGTCGCTATAGTACTCCTCTTCGATTACGTCTGCGTCTCCTGCGTACAAGTCCGGCACCGCCGGTGGCCCAATCCGCTGGAGCAGCGGCAGAGGGTTGGCTGCGTAGTGAAACGGGGAGGTCATGCGGGTGGGGGTAGGCGTCCTCGAGGACGGGGACGGCGACGAGGGAGGAGACATGGTGCTACTGGACCGCTGGCGCGTGTCCATTGGTGTGACGAGGGAGGGTAGGGTGTTCGACCGCTGCGCCACGGTAGATATAGGTCCTAGGGCTGTCCAAAACAATAACACGAACGATAGCGGTCTGCCATGTGCGAGAATACCTGCAGCAGCATCTGGGCCGATCCTCCGTGCGGGTGCCATGAGCTCGAACGGGCAACATGGGGTTGTTGATCATACCACCGGACCACCTCCGCCGCTCGAGCGCCGCTCGCGCGTAAACATCAAGGGTCTCTAGGTGCCTCCCACGCCAGAGAAGAGTTCCTGAGATGTGAAGGGGAGCTTTTGTGTAAAACAGAACCTGTCGGGCGCACCAATAACCTGTCAAACCTACTTTACCCGGAAACGGCGGAACATAAGTCGGCTTACGAAGCTCCGCATGGGTTTGCGGGTCGCGCTTTCTTCGATCTGAGTAGCAACAATCAATAATTTCCGGGACATATTATACAGAAAGGGACTAGCGCTCTTCAGAGCGGGCCGTCATTACAAGTCGTTAAGAAGAATACACCTTCTAGCGGGCCGCCTGCACAACCGCAATGCTCGCGTTCGCCCCCGTCACGACGAACGCGGACGCAACCTCCCCGAGGATCTTCGGCAGCTCCGAGCCCAGCGACGCATTGTGCTCCACACACAGCTGCCGCAGCTCCTCGAAGTGCGACTCCGTGGCCATCCGCCGCGAGCGCCCCGCGACGACCACGAGGCGCCCGCGGCTGCCCAGCGAGCGCGCAACGAGGTCCAGCATGGCGTGCAGCGGCGTGTTCGAGGCCTCTTCTGCGAAGTGGATGCGCGAGAGGGCTGGGGCGAGCTCGGGCACGCCGGCAGCGGAGGATGTGTACCGCGCCCAGGCCAGGTTGTCGGCTGTCTCCGAGGCCATGCGCGTCTGCGTGTTCTGCGCGCCGTATACGGTGTCTGGGAATGCCTGTAGAAGTTCACGCATCTATCAGCTTCGATCCCAATTTCCGCGCTTTAGAGTTCGTGTCACGCACGGTGTGTATTGTCTCGGAGTGTAGTAGATGCTGCGCCTTCGCCTGGTCGATTGAGTTCATAGGCGAGAGCGCGTCGTCCCCGACCCGCCGCATTCTGGTCACCGTGGCGCTTACCGCGGGGTTCAGGCACAGTTGCGCGACGAATGAGAGCGCGAGACGATCGTCCGGACCGCCGAAGAAGGGCAGGAACAGGTGATACTGCGCGTCGCTTTCAAACGCTTGGGGGAGCCCGCGGTCCCAGAACAGGGCCACGTCCGCGGGTGCGTCCGCGAAGACACGGCGGATGTAGTGCGCCTGGCCACCGATTGCGCTGCGGTCACGCTTCTGCTGGAAGAGCGCGTCGAAGGGGGTGGAGGAGGACGGGGATACGGGAGAATCGCTCGATCCAGACGGCCCGTCCGTGCCCGCATGTTCTCCGTGTCCGGTGGTTGACGCGGTCCCGTCGTCCACTTGCGGTGCGGGACTTACCCACGGGAGGATGACCATTTGGCTCGCGGCCTCGCGCACGTGCTGCGCGACATGCACCGGGAAGTCGTCCGCGCCGATGACGGCGAGTGCGGTAGAGACGTCCATGCCGTTCAGGTACCCGAACGTCTTGAGCACAGCAAGAATTGTGTCACTGTGAACGAGAGTTTCTGCCTCTTGCGATCTCAGCACCGCGGACGCACGGTTAGTGAGTTCGATCAGGCGCAGCGCGTCGAGCGAGATCCGGCGGTTCGCGACCAGGGCCGTGGTTTGGCTGTCGTGGGCCAGCGATGGGGGAGAGACGGAGTGCTCGAGCGATGCTTTCTCGTCCACAACGGGGGCCGCAGGGCTCTGGGGAGATGGCGAGCGAAGCAACTGCATGAGAGTCATGACCGCAGGAAGCTGCTCGACTCTGTCGACGATGACTGAGAAACGCGATTTGAGTGCGTCATGGAGATCGCCCTTGACCGGGAAGACGCTACCCGCCTCTGTGCTAGTGGGTGCGCCTGCCCGCGCGCGGTATTTCGCGGGGTAGAACAGGAGCGTGAGCGGAGTCGTCATAAACGTGAGTATGAGTGCATGCAGCACAAACATGGAGAATGTGCGCGTGTCGAGGATTTTCGCCTGGAAGCCAACATTGAGCACGATGAGCTCAACAAGACTGTAGAAAGTATCAGTAGACGCGCGTCATGGCTGGTGATCAACTGGACGCACCCCTTGCAACTCATCAAAGTACCAATTGCGCCGGACTCCCGTAGGTTGAATCCGGATAGTTTGGCAGCGATCGAACAGCCTAAGAACTTGGAGAAGAACGCGACGACACAGATGAGTACCACGTAACCCCACGTGACGCCGTTGTTCAGCAAACCCAAGTTGGTGCGCAAGCCTGACAGCGCGAAGTACTAGGGACGTCTTATGAGTGCCAAATATGCAGTGGACTGGCCGAGGTGCTCACTATGGGCAGCAGCAGAATGACGACGAGATCCTCCAACTTCTCTACGAGCGCAATAGCAAAGCCGTTTTCGTGTGGGATGACCAACCCCGCCAAGAAGCCGCCCTGACATCAACGTCAGCACAATACGCATATCTGCGCAATGAAATAGACTTACGAAGATAGCGTGGATCCCAATGATGTCCGTGAAAAAGCCGGAGACCAGGACCATGAGAATGGTGACGGTCATCATCATCGCGGAGGGGCTGCCGGCCTCCAAGCTGCCAGACTTGCGCGCGAGCCAGCGGTACGCCCACCGGACAGGCATGCACATAAATAGCACGAAGCCGACGCCAGTCAGGAGCACCCAAAGCGCCGTAAGACCGCTCGAGGCATTGATCAGCGCAACAGACAGGGCGAGCAGGATCCATCCAACAACTAAGGTACAAAGTTTAGCGGCGAGAAGCAAGATACTGAGTGTGCAGCTTACCATCGTTTCCGACCCCGGCGGATAGAACCACCACGCCGACAGTTGTGTCAAGCAACTGAAGTTCCGTGAGAATGCGGCACAGCACAGGAAACGCCGTAATCCCAACGGCGACCGCGATGAAAAGCACGAAGTAGCCGAAGTTGGCGGTCCCGTCCGTGAACTCGTGGTATACCGGCACCGCGAGCGCAGCGCCGAGACCGAGGGGCAGAACGAGACCCGCGATAGAAATGGCGGTGGAGGCCTTCGCATTGCGTCGCACAACACTCATGTCCACCTCCATCCCCACGATGAAGAGGAAGAGGACGAGTCCCACGTTCGCGGTTAGGTTCAGGCCCACCATGGAAGCATCGGGGAAGATGGTTGCTGAGAAGTTCGGGATTCGACCCATGACCGAGGGCCCCAGGAGTACGCCGCCGATGACCTCTGCGATAACGCGCGGCTGTCGAATGCGCCCAAACACGAGCGCGAGGAGCTGGGTCATCCCAATAATTACCACTTCACCACCGCGGTCAGTCCAGCCACTAACTCGGAAGGTGGAATCTTTACTCACCGACTTGGATGACCCAGATACGAATAGGGTCCTGGATGTTGTAGTGGGCGGGGTTGTCTCCGGAAAATATACCAGCCTGGAAGAGCGGCAAGTTCAGTGAAGCAGACAAGCCACCAACTGCGGTACGATACTCACCTGCGCAGGGGCATCAGCTCTGCGCACGAGCTGAAGCACATCGGTGGTGAATGTGCCCATGGCTTGGAGGTCCTGGGGACGGTCTCTAGCACTGGTGGGGGTGAGAGAGCAAGGGACACAGAAGAGTCGGACTCGGACAGGAGCTAGTACATATGATGGGGCGGCTAAGATATGATATCCGACATCACTGGAGGCCAAATGTGGCTGGCGTGCCTCACTAGCGCCCGCCACCCCCGCAGCCCGCTTGGCGGCCGGTGTCCTTGTGAATCTACTCAGTCATGCACGCCACTATTGCAAACGAGCAATGCATAGCAACGCGGTGTAGTTACGGGGGTGAGCGGCGGTCTTTGAGGTCGAGCTCCAGCAACGAGGAAGGCTGAGAGTGCGTTTGCAATTGCAGCAGACGGTCGCGAGCGTCGACTCGGAGCTTCGCCGCGGCAGAACCCCGCATTGTATCCCAAAATGACCAATCTCAAAGCTAATCTGACGGAGCCTACAACTAAAGTACTGTATGGCCATGTGATTTCGGTAGTACATACTCGGGCAGTGCGCCGCACAGCTGGGGAGGGATCCGTATGAACGACAAAATGAGTTGCGGGTACCTAGGTGCCTGCAGCTCAAGCGCTCAAGACCGGCGGCAGGCGAGTGTATCAACCCTCGTATGTAGCAGTGGTACAGACGGCGTCGCGTACTTCGGAGTTGTTGACATTGACTGGACAAGGGAAGTCCATCCCTGCGACGTTTTGCTCTATAGAGTGACCGCACACATCATGCGCGCATCGAGGTGCTGGTCCGTAAAGGGCTGAAACACAGGAGCTAGAATGAACTGGCATGTGAACTGGGGTACATTCCAAAGCTGAGGGTGTTCAGAGATGAGAATTAGCCTGACCTGGACCGTGTGCGACAGTTGTGAGTTTGACGAAACACAAAGAGTCCGACGATCAGGCACCGACTAAGCAAGGCTTGTACCAAACTACCGGTTGAAGGGTATGTTTGAGGAAAAACAGAACGATCACGGGCGCGCTGTCGAATGGTCGACTGCGCAAGCAGTCGCTTCAAGATCATGAACAGTAAAATTACATCGGGAGAATACGCAGCTGGGCGGTACCGTGGTCGAACCGCCCACGAGCGTCACAGCAGATGGCAGAGCAATACAAATATAATCACGAGTCCGAGCTGCACCCGCGACAGCCTACAGGAAAATAGTTAGGATGACAAGCTGATACAAGCGAAGTGGGCAACATACCACAGTGCACACACTCTACCACGGTGCCTTCCCTAAGCTGAGCCTTCGGTACTCGGCAGATACATGTAGACCCCTGATAGTTCATGTCCTATGCCAGAAGACGTTAGCAAATGTACGCTTGAATAGGTTGCCGTGGGATCTTACCCGAGTCTGGATGCACCGTAGACAGCACAATTTCTCATACCCAGCCTTCTTCCACTTCGCGATGAGGCTACATAGGAGTCAGACGTACGTCTTTGCACCGACAGTGAGGTGATACGCACTTGGCATCCGCATAACCCTCCTTGAGAAGCCAGTCGTACAGCTCCTTGCTGATGGCCTCGCGTTTGTAGTACAACTCGTAGATATACCGCGACCGGGTGTGGGATATGCGCATGATGGGCCACAGGGACTCTGTCTTGCGCTTGCCTTCATGAGACTCGTTCTCCGCATCTCGCATCTTCTTCGCATAGTCGTCGAGAATCTATAGCAGGCACCAAATGAGATCCTGCACCATGCATGCATGTTTGCCACCGGCACTCACTTCCTCGATATCCTCATAGCCCTCTGGCGGCTTCTTCGTTCTGGAGGTGCGAATCTTCGGCATGGCGTCTCCTACAAGGTGTGGGTGTCTGCCAGACGAGCCTTTTAGAGAGAGCTCAGCGAGTGCAGAGTGAGGTCACCGACGGTGGCAAGAGCGACTCGGCGAAGGCTGTGGCGGACGCGTGCAGGGCGCATTACGTAAGCAGACGCGTGCGGCCTCGAGGAGGGCACGCGTCGGACGCGCTTGCTCTGGCGAACGAACGGGATCAGCCACCGACGTCCGAGGTATTTCTACCGTCCAGCACGCTGCACAGTCCTTCTTCGTCCGCACGACCACGACCACCTCTCCGCTAACGCCTCTCCTGCCAGCTGTCCACTTCTTACACGATTTTGAGCCACACCTCCCTCGTCTTGTTCGATCGTGAACATCAACCGCATACCCTCCGGAGACTTCCCATTCGTCTGGCTTCTGACGTGTCCGCTATCGTATTCTGCATTGTGTTGAGCAATGCCTCTCGTGGTCCCGGTTCTCCGGCTGGCCTACGTTTTCCTGAACGTCTTTGACACCTTCAAGGTCCTCCGGTTACCCCCTCCATCGGCGCGGAATGGCGGGCAGCCCAGTGCACGCGCGATGAGCCAGCGCAAACGGGCGATGAAGGGCATTATGACCGTTTGGATAGTTTGGGTAAGTTCGGTCCGGTCGTGTGACATGAATGAACCAGGGACGCTGACCGCCTGGTAGGTGTGTTTCACGTTGTATGAACGATGGGTCGAGACGCTTGTCTGGCTCTTCATCCCGTTCTACAGTGAGATCAAGGCTCTGGTGATCTTGTTCTTCCTCTTGACACGTGCGAAGGTACGTCGGAACTGCGTAATGGTTACGGTATATCGATCTGACCTACCTTCGAATTTAGGGAGCGGAACCCATATTCCTTCACCTCATTCGTCCTCTCATCAAGCCTTACACCGTCCCGCTAGATGCTCTCTTCGAGGGTCTGTCTTCCATTGGTGATCTGCTTGTGCTGGTGGCCTCCATCCCCGTCCAATATGTGCAAAACTTCTATCGTCGCTGGACGTCTTCTTTGGACCCTCCCGACGTAGATGTCCGCTCGTGGCATGCGGATGCTCCCCCTGCAGGCGGCCGTCCGACCGCTCATCGTGCTTACGTCTCAGAAGCGAACGGCGACCCACGACCTGCTCCTGCGCGCGAGATCTCTACGGGCTCGATGAGGCAGACTCGCTCCGCCACCGCGGCTTCTGGTGCATCCACGCCTACTCATCAGATATGGCGTCCCTCGGCTGCAGCATACGCCGACGAGGCATCGCTGAACCCGCATTCTGGTCTGCCTACTCCGCCTCCTAACGAGCGTCAACCGCCGTCCTCTGGTGTCGTCGACGAATGGAGACAATATCCTGCGTTCCCTTCGGCATATCCGCCTACGCCGCTCCCCGCGTCTTCTCGTCTGCCTTCTGTTGAACCTTCCATCCTAGCGCCGCGACCTGTGCGTCCATCGCAATTCACCGGGATTGCAGAGGAGTCGGACGACGAAGATAATTACAACCCCGAGACCCGGCAGGATTTTCGCCAGTCGCTCCAGTTGCCGCGTGAGCCCCGGAACCCCGGCTCCGATGGCGGCTTGAGCGACGAAAACCACACGAAAGGGGTTCACCACGTTCAAACACCAGAACAAACAGATTCGAGACCACGAACGGCTAGCGGCGATGAGGAGGCCTACGAGATGAGCGTGGACGAGGCCGATAGCGACATGGACTACGAGGATGAGGACGACTTCGACGTGACACTTCGTACCCCGCACCCTCGAAAGCACGGCGCACCGGAGAGCATGCTCTCGGACGACGATATGCTCACTCCTCCGCCCTCCGCTATCGCATTCACGATGTCCATCGACAGTCAGATGAGCAAGTCGACGACCCTGAGCACCACGGACAACGGCTCATCGCTCCGCACTCGTGCGGACTCCCTGTCCTCCACTGCGCTCTCCTCCGTCCACGACACATCCTCCCTCGCTGGCCGCAAGCGACGCTTACCGCGCTCCGAGGACAACGCGAGGTTTAGCATTCGTGTCTCGCCCAGGAAAGCGAAGATCGCCTCGCGCATCCCTTCCTCTCGTACATCTTCTCGCTCCACGACCATTGGCCGCACACGCGGCAAGGCTGTCGCCTCCGCTGCGTCTTCTGTCGATGAGACAGGCGCCGTTGACGATGTCCCGAGCGATGAGCCCTCCGTCGACAGCAAGCGGCAGAAGACCACCGGCGGACGCGTCGCACGCCCGAAGGCGAATCGCAACGACAGCGCAGGTACCATCCGCGGCCCTCCCTCTCGATCCACCTCGCGGCCTGCTAGCCGTCCAGTTTCAGTTGCGAGCAGGCAGCCGTCGTCGCGCATCGCGGCGGGCTCGAAGGACCGTCTTAAGCTGGCGACGAAGTCTAGCGCGGCGTCCACAAGGTCGATCGCGCGCAAGACGGGCGGTGCTCCTGCGGGCCAGGTTGCGAAAGCGGAGTGAAGAGAAAGGAGAGAAGGAAGGTCATAGACTTTCCACGCATTTTTACTGAGCATATACGTCGCATCCCTCGCATCTTCCCAGCATACTCATTATCGCACACAACCGCATTGTAAATTATTTCAATCATACACAGTCCTGACGCTCGTTCGAAGATCATACATTCATACGTTTTGCGTGCTGCTCCATGGCGCCATACTATATGTACCGTCCGCAAAGTCTGAGGCAGTCCTATACAAGCTTACACAAGACGGACTTGTCAAGGCTCGCTCACCACGCGATGTACGTCGATGCATATGATAGCGTTGCAGTATTACCAGGTCCGGCTATCGCTGCAATCCGGCATCAACCTGCATCAACAACGCCACCTGGTCCGTGCGCACGTCCCCCCGGTATATAAGCCTCGCTCGGACGTTGTGAATGCTTACCACTCTGGCCTTTTGGCTTAGATCAAGTGTAGTATCTGTTCTTAATAGTTTAACCACTATTATGGGGCCACCGGCCCCATTCTTGGTTATCTAATTTTTGCCGCCCCTGTCCCCTGGGCTCTGCTTGCAACCCGGGGGCGCGATGACCTTGCCACTGCAGTACCGGCTTGTGTCGTCGGGGGATCTCACTGGTTTTCTTTCTGCTGTGCCTTGTGACCGGTCATTCGACTGGAAGCTCGGTATGTCAGATGGATGCAGTGGGTTTTTCGTTCTGTTTTCTTCAAAGGTCGGTGTGCATGCTGAGTTGTTTCTTTCGGAGCTGCATGTTTGCTTACTTCCGTGAAGTAGAATTCTTTAACTTAGGCGAGAACACGTGAAGATACCGATCTACAGCGCGCGGAGTGCAGGCAAGAAACTGTTGCAACACATGTTGCACAGCGTGTGGAATACGTAAATACAGACGGGCCACTGGGTCGTAAGAAAATGTGCCAGGGACTGGAAATGCATGGCTATTAATTAGCAACAGTACTTTCACGGCCTTTATAAACTATCTCGAAGGATATTGAGACCTGGAGAGTACATCATTCTCCATTTTCAGAGCCCTTGACCCCATGTTAGATAATGTTGCGCATGCACAGTGTCAGGATAGCATTCCAAATTGGCGGCAGTTCATTCGATGACGCCGGGCGTTGAGTGAGAATCCGGATTTGGAATGCGGGGGCTTTGGATCCTAACATGTACAAACATCCTCCGCCGTCCGCACTGGGCGCCACGGCGTGCAGCGCGTTCCCAAGCAGCCCTGAGGCACGACTAGACTATACACTATGCCGGTTCCTTGGGAAGCCCTCATCCCCTTCGGTATGGTCTACCATGCTAGTGTGAATGATTATGCGCCATTAACCACACATATACAGCCCTCCTGACCACCATGTTCGGTGCAGCGGGTACGCTCTTGAACACTTCCAAGCGGCTTCAGAACCAGGGCAAGGTATGTATCCAACCCTGAAAGCTGTTACTTTGTATGTGCGGGCGACCTACTCACATGTGAATGTCCCTTCCTTCAGCCTGTTCGCTACAACGTGGATGCCTGGGACGGGATGATGATGGACAGAGACGCCCGGTTGACTGGGCACAAACGAGGGCAAGCGGTGCGTACACCTATACCTATTTCGACCTTTCAATGCTTAAACCTCTAATTTTGTACAGACAGAGCCATTCGCTCCCGAAGAGTTCGAGACAAACAGCGCCTGGTACACTGAGCGAGCCTCATGATGTATCAGAGCGTACACCCAGATACGAGCTTTTGCTACCCCGGACAAATGCGCGTATCATCAAAGCCCTAGATACTGTCAACTATCCATCTGCGACCTCAGCCACTCCCAGACCTCCACTAATCTGCCGTCGCCGGCCTCAACACCTGCGGCAACTCCCTCATCCACGGACCCATACTTTTGTTCTTCAAGACTGGCCGCTAGCCGGCCCAATCCCTCCTTCAATGCTGGATCCATCGTTTCAGAGTGTGTGAAAGTGCACGATAAGATGACACCATGTTTCGACCGCAGTTCGACCGCCTAAGTAGCCGTTAACACGCGTCGAAGAAATGATGAGAAGAGCACATACTAATAGTCCCCAGGCGAAACCTTTCTCGATCTTGTAAGTGAACTCTGGTGTCTGTCCGAACGCCCAGTTCCAAGTCTAGGAAGGGATGGTCGGCACATCCATATCGGGGCTATTGAGCATGCTTACCTTTAATTCCTCTATCCCTCGTTGGATGTATTCAACACTTCCGAACGCATCCGCGTCTCGTACAGTGTGTACCTAACAAAAGGCGTTACGGACCGGCCCACCACACAGGAAGCAAACGACATACCTCCTCGTGCACGCCGTACTCTTGCCGGAAGGCCTCCACCATAGCATGCACGAACCCTTCGTGACTTACATCGGCGTGGTACTGCTGGAGGTTGCATACGGGCGAGCGCACGGAAGCGACGCCCCGAGTCTCCATCGTGTCCTAAATTACTGCTCTTGAGTGAGGTGAAGGCACAATACGGGTTTCGGGCCGCACGCACCTTGTTGGACCGCAGAAGCTCTCCAAGGGTGTCTAATCGCGTAGATATGAGCATTGTACCGTGGTGATACGCTCTGTCCTTCACAATCTTGTACGCGGAGCCTGAGACGTAGACACATATTTGTTAGCTTGGCTGCCCTCACAGTAGGCAGGAGAGCACATATCTTCTCCTTCCCGACACAGATGTCATTACGGTCGTTCACATTCGCGTCCACGCCCATGGCGCGCACGGCTTTCATTACGACCTGCGCTGTCGCGTGCCGGTCAAACGATGCTCGGGGCAGGTGGATCGAGAAGTTCGTGTTGCCCAAGTCCTGCCATACACCATGCTCGTCTAAACACTTCCGGGTTCCGGAGTGTACAAGTGGGGAAACGTACGTGGTACACCGTGCCTCCCCCACTATGCCTCCGAATGAACGGTATGCGTGTCTGCCGCGACGCGCGCAGATTGACCTCCTTCCACGGGTTCTGGTTCCGACCTATGACCACGCATGGACTGTCCCGGTACAGCAGCAGCAGCGGCTGCTCCGGGTGCTTGTGCCGAAAGAGCCTGTTACATGGATGCTTCTTTAGTGTACGCTCCAAACACGAGCCGTGACAATAGAAACACACCAATCTTCGAATGTGAGATTGAAATACGGGTCTGTAGACTCCGATACATATATTGAGTGGCCGGGCGTGGGCGCTGCCGGAGAGCTGAAGTGACGCGACAATGTCGCCCTCCGCGAGAGACACGTTCGCCAGATATGAGGAGTGGGCGGCATCCCTGGCAGTAGTAGTAAGGCTAGTAGATCAAAGCTGCTTAGTTTTATGTTGAGGGCAAGAACGAGCGCGGAGTGAGGACTTGCGGTGGTGGCACGGAAGAAGCTTTCTCGAAGCGCGCGCCGATACAGACGCGTCGAGCGCGACGCGATGCGCGCGCTCCCTCACTCTTCGTACACCAATCCTTGGAATTTCTTAGGAAGGTTACGCAGCTCTCAAATATACAAGGGACGGGGATGAATTATATGGAACAACATCACAACACCAAAGCAACACGACTATATAGTACAGAAATCAAGATGCACGAGAGCGAACGACAGACGGCGGGAAGCTCATCGCTGCTTCTGACGCTTGTTTGGCCCGTTGGAAGTGTCCACCGACGAGATAGACAATGACCGTCGTGTCTGAGAAGAACATACTCGTCAGCAACGCGCACGGTACAGCAACTCATCACGCACCTGTCTTCGACTCCGCGTGCTCTTTGTGCTCACAACACTCTGCGCCCTGTCGTCCGCCACACTTTCCGCGTCTGCGCCCTCTTCTACCTCCATGGGCGTTTGAGGCGCGTCCCCTGAGCCCTCTTCAGCAGTCTCCCCGCGCAGGGCCGCAAGGCGCGCCTTCGCAATCCGGAGGTCCTGCTCGACTTTGTCCAGAGACTTCTTCATGTCCACCACAGAATTCGCACTACTGAGCACAGGCTCCATTCGAGCGATGTTCTCAGCGGTGGGCATGACGAGACGGTTGTGTGCGATCCCAATCTCGTTCAGCACTTGCGCGACGCGCTGGGTAGCACCTGGAGGTCTTACGGCTGGTATCTTGGTGCTTCGGAGGTGGACAGGCTGGTGCGGTGCCTTCGTCGTCTGCGAGGCATCTGTCCGAGTGATACAGTGCAGGATGTCTAGCATCACGTTAGCCTGAGCCCTACAGTTAGGTTTACACAGTTCGTACCATAGGCAGCCGACTTCGCGGTCTTCTTGGGAGGTTGCGGTTGCGCGAGCGAAATGACGTTCGAAGCGGTGGGTGTGATTGGCGTCTGGGGCTCGACGCTGCTGGCCACACCTTTCTTTTTCTTCTTTGGCTCCACCGACGGGCCTTGGAGACCCTCATCATCAATGGGGAGGTCAGGAAGCCCGGACTCGATGCCGAGCAATGTGCGTAGTAGTTCGTCCCGGTCCTTCCTGAACCTACGCTCGTTCTCTTTGAGCTTCTCGAGCTCGAGATACAGCATGTCTTCCTCCACGATCTGTTCTGGGGTACGTTTCTCGAGGCTTTTGACATATTGCTTGCGCGTGAGCTCTCGTGCTGATATAGATGTGAGCGGGGATACCATGCCAGAACATAAAGCGCACATTTGTCGAAGGATAGGCTCGAGAGAAGAGCATTCTTGCTTGCTTCATCTCCGGCCCAAGGTCGATTTCGAACTAGCTTCCTGCACACGCTGAAATACCTATCTTTGATATCCTGTCGAAGTGTTGGCGGCGGAAGAACCTGTTTGAGGCTCAGGCACATACCTCGAGAGTACGCTCTGGGGTGCGGGGATCGGAGTGAGGATATTCATAGCGGTCGTGCACAACATAGAAGCGTCCGTCAAACTCTCGGACCAGCTTGAACAGATAGTCTGTCTCTTCCTTCGTCCATTCTTGATCTGGTGCATCCAAAAAGTGAGCAAGCGAGCGGCGACATGTACGGTAAAACGCTACCTTCAAGCAGCCGGCTATATTCGTCTTGAGAGTAAACATACTCCGGGGTGTGGACGTTGTACTTCGCAAATGGATATTCTGTGATGTAGGCTCGTACTTAGCCGACCCGCCGTACAACGGTACAACGCACCGGCATCAGGCTCTGTGCTTCCCTTGGCCCAATGAGACAGTCGTAACCCATCGGAGCGTGCGGCGTTCTTGAACGGACGCCATTCCCTGAACATTCATTGTTTCGCGCGTTAAGTTCATTGACATACACGCGCCACGGGCAAGTTGTACTCGCCACTTCACGCGGCCGCCGCCACCGAGGTTGGGCTTCTGCTTCAGGCGCGGCTTCGCAAACTGGGTAGCAATGGCGGGCGCGGAGGGCCCAATGAGCGCGTACAGCTCGCGCGGAATGCCATCGGGTTTCTTCGCGCGTTCCGCGGCCTGAGGCTTCTTCTGTTGTGGTGTGCTAGTGGATGCCGAGGGTGTGGGTATGGAGAGGATGCTCCGGACGTCCGCCGCAGACGCCGCCATGGTGGAGGAGGATGTGGATCGCGGTCAAGATGTGCAGACGCCCAATTCGAAACGCGGGGCAGCCTGACCACCGACCGCCACCATGCCGCCTTTGTCGCTCTTGCTTCGTCCTGCCGCCCGCTCTGCTCTGAGACATTCGGCTCGACTTGCTGTCACGACGCGCGCACTACATGCATCTTGCTCCAGGAGGAGTCCCGGCGACGGCGGTCTAAGCAACATTCTCTCTGGGGGCACCGCGCCCGCGGTGCAAGTGAACACTATCACGCAGCATGGGATCCAGCTCTCGGACGGACTCCTGCTGACGTCTGCCTGTATCTTCTTGGACTCCAAAGTCTTCTTGTGGAACGTACCACAGACGCTTTGGGATGGGTGGAAACCAGAGCACTTCGCGATATTCGAGACTGTGGTGCCGAAACCTGGTGCGTAACGAAGCAAACGCCCATGCACTCGTGTTCGCCAATGCATTTTGGTGCAGAGATCCTCCTCCTTGGAACAGGCCAGCAGGCACAGATGCTCCCGCCGGCTCTACGTCAGTACTTGACAAGCATAGGCATTCAAGTAGACATGATGAATACGGTGGGTATCAAGCTGCAGCTTCCTCCGCACAAACTCATATATCGTTCAGCGAAACGCGTGCTCGACGTACAACCTCCTAGCGGAGGAGGGGCGGCGCGTCGCAGCGGCGCTCTTGCCAATAACGCCTCGAAAATGGGACGGCGCGCCCCCCGCATGATGTCAGCATGACCTGCACGTCACCTATTTAGAGATCCAGCTATAATTCAAAGCAGATAGGGAAGACGGCGAGATAGCTACGGTGGAGGTCTATATTACAGCGGTACTCTTCTGGACCAGCTTGCAAGATCGTACATAGTTGCTTGCCCAAGAGGTAGGGAAGGGCATCAGGTGGGGCACCCGCCGGTTCACTCTTCTGCTTTCCGCTTCCCCTTTTGCGTGGATGGGTCTTCGTATTCTTCAGGGTTAATGGGCGGTATGGACACCCTCACGGGCAGCAGACCTCCTGTATTGCGCGTCGGACAGGTGCAAATGCAGACACACGCGACGAAATCGATCGTGAAGGGATGTACGCGACCGCAGACGGCGTGGCAGCCCACTCACCATTGGGGTCCTTGAATTGCACAAAAATAGGGTCCCAGTTCGCAACGACGCTCTTGAGCTGCGCACCCAGTTCCAATTTCTCGTACTTCCCCGTCGGCCGCCCCTGCACCTTCGCCGCGCGCGCGAGCTCGAAGTCATCCGTGTCCGCGACACTTGGCACCGCCCACTCCGAGCTGTCCTCGTCCATGACTTCTGGGTTGGGCTCTGGGTTCTCCAGCACGCTGGACTGTAGCGCAGACAGGACCTCAGCTTTCACATCTTCCACGGTCGACGTGCTCGGGAGGGTGAGCAGGACGGTGAGTTTGTGCGTCTTCAGCAGCAAGATGAAGTTCTTTGGCTGAATTCTGGGAGGCTAGCCGCGATATAGATTCAATGCTGGGTCGCTCACGACTTCTTGAAGTCAACGTACCATCCTCTGCGACCACTCTCTAGAAGAACAGCGTAGATTTGAAACTGGGTAGACGCGTCGAGTGCAGATGCGAGAGTGGCACGCGGCAAGCAGACAAGGCCACACAGGCGCCCAAAATCCGCCGCCCACGAGTGGACGGCGTGCGAAGCGCCCGCAGGCAGCGTGACGCTTCGGCGGTTACCGTCTCGTTCATCTCGACTCCCTCCCCCGTCCTCCCCACCGCCCGGCGCACCATGAGCAGATACCTCGACCCCGCGGACTCTTCGAAGCCGTACAAGGACCCGACGCCGCTGCCGTCGGACATCCCGAAGGTCAAGGAGCTCGGCGTGACGAGCGCGCCGCTGAAGAGCGCGGCGTTCTTCCTCGGAGCGTACTGCAAGGATTACAATGGTGCGTATCACTCCGTAGGGTCACCTGGCGCAGCTGGGGAGAGAGGGTGGCGGGATGGGCGGAGGGTAGGATGCGTTTGGGGGCAGATTGGAGTGTATGGTGGCAAGGCGTGCGGATTACTGTGCTGATGTGCGCTCCCTTTTCCGTCGCAGAGGACTTCATGCTTTGCAAGTCGGAAAGTGCGGACCCTGCGCACTGTCTGAAGGAGGGCCGGCGAGTGACGCGCTGCGCGCAGGACCTGTACGTCCCCGTTACCTCACCTCCAGCGCGCACCCGCTCACCTTCCGCCACCTGTTATTCTTGTAGGATCGCCAAGCTACGTGAGAACTGCCTGTCCGAGTTCAACGAGCACTGGGGCTGTTTGGAAAAGAACAACCAGGTACGTCCCGGCCGGACGTGCCGACCCGCCCGGCGCACAGGGCTGAAGCATGCATTGGGCAGGAATACTACCACTGCCGCAAGGACGAGCGTGTCCTCAACAAGTGCGTCTTCGAGAAGCTCGTGAGTTCCGCATTCGCATACAGAGATAAGCCGGCGGATAACCAACTGTGCGTGGGCGCACTTGCAGGGTCTGTCGAAGACGATCCCCGGCGCCCCTGCGGGCAAGACCCCCATCCACGAGGTCAAGAACCCTGTGTACACTGGCGTGCAGAAGTAGACCGCGCGCATCCAATGCATCTGGCGTATTGCTTCATTCTGTCTCCTTCGTGGGGGTTTACCCCGGCATGATTCCGGCGCGGCTAGACAGGCTCAAGCTTCGCGTTCAGGAAGCCCCCGGCTGCACGGCGCGCCCGTCATCCGACCTTTGGTGCGAACGGGAACGTACAAGGATGAACATTAGTGTGACAGGTACAAATGACTGAATACGGTGAGCAATTGCACATGATAGACGAAAATGACGGGAGGAGTTGTATATGGTATTCCAACGTCCGAACAGTCCGTATCGGGGTGTCGACTAGCCCCTAATGTGCCCTTCTACAAATCCCGGCTCGCTTGGTGACATCGGGGATCCTATAGCGTGGCAAGCACCGGATGCGGGGGAGATACGACGGTGCGTCTTCCGCACCGTTTGAGTGCTCAGGGGGATATATCGCCTTCTGTGAACCTCAAAACGAAGTTCACGACGATAGCGACTAAAAAAACGAAGTCAGCTGGAACTCAGTGGACGGCTTCTCATGCGTACCTAGGAGGGCAATGCACAGTATTGTCTAGACGAGGGTGCTATCAGCTCAGTCCAACATACGTCCTGGAAAGACCGACGTACCGGCCCAACACGGTCATCATATGGTCCACGGCCACCTTGACGTATAGATGCGGCACGCCAGTGGAAGGTATACAACGCATACACCATCACAGCCATAGCTGCAGCATTGCGGAGCCAGTTTGAGTACTGCCCGTGAGGCACACGACCAAAATGCACACGAGGCTACGCACCGACAAAGGAGAACATAGCTGCGCTTATTTTCCCCACCTGCGCCCGCACTATGAGTCGTCGGAAGGCGACGGACACAACGGATAGCACACACCTTATCACCGAAATTTAGCAGACCCACGGCGAGGCCGCCAAGGACGACCGTGAAGTGCAACCATGAGAGAAAGGTGCGCTCGTTCGCGAAGGCGACCTTGGGCTCGACCTTGACGGGAAGTGCGATGCGCTTCGCAGCGGTGCGCTGGAGGAGGGGCTGGGTGGACATGGGGGGCGGTGGGGGAGGAAGGGGAAGAGCAGCGGCCGCTCCTGGGTCTTCTGGGAGGGAGGGGAATATTAGGCGTACGGGTCTAGGTATACGAGTCCCAAGATGGCAGTTCTGCACGAACGTGCTTGCCGTCACTGGGCCCCCGCTCCCATTCAGTACTTCAGTCCGTGACACGCGTCACACTCCGCTTCCAGGCACGTGGAGGCGTCACAGCAGCCCCCGCTTCGTCTGGCGTTGTGTTCTCTTCGATCCGACTCCGCCGTGCTCTTCCTCTTCCGCGTCCTCCCTTGCTTCTCTCTTCCGGTGTGCATCCGCTCGGCGTGCGGCCATGTCCTCTGCTGGCGAGGCGAGCGCACCAACACACAACGCGGACGGAAAAGACTACGTGCCGCCCCCGCTCTCCGTGCAGCAAGAAGGTACGCCCGACGCCACCCACCCTCTCTCCTGCAGGATACCGAACGTGCGACGGCTTTATCAGATGCAATCATCCACACGCGCATTACGAACGACGAGAAGGCCCTGCGCCGTGTGACCCGCAAGTTCCACACCTACGCCTCCGTCGCGTACCCCCCAATCGTCCCGCCGACACCGTCCAACGGCACGTCCGTAGAGGATGCGCGCGACGCCTTCCTCCTCGAGCTGGCCTCGTTCCAGCTGTCGCTCAAGAAGAGCTTCATGGTGTGCGAGGCGGAGGCGCGGCAGGTAGAGGAGTACCAGCACGAGCGGGGTCGCATAGGTATGCAGCTTCTTCCCCGTCGGCATGTGGTCCTTACGGGATCGTGTGACCAGCAAACGAGCGCAGCCGCCTGAAGGACCAGATCGAGGAACACAAGGCTACCCTTGAGCAAGCGCAGCTCGAGCGTAAGCAGAAGATCGAATACGACGTGATCGCGGAGAAGGTCAACACGCTGCCCAACAGGGCAGAGCTCGAGCAGTCAGTCTTGCCCGGCCGCCTGCGTCCTGGCTGCACGCTTATATCCGCTGCAGATCAATACAAGCTCTCGAAAACGACATGGCGGCCATACGTGCTGAGCAGGAAAACCAGAACCGCATACTACTCGCGCAGAAGGCCGCGCTAGACACCGTCATCCACGATATCAACGTGCTCCGCCTCATGGGCAAGGACGCGGCGGAGGAGTCTTCCGCAGACACCCCTGCACCGGACACACAACCCGGAGAAGATGTGGAGATGGACGGGACCGGGAGCGTGCGCACCCGCGAGGAGTCTGGCGAGCTCAGGGAGGACGTGCTATCACGGGCAGCTAGCACCGGAAAGGCGGTGGAGGAGGTGCACGACTCGGATGAAGATATCCCACTATCGAAAGCGCTCCTCAACCCCGCCGCGCGAGCGTTTCTGCCGACGTCACGAACAAATACCCCTATACTCTCCGCGTCGCGCAGCACACCTGCCGCTCCACCGAAATCATCAGAAGAGGACGATATCGAGATGGGAGAGATAGGAGAGGAGCCCAGAGACGCGCGAGGGAGGCGAAAGGCACGAGAAGAAGAACTGGAAGAGGGCGAGGCGAGCGACGAGAGCAGTGAGCTCTCTGAACCTCCGGACGATTAATGCTGACCTTTGTGGGGTTCATTTCCTGCTGTACATACACTGGGGCTTCTTTGTATCACTACGTCTCTATCCGCCAGGTCAATCCTCTCTCCTCGGACCTACGTCGAAGCTCATCAGGTCTCGCGCGCATGTCACCTCGCCACCGAAAGTACTCTCCGCCAACTCCCGTATCCCGCCCATCACTCGTCGTGCGTCCTCGTCGACATCATCGTTTCCCGCGTAGCGGGCCGAGAAATGGTTCAGCAACAGCTTGCGCGCACGGATTAGTGTCGCAAACGCCCCAGCCATCTGAGGCGTCGAATGTCCCCGCGACTTCGCACGTTCCTCCACAGTCTCGTACGTGTCTGTCTCCTTCGTGTTCGGGTCGATACCCGGTAGGTGCGCGTTCGTCGCCTCATGGATCAGCAAGCACGCGTCATCCGCAATGCCTGCTATTGGCGACGGGTCGTACGTATCCCCCAAGATCACGAGCTTTCGTCCAGGTTTACGCGGTGGTCCATGCAAGACTGTCCCATCGGTAAGCGTTATGGCCTCCCCTTGTTGTAGCCGAGCCATGGCAGTCATGGGCGTCTTGGTGCGCTTCAGCTCTGGGATGTACTTCTTGGGGTCCATCTTCCCTGGCACGGGCAGCTCGTTCACGACGTATCCGACGCAGGGCACCGAGTGTAGGATCGGCGCCGCGGACACCGCCACGAGTTTATCCTTATAGATGTCTGGCCACACGCTGTCCGTTTGCAGGATGTTGCGTCCTGGACGTTCGTACGAGTGTGGCGGGTGCGCGGTGTAGTCCCCGTCCTGCGGGTCGGAGGGCAGCCGGAGCTCGTGCACGACGTATGGCGCGCCGAGGAGTGTGTGCGTGTACGTGAGTCCGTGGCGGACGTATGCGCGCGTGCCTAGCGGGCCGTAAATCTCCAACGGCTGTTTGGACACGTTGAGCATGTCATCGTTTGCTGGCGGGGTGGACGAGCACTGACTGGTACGTCTTCTGGCGGGTTGGAGGTTTGGGCGCGAGGGTCTTCCACACCGTCGACCATCCCCCCTGCGCCATTTGATCGTCCTGCGAGTACCGGTAGCAGGCCGAAGATGTGATCGCCTGAGCAACATGAATACCTATAAGAGAGATTCTGTGGGCGAATACAAGCGACCGACCGTGCGTATGGGTGATGAATATCTTCTGAATCTTGCCCATCTTCACGGCGCTCTTTTGAAGCTGGTGTTGAGTCGCCTCTCCACAGTCGAAAAGCCAAACATCTCTATCTAGGCGCAGAGCGAGCGCGGAATGGTTACGCGTCGAGGAGGGCTGGGCGGATGCGCTGCCCAGGATGGTGATGTTAACTGAGGATAGAGCACTCATGTTCACGGTTCGAAGAGGAGTCGATTACGGTCATCTCGGAGGGCTAAGCTGCGAATCGACAGTCTTTGACGCTATATCAATCTGTTATACCTAGATCTTCAGGTCCTTGTCGATTAGTGGTTAGATCATCACGTTGTGGAATCCCGGTCACCAGACCGTGGGAAACCGTGAAGACGGAAGCTCGAATCCTCCCTGGGACAATATTTTATTCTATTTTTCCTGCTCTCCCTGAAACGATTAAAACCTTTCTTTTAACCTCAGATTATGCTCGTAGATGAGTACTCCAGTTCAAAAAATTTTTAAGACGCAGCACTGGGGTGTGTATATTCCACGCCTTTTTATTCTCGGTCACGGCAGTACGGTCTCAAGGAATGCTGGGCGCCTTCGAACCTTGTCACCGCCACCCCGGATGCTTCCCAGCGCCTTGAAACCATCTTCCAGCGAACATACCCTCGAAGCTGCCAGTGACGCCGATTCAGGAGGGCACAGTTCTCTCATGCAATCTGAGGCAGGTCAAGGGACGACATCCTCCCTGGGACAATTTTTGCCAGGCCAGACAGCCAGGTGTATCGTTCAATATTCAAAGGACAGTGCGACGAGGGAGGAAGAGGGGAGGAAGAGGGGGCTGAATTCCAGAGGCGGACGAGTCGACGGCTATGTGATAAGTTGTGTCAATGAATGAATTCCATCGTTTCAGCGTCAGGCAGACTCGATTGACGGAGTTGTGGGTTCTGCCTGGCACAATTGTTTATGTTTTAATGCCGTTTTATGTAAACATAAGAGCAGGTATATGATCTTTAATCATCGTCTAGTTCGAGTGCACTCCACCCTGCGACAGATGCAGAACGTGCATACCGAAATATGGCGACTTCAAGAAGGTGATGGATTCCAAGGGATCCTCTAAGTGATGTCGTAGTAGATTACAGCAGATCGGGACGATGCAGAGATGAGAGAGGAGGTCATACCGCTCGCCAAAGAGACGAAAGTGATGTTATGTAAGTACTTAAGGACTTATTGTGATGGTGCGGCGGCGGAGGGGAGGCATGAAGACGTGTTACAGTACTCGAGACAATACGAGGGGGGCAATAGGCAGACTTTAAGCTTAATATTAGATGCGTGGAGGCCCGGGTGGCCAGGGAAGGAACGAATGGAGGGGCTATGTACATTGTATCGGCAGGGCGTGGAACATGCTTGTATGTAATGGTGCGAAACACATGCAAGAGAAGCGGGCAGGGACAGGGATGGACGGAGGGCGTACGCGGGCGTATGCGGGTATCAACGTATCACACAAATGTAGCGTCAGGCGGACGGTCACCGCAGCGGCGTGAGCGAGTTGGACCGCTGGAAGAGGAAGATGTTCTTGATCGATTTCCGGGAGGAGCTGCCTGTGCTCGCGGAGGGCACGGGCGAAGGCACGTCCGAGCGGGAGGCATCATCACGCGGTGCAGCCGCACGGTCACGCGAGCGCGCGGACGGCACGAACAGAGAGCGGCGTCTTTTCGGGGCGTCGAAGCCCATCCGTCGTGGGCTCTGTGATATTAGAAGCGAAGGCTGATCTTGGAGATGGCCTGAACCACGCCCCGACACCCCGTCCGTCGAGCTCCTACTCAGAGGCAGAGGGCGCTTCCCGCTGTGCTGGCGGTCCTCCGACGAATGAGACCCAGAAGAGCTGGAGTCTAGACGGCGCAGAGAGGTACGCCGCAACCACTGCACGATCCCGGTTGGATACTCGGAGGGTGGATACTCAGAGGTCGGGCTCTCGAGCGACAGAGGCGGCAACTGCGGGGCGAACTCTGAGGAGGCGTGGGCATACTCGGGCCTCGACGGCGACGGCGAGGGTGAAGGTGAAGTGTCCGAGCGCCGCTGGTGGAAGATGTTCCGCACATGGCTGACCATCGACCTTGATCGCTTCGGTTTCGCGTCCTCCGCGCGGACCTGCATGATGTCCGACTGGCGCAGGGTGCCATTCGGAGACAACCCCGGGATAGGAATCGGCAGCGTGGCGGCCTCAGTCGGGCTGGGCAGCAGCGAGCCAGGGTGGGACGAAGACACGGACGACGAGCAGCCTGAATGGGATGCAGCGGGCGGTGAGTCCAGCGACAGCGCCTCCGGGCTCTGCACGAGCGACCCCCGCCGCCCGCTCGCCGCGTCCGCGCTCAGCTGCGCGATGGCCGTCGTGATCGCGGGGGCGATGGAGGCTGGCTGCTTCTTGTGTCGCCTGACGGCGAGCGACTTCGCACGCCCAGCTGCACCCGCGTTCATCTCCGTCCCCAAGTTCGCACTCTCACCAGGCACAGGGACGTCTGGGATGCCCTCCACGGACGCCTTCCGCCGCGACACAAGCGCGTTGTCGTACCTCCGCTTGGCAGCCGTCAGGCCCATCGCGTTCGCGATACTTATGCCCGAGTTTGAGCGCGGGATCCCGCTTCCCTGCCTCTTCCCCATCCCACTCCCGCTCCCCTGGGGCACACGGGCGGAGAACAGGTCCTCCCCGCGCATCTGTGTTTGCGACCGCGCAGCCAAGCACGATTCGGAGAAGATGTCATGCAGCCCCTGTTCGACCTGGGCGCGGACCTGCGACGATGGGCGGGTCGGCCGCGTCGAGTCAAACGGAGTGAAGAAGGCCTTGACGGATGCGGTCGAAGAGCGGCGGCTGAGCGCAGCCGAGATCGTGACAGGGGGATGCGAGTCCTGCCTGAGCGCGGCGCTGTCGAGCCGCGACAGCGTCCGGGAGTACTTCAGCTGCCCGCGACCCACTGGAGTGGCGGGAGCGGAGTCAGCGGCGGGCGGACTGCCGCCACTCTGCTTCTCGAGGTCCGACAGGGACTGGATGGCAGGGAGACCCGAGGGCGAATCCTGCAGCGGGTCGTCGACGGTCGCAGACAGCGGCGTCTTCTGGTCCGCCTGGAAGGTCGACAGCGGCTCCCGCACCCAGCTCGGCTTGGTCTTGAGCGAGTCAGCGATCGCGCTCAGCCAGAATGCCTTCTCCTGCGCGCACGCCGCGGCGAGCTGCAAGTGGCACCCCTGGGCGGTTACGTGGAACGAGTACGGGAAGGAAGCTATATGCGGCCATGGAAGAAGATCATCGTGCTGGTTAGCGCTGGAATGGCAGGAGCGGGGGAAAATCGGCACTCACGATCATCCTCCTCGACGTCCACCACCTCGACCGCACCGAACGGGAACCAGTGCCGCGGCTCGTACACGCGCCCGCCCTTCGTGATCTTGACCAGTATGCAGTAGCCGCCTGCGTACAGGAACACACCGAGGTACTTTGCGCGGTGCGCCGGATGCTGGATAACATCAAGCGCCCCAGCGAGCATACATGGACCCAGTGAGGAGACGAACTCGGCGGTGAGCCCGGTCGTGCGCTGGGAGGGAACCGCGAGGGGAGGTAAGGAGGCCACACCATGGGCGGCGGTGGCGGAGAGAGGTATGGGACTGGCGGGCGAGGAAGTGCAAGAACCGGCGGAAGAAGTGCCGTGCCCATGCGAGGAAGACGACCCGGACGACGACGAAGGGGCCGTCGGCGGCGGAGATGGGTACATCGATGCTGGCGCAGAGGACGGCATGCTCTGCATAGGCATAGGAGGTGCGTACGAGAACGCTATCCGGGATGCGATGAGGGCCGAGCGCAGGTTGTGCGCCTCCTTCTCGCTTGCGCGGTTCACGCGCGAGACGACCCTGCGCATCGCCTCTCCCGCTCTCCGCACGGCTTCGTCCACCGCGGCCTGTGGCACGCTAGCTGCGTCACCGCGCTTCGGACGAAGCTGGTCGAGCAGCAACGGATACTTGCATATCCGCTGGACAGGCTTAATCAAGTAATCCATGAACTTGAGTTTCTGCCCCGCCGTGCGCAGCTGCCTCTCACTGGGTGTTGCGATCGGGGGTGGTAACGTGGAGGAGCCGGGACTGGATGTCGAAGGGAAGGGAAGCTGGTTCGGCGACGCGGCTGCGCTGTGCACGGAGGCAGCTGAAGCGGACAGAGACAGAGCTGGGGTTGAATGTCGCCGCTTCTTTCGCATGGGAACCTCTGAGGCAGCGGCTTCCTGGGAAGTTTGACTAGCGGTTTGAGTCGCGGCGGTCGTATTGTCGCTGACTCCGCGAACGTGGGGTTGTGGGGGGTAGTCCGAGTTGCGTGCCGAAAGCAGCGCGCACCGTTGCTCGTACGTGTCCCAAGCCGCTGGCCAACGCTCTTGAGCGCGTCGTATCAAATCCGTTGCAGCAGCATGCCCCGGACAAAACGTCTCGTAGATGCTGAACGATGCGGCCTGGTTATACAGACGCGCAGACGCAGCATCGTTCAGCATGACAAGACGGGCAGGCACACGCTCAGACGCACCTCGTTTGTAAACTTCGTCGTCACGACCTCGACCGCGTGCTCGACAAGGTCGGCGATGACGCCCTCCCCATCCCCGTGCATTTCTTGCAACCATTCCTCGTCCCCGGTAAACAACATGCCGAAGCCGATGAGCCCGACCGCCGCCCGCAGCTCGTGCACAAACCGCTCGTGAAATGCTAGCAGCTCCCGTGCATTCCGGTACACCGCGCGAACTTCCCGCTCAGTAAGCGCAGATGTTTGCTGACGGGAGGATTTGCTTGGTTTGAGCGGCTGTATGCGCTCCAGATTCTCCTTCTCGTGATCGCGCTCCTTGTCCCGATCCCGGGGCGCGCTCTCGGTGGACGTGGACGTGGATGCACCCGAGGTCTGTCTCGACCGATCGTTAGAAGCGTCATCCTCTCCCTCAGCGTCAGGGGAGGCCAGAGACAATATGTTGGCCGCGCTAGGGGATGAGGAAGGCGCGGTCGAGGAATTATAAAGAAAGGAGGATCTAGAGCTGGGAAAAATGGAGGGTATTGATAGAGCGGAAAGCGAGGACATCGACCGGCCGGAAGAGGGTATGGGCACTCCGAGAGACAGTGGCTGCGCTAATGGAGGCGTCGGCAGTCCGGATGTCCCAAGAGGAGCAGGCACCACAGATATCTGTGACGGTGAAGAAAGCAGGAGGAGTTGGTCGAGATAGACCTATAGTAAACCTGTAAGTAAGCGCAGCACAATGAAGATTATTGACGAGCACGCACGGTGACCAGGGTGCGCAAGTCCAGGAGGTACCCCACCTCTGTGGTTAGGAGCTCCATGAGCGCATGGTACCGACGTACCCGTTCTGCCCTTTCCCGTTCCCGCTCCGGGTCCATAACTCGCTCTTCCGCCATCTGCGCTGCCGGCGCGGCCTCCTTTTGAACGCCCCCTTTCTCACCGCCCGAGGCGTCTCGCTCGCGGTCCTCCGAATCGGATAGGTCCCCCTCGCCGTCCTCATCGTCCAGACTGAACAGCTTCCTCGCGCGCCGGCGCGATGCGGCTGTTTCACCGGGGTCAGCTATGGGTGCCGCACCAACGTGCGCGGCGCGCCGCGATAAGCTCGGGAGAAGCGCCCCCTCGCTAGCATCAACATCGTCGATCTCCGCGCCTGCCTTCTTGTCGGGCACCGGGGGCATGTCTATGGGCGCTCCGTCAGCTGTCGGCGACGGTCGCGGCGGGAGTGGTTTATGCAGATTTGCCGGTAAGGAGAGCCGACGCGCAGCAAGGGCTTTGGTTGGCGGTGTGGGTCTTGGAATGTGCAGCGAGGGCGAGGGGGAATATGAGCGTGACAGCGGAGTGGGAGTATACGAAGCAATAGAAGCAGGCCGGGGACCTGAACGGGTCGTACTCGTGCTCCGACTTCTGCTCGTCTTGCTATGGCTTCGCCCGCGGCCCACGCGCACTGGGGACGACAAGCCAGAACCCGATGCGGACGCCGCGCGCGGGGACGGGGATGATTTAGGAGGAGGGGTAGGGGGTGAGGTAGTCCACGTTGGGTGCGGCGGGGAAACGTGGTGGGAGAGGTAGTCTTGTTTGTCTTGTCTCTGCGGGGGGTCGTGCCCGGCGAGTACCGCAGCAGGCGATGGGGCGTACGCGATATCCGGCGTCAGGAGCGGGGACGCCATGATGGGCGTGAGGGGCACGAAGGGGAGGAACGCGGCAGAGTGCTTCCTGGACGCACCACGAGTAGCGGCCGGCCGTGCGGCGGTGGACTGGGCGGCGGGGGCGAAGAGGTCGGCTACGGAAAGACGGTCAGGGAGGTCCGCGTAGCTGCTGGATGCGCGGCGGTCGAGCAGGGACGGCCTGTGGGGGAGGACGTCGACAGAGGCTGACATGATGGAAGACGGGCTCAGGAGCATTTCATGGCAGATAAGAGGCGGCGGCAGGGTGCGACGCGAAGCAGGATATGGGACTCAGATACTGAGCCCGACTGGGACGGCGGCGTCGGGGGATGTGGGAGGGAGTGAATGGGGAAGAGGGGGATGGGAGGGCGCGGACGGGGAAATGGGAAAAGGGGGTCGAGGCTCGCGGGGAAAGGGAAAGGAGAGGCGAAGGAGGACGAGAAGAATGCAGTCGGGAGACGGGAGGGAATCCGGCAGCCACCAACCACTCGCCTGCGCATCGACCCTGTCCGAGTCCAGTACCCTCGCGCGCTCTTATCTCACTCGCGTCGGGGACAATGCGCGCTGCGCGTCGGTCGCCCGCCGTCGTTCCCCGCCCGACGCCAGCGGCGCTCTGCTCGATGATTTTCGTGCCGCGCCCATCGATGGACTGACAGCGAGGACGAGCAGGCCGGCATTGGGCAAGCCCGCCGCCAGGCACAGCGCGGCAGCCTCCTTTCCGACTCGCGCGGTGACGCCATTTCTGACACCCATCCCTCGCCCCGGAGCCCGGCCCGGGCCTCTATTAGGCAGGCCGCTTACCAAATGCGCACGTTGTGGCCACACAAGTCGCGATCGCAGCAATTAAACCACTCCACCCTTCCCGCCACACACGCACAGCCGGCTTCGGCTTGGACTTGGCTTGAACTATGCCACTGCGCTTGCCCGTCCTCGTCGCAACCATCCAAATGTTCTCCCGTTCGAGCGCGCCTCCGTACACCGTGGTTGCGCGGGCTACCAACCATGCTTGCTGTCAAGGACGAACGTGCTGATGATCGTATTCCTGCAGCCGACGTCTAACTGCACCACCTAATGACTGTGCTATGATGTAGAGGGAGCATACACTCGGCCGGACGCCCACTCACCTATGAATAGCTTCTCTGACAACACCCTTCAATAGAGCGCCCGCGAGTCGTCACCTCTGGGTTGAAAGGGGATGTTCTTCCGCTCAGACTCCCTTTTCCGCCACTCTTCCTTCTCCAAGAACTCCCCCAGCGCCCGTATTTTTCCCTCGCGAAATATCCTATACAACCCTCGCTTCCGCTCATCGTAGCCCTGCATACGCGCGCTCGTCATTAGAATCGAAGGCCACAGTTTAAAGGGTAACGGACGCACCTCGGGCGGCGCCTCGGAAAACTGTCGCACTCCTCGACGACGCATGGCGGGAATGCCGGACAGCCCCAAGTGCTGCAGTTTTGTCAGCCGCCGAAGCATTGCGCGCACCCCGTCGAGAGTGATGCGGCTACAGAAGGTGAGGTGGAGTATCTCTAATTCGAAGGCGTGCTCCGCTAGGAAGAACGCGGCCTCGTCTGTCAGTAGTGGTAGTCCCGCCGCCGCAAGCCTTTGAAGGTGCGGTTGTGACGCAAACTCCAGCACGCTGAGGTCGCTGAGCTTCGGAATGACTGTACATGCGGTCAGTACTAGTCCTCTAAGCGAAGAAACGTGCCACACTAGCACTCACAGCTGATATCGACGGATTGAAGCCGCCTGCAGGAAGTCGCGAGCGCGAAGGCGCCCTCGTCTGTCACCCGCTCTAGGCCCCCGATGTCGACGACCGCGAGGTGGTTCCCCAGCGCGCACACCGCATGTATGGCACGATCGGAGAGTTCGATGCATCCGGCCAGGTTTAGGTCCTGTATATGCGGTGCGTACGCGATAAGTCCGAGCATGGCGGAGTCCGTCAGCTTCACGCAGTGGCTCAGGTCCAGCGTGTGTAGTGCGTTCAGCTTGTGCGTGCCCGGCAACACGAGCGGGGGCAGGCTCTCGAGCCAGGTTCGCGGTTTGTCCGCTGCTGCTTCTTGGTCTTCCAGGGATCGGAGTTGCTCGCGCTCGGGGACCCAAGGGAAGCCGGAGTCGGTGACATGCACGCACCCGGACAGGGACCACCGCTGCAGTCCGCGCGCAAATAGCCAGATGTCTCGCACCGCGACCGACGTTACGAGCGGCAGGCTATCCATCTCGAGCACCTCCAGACGCGGAAGTCCGCGTACCAGTTGTGCGAGTGCAGGGTCGGTGATCCCTGGTATCCGACTAATCGCGACCGAGACGAGCGATGTTGAGTGGGCGGCGAGCGCATGCAGACCTAGGTCGGTGACGTCTGCGCATCCGGAGATATCGACATGTGTGAGGTTGTGCGCGGATTCGGCGAGGGTGATCAGAGTGCGGGATGACAGGTCCGGCACCCCGGTGAGCTGCGCGTGGAGGATGTTAGGGCAATGCGGGAGAATAGACGCGAGTTCGTCGTCTGTGACCGCGGGCGCGAGGACAGGGTCAGAGCGGAAGTCGATGTGCTCGGCGTAGAAGCAGGACTCTTCGTCCGATGGGAGGGCATCGACGTACGACATTGTGTGGCATAGCTTCCATCATGCGGGGAACACTCCGCCTATATATATGCGGGGTATATAGAGTACGTGCTTGGACCTGCAGCCGATGGTGGTGGGAGAGAGCAAAGACGTTTGTGGCAATCCGTGACTCCAGGCGGACTTCAAGAAGCTCGGAGTCCATGCTGAGTCCATGCGGACCGCGTACCCGCCCAAACAGACGCCCATACCGAGCCGACCGGGTTCGTGCCGGGGCAGCGCGACCTCGCCCTCACCTCCATCCACGACGAGCTCATGCACGACGCCCGCCGCCACCGACGATGAGCAACCTCTCGTCTTCGTCCTCAATTACCCCTACGCCGTCTACGTTTCATAACACGCCCACCCAGACGCACCCCAACTCCGTGTACGCCTACGACGGCGGCGCGAGCGTGCGCCCGTCCTCCGCGGGCTCCCCTCCCCAACCTCCCTCGCCCAGCCGGAGTCGCATCCCCGTATCGCCCGCGGTCCTCCGCTCTATCTTCTCGTCGTCGCGCTCAGTGGGGGAGGAGCGTTCGCTCTCGCGGGTCGCGTTCTTCCGGTGAGTGCCGCTCCGTGCGTATGAAGGGCGCGATCTGAAGAAGGGTCTGGGGTGCAGATTTACTGGTTTCCTACTGAGCTGCTTGGCCATTGCCCTTGCGGCTGCGCGGGGACGCGGGATCAAGAGCGGAGCCGCGCTGCTGGGTGTCGGGGTAGTATGACACTCGATGTGTACGTGTATGCATATAGTCTCCTTGCAGTACGCGAGTGCTGTGGTGACATTAGCAGAGCTTCACTGTGATCTCACAGCACCAACGCGTCCTGCAAGCACATTAATCGTGCACGGCGTGTGTCTACTACACGCATGCCTGCCAATACATGAACGTCCGAAGACACGCGCTTCATCGCGATGCAGCCCCACAACCTCGCCCACGGCACGAAGTTGGGTCTGGATTATCCTCTGACCGTCTATACTATAAGCGTAACCACTCCGGACATCCCCCTCGACGCCCTCTCGGCCGACTTTTCCGCATCCACACCATGGCAGAACCATACGAATGTTGGGGAAAGGGTATTTTCCGGCCCTGGTCAAGGAAGAACACCTGATCTTGGCAAATTGATGACATTGCACCTTAACCTCCTCTACCCCGCGAACACGCTCACTGAACGAGGAGTTCATAGCGCTACAGTATAAGGATCGTCCCACAGCAGGCTGCGGCCGTATACCTCTCAGACACCCTCATCTCACTCAACGATGGAGAGAAAGGGCGGACGCCCTCTTCCGATATACGACTCGCCACTCGCGCAACGCATCACACCTATGGGAAGACAAAACCTCGCAGCCAATAGACGGACGAAATATACCTTGCACATGAGGGCTCTTGCACTGTGCGTTGTGGTAGCTGTACTGACGCTATACGCATCGTACGTTCCGTTGCTGTCCGCGTCCTCCCGGGATAGCCAGAGCGCCCAGCGGGTACCCCTCGCTGCCCAAGACATACTCCGCCAGTGCGCAAACCTGCGTGCTGTCCCGGGACCGCCCGCAAACTTTCGCGAGCGTGAGCGCTCTGATCGTTTCGAACTGGGGACGCGGCCTACGCTCATCAAGAACGCCACGCTGTGGACGGGGGCGCGTAACGGCAGCGAAATTGTCTACGGGGACATCTTCCTCGACAAGGGCCTCGTTCGTGGCATCGGGTACATTCCGGAGGCTCTGTATGCGGATCGCGAGACGGACGTTGTAGATGCGCGCGGTGGCTGGGTGACACCTGGAATAGGTGAGTTGTTTACGCCAGTGTGTCCCCATGTCGCCGTAATCTGATAAGATGCTGGGTGCAGTGGATATCCACACTCACCTCGGTGTTATCAGTGCACCCGTCACGGCGGGTGCACTCGACTTCAGCTCTGCGCATGGTCCTATCGTGCCGTGGATGCGCAGCATCGATGGCTTCAATACGCACGACGACGCCATCGCGCTTGCTGTGGCGGGAGGTGTGACCTCTGCACAGATACTGCCAGGAAGTGAAAATGTCATCGGTAAGCATATAGCTGTGTCATGGCGATGAGTCCTACTGAGACGTATACCGCAGGCGGACAGGCCTTCATGGTCAAGCTGCGCAAGACTTCTATGCGGACCCCAACGTCGATGTTGATCGAACCTCCGTACACGCTAAACGGCAGCACGCCCGACCCGAACTTGCCTGCGCGCTGGAGGCACTTGAAGTATGTAGTATGCTACGTGCATCCCCCAAGCGTCACCATTGACCATGACTGTTATAGACAAGCATGCGGAGAGAGTCCACGGGCATACGGGAATCGCATGGACACCATGTGGTCGTTTCGCTCGGCTTACGCGGAGGCGCGTAAGGTCCGAGACGCGCAAGATGCCTTTTGCGCCCGAGCGGAAGCTGGACTGTGGAATGAGATCCAGGGCCAAAGCTACCCGGAGGATCTGAGGTGGGAGGCCCTTGTGGACGTCCTTCGTGGCAGAGTCAAGGTCTCAACGCACTGCTACGAGCCAGTCGACCTCGATGGTATTGTCAGGGTAAGTGCATTCGTCTCTGACCTTATTTCCCCTGTTGTACTAAATGGCATACCCCGCAGCTTACACAAGAGTTCAAGTTCCCCATCGCCTCTTTCCATCACGCCCACGAAGCGTACCTGGTACCAGATGCGCTGAAAAACACGTAAATAGTTATTTCTTCACTCTCCGTTTGTGTGATAGCTCAATGAGAATGTTGTAGTTACGGAGGCATTCCCACCCTGGCCCTCTTCGCTGACAGTTCGCGATTCAAGAGAGAAGCATACCGGGGCTCGAAGTTCGCGCCCCGAATCCTAGCCGACCATGGGTTCCCCGTAGCAATGAAGGTATGCATTAAACCCCGTCAATCTGTAATCACAGCTAACATTCTCAATAGTCGGATCACCCTGTTCTCATCAGTCGCTATCTGATGTTCGAGGCCCAGCAAGCGCATTATCACGGTAAGTATCATCATACATCTCGTAGTGACGGCGTGTATGAATCTGAAGCCGCCTGTAGGCCTCCCGCCCCACCTCGCTCTCGCCTCCGTGACGTCCGTACCAGCCGCCGCGGCCGGACTGTCTCACCGCATTGGCATTCTGAGGGAAGGTGCAGATGCGGACGTCGTCCTCTGGGACTCGCATCCCCTGCAACTCGGTGCTACTCCTCGTAAAGTCTGGATCGACGGCATCCTCCAAGTCGGCAACGACACCGACCACATCGCCGTCGGCCCGGGCAAGACCGCGGCAGAGTGGCAGGACCCTCCAGAAGTGCCGGACTTTACAGCGGAGCGGGAGGCGGATGTCAAGTGGGACGGACTCGCTCCGCTCACGAGCAACCGGACTGTCGCGGGGCGCGTCGCGTTCCAGAACGTGAAGGAGGTCTTCCTGCGCCAGAGCGGCGACTCGGCGGGGCTCGTTCACCACCAGGCTCACGAGGCGGCCATGACCCACGTCATCGTCAATCGCGGGCGGGTGTCGTGCGTTGGGCCTGTGTGCGAGGGCGAGGGAAGAAATGCCGAGGTCAGGATCGATTTGCGCGGCGGCACGATTGCCCCAGGGATGATAGCCTACGGTTCTGCGCTGGGCATTGAGGAGATCCAAGCCGAACCGTCCACAGGAGATGGCACCCGGTACGATCCTCTCTCACGGGACGTGCCAAAGATCTTGGGTGACGTCGGGGCCGTGGTACGCGTGGAAGACGCTCTTATTTTCCAAACAAGGAATGCACTGTGAGTCTTTCTTGTCCATCACATGGAAAACTACATGGCGCGATTTACTCTAAACACCCGGACTATCAGCGTAGCCCACCGCGCGGGCGTCACGTATGCCACAACGTCGTTCTCGAGGTCTCCAGTCTTCCTTCGCGACCAATTCATGGGCGGCCTCTCAGCAACGTTCCGCACCGGCGCACCGCATGCCCTAGACCGCACCGCGATTATCAAGCCTATCACTGCGTTGCATGTCTCTATTGGTAGGGCGCCTCCCATATCCTTTGCCCCATCAGCTGCCAGTCTCAGCACAGAGATCGCTACACTGCGACATTTGTTGCTGGATGGCGAAGACACGCGCACGCAGACGGGAGACTGGTTCAAAAAAGCGGCTGAGGTAAAGACCGACTGAACATTATGCCCGAGAACCAACTGATGGTGGGGTATGCAGGGAGCAATTCCGCTCGTCATTGAGGTCTCGAGCGCGGACATCATGGCTACGCTGATCCGCCTCAAGAGTGAGGTAGAGGAGAAGCGGGGAACATACATGCGCATGGTCTTCTCACGTGCAACCGAAGCACACCTGCTCGCCGAAGAAATCGGTACGTAGCCATTAAAGCAATTCGGGAAACGTGCTAAATATGATCATAGCTCATGCCAGGGTTGGTGTCATATTGACTCCTTCCAGGCAGTTCCCTTGGTCGTGGGATGACCGCAGGATGTGAGTCCGCCTTGGGTTGTTTGGTTAGGTCAAGGACTGACGATCTACAACAGCCTCGCCGGGCCACCATTGACTAACGACACCGCGTTGGCTACCCTGATCAAACACGGCGTGACGGTCGGACTAGGAACCTGGGAAGCCTGCCATGTCCCGCTCACCCGCTTTGACGTCGGATGGGTGCGTCATTTGTTTCTACAAATTGTCGACAGATGTTAACAAATTCGGGTCACAGGCTATCCTGGAGTCAAATAACTGGATCAACAAGCGACAGGCGTACGAGCTTGTTTCCACAAATCTGGAGAAGCTGCTTGATCTGGAAGGTTGGATCGGCGACATGGGCGACCTGGTGGCATATGAGGGCGGCAGTGCGCTGGACTTCACGAGCAAGCCCATCGCAGTCGTATCCCCTGCTAGGCAGCTTGTGGAAATACTCTGATCTACTAGACGAGCGGTCGTAAAATTGTTGTGATTTCTCGTGCACGGACCCCGGTACTATACATGACTATGGAGATCTCATCTTGAACGTTATAATCTGCGCTTCTTGTTGCGTGCTTCAGCGAGTTGCTCGAGCATCTTGCGCTTGTCCTTTGAAGGCGACTGGGAATATGACGGCGTGCTTTGCGCTTGTTCCGTTGGCGTGTGTGGTGTCAGCGGTGGCGTGCTTGACTGTTCTGGTTTAGGTGATCCCCTCGATATTGTAGGAGGCACCTCAGGTTCAACTTTGACCGGACTACTACAACCCGCAGTCAGTACGATTGACACAATGAGGGAGGGAGAAAAAGTTACTCATGATCAGTCAACTCGGCCTCGGGCGTCGGACTGGCCACTGCACGACGTCTTCGTAGCCTGGACGGCGTCGTGGGGAGCGCGTCTTGCTCCATCCCCGATGGTGGTTCTGGAGAGCTTTCAAGAGGATTCGTGGGCGGTGGCTCGGAGGCCGTAGCGCCGGGTACGTAGTTGATAATCAGTCATCATACATGGCAGTATGGCATATATGCATCCCGAAGGGGTCCCATGCCAGTAGTACTCACCTACTGTCCTCTTCGAGTCCATCATCGATAAAATCTACGGCTTCCTCTTCTTCTGAAGTATCTTCCTCTCTACGCGCTCCATCTATGCTGACCCATTGTGTGGCCACCTCGACAAGCATATCCCATTGCTCTGACGCGGTATACTCGACGAGCTCGGCGTCTTCTCTCTCGCAGACTGCCCGACATTGTGGGCACCTTATGCGCTCGTCTCCACCGGGAACCGGCCTCAGCTGCCCTAGACAATCGTTGCAGAATATGTGTTCGCACGGTAGGCTACGTATGACGAAGCTGTTAGGCCAAAGATGGGGGCAATGTTGTTATAGGCTTCTACCTGCGGGTCAGCTTAGGCTGCAAGCGTTCGAGGCAAATTGGACACTGCTCGTCTCCGTCTAAGGAGTTGCTCAGCATGAGGTCCGAGAACTTGCGGAGAAGCTGACACTCGAGATAAGTATCGTCCTGCGGCATGCTGGTGATTGGAGAGCTCCGACCTTGCGCATAGCGTGTGCAGAGTCGCCCACTTCGAGGTCAGCTACGTCCAGCAGATCCTCAGCCTCAGACTTGAACTCTTTCATGCTCAACTGCACCATCAGGACGACATGGTGAGTAAGTAATTCAAAGATGAATAAATGCGGTTTACTTGGTGCACTCTCTGTCGGTAATTCTCGTTTGACTAGGGCGGGTACGGCGAATTAGTCTATCATGTTCATATATGGGGGAAATAAATGGGTGCTACTACCTTCTCTAGCCTTTTCACTTGCTTGTTCAGCTGAGTCACTTGGCTTCTGAGCTCGGCTGCGGTCGCGGGCGCCTTCTTACTTTTCCTTCTGGGTTGCTGGGGAGCGTCATCCTGCTCGACAACCCGATCCAGTCTGCTCTCGAGGGCCTTGACCTTCTTCCGAAGGGCGTCGTTCTCGCGCTCAAGCTCTTTCGCGCCACCAAGAGCCCGCGTGAGCAGTGACTGCGACACCGTGCGTATGAGCCGTCTGTTAGTTCGTCGGACGGAGATCGAAGCTCACTTCAAGCGTCGTTCCTGAGCTTGCATCAGGTTTCTTTGGCGTGCCGTGGCCGCTTGAGTCGACATCATCTTCGAGGGTATGTTTACTGGAGGATGGTTTGGCGTTTCCGCCAGACCGTGTAGCGGGAGGCATGGGTGGCAGTGACAAGATGCGAAGGCGCCCAGAATTCCTCAGTTGAAACAGATGGTTGAACCCCAAAGGTCGAAAGGGTGAGACGTGTTCGAAGAACCCGACTACATCCTCCAATGCACATGAGAGCTGGTTTAAGAACCTACCAATCACCTGAAACTGAAGGAAACGTTGTAAGCACGGAAGAGGAAGCAGCGAAATAAAATCGCTGCGCTGCGGGGCGCGCCGTAGAATCTCATAATATACATGCTATCATATATACAGCACCATAACCAGTAGTGTTCAGCACACGCGTAATGTAGTTCGACCATCAAGGTATTAACCCGTGTGACCGCAGGATGTGCGCCCATCTGTGCGGAGCGTTAGATCTCGGGGGACGCGAAGGGGAGGAACGGTACCACTTACTGCTCTTGCTGCGTCTCAAGCTCGTTTATCCGTCGCTTCAGTTGGCTAGGGCATACCGGTCAGTCCAGAGAATCGAGCGTAATGCGCAGGGTCGCTTACTGGTTCTCATGCCGCACCGCCTTCTCGGATCTCTTCGCAGCCTTCAGGTCGCGCGTCATCGCCGCCCATGCCTCGTCCTCAGGGAGGGTCGCGTCGTCATACATGCCCTGCAGCTCCTCGTTGAAGGACTGGTCGGGCCCGTCAGCCGGCGGCAACGGCGGAGCCCGCAGCGCGTGACTGACCTCGTAGAGCACGTCCACCTCCGCGTTCTTGTCCTTGATGAGGTCGCTGAACACGTCGCGCTGCATCTTCACATTCGCCAGCTCGATGTTCGCGGCTGTGAGCGCCGTCGACTTCTGCCACAGGGCGGGGGTCAGCATGAGAGTTGCGCTCGACGGAGCGGGCCGTGTCGTGCTTACCTCTTGCAGCTGCGTGAGGAGGTTCTTCATACCCGATGCGACCTCCTCCTGTGTCCGCAGCGCCTGGGCGAGCTTGCCGTCCGCCTCGATGGCGATGTCCTCGATGCTGCGCGCCACCTCTTGCGCCTTGGGACTGCTGCTACTCCCTGCCCCCAGCGACGAAGACGAGGAACTGCTCTCCACCAGCGTCCGTGGACGGGCGCGGGGCGTGCCCCCACTCCCGTCCATGCGCCGCCCGATGGCCTGCATCATCTCTTCCCGCCGCGCCAGCGCCTCCCGCGTCTGGTAGTACCCCATGGTGGTGAGCAGCGGTCAACACGTATCCAACAGGCACACACTCACCAACGCGGGTGACGCGGCAGCCGGCGGCGTGACACGCTGGGGCGTGCGTAGCGGCTTCGTAGGCGACACCGGGCGCGACTCCCATTCGGCGACCGCGCTGCGCACAGGCGACGCCGCCGTGATCTTCTCCGTCTCGAACCGGATGCGCTTTATGGCGCGCCGTGACGAGTCGATCTGTCACCGCCTAGTCAGCCGATGTCCCTGTTCAGCGGCACATCCTAGAGCACTCACGTCCTGCTTCGTCGTCTCTGCGAGCCGCACCAGGCGGTCCACCTCGTGCGTGTCCATAGCCTCCGTCGCAGCGTCCAGGCTCTCGAGCAGGCTGGGCAGCTTCGGCGCGCGCTCGCGCTGGTTCGACACGCGCCGCGGGGACCCGTTCGCGAACGCGCCCTTGCCGAGCGGCGACACGCGCCGGCTCGCGGAGTTCTTGCGCGCGGACCCGGGCGAGCCTGCGGAGAGCACCGACGCGTTCGAGCGCACCGAGCTCTTCTTCGTCACGGACAGCGGTGCGATGCTCTTCGGCTTCGTCGGCTCTTCCGCGCGCTCAGCGGCGCGTGGGGTCACCTCGTGGTTCATCGAGCGCACGGGCTCGAACGGCTGGCGTTTGCTGCGTGGAATTGGAGTTGTAGTCGTTGAGGGAAGGGGACGAGAGGGGGTGGTCGGAGATGCGGCGTTAACCAATGTCGTTTCCAATTCCAAGTTGACGGACGAAAGGCTTATGGGGAGCATCGTAGGGCTACGAGGGAGGGGTGAGGGGCTTCGGGGTCCCATCGGCTTGCGGTCAGAGCGGTCGGATGAGTTGCGCGAGAGCGACCGTCCGGTGCGCGAGTCCGGGCTCGTGGGTCGACTCGGGAGCGGCGACGGTGCACGCAGAGTGGGTGTGCCCGACCGCAAGCTCTCGACATCCTGTGGAATTTCTGGGAGGGACCTCGACGCTCGGGACGCCCGGGAAAGTGGCCTGAACGACGGAGGCGGCTCATCTGCTACTCGAGTGAGCAACACGGACGTAGGCTGTCAATCGCACACAAACTGACCTTCGTATATCGTCTCCTCGGACGGAGGTTCCGATCCAGGCGTCGACAGCTCCCGACCATGTTGATTCTGGCTATTGCGTCGCGCGAGTTCGAGGCGCATCGTCAGATCGCGCTCCGACGCGTCCATCTGCTTGACTCTCCGCATCCGCGACGGGCGCGGGCTATCCGGGCCCTCAGCCTCCCACTCACTCTGATCCTCCTGCTCTGCCGCCGCCGCTTCCGCCTGCAGCACATCCGCCTGGCTGGTAGACATCGACCGTCGGCGCGAATACGAGTCCTTGCCCTTGCCCTTCGCCGTCTCCTTCGGGCGCGCAGGACTCTCTGGCTCGCTCGCCACATCCGCCGCAAACGGCGACTTCGCGCGCTTCACGAGCTTCTTCGCGCCCCGCGACAGCGACCGCGCCCGCCCGCCCGACGACGTGCTCTTCGAGAACGACCCACCGCTGGCCGGGGGCGAGCCGTCGTCCTCATGCAGCGACGTGCCCGCGGTGGTGGCCGAGTTGCTCGAGGTGCGCGAGAAGCGGCCGATGCTGCTCCCGCCGTTGCTCGTGAGCGTCGAGGTGCGGCTGTCGGCGTTCGCGGTACGCGAGCGGCGGTGGCCGTTCATCGAGCCCGCGAAGAAGTCGCCCATGCCGGACCCGGGGCGCGTGCCGAAGAGGTTGCGCGAGATGACGTCGAGCCCGAACATGGCAGTACGCGAGCGCGAGGCTGTAGGCGTCGTAGGGCGCGACACGTTGCCGGTGCTGAACTTGAACAGACCATACTGATGTACTAGTGAGAAGTTCCGAATGAGTATTCGGAAGCGGACAGATCTGAAGAATATGCTTACTAGTTTGCACAATGCGCTCTGGAATGCGGCTGGTTTGCATGATGTCCTCCTCGGGCTCGTCATCGGGGTCGCTCGAGGTCACCTTGTACCGGGCTAGCTCTCCCGCCATAGGCTGCACGCGCACTACGACGTACGGCGGTGCATGAGAGCCGAACGAGATGGCATCTGCGACGCCCATCGGGTCGACGTGCATGACAATCTTCGTCTGAAGTAGCCTCGTCTATAAGACGCCTTCAAGTACGCACATAGGGGACTACGCACCTTCTTAGGCTCCTGGAGGAAGCTTGTGCGTGTGTAGACATTGAAGTACGGCCGCGCCATCGTCACCCTCCCGCCCCGATTCTCCACCTCCCTCTCGTCGCCGCGAAGAACGACGGACCGCCCCGCGCGTGTTCGGAAACGTGCCTGCGCATCCCACAGCTGTTCCAGGAAGCGATGCTTCTCCGACTCGGTGCGCTGGGGATCCAGGTAGACAGGTGAAGGAGGGAACACGACAGAGAGCGAGCGGAACTGCCGGGCAGCCCACCGCTCGGACACGTCTGTGGGCGGGTTCTCGAGGTACATGTGAAAGTCTATTGCGGCTTGAGTTGAGTTGGGTCCTGACAGCAAAAGGTAAGCGACGCACCGGCTCCGCCTACATCTGTGGCAACAATGTCGGTGATGTCTATGACGCCCTTGCACACTAGCCCAGTCTTCTTCGCACTCTTCCCGCCTGCAACCTTTGTCGGACGATCAGGTTGGTCGAGTCCTGCGAGCGTACGCCCGCCCTTCTCCGCGGGCCTCTTGACAATTACGAGTTTGTCGTCGAAAAGGAATAGCGTACAGTGCAGCACCAGTGCAGCTGCAGGCCCATTTGATGACACGGCCATGAAAGGGTCTGGCGCGATCACATCTTGCACGTCAATACATGCCAGGAACTGGCGTGAATTCGACACAAGCGCAACGGGGAAGTCGTCCACAGTGCTTGCGAGGCTGTAGAGAGTGGCGGCGCGCTTCGTCTGATCGTCGGTCTCCGCAAGGGCGATCCGGCTCGCGATATCGTCTGCTTCCTGCAGGGGCGCACGCTGTGGATCCGACGCGCCCATGTGCTTCAACATCGTGCGGAACATGAGCGTGTACCGCGGGATGCGCTGCACCGGCTCCATCAGGAGCTCGCGAAGACCGACTTTGTTGCGCATGTCGGCCGTGGAGTATTTGACACGCTAGCCGCGGGCATAATTGAGGTTGATCTACGAATGAATGCCATGTGCGTACTCACGTCAATATACTCGGAGAACCGAGATGACCTCTTTACTTCATGCTCGAAGATCCGCTGCGCCTCTTCCCGTTTAGCGTAGTATTGTCTGTAGTGTTCGAAACCCCTCAATGTCTTGAAGTGCTTGAGTGCCACATCACCAACCCCGAGCCCGCCCTTGAGAGCCATCTTCTCCATCTTCTCGAGGTCGGTGAGGAAGGCTTCGTTTACGGGTAAGAGGTGGTCGATGTTTCCGAACAGGGTCTTGGCTTCGTACGGTGGAATGATCGCGGTGTCCTTATTTCGCGCGAAGCTGCGTAATGGGTCTGCATAATCAGTCTTGAGGATGCGGAGCCGTTTGACATAGGAGCGCTCGGTGCTAACGAGCTCCTTGACCACTTCGTTGAGAGAGTCTGCGTTCGTGGTCGCTGGTACGCGATTACCCTGTACTGTGTCAGTATATCTTTGGATTTCATCTCCAGGTTCACGTACTATGTTCGTGAGGTTAGCGTGTTCCCGAGCGGAGGAAGGTGATAAAGGTTCTGACTCCAGGTCCATAGGTTCGCCAAGGGATGCTACGAGATCCTGAACATCTGTAAATGCATGCCGAGGTGAGTTCCCACTATAGGTATTATGCAGACCCCAAGTTCAGGCGCGATGAGGCTGTTGAAAGTTGGAGGCTAACTCCTAGGTAACTACGAGCAGGTACACACCTTGCGAAAGTTCCCGCCCGCTATCTGCGCCTTCTACGACCACTCCGCACAGAAAGACGCGTCTTGTAACGTTTGCGCCGGTGGACCGCGCCTTAGGGCGCGGTGGGTAGTCGTCACCAGAGGCGAGGGGAACAACTTTGCGCGGGGACTGAGAGAGGGCCATGGCAGACTAGCATGCGTGTGTAGAGTTGAGTCCCAGATGTCAGAGAAGCAGTAGAGTATTCGCAGATAAATAGCGAGAGAAAGAGTAGGTGAGCAAGACGGGCGCGAGGTCGTGAATGTGCAGCTTATAGCCTCTGCCTCTGCATTCTCTGCCACTTCCGGTGAACGTTTATGCAGACTCAGATCACGAACCACTGGTGGCAACTGAACCGCACCGTGCCCCGCGCTGTTTGTTCGTGTTGTCCCCGCCATAGGCGCGTCGCATCTATGTATCACGTGGCCGTGTATCCCACAAAGCACCCACCGACTTGAACTTGAGCTTGAACTGCTCTCGGTCTTCAAACTAATTTCCTGAATCGCACACAACAACTGGCTTGCACGCAGTAAATGCTTCTTTGATTCCTGTCTTACTCCGCGGTTCCTGGACCTACGCTGCCCCCTCCTTCGGGTTGCCCTTCGCCCTCGTCTCCGTCGTTCACCGCCTCCGCACTCGTCACTTTGTTCTTTTTCTTTCGCCCCGCCGATGACGGCGGCGGTGACTGCGCCTTCTTGGTCTTCAGGATCTCCATTATCTCTGCACAGCCCGCAGGTCAGTGAGAACCGCACCGCCCGAAGAACAAGCGATGTGCTTACCCGCATGCGACATCTCCTCGAAGCCCTTGATGCTCCGTTTCATTGTGAGCCAGCGCCTTTGCAGTGAATGTGCGCTCCAGACGTTCCAATTTTCGTCTGGGAGGAGCTTCCAGTCGATCTCCGTGTCGTCTCGCACGTTCAATGAATCGACCCTGTGAACGCGAGGTAAGTAGTGCACGGTGCGATGTGGTGATCAACACTTACTTATGCACAAGGATATACGCATCCATCGCACTCCATCTCGGCCTCTCGCCTGTGTTCTTGAGCTGTGGCGCTAGCGAATCCGTCCTGTGTACAGGTCAGGAACGCCACGGCAAACGCGATAGCGCGGTGGCACTTACCACTTGATTCTACATTGTTGCCGGCCGCGTTTCCCGCCCATCTTCTTGCTCACGACGCCCCAGAAGATATCGTTATCCATATCCTTGCCTTGTTCGACGGTCATCTCCGACACTATCTGTGTCAGCTCGTCCTCCTCTTCCTTAGTCCACGCGCCTGCACAGCACGGGGTAAGCCGACTCGTTCGAAAGGAGAGACAGACCAAGGATACTCACCCACGCGGCGCACTTCTCTGTCTTGGAGATGGTTTCGGTATCTGTCCCTGCAGTCCGCGGCCGTCCGATGCACGACGTCGCTGATCTTCTCCCACTGCTGTCCCAGATTGTTCATGCACCTGCAACCCCGTTAGTCACATTCACGATTCAATGCACGCAACACCGTCGAAAACTCACTCAAGCAGGAGGTCATCTTCCGTCTTTGTCCATGAGCCCTTCCCGGAGAAGGGATGGCGTGCCCGCCTCACATGGTGATAAACAGAGATGATGGGACGCAGGTGCAGCGCCGACGCTGTCCTCGCGCGTCAGGAACAATATGGGGAATTGGCGATGAAGACATGACTTACTGATCTCGGACCAGAACGACTCGTGTCCCTTGTCCTTGCCTGTCTTGTTTGAGAATATGATTTGGTCCAAGTCCTCTTGAGAGAGGCCGTGCGTCTACCGCGTCGCGTTAAGCACGCGGACGAACGCGCACCCAACCTACAGACTTACCACGCGGTAGCGTTCGATCGCATCATTGAGCTGCTGGTCCTCCGTCGCGGAAAACTTGCCCTTCTTGTAGACCAGACCTTGACGCACCTCAGCAATCGAACTCTTTGCCGAAAGAAATCCACTGTATGCCAGAGCGGTACATCTCCACAACGCACCTTCCGTTTTCACCAAGTCCCCTAGTTTAGCCGCGTTCATCCAGACGTTCGCGAGCATATGCGCATGCTCCGGGTTGTCAGGTTGTAACGGTGCCGGAGGCGCGTCCGCCGCCGCCGACGGACCCACTCCCCTGTTCTTCTTCTGCTTCTGCGGCCGCCCCATGATCGCGTCCGACCCTACCGGCTGCTGCTGCACCGGGGGCGGCGGCGGTGGAGGCGGTCCCGGGGCAAACATCGGGGGCATGTTCAGCTGCACATTCGCCGCCGCGGCCGCCTCCCCAAGCGTCTTCAGCACAGTGACGACCTTAGAGATGTCGAACTCCTGAAGGCTGCGCAGCAAGTCCTCGCTGGACGCGAAGTTCAGGTCGGGCAGCAGGGTCGCAGGGTCCGGGAACATCCCTTGTGCAGGCGGATGTCCGAACGGAGGCGCACCCGGGTGCGCGTGCGGAGGCCCCTGCCCGGGCGCAGGTGGTGGCAGGCCATTGAAGGCATAGGGATCGAAGTCGGGCGGGTATGTCATGAACTGCTGCATCTGCTGTTCAAACGTCCCGGGCAGCTGCTGCCCTGCGGAACCTGCGGTCGCGGACGCAGCCGCGACGACGGCAGAGAGGAAGTCGGCAGAGGAGGTCCCGATGTCCATGGGCGGGCCCGCGTGCGGTCCACCGGCCATGAGCGCGGGGTCGATCTGCGGCTGGGGTGGGACGTCATGCGCCCGCTCCTTGCCCTTGCTCTTCTTCTTTTTCTTCGCCGGCGCACCGTCCGCGACGGCGTCGGGCTCTGACGGCGTCGCGGTTTGCTCGCCGCTCGCGCTCGCACCAGTATTCTCCGCGTCGCCGTTCACATCCGCGCCATGTTTCTTTGATTTTTTCTTCTTTCTGCTCGCGCCCCCATCCTCTGTCTCCGCATGCTCGTCGTCTCGGTGTCGTTTGTGTTTCTTCTGCTTCGCGGCAGTGGCTGCGGCATTGTTTGCATCGCCAACGGCCTGCTGGAGGGCGCGCTGAATGTCATCGGAAAGCGAGGCAGACGCGGTAGAGGCTGAGGCCATGGTCGCTTGCCTCGCGCAGAGCGACGCGTGAGGTGGTTTAGGGCGGGTCGGGACGTGGATGAGGGCAAGTTCGTGTCTAGCGCCCGCAATCTAGTAATCTGTGGCTTAGATCAGCTCGGATCGCCCGGGCCGGTGTATACAAGGCACCTTTCACGCGCACGGTCGCGTCGACGCTCGACCGTCGCAAAGGCCACCATTCAGCGAGATGAGACGGGCAGCGTTCAACGCAGCAAGAATCGGAAACTAAGGAGTGTTTGCATATAACGTAACAAGAATCATAAAACTACATCCATCGACAACCAAGGGGACTACCAGGGGAATCACAGTCCGACAGGTCTACCCAATCTACTCGGGGTTCTGGAAGAAGTCGCGCACGACCCCTCCCAAGATCTCTACCGCCTTCTTCAGCTCTTTGTCCTATAATATGGCCGGTCAGCAACAGTCTCCATGAGGACACAAAGAGACAATCTCACCGTCGCCAGACTGAAGCTCATGCGGAAATGGCCCTCAGCAGCATCCATCGGACTCTCGTCAGTAGCGAAGTAGTACCCAGGACCGACGAGCACGCCCGCCTCCGCGAGCTTTGTCCAGAGCTTGAGCTCCAACGAGGCCTCGTCGCCCTCCTTGAACCCGCGCACGTTCTCGAAGTGGATCTTCAGCCAGAGGAACATGCCCGCGGTCGGCGGCACGAGGCTGAAGTACGGCTGCTGTCCGAGCGCGAACTTCTCCGACATCGCCGCGAGGCCGCGGGGCTTCGCAGATGCGCTGAGAACCGTGAGGCCGGCCCACGACCCGGTCGTGCCCAGGGACTGCTTGAGGTTGAACTCCTCCGCGAGCGCGTCGATGATGAAGTCACGGCGCGCCTCGTACTGGGCAGCGAGGCCTGTCAGCCGTGCGGCATTAGCAAACGGGCACACGACGGGGAGCGTTGCATGCGGGATCTGCGCACCATGAAGCCACCTGACGTAGCCGTCGAATTGCCATGTGGTGAGCAATTGGCCAATAAGCGACTGAACAAGGGCAATTGAATATACGATCCCGCCAATAGAGTGGTGGCGAAGCGTACCTGGCCAAACCCACACGGGGCCTGTGCCGAAGTCTCTCCCGCACGCTCGAGCCTCTCCGCGAAACGAGGGTTGCAGGTGAAGAAGCCGAGGCGAGACCCGGGTGCGATGGTCTGGAGATATGTCAGCGAGTGCGGCGCAGCGCTCCAACTTCACGCTCACCTTGGAGAAGGTGTCAAGGCGGATGACACGACCCTGGTAGTCGAACCTGTTACGTGTTAGACATAAACGATATTGCGGGTAGCATGCGCCTACTTGAGGTAACTGGGTGAGAGCCCGGAGAGCCACTTGTCGCTCTCAGCGGGGCCAACGCTGGAGGAAGTCCGAGCGGACTTCGCGGAATAGGGCGCCAGCTGCAAGAAGTAGTACGGATCATCCTCAACGATGATGATATCTAGCATGCCGTCAGCAAACACGGGACGGTGGCATGTAATACGGAAGCGGGGTACCGTATTCAACGCAGATATCGTAGATCTCCTTCTTGCGGGAAACGCTCGTGGTCTGCGGGGTTATGGTCAATTAACTGCGCATACACTAATTGGCAGGTGTGCGCAGTCAAGTACTCACAAGACCAGTAGGGTTCTGGCCAACGGGCACCGTGTATAGAACGTGGGGCCTGGGAGTACAAGAAGAGTCAATCACTCAAGCTCTTAACTCAAATGCTTCTTGTTATCATACCGCTTAGCTCCACGCGCAGCCTCGTCCCACCCAGCAAGCAGCTTGCGCAGTTCGTCGCTGCGCATACCCTGGCCGTCCATAGGTACTCCGACAGGGGAGATGTTATACGGCTGGGCGACGGCCATGGCGGAGGGGTACGTCCAGTCCTCTACAATGAACATCTCGCCCGGGTTGGCAAGCGTGAGGAGCACTCGCGACCATCTGCTCCAGCGATAAATATGGGGTCCCAGCAGCGTAAGAGAAACAGGCTCTTACCCGTCAGTGTTGCCGGTCTGAATGAGGGCGGTCCAGTCCGAGAATCCCGGCTGGTAGGTCTTCCCTACGAACTCGTTGATGAATTTCGAGAGTGCCGGCAAGCCCGTGGCCATGCCATACTGGAGCGCAGTGGCAAGGTTGATGTCCTCGGTCGGACGATCAACGTACTTGGGGATAGTGATAGTGCTGGTCTTCTCCTTGCGGCCGTTCGCGCCGAAGAGCTTCCACAGCCACGAAAGCGAGGACTCTGACTGGGAGGAGGTAACCGCAAACGACTCGGGGACCAGCGCTGGAGGTTTGGCAGAACTTAGATATCGCGGAATCGGGGCATATGACCACAGCACCTACCATCTCCGGAGATGGCAGCGAACGGGAAGTAGTCCGGGCTGGGCATTCCTACGAAACCACAAGCAAACAAGCATTAGCATTCCTTTCTTTCGTGTTGTGAAGCGATCAGTACCTCCGGCGAGGGAGATCATCCCGGGGCGACCGAAGAACCGCGCCAATCCCTTGAGCGGTGACGTCTGCCGCGCCAAAGCCACATCAGAGAGGTGGTGGGAGAGGTCGATAGCCTTCTGCTGTTTCTCAAGGGATTGCATCGTTGGCGAGAGGGATTGCGACGACTGTCGAGGCAATGGTGCTCGTAGTACGATGTTGAGAGAGGCTGACAACGCTGCCGGCCGTGATTACAGTGCGGCTCCCATGAGTCAGCATCTGTGTTCGTCCTCACGCCGCGCGATAAGGCCACGCAGTTGGGGCTTATTTTCGGCCGAGCCGTGGCTTTGATGCGTCAGGTACACCGAGCCATGACGCGTGAGGGTGTCTCAAGACACGAACTAAGTAGTTGAGATACACACAAAGGGAGCCGGAGAGGAGAGGGGATCATGAGACGGATGTTGGAGGACGTTCAGAACAAACGAGCGCTAACGCCGGCGGCGGTAACTACAGATATATATAGAAGCACAGGTTTCCCACACCCAAGACAGGCACACAGACATACTTGCTTTAACATGCAAGTAGTGACATACACACTATGTAATTAGGCTGATAGTCGATACCAAAGTCAACTTCGATGCACAATGTCGAGCCATGTCATATGTACAAGGCTTAAACGGTTCATCGGGTCTATCATCACAGTTCTCACGGCTTAGATGCGGAAGGGGAGCGTTCTCGGGGCTTTCTTTGAAGCGCAACACAACTGCCGCAAGATTGAACCAGCCCATATCGCCAACGTCGGTTTCATGAGGAGAAGATTCTCAAAATTGAATAAACAAGAACAAAACAGCATGCTGTCCATGGCAAGGTGTGGAGACTACATGTGTACTCGTCTCCGCCTGTTGGAGCGACACACCTACGATAGCACCGGTCAGCATCAAGCAAAACAGTAATATAGACGCGAAACTCACTGTTTGAACCCGTTTACCGCGTAACGAGATGCTGGTGATGCCTCTCCTTCCACGCATAAAACCACACTTCGCGCGCTCGGTACTACGCGTCTTGTTGGGGCGTGCAAACGCTTCGCCGAAGGCTCGAAACTAAATCTGTCGGGTAAATCTCTCAATCTACGAACCCAATCTGCCAGTTGTTGACGGCATACCTTTAGCGAAACGAATGTGCACCCCAACAAGAAGCGCGATGGATGCGGGTGGGCGAAGGCCGGGTGTACGCTGGAAGGTGCGCAGGGGCCTCACGAGTCCCTACAGGAGAAGAGGAAAAGGTAAGCGAGCTGGGGGGAGCTGGGAGGGCACAGGGACATACCGAGGCGGGGGACGCTGGACAAGGAGAATCGATGCGCCCGGAGCAGAAGCACACCAGCTCAGGCGAGCTTTTAAGTGCTGCCAGTGGCGGAGATTCGGATCAAGATATCAGTGAAGGTGGTCCAAACGCCCTCATTGGCCCTGGATTGTCCATCGTGTTTCGCCCTCCGCAGTTGGCAACAGCGGCGGGGCGATGCGGAAAGACATGCCTGGCTGGGCTGTGGGCTGATTATCAGCGCGAATGAATTGGGGCGCGGTACGGAAAAAGTCATCGGACTGCTTGCCTCTCTGAGCACGACTTATGACATCGTGTACGAGTCAAGGGACGCTCAGACTCTCCACAAAGAATGTTCGGATCGCAACGCCTCGCGTTGCCTGGTGATGTTATTCTCCATGGGAAGTTGCGGACTCAGAGCGATCGTAATTGTATGCATTCGGCGCCGGGGCGTTCCAGGTCGAAAGTACGCAGCAGCACCGGGTATGGAAGCCGATCATGGCTGCAACACGTACGTGACGGAGAATGTGGTCGGGGGCACGGCTAGATGCGCCGCAAACACAAGATCGTGTGGACCTGGGCGGTGCAGTACTGTGATGTTTGGGGGGGGCAGACACAATAAATGCGCGTGAGGACGCGAGGCGTTGCGGGGCTGCCACTAAGTTCGAGCAGATCTGGGCGTCTAATGAGGATCGGCTTCAGGGCCGGCTCCCTGCCGACTCCCCGAGGGACGGCGGGATGATATCCGTGCTTTATCACCATCGTCCATCTTACTCGTCGCCGGTCCCATCCTTACGAAGGAGGAGGGAAGGAAAGGTCAGGGTTAGCAGGCAGTGGGAAGAAGCGAGGTATGTCCGCAGACTCGTGTACACCACGCCGCATTTTCTCAACCCCGCCCTAGGTTAAGGTCTTTTGTGAAGTAAGAATGGCGTATCAGTTCAGCAGGAAGGGGTGCTTTAAGTGTGGAAATCGTGCGTGCTTTTACGGCAGTCCTTAGCGCATTCAGTCCAACTCGCATGCAGTGGGGCACATCGCGGAGAACTGCTCCTCGGAGCAGCGTCTTTGCTACAACTGCCGCCAGCCGGGCCATGAGTCTGCGGCATGTCCCTCTCCCCGCTCCGTCGCCGCTAAACAATGCTACTCGTGCGGCGGCGTCGGCCACATCCAAGCCGAATGTCCTAGCTTGCGCTTGCAAAACTCGGGTGGTTCGAAGTGCTACGTGAGTTTGCAGTATCTCATGCTTCCGTTGCTGCCGATGCTGATCTAGTATCTTAGAACTGCGGTCGCTTCGGGCACTTTGCGCGCTCCTGCCCGAGTGGTACTGGGGGCGGCTTTGCTTCTCGCGCCCCGCCCCCGGGTCGTGCTCTGAACACTTCCACGCTCCCTCCAGTCAAGTGCTACCGCTGCGGTGGCCCCAACCACATGGCCAGGTGCGCCTATCGTATCAGCTCCAATGTGCCAAATATTGACCCATTCATAGGGACTGCTTGGCGCCCCCCGGCACAACGGCTGAGACTGGCGTCCACGTCGGGAACCCGAACAAGAACAAGACCTGTTACAAGTGCCAGCAGGAAGGGCATGTAAGTTATCTCCGCATCATCGCCAGCGGTTTTTTTCTCATGCTACCCCTCCCGCAGATCGCTCGTGATTGCCCTGAAAATGCTGCCGAGTACACTACCTAGGTCTTTAGCGGCCAGTAGCTGGCATGATACGGCATTCGAGTGTACGCTCAATGTACGAAGTTCGACCAGGCAGCAGATTGTACGACGCTTGTAATCACATGTGCTTTATTTATCAGCTGCTCTAGCTTCTCGAGACCCTGCCCGTCCGCTCGCGCTGACGTATTCCCGGTGAGAGTGTCTTCACAGAATATCCGACCTCGAAAGTATCCCCAAATGCGCACGCTTCTTTTACGAGCACCGGTAAGGGCCATCCTTCTCGTGAAGCATTGTTCAATGGTGACAGTAATTCCTAGCAGGTTTCCGGAAACCCAGTAGAGCATATATGGGACTGCGGCTAACGAGGGTTGACGCTCCCCGCAAAGCTGACTACGGTGCAAACACGTCAGTTAAGCTATCTGCATAGGTTCATTCAGGCACTCGAGCTCCCGGCACAGGACTAAAGACGCCCCGTGGCCTTTTTTGGACGTTGAATACCCGTTCAACATTCAAACGAGGCGCTGCTGCACCTTGTCACCGCCCATCATCGTGTTGTTTAAGGGCTCCGATTGTCTCCCCCTGTGACCGGCCTTCGATATCTATCGACTCCGATACGCCTTCGGTGGGCCGGACTTTACACTCGTTTTGGTCATACTCACCCACGTCATATCAGATCGTAACTTCCGAATCCATTGCCGGAACTCGGGTCCCATTTCAACACATCGTGCTGCACAACCCCCATTTTTTAGGACGAGATGGGCTATTTGGCAAGGGCGCTCCGTGGTCTTAATTGCTGCGATGCTTGCGAAGCGCTTTACGGCATAGCTCGGGAGGCTGGTATCCGGAAGGACCATCCTTCCTCGCCATACGCTCCCGAGGCTCGAGCCCTTCAACGTAACGGCAGAACGTACGGGAAGCGTGGGAGGAGGACCCTTGAAGCACGTCACCCATACACCCTGCAGGGTGGCACGGTGTGCCGCGACAAGTAGCGGGTAAATTGTTACCGCGGTCTTTTCCAACGACGGGCAGGTGTGTAGACCGGGTACGGTTGTCAATCTGCTTGTCACTGACCCTCGAAAACGGTCTTCTTATAGCCCACGTGCGCACGATTCTTCCTTCTTGCACCGCCCGCGGTCCACCTCCCTTGCGGGGAGCCTGTCGTGGAGGCGGCCCGCCTGTGCCTGTGCGGAGGCTTCTCTCGACTACGGTGTCTCGTGGTCGGTGCTACCCCATAAATCGAGACAGGCAAAGGCAGGCACGAGCCAGCGCAATGGCGGGCCGCGAGCAATATTCGACCGCGAAGGGTTGCCGATGAGGACATGCTCAGGATCGTCCCTCCTCAATTTGACACCGCGCGTTTACTCGACGCCACGAAAGGCCTAGCCCGATCGGTCCTGGGAGGATTTCGCAGCCTTTGCAGGCGTCCTCGCTCCCCTCGCCCAAGCGGTGTTCTAATCTTGCCTCCCGATGGAAGCAGCCCTCCAGCAAACCCCGGGCCCCTTGATGCTCGCACCACGCCGTCCCCCCATTTCGCGCGGCTGTCCGTCGCGCGCATGCGGTCGAGCCTAGCCTTCCGTTCGGGTGCGGGGAGGTAGGTGGACGCGCACCGGATTCGTCATGCATTCATCACGCCTGGTCGAAGCGTTGTCTTCGGTCTTCCGTGCTGCCGTCCATTCAGTCCCCACGCATCGATCAAGATGCCAGCCCCATCCTTCGGAACACGCGATGACGTGCGCCCCCGAAAGCCCTGCGCGAGGACGCCGATACGTCCAATTTAAATTGCGGACGTGCTGCTGCCATCCGTTCTGCACCCCGGACCCCATCCTCCTCCCCGCGTCCACCGGTCCCACCGCTGCTGCCAGAGGTTCGTTGCTCTACTGCGCGCCCATCGTGATGTAGCTGATGCACGACCCCCGCGTAGACCTCACCCCTCTCCCGGCGGCACGAAGCCCCTGCGTGCGAATCCCCAGACTGCAAAGGTCCCTCACGCTTTTTCGCATTCCATCAGCTTCTTGTAAGGCTGCTTGACGGCCTCGACCGGAGTGAGTGCGCATGGCGGCTTTCCCGCCGAATCGCCCGACCTACTGACCCCTCGCTGTGCTGCAGGGGACCGCCTCCATCGAGCTCCTTTAACAGCCTTCTAGGAAGCGGGCACGCGAATGATCATGGGCGATCTCCCATGTCGTGGAGGTGCGTGTTAGCCACCTCGCCTCTCCTCGCGCCCGCTCTCCGCACCGTGGCTCACAACATCTCCTTACAGATGGCATCGACACCTTGTTACCGATAGGGTCACTGGCTGACGTCGTATACCGATTGTGAGGCCATCGCGCGCGTCCGGTACGGTTCGCGGTTCTCGTTGTACGTACCGCCGCTGCGCGCCGCTTCACATGCACGCGTTCTTTGGCCCTTCACGCGGGATGTCTGCTAAGCCCTGCCGCCCATTGTGGACGACATCTGATACGGTGGTTTGCGAACTCAGGCCTCAGGCACGACGGGTGCCGTAAGATGGGCCTCTGGAGAACGGCGAACTTCCGCATAGTTCGCTCCGGAGCCTACTTGGTCAGAACCTAGCCAGTACTTTCGCGGGAGGAGCTACTACTTTGCAGCAGACTCCCATGAGTTGAATCGTATATTAAGGTTGGCTGTCGTGTCTATTCAGGTAGAGAAGGTATGTATGGCAGGCAGCTATGCGGACTATCTATAAATCCTAGCCTGCAAGTCCAAACGTATGCAATGGTCCGACAAATCGACCACAACGAAAGCGAGTGATAATATTCACGCTTTACCCGGTCCGTAAATTTCTAGACACCGCTCCTCGAAAGCCTGCACCATCATCTTCGACACCTTGCTGAAGAAGGTGGCCGAGACCGCCGCATGGACCGGGTTCGCGAAGGCGAAAGACAGGTCCAACGTAACGAGCGTGGGCCGGGCGTCCCCTCCTTGAGGCGGCGCTACGGCGGCAGCGGCGTTAGAGATGTCCTGCTGGCGGGCTTCTGAAGGAAAACGCGCAGTCGAATGAGGCGACTGCGCTGACGCAGGCTGGAAGCGCCACACGGTGTTCAACGATTTGAACAAGGGTGTTGCCGACGCCGCCACCGCCTGAAGCCGCGATATCAGCATGCGCAGGACGCCGTGCCTGGGGACGGAGCATACCTCTACGGACTCATACGGTCGGCAGGTGACCTCGCTGACGTAGCTCTCCTGGAAAGACATGAAGCCCACGGTGAGTTCGACGTCCATCGTGGTCCGCCCGGGCAGGTCGGGACGCCCTTGGTGTTTTCCCAGTATTCGCGCGTTTGTGCAGAACGGGAGGAACCGGGGGTAGGACGTCGCGTCCGCGACTAGGTCATACAGTTCCTTCTGCGTGTATCTAGTGAGGAACGTGGTCAGCCGGAGCACGGCAAGCCACCCGAGACTGCGTCACACACGGAAATATCTTGCGTTCATGGTACACCTGTGGTGGTGGGTCGCCGCCATCACCACCAGAAAATGGGGACAGAGACGAGAGGTCGGGGAGGGTGAACAGCTGTCTGGAGAGGCGGTGGCCGGCGCAGTGGGTGAGGCGGGGGAGGAGGAGAGCCATGGCGGACGACCCTGGATGACCGGATCCGTGCACGGCAAAGGCGTAGACGCGCGGTGTGGCGCTGGGCGCGTACAGCGTCCGCGCGAACCTCGTCGGGCTTGCTCTTGTTCTCTCGCCTTGTCATGCTCCCTGCTTCTCCCTAGATATCTCTGCCTATTGTATCTGCTTGCTTGATATACGCTCTCCGTGCTCTGTAAAAATACCACTCGCCGACGACCCATTCGTCTCAGACTCATACCACGGCTGTACTACCACTAATTGCTCCTCTGCTCTCTCGTATTCCCGTCCCCCTGGCTCGGCACCAGCTTATCGCATTCACGAAATCTCGATATGTCTGCCCCACTATACTATCGGCAGTCAAATAGCTCCGAAGAGTGAGCATACTCTTTCTTAATGGATGTGGCGGAGACCGAGTCAGTTTTCGCAGGTCCCCTTTACAAGATGACCGCTCTGAGAGCGAGCCCGAAGCATCACCAGACGATGTCCAAGATCCACCTCCCCCGCTTGACCCACGAAACTCGGCCTTATCGCTCGTCTCTGGCGCAGGCTTCAGTCTAAATGATCGCCGTAATTCTCGGCAAAGGGACTTCGACCGTAGGAGTGTCACCAATCGCGACTTCTTCAAATATCTGTTGGACGACAACATGGAGGCGAAGAAGCTGCGAAAGGTCCTCAATATTGCCCTGGAGCGGTTGGACAATGAGACGCGACGTGCCCAGGAAGCCGAACGCCGCGCCCTGGACCTCGCGCAACGCTTCAAGCTCGTGAACGACGCTCGCCTCACGACTCAGTCGGAGTTGGATCGATCCCACGCCGAGCTTCGGATGTACAAGGTCCAGCTAGACAACGCGCAGCGCGAAATACTTCGCGGTTCAGATCTTCTGAAGGATATTGAGGCGCAGCGAGACAGCGCTGAAGCTTCTGCCGCAAGGGCGCGCTCCACCGCTCGCAGGCTCAAGGAGGAGCAGCTCATGCTTAAGGCGCGCGAGGAGGGTCGGAAAGAGGGCTATAGAGAAGGCTTACAGCGAGGATATCAACAAGCACGAGGCGCCGTGGACGCTCAGCAAATCGACGCTCCTCCCGCTGGTCTCCAACCGTTCGGCAACGTAGGCGATGAGCCCACTCGTATGGACCCTTTGGACGCTCTCCCGATGATGAATTTCGCCTCGCCCGCCGCACCGGGTAACATGCCCTTATCCTCTGCCTTCGGCACACAATACCAAGATGGATCGGCGCTGCCGGTAGACAACGATGCCTATGGTGCCGGTGCGCAGGGCTCGCGTTTCCATGAAATTATCGGTAGCCCTAGTGCCTCGACTCTTCGCTCGGCGCCTCTCAGCTCGGCGACCCGTCCAGGAGGTTCTTCGGGATGGCCACAAACGACCGAAGATGTGCGGTATATTCGTCCCACCCCGGTTCACAATGCTCCCCCCTCGCCCCATCACGTCGACTACACGATACCTCCGGATGGCTATATTCCCGCTATGGGTCCGGACAACACTATCCCCATCCCACCACCGCACGAGTTGGAACGGCCTGCATCGATGTCGAGCATGCGTCCTAGCGAAGCCTTCACAGCGGATGAACATCCCTCTCGTGCGCCGCCTGGGCCGAACGCTCGTGACTACGGGTTCCCTCAGCAGCCGCGGGCTTCTCCGCGTTCATATGCAGAGTCCCTCCCGTCGACTACAATTTCCCAATTCGACCTCGTGAACCCGGCTACTCGTGCTTTGCGCGACCGTAACTCTGGTCTCAGCGCTATACCCGAAGTCTCCAGTTCGATGGAGTTCAGCCCCAGCGCGGACGGGCGAGTGCGGAGTGGCATCTACCCCGACTCAAACCACTATGGCCCCAACGGGTCCACGAGTGATCTTGGGAACGGTCCTCGCGTTTCCCGCTCGCGAAGCAGAGATATGAGTCAGAGGATGGCGGACGAGCTGAGGTATTCCGATCCAGAAGAAATGGAACAGTGGCGACGATCCACCGCCAGTCAGGTACTGAACTTCTTTGACGTGCAGTGCTCGGTCATGTGCTGACGGAAGTCTATTCTGCGCAGAGTCAGCCCAGCACGCCGACTCGCGACAGGTTCCAAGGGCCTCCCCGACCCTCCCATATCACCACTCCTTCGCCGCTTGGAGGTCCGTCAATAACGCCTACGACCCCAGTCTCGAATCATCGCCGGTCGCACTCCGCGCAATCGCCGCCTTCGGAGAGTCGCTCCTACCCAGGCGGCGCTAGGGATCATCGGCGAACAGGCTCTTCTTCCGCAGATATCAGCATAAATATTGAGCCTCCGGTACGTGGTTTTGACACCTTCCTTGCTTCGCGCGTTTCATTTCAGCTGCTCAATGGAACTCGTTGCAGTCTGGGCCTGGTTCGAACGTCTCGCCCGGTTCGGGCTCGCTCCACCATGGTATGCTATCGCCATCGAGCTCCCGTCAGCCCTTGCCCCACCCGCCTGCCCAGCCTGCGCCCCCCGTATACGCCAACCCATACGACGGAGGCCGCGCTCCCTCCGGCGGCTACGGCTACGGTCAGCCCAACCCTCCACCTCCACAGCAATATGTTGTGCCCCCTTCCCTTACACCCGGTGCTCCCCCTTCTCCGCGGCGGACTCCCGAGCCGATGCAGGCATACCCGGCATACCCAACACCTGGCTCGAGTTCATCGGGCAGTTTTGGTAGACCCATGACTCGACAGTCGTCGCGGACACCCTCAGCAGACTACGGCGCTGCGCCTCGTTCCAGAACTCCCTCTGGTCGACCGTCTTCTGCTTACGGGAACGAACGACCGTCTTCTGCGCGTCCTATCACGCCGGGGCAGCCGTATCCTGCCATGTACCCGTCCTCCGGCGGGGCGTATCCTGACTCGCCCTCGACTGTGCCCAGCGTGCTCCGGTCCCCGTCTCGCCCCGCCAGCCGCCAGTCCCTACACCCTGACCCGCTCCGCTCGCCCTCCCGCGCCTCCGCGGATCACCACCGAAGCCTGAGCTTCAACGCGGGTTCAACCCCAGCAATGGTCCCCCGCCCACTATCGGGTGGATCGCAGCTCCGGCGCGTGCCGTCCGCGAACTCGATCAACAGCGAGACGTCGCGCAAGATCGGCGGGTTCCAACACTACGACCCGTCCGAAGCGCTGGACGCGTCGCTGCTTGCGAGCGCGGAGGATTTGCACGCCGTGCAGTCGCCGCACACAATGGCGAACACGCGTGCGAACGCAGTGTATGGCGGTCCCCCGGGCCCGTCCAAGCTGCGCTCGTCTTCGCCTTCGATGTCGTACGCAAGCTTCCGGAGCTGAGCTCGAAGCTGTTTTCGTTATGTGTCGTGTGTCGCGGGTTATTATTATGGTTCACGGATGCTTCTCATGTATGTCTATTTACGACCCGTTCTTGCTTGGTTCCGGACAGTTGACGGATTGTGTGTATCTTACGAGCGACGCGTCCCGCGTTTGGTATCGCCTTCTTGTTGTCGAGTACTTAGCATGATTGTAATGACATCGCGCCCCTGTGTACGTGTCGGCCGGCCTCTTGTATCCCCGCAGTTTTCTACGGTAGGTTCATTTTTAGCCTCGTGGCAAGCCCGGGTGCGTGAGCTTCATATACTCTGTCGCGCGTAGTGAGCTGACCATGTTGCCGTCCTGCAGGTATCCAACTTGGACCCACAAAGCAGTACAACTAGTACTGCCTGCGATCGATACGTTGTTATTTGTGGTCCACCACCAAACACAAGGTCAACGCCATGCTGTGCGGAGCGGAATCTGATACGCGAGGAGACAGGCATCGCAGAAACCCCGCGATGCCTGCAGGTCCTGGTCATTGGTCAACGTGGCGTGCAGCTGCCTCTTCTGGTAAGTACAACGTGTTCGTTGTCGCTTCAGTGTGCAAGGGATCATGCATTCATGTTCTTTGCTTGTAGGTGTTGGGCGCGGACAAATTGTCTGGCAGTGGAGAGCATGGCTCCAGCCATCTATCTGGCGTGCAGGCGTCACACAGTCAGTGTGGGCTTCTGCCTTCTATATGGCGCGAGCATGTGTCAATCCACACTGACTATGCTGTACGTACAGCACAGAGCGGTCTATGGTCGGACGACCTCCGCCATGAATGGGGCAACGCCTAATTTGAGTATGACGGACGAAGTACGTATCGCTCACTGCATGTCAACAGGGTACCGCGCTGTTCTTTGGTGCCCAGATTCTTCACGGCAGGTACGCATGACCATGACTATCAGCAGAGCACCGGTTTATAAATACGCTGCCGCCGTATGCTCATATATTCTGAGGACCTGCTCGGCATTCTATCATGATGGAATGCATCTGGCCCTTCATCCGTTAACGCGCTTCGCTAGCTTCGGTCTTATCGCGCTCTCCAGCGCTGCCAACGCCGACTTTTCTGCGCATCGAACGGCGGCGGAGGGACTCCGCTTCCGTTCGTGCGCGGGCCGGGGTGGCGCAGATTCATATTCGCCTCCTCCTGGTATGTCTTCCTCCAGGGCGAACTGGGTGATGCTCCTGCGCGGCACCGTAAGTTGTGCCAATGTCGCGGGCCGACTCCATCGTCTTTGCACCAGCTGACGGTGTCGTTGACTGACAGTCTGTCTTGGTGCGCGTGGTACTCATGACGTTATTGTCGTGTTTGCTCTGATTCTCTCAGCCCGTCGGCGCGAGGAAGAATCGCAGCCTGGAGGTGAAGAGGCCGTCGCCGTAACGGATGCCACAATTCTGCGGACATGTCGGACTTCGCGGTGGAACGTCGACTACCCCCTACTACCCCGCGGGGTTGGCATACAGGAACATTACATTGATGTCGAGGAAACTACGGTCGGCGCAAAAGATTGTTCCGACGTATCGACCATAGGAGCTCGATCTTGGCATTTATGATCCCCCACATGGAAGTCAAATATCGCGCCATCCGCATCTTGCTCGCGTACGCATACGAGACATGTCCTGCATCGCCCTCCGACCTTCCTCGCGGCGCGCGCGCTCATCGGTATGTATAGACCCTTCATATAATCAACGTACTTCGCTCACTCGTGCGCTCTATCGCGCCACTTATCTCTACCTATCATCACGGTGGCACAATCGGCCCTGGCAGGTAACAGGAAGGAGAGAAGCCATATGGCTTCTAGCAGACCTCCAGCCGCATGGTGTGTGCACGCGCAGGTGACGGGATGATATTGGCAGCGAACCCGACCGGATGGTGTCTCGCTCCCCGTTGGTCGCCCCCCGCGGCAGGCCCATCACCGTATCTTTCGCCGGCGGAACCAGGGCGCCGTTGTCGAGCCATCAAGTGATCCGGGCGGGGCACCTTCCACCCAGCCCAGGGCCCGCCCCGCGAGGTCCCGCGCGCCCGCGCGAAGTATAAGAATCCGTCATGGGTGTTGCGGCAGCACACCGTCGGCCTCGCGCGAACACCTGCGTCCCTCGGAGCCCCTCAGCTGCACACCGCGCACGGCACTCGCGCGACCTGCACCCTCGGACGAACTGACAGCGACATGGCGCCCCTCTGGAACCTCGCCTCTGTGCTCGTGCTCGCCCTCGCGGCGGCGCTCGCGGACGCCAAGACGGCGGACGGGAGGCTGCACGGGAACATCGCGCGCCGCCCGAGCGTGCCCACCGTGCCCGCGCCCGTCGACGGGCCCGTCACGAGCCGGAACGGGACCGCGCTCCCGCCGTACAACCAGACGTACCTCTTCGACCAGCTGATCGACCACACGAACCCGTCGCTCGGCACGTTCAAGCAGCGCTTCTGGACGACGGCGGAGTGGTTTGAGAAGGGTGCGTGGCCGCGCGCGTGTTTGCGCCTTGGGGGGAAGAGAGCTGACTTATCTGCAGGTGGACCCGTTGTGCTCTTCACACCCGGAGAGGCGAACGCGCAGCGTACGTACACGGCCGCGCGCGTGGTGGACGCGTCGTGCTTCGAGGCTGATCAGACGTCGCTCCGCAGCGTACAGCGGGTATCTCACGAACCGCACTATCAACGGGCAGATCGCGCAGGAGCTGGGCGGGGTGACCATCGTGCTCGAGCACCGCTACTACGGGCTCTCGAACCCGTTCCCCGACCTGTCGGTGAAGAGCCTCAAGTTCCACACGATCCAGCAGGCGATCGACGACCTCGAGTACTTTGCGAAGACGGTCGACCTGCCCATGGCGGGCGGCGACGCGCTCAAGCCCGGGCAGGCGCCGTGGATTCTGATCGGCGGCAGCTACTCTGGCGCGCTCACGAGCTTCACGGTGGTCAAGTGAGTGCAGCGTGCGCTCGGTCGACTCGGTGCACGCGGCGCGCTGACAGCGGCACGTCGTCCTCTTTAGCAAGCCGAACCTGTTCCAAGCTGCTTATGCGTCGTCCGCGGTCGTCGAGAGCATCACGTACGTACCGCTAGTGCTTCTGTGGCGGGCACGCGGTGTTGACGCACGGTGGGCAGCGACTACTGGGGCTACTTTGAGCCCATCCGGCAGTTCATGCCGCAAAACTGCTCCGCGGACGTCGAGGCTGTCATTGCGCACATCGACCAGGTGTTCACATCGAAAAACACGAAGGAGATTGACAGCATCAAGGCGCTCTTCAACATGTCCGCGTTGACCCACCTGGACGACGTCGCTGGCGCCCGTAAGTGGCGGTAGTTTCCCTTCCTCGTCCTGCGACTGACGGGTTTGGGGTTGAAGTGCGTAACAACCTTTGGGACTGGCAGTCACTCTCGCCCTCTTCCGGTTACGGAGCCTTCCACGCTTTCTGCGACGCACTCGAGGTCAAGAACGGTGTTAGCGCGGGCCCGAAGGGCTGGGGTGTCGCTCATGCTCTCCCTGCATGGGCCGCACACTGGACCGGCGGCTACTACGCCGATCGTGAGTCTCCAGCTTGCCAAGCAGAGTGTTATTTTCTGACCTGAATCGGGTGTTCTTCTAGTCTGCGGTGACCAGGATGTCGTGTGAGTTACGCTTGGCTGTCCTCACACGAATGACCTGCTGACGGCTTTGCTCAGCTCTTGCCTAGGAACGTACAACGCTACCCAGGAATTCTGGACCGATACGTCTATCGACAACGCAGGCCGCTCCTGGACGTGGATTGTGTGAGTTTCTCGACGGACGTGCCTTGTATTGGGACTGACCTTATTTTGCAGCTGCAACGAAGTCGGGTTCTACCAGGAAGGTGCTCCAATCAACCACCCGACCCTTGTTACCCGCCTTGTGCAACCGGCATACGACGAACGCCAGTGCACGTACTGGTTCCCTGAGGCGTTCCCCATCGGGACTCTGCCGGTTCCCAGGGTGGACCAGACGAACAAGGCTTACCACGGCTGGTTCGTCAACGAGAACCACCTCTTCTTCGCCAACGGCCACCGTGAGTACAGCCGAAGTGGATAGCAGAACAGCCCCATCTCACACGCTCGATATAGGTGACCCGTGGAGAGAGGCGACGCTCGCCGCAGATGGGACGAACTTCCGCAGCACGCCCGGACAGCCGCTCGCGATCTCGGACGGGTTCCACTGCTCCGACCTGAGCACGACGAACGGCAACGTCGACGCGACGGTGCTGGCTGTGCAGCAGCAGGCACTCAAGGCGATTGCTGGGTGGATTGCGGAGTGGAAGCCGACGAAGCACTGAGGCTAAGCTCCGTGCATACATACATGCCGCAGCCGCGGCCGAAGGCCCAATGCTTCGCTATGAACGTCATTACGGAACTTGGATAGCTGTACTATACCGCTGTGCCTATAGAACGCGACCCAACGAGAGCTGTCCTCGACTGGCATTGAGCCCATAGCCCAGGGCTGGATTGGGCCATGGATATGCGCATTGTGTGGACGCGGTACCGGTGTTCGCAGAAGCACGCGGGTATTGTCGCGCAACCATTGAAGCTGCCAGACAACCGGAGCAGTCGGGCACGGGGTGGCAGAGCACTGCAAGCCGAGGAGGCTGAATGAGAGCGATGGTGCTTGGCTGGGAGCAAGTGGCACTGGTGGCAGCGGTAAGCCCTAGTTGGTCACGATCGCAACTTGGGCCTTCGATCAAGACGTCAGCCAGCCCAGGCGCCGTGGCAACTCCCCGCCCATCGCCCGCTCCACACCCCAGCACAAACCCCCGCAGCGGCCGCTGGCTGGGCATAAAGCAGCGCACAATGCAGGCCATAGCAGGCACGATTGTTCTAACAAACGGACTATCGGACGGGCGCGGACAAAGGACAGCCATCTGGCCGCATATCAGGTTCGGACGGCGCTTGCCCGATATGGCTTCGCGCGCTCGAGGAATCTCCATCGGAAAGGCCCGCACGTGACTTCCCCTCTGCCCACAACCGAACAACCCTCTGCCCAGCTCTGGATTTAATTTGTTCATTTATCTCCCCTTCACCTCTCTCCTTCAACTCTCATCATCTGCCCGTCGCCACTCCCTATCACCCAGTTAGTCCTCCGCGCGCCCGTCGTTCGCGTTCACGAGCTCACCGTCGTCTTCGTTGCAGTCCTCCACCTCTTTACCCACCCCCAATCAACTCTATCACAGTGAGTGCCCCCGCGTGAGACGCGTTATTCCCGCGTGCTGATGACGTATACCCCGCGTTAGATGACCCAGACTCGTGAGGACTCCGTCTACCTGGCCAAGCTCGCTGAGCAGGCCGAGCGTTATGAGGGTGCGTGTCTTCGACGCGTGGCTCGTGTCGCGTGGCTAACGCCGTCCATCTACGCGTCGTGCAGAGATGGTTGAGAACATGAAGCGTGTTGCTTCGTCCGACCAGGAGCTCACCGTTGAGGAGCGTAACCTCCTGTCCGTTGCCTACAAGAACGTCATCGGCGCGCGCCGTGCGTCTTGGCGCATCGTCTCCTCCATCGAGCAGAAGGAGGAGTCCAAGGGCAACGAGGCCCAGGTCAAGATGATCAAGGGCTACAGGGAGAAGATTGAGAGCGAGCTTGCGAAGATCTGCGAGGACATCCTCGACGTCCTCGACAAGCACCTTATCCCCTCGGCCGCGTCGGGCGAGTCGAAGGTGTTCTACCACAAGATGTGAGTTTGACAGATCGTCGCGTCGTCGTTTGATCGGATTCTAATCTTGTCATGCAGGATGGGTGACTACCACCGTTACCTTGCTGAGTTCGCGACTGGCGACAAGCGGAAAGAGAGCGCCGACAAGTCGCTCGAGGCCTACAAGGCCGCGTCCGACGTTGCCGTCACCGAGCTCCCCCCCACACACCCCATCCGCCTTGGGCTCGCGCTCAACTTCTCCGTCTTCTACTACGAGATCCTCAACAGCCCCGACCGTGCATGCCACCTTGCGAAGCAGGCGTTCGACGATGCTATTGCCGAGCTCGACACCCTCTCCGAGGAGAGCTACAAGGACTCCACCCTCATCATGCAATTGCTCCGTGACAACCTCACCCTCTGGACGTCGGACATGCAGGAGTCTGGTACGTATTCGTGATTATATGCGTGTTGTTCTTCGCTGATTCCTTTACAGACAAGCCTGCGGATAAGGAGGAGGGCGCTGAGGCCCCCGCGGAAGACGCATAATCGCGCACCTCGGGGTTGGCGGAAGTCCTTCGTGTCTTGTAGTTCGTCGTAGTCGTCTTGCTCATCCATCATCAGCATTGTGCATCCTCATCGTACCATAATCGCGCACCTATCATCTCTTTGCATTCGTTTATTTTTTCGTGTCACTACTCTCTTCGGCTTGTCTCTATCATCTGCGCGATGACGGTCAGAACGGCCGTAATCCGTCTCGTAGTGGCTGTGGCATGTATACAGGGAAATTCGCATTCAGTGATCATGAACACAGTGGGATGATGTCGTCCAGTCACTTGACAGTAAGAACTCTATCAAGCACGAACCAGAAAGCTTGATATCTGTCAAGTCTCAACAAAACGATGTGCCTCTAGAGGGAAAAGATGTTCATTGTTCCTTTGGGTGGTGGCGCGGTTACACAGGTATACACGAATATCTGCTCGGAGTGTTGCTACTTGTTCCTCACATGTACAGGGGGGGTCGCTGCTAATCATGGACATTAAAAACTACGCGTAACCTATTCGCGGGAGGTCTATCAATCAGATGATAGCTCGAAGCACATCCTTCTTGACATTGACAGGTATGTCTAGACTCTGCGCGGCCTCATGCTTGTAAAGTTTCATGTGAGAAATGAAGCCATATTACAGGTGGATAGGTAGGGGACTAGGCCTCTGTATCTCGCTGACGTCTAGAACCATTTTTGGGCACGCGGAGCAGAACGAGGACGGTGTCAATACGCTCAAGCCTTGCTTCGAGCCAATTTTTCTCCAATGTGATGACATGAATGTTTCACCAGGGCTCTGTTGTACATATAGCCTTCAATGATTGTCACAGAAGACGTGTTGCTTGTTGCGCATGACACACTAAGAACGGTTGAGATGAAGTGAGCGCAGTCGAGTTGGCGCCAGTCAGTGCTAGAGAATGGGCGCTTGCGTCAGCACAGCAAATCAGTCGGAAGCTGAAATACCGCGGCGCACAACCGCCACCCGGTTTCTACGATGAGTACTTGCAGCCCACGCCATGGACGCCGCTGGCCGCCTGGAGGCTCGCATGAGGAGTACGTGGGAAGGAGGCGAGGGTGAGAATGCACAACCGGTAGGAGGTGGACACAGGGACCGAGGTGGGCGTTGCGGGGCTCGTGCCGTACAGGGCGGGATAGACGCTGATTGGGTGAGCTTGAATCGTCGCGGAGTTGGAGTTACCGCCGGCCGTGTGTCGGGCGTTGCTCGAGCGTGTGCGCCCGGCCACGAGAATCTGCACTGTTCCAGCGGCACCCTGCACTGCGAACCTGGCCGCGAGAGGGGTCGATTGTGGGCCTCCGAGGGGCGAGTAGGAAGGGTGTGTGTGGCTATGAGTCCAGCGATCAGGCGGCGGCAAGATCGGCGAAGCGAATTGAACTCAGCGAAGGGGGACATTCCCACGTGGAAGGTGTCTGGTCGGCCGGGCGCTCGTGAAGCGTTCTCAAATCAAGGCTGAGGCGTCCGCGCCCTCTCTCTTCCTTTCCTTCTCCACGGCCACAATGCACGGCTCTCCCTCCCCTCGCGGCGCCAGCGCTCGCAGGGGCCGCTCCCCGCGCACTCATCCCACCAGCCCCGCCCCCTCCTCCCTTCCCCCCGATTTTTCCGCGAAGGCTCCTGCCACCTTCACCTCGTGCCTGAGTATCGCTGTCGAGGGCGCTATTCCGATCGAACGCCCGGACCCGACGGCACCACCCCAGGACATCCCTGCCCCCGCCGCCTCTGCCGACTCCAAGCGCGCCCCGCGCAAATCCAAGACCGACGCCCTTGCTGCGCTGCACACGCATGCGCAGACGACCCTCGGTGAGGAGTCTCTCAACGACACTATCAACGACGAGGCCGGCATCCGCATACAGCTGCGCGACGGCCCTCCCCTCTCCGTGCCCCAAATGCTCGACCTCTCGTCTGTCAAGACTGCAGATGCACGGCCAACAACTCCCAAGACCGGCCCGAGGCCGTTCGGGCTCACCGATTGTCCCACTTTCCACCCGACACCCGAGCAGTGGAAGGACCCCATGGCGTATATTGCCTCCATTGCGGACGCAGGAAAGCGCTACGGCATGTGCAAGATTGTGCCGCCGGCGGGCTGGAACATGCCCTTCGTGACGGACACCGAGGTGCGTCTCCGATGCGTCCGCCGCTCAGTGGCGTAGCGCCCGCGCAGCAGCGGTCTGACACACTTCATGCAGCGGTTCCGGTTCAAGACCCGGTTGCAGCGTCTTAACTCGATCGAGGCCTCGTCGCGTGCAAAGGTGAATTTTCTGGAGCAGCTGTATCGGTTCCACAAGCAGCAGGGCAATCCCCGCGTCTCCGTTCCCACCATCAACCACAAGCCGCTCGATCTCTGGCTGTTGCGGAAGGAAGTGCACAAGCTCGGTGGCTATGATGCGGTATGATTCAGAGCATCCCCTGCGATTATCTGACGGTGACGCTGATCGGCGCTCCCGCTGTTGTCTTTGTTCCGTCTGGCTGCTACTAGGTCACGAAAGACAAGAAGTGGGCGGACCTGGGGCGGCTCTTGGGCTACACGGGCATCCCGGGCCTCGCGACACAGCTCCGCAACTCTTTCAGCCGTGTCATCCTTCCCTACGAGCAGTTCTGCGACCGCGTCCGCAGCTCGCCGGCGTTGTCCCCGAACAAGGCGCGCGATCCTCAGTTGAAGACCCACGTCAACATCCAGGGCGCCGCAAGCATCCCCCGCCCAAGCACGCCTGATTCTGCCGCTGGCGACGAGAGTCCACCGTCAAGTCCTCTCACCGCTACTTCTAGCCCCCTATCTGAACCGCCCGACGAGGGAGATCACAAGGATGCCAACGGTGTGAAGTCGGAATCTTCGAGGCCACGGAGGAGTGCAAGACATGTTTCGCAAGAGCATGGTACCCGTATGTCAATCTGACGGGAGACAACCTTTATTCCTGTACTGACGACGCCCCAAATGCAGGCGCTCGACGAGCGTCTACTGCAAATGACACAGGTCAGCTAGCATTTGCCAAGACAGCGTCGCAAGACAACAAGTCGCCTCAGGAGGTGCGACACGTAGCAGCTCTCGTGAGGTATCTGATGTCTGATACCGTCTGTCACTTAGCTTCATTGCGAGATTTGCCTCAAGAAGGACCAGGGCGAGAAGATGTTGATATGTGACGGTTGCGATTGCGGTGCGTCGAGGCTGCAGGTTGTATGCGCGAAACGGTTCGTGACCTCTTCGGATTTCAGGCTTCCACATGTTCTGCCTCGACCCCCCTCTCGTCAACATCCCCCGAGGCCAGTGGTTTTGCCACACATGTCTTTTCGGCACCGGTGGAGACTTCGGCTTCGACGAAGGTGAAGAGCACAGCTTATCCAGCTTCCAAGCGAGGGACCTCGAGTTTCGGCGCCTATGGTTCCTCAGCCACCCACCGCAATCCGTCACGGCGAACGGCGGCCAATCTTCGTCCAGTGCTCATGCAAACGATCCTTATGCTAACCGCTTCGGAAACATGGTGGTCACGGAAGATGATGTGGAGAAGGAATTTTGGCGGTTGGTGCAGTCGCAGAACGAGACGGTGGAGGTTGAGTATGGTGCCGACGTGCACTCCACGACACACGGAAGGTGAGTCAATGTTTGGACACTACTGGGGACCGCGCTGAATGTGTCGTCGTGCAGTGGGATGCCCACGTTGGAGACTCACCCGCTAGACCCCTACTCGAAAGACCCCTGGAATTTGAACAACATCCCCATTCTCCCTCAGTCTCTCCTTCGCTATATCAAGTCTGACATCTCTGGCATGACCGTACCTTGGACTTACGTCGGAATGATCTTTTCAACGTTTTGCTGGCACAACGAGGTGCGCATTGCGAACTTTACAGCGGGTGGCCGCCTAACCCGACCCCTTCAGGATCACTATACCTACAGTATCAACTACAGTGCGTAACAATTTGGCGCATTTATCCGTAAAATTTGCTGACAAGATTTCCACAGTGCACTGGGGCGAGACCAAGACATGGTACAGCATTCCTGGCTGTGACGCCGGGAAGTTTGAGGCAGCTATTAGAAAGGAGGCGCCTGACCTCTTCGAGGCGCAGCCCGACCTGCTTTTCCAGCTCGTTACGCTCATGAACCCGCAGCGTCTCAAGGAGGCCGGTGTAGACGTCTATGCGTGCAACCAGCGCGCCGGAGAGTTCACCGTCACGTTCCCGAAGGCTTACCACGCCGGCTTTAATCACGGAGTGCGTATTTTCGTGCCACATCCGCTGACATCGGTCTGATTGTCTCGGACACAGCTCAACTTCAACGAGGCGGTCAACTTTGCATTGCCGGACTGGCTGCCGCTCGGACTAGACTGTGTCAAGCGGTACCAGGAGCACAGGAAGATGCCGGTGTTCTCGCATGACGAACTCCTTATCACCGTCACACAGCAGTCCCAGTCGATACAGACAGCGCTATGGTATGGGCCACTTGTTCCGACCGGGTGAAGCAATACTGACGGGCATCTATCTAGGCTAAATGATCCCCTCCAGGAGATGACGGATCGCGAAATGGATGCACGAACCCGCGCTCGCGCTCGGCAGATGAACGAGGTCCTCGAGGAGACCGACCGAGGAGACGACCAGTACCAGTGCAGCGTCTGCAAGGTTTTCTGCTACCTCTCCCAGATCACATGCACCTGCACGAACAAGATTGCATGCATCGATCACGTCGACCAGCTGTGCAAGTGTCCGCCGGTTAACCACGTCTTGCGGAAGCGCTTTAGCGACACGGAGCTCCAGGACATCCAGGCGCGGGTATCGGAGCGCGCAGCCGTACCGACGGTCTGGCGCGGGAAGCTGAAGCGGCTCCTTGACGACAGCCCGCGGCCGCCGCTCAAGGGCCTCAGGAACCTGTTCACCGAGGGCGAGCGCATCCAGTTTCCGCTCGCGGAACTCAACTCCTTGCGCAAGTGCGTCAACAAGGCGAACGAGTGGCTCGAGGCCGCGAACGGCATACTCATCCGGAAACCGACCCGGAAGCGCACGCGCAAGTCGCGCGGGCGTTCGTCCACGGCAGACACCGGCCTGAGCACCGGCATCGGAGACGAGATCATCGACAAGCCGGACCGTACTCTCGAGGACCTGTATGCGCTCCTGTCCGAGGTCGAGAACCTGGGCTTCGACGCGCCGGAGATCGCGCAACTGCGCACGATCGCGGCCGAGGCGGAGGACACGCGCAGGAAGGCGCGGGCGCTCCTCGAAGCGAAGACACTGCCGCGGGAGCGCGAGATGTACGTGCGCGAGTGCGAGCATCTTATCCTACACGCGCAGACGTTGAACGTGCTCGTGGACGAGATCGTGGAGGTGGAGAAGATTGTGCTCCGCGAGCAGCTGGTCAAGGAGCTCGAGGAGGCCCTCGATGACGACAACCTCACGCTCGAGGACGTGCGGCAGCTCATGGCGCGTGCGCATGCGTGCAATCTGCCCGCTGAGAACATGTACATGCAGCGGCTGGAGACGCTTTTGCGGGCTGGCTCAAACTGGGAGGAAAAGGCGAAGGCGTTGCTCGACAAGCAGCAGCGTACACTCGAAGACCTGGAGGAGTTCGTCAAGCCGAGGCGCAGTGGTATGCCCGTCGACCCAGACTTGCTCGAGCGTATTCTGGACCTGCGGAAGAAGGGCAAGGATTTCGAGAAGCAGGCGAAGATCTGGCTGCTCTCCGAGCCCGGCGCCCCGAAACCCAAGGTGCAGGAAGTCGTACGCCTCGTCACCGAGCACGACAAGGACTTTGAAATCCCCGCGGTGGAAGATCTCAAGCGCACCGTCGACTTCGCGCAGGACCTCGAAGCGCGCTGTGAAGCGGTGATGCGGGGGATCTACAACCCGCAGGACGAGCCGGACGTGTTCCATACGATGCTGCAGTGGCGCAAGTACGCGAAGGAGCACCTGACGATGTTCTCGCTTCCGAACTTCGAGACGCTCGACAAGCAGCTGACGACGCACTTCCGCTGGCTCGAGGGCCTGCCGTGGTGGTGCCGGCAGCACCAGGAGTCGCATGGGCAGCCGATCCTCGATGATGTTGTGGAGTCGACGCGGCCCGAGGACGACCTGCCCCCGAACGACGAGTACTTCACCTGCATCTGCACAACTCCTGTTCGGCCTCCAGCCCACGGCACGGTGTCGGACGCCGTGCAGTGCGACCACTGCTTCGCACGCTTCCATGGGATCTGCGCGGCCAACGGCGGCTCGTGTCCGTTCTGCGACCACCACCACTGGAATGGCACTATCCACAAGGAGCGCAACTGGCACTTTTTCTTCCTCCCGCAGTTGCTCTTGCAGGCCCCTGATGTTACGAAGAACTACTCGGAGGAGTGGAAGCAGCTCGAGATCATCGTGCATCGAGTCGACCGCCTGTGCGCCGTCATCGGTCAATTCCTATCGTTCGCTGCGCAGCCGACCAACCATCGCGTGGACTACATCCCGCAGGTCCGCCACTACATGCGCAAGCTGTACAAGATCCAATTCAACGTCGCCTCGAACCCCGACGCGAACTTCGGCCTCGATTTGGCGGGTCTGCACCGTATCCTGGCTGGGCAGCCGATCCCTGTGCGGATGAAGAAGCGCCGCCGGCCGAAGTTCGTGTTCGGGCAGGACGTGGACAAGGACTGGAACGACGGGACGCGGTGCATCTGCCGTGGGCGCACGAACTATCTTCTGAACTTCGCGAAGGTCGAGTGCGAGGTCTGCAACAAGTTCTATCACGGTGGATGCGTCTTCTACCCGGCGGACGGGGCCAACAACCGTTTCATGTGTCCGCTCTGTTGTGTGCGGAAGAACAGGGTGTACCCATACTCTGAAGTGCGCGTGAAGCATGTCGGTAAGTTATCATTCCGTGCTGCGAGTCTTTGGCTGGGTTTTAACTTTTTTGCGTAGATACCAAGGAGGGGGATGTGTTTGTGGACACGAAGGAAATGCTCGACACTTTCAGCAAAGACATCGTGTATATGCGCCTGCCCCCGCCGTACACGCAGACACTTTTCGTGGAGCTCATTCGGTTTACGCCCGGCCAGCCGGACAACGTAGCTGCCAACGGTTCTACTCCCTCCGCACCTCCTAGGAATGGCGCGGGCCCTGCCAACCACCAGGCACCAATGACCCTCGCCAATGGCAGCTCTGCGAACCCCCGCGCGATGCATCCCCACCCTCACTCTCATCCCCATCCCCATTCCCACCCGCACCCTCATGGTCATCCTGCACACCCTGCTCATCCTCATGCTCACCATGGGCCCGTCTCCACGCCTCCCACCTCTGCAGGGCCTTATGAAGCGCCCCCACACGGGCCTCACGGACCTGGCCAGCTCATCCCCCCTCCGCCATGGGCAGCTACCAGTCGGTGGAGTAGTGCCGCTGCCGCTGCCGCGCCGCCAAGCGCGAGGACAATGCCGTCCATGCCTCCCGGCAGCGAGCAGCTGCGGTCTCCTCTTTCTACTCCTCCACAAGGCTCCCGGAAACGCAAGTACCCAGACGACATGCCTCCGGGTGCACCGGACGAACGACTCGCTCCCGCCCCAATGATCAGGTCCCCTAAGCGTCTCCACTCGAGTCAGACCACGCCACCTATGCCCCGCGCCAACCCAGGCATGTCGCCCTCGCTCGCGATGATGCTTGCACAGGCGCCGGGGGATCCGCGCTCGCCGACGCGGCAGCCGTCCGGCTCGACTCCGTATTCGCGGGGCCCGCCAGGTATGGTGCCCCCAAGCCCCGTGGCCGTCGGGCGAGGTCCCGGACCCGAGGATGGGATGCCGTCGCCGTCGGGGTCGCATCACAGCGTGCGAAAGGTCAAGGTTGGGTACCCTGGAGGTGGGCCTCCAAATAGTAGGGGCGAGGAGGACCGTGGCTGGCGACCTCCGCCGCCGCATGACAACCGCTCTCCCCCTGGTCCTCCTCGACACTGACGACGTGCATCCGTGTTCCATTTGCCCTACATCACGCTGCATGCATCGCAATGAACGATACATGTCCCGCCAGTCACCGATTTTCTTCTGCTTCTACGGTTTTCTTTCAGCTTACGTATGACGCTGCTATAGTGCTGCTGTATCATGTTTGTTTGGTCTATTGCTGTGCTTTGTGTAATTCTATATATCGCGAATTCTATTCCGAATCCGTATGTCCGCCCTCAGGCCTCAAACCTCAACAGGTGACATCGGTTCTCTAGGTATTCGGGTGCGGAAGGGGGCCATTATATATGGCCAATGCGGCCGGGATATCGTGTACATGATGTTATGGTACAATCGTATGCTGGTATGCCGTAAATGCCGTAAGTAAAATGAGGCGACTTGTCCAGAGTATGCCGGACTGTCCAGGGAGCCGAACAGGAATGCGGAAGGGGAAGACTACCGGTGGAGCATGAGCTTGTATGTGGACCAACCAGCCACGACGGCGAATGCTGCGAGAACGGCGACGATGGAACCGAACCATTTCAGGTTCTACGGGAGGGACGTGTCAGACTTTTACTCGGTATATGCAGTGAAAGCAGAGAGATACTGACTTCGACATCCTGGCCTGGTACGTGCACGTTCATGCCCCATAGACCCGTCACCAAGTTCATCGGGATGAGCACGGTACCGAGTGCAGTGAGTTTGGACAGGACGTCGTTGATCTGGTTGTTTGCGTCGGTCATCTCGATGGAAATTTGCGCGAGGTAATTCGAGTGCGAGCGCGAGAGGATCTTCTCGTAGTGGTTCAAGTTCTGGGTCATCGTGATCAAATGATCTTGGATGTCCGAGAGGTAAAGGCCCTGCACACCAAGGGATAAGTAACGCGCGAAAGGAAGAGATAGTAACCACTTACGATGTCGGATGTTGGTGCAACCCGCCAGTTCTCGTTACATCGCTTCGCGAGACCCTTTACGACGTCTGCCTTATTACCCATGAGCCGTAGAAGGCCCATGACCTTCTTGCGACAAGAACCAATCCTAGGACAATCTGTAAGTATCGGCCACATCAGGACATTTGAACATTGGCAGACCTTCTCAGCATGTCACTTTGCTCAGCCTCCTTCAAAATCAATACCAGTTCGTCGATACTATCGACTTCGTATTCGATGCCCTGAATGAGCGGTCCGAACGCATCGGTGATGTCATCGATGAGAGCGTAGGATATCCAGTCCGAGGTGACACTGATATAATCCTTCAGCTGCTTAATGCGTCGCCGAACGTTCTGTGGATGAGGAGTAGGCCTGAAATGGAACTGCAACATTGCAATCAGTAATGGGTCAGCAAACCCACTGCATACACCACTCACCGAAAGGATGCCGTCTCGGAAGACGATAATGTACATGTTCAACGGTTCGAGATAAGTCGGACTGTACGTGTCCTGGTCGAAGCCACGGAAACAGACAAGATAGTAGTTGCGGAACAACTCGATCTTCTCGCGCGTTTCTTCCATCTGAATATCTTCTGTTGTCAAGGGATGGATGGAAAACACCTGCTCCAGTGCGTTAATTCGGTAAACAAATACGACGCCGAAAATGACGCGAACCTTGCTGAGAAGCTTCATTTCGTCATCTGTAGGCGCGAGGACGTCCAGCCACCAGGTATAGATTTCCGAGGCACTGGACTCGCCAAGCCTTCGTTCCGGTTGCAGCGTCTTAGCGAGGCCGCTCGTTGCGCCGCCGGCGTTAGGGACTGGTACCGGCGATGTCGCGCCAGACTTGGGTACGGAACCAAGACCTCCAGCTGGATGGTTTAAAAAAGATGCACGGGCACTCGTTGCATTTGAAGGTTGCTGCGACTCCTTATGACCCAAGAAAAGGTCCTCGAACGACTGGCCTTCGGCTGGTAGTTCGCCTAGGCTCCGCGCATGGATGGTTGCCGAGAGAGCATTCGAATAGAATGAGAAACGATATGGTCGGTCGTGTCCAGAGCCCGGCCCGCCACCCCCAAGTCCCATCCCATCTGGGCCACTCCTGAGAGCATCCCCCACGTTGTCGTACGAGGGTACCGCGCTAAGTGTAGTGCCCATACCCCCTAGATGCGGCGCGCGCGAACCGAGCGTGGGCGGCGGTGGGCCGCCCTGTTCGAACAGAGCCATCTTTCCCCTGCGCGGACCCGGAGAGCTTGAACTCAGTTTCCGTTGGCGCACCCGCGGGAATGTGAACGGGAGCGAAGAGTCCTGCGATGCAGGCACGTCGCCCTCGGGCGGACCGTCCGGCTGGAGAGGCTGCTCGCTCGAACTGGGTATAGGTACGTGAGTCGAGGACGATGCTTGTGCCTGTCGGAAATCAAATCGAGGCGGAGAGGTCGGTGAACGGATGCCGAGACGAGTCTTTTCGTCTCGTGCAAAGTCCTCCATTAGCGAGAACTCATAATGTGGGCCGTCCGTGCGCTCGACCGTCGCCTGGTACATTGGCAGTCCACCCATTGCAGCGTCATCGTGGTATGGGACGTCGAGCGAGACCAGGAGAGCAGGGTCATGACCGGCACTGAGATGATTGTTGAGCAGCTCATCTCCAGGCGTCGGTCCGGGATGCTGGTATTGCTCTGGACGCTCGACGTCCACTTGCAGCTGCGGTGCCCCTCTGGCCTCGTCGATAGCCTGTTGCTCCTGAAGTGAGAGCGCAGGAAAGCGTGGCTCGTCGATAGAAGCCCGGCGAGCGATTGGAGAGAGGGGCGGAGGCGTGATTGGCGAGGGCATGACTATCGTCCCGCTGCGCGCGCGAGACAGCTGCATGGCCATGTCGGCATCCATGGTGCGCTGCCGCTCGCGGGCGTCGGGGTCGTGGGGGTTGTACGACCTCGAGAGGGTAGGCGAAAGCCGGGGACGGGACGGAGGTTCGTTGATCTCGCTTCCGCTGCTCTGACGGTGACGGACGGGAGACTGGTCGCTCCTAATCTGCCTGGGTGAGCTGGAGATAGACCCATTGAGGATGGAAGAGTTGTCGGGCGGGGAGGCCATGGCTGTCGGTCTCAATTTGCGCACAGACAATTCTCAGCGGAGTAGTGGCAAGCAGAGTCAATCAATCCGAGCTGGCAGCTGCCAAAAAGCGCGCGTCCGTCGGCACAGTCGAGATCGTCAATGCTAAGCAGAAGAGGTCACAGCGAGGAGTGCCAGCGAGGACGATGTCGAGGACGCGGAGGAAGAGGAGAAAGGGCGCGAGCGGAGGGTGAATGCATGACGTCGGGGACGAACAGGCGCGAGGAGCGCCCGCCGTTTGCTGCAGACGTCGATGAGCAGCACGCGATGTCCAGGCTGCTCGCTCTCTTCACCGTCTTCTCTCTCGTCGCCGTCGCCACGCTCTATTATGCCGGTATCGACACGCTCAACACTCTCTCGCCGCAAGGATGTCGCATGTCCTGGATGTGGCCGTCGTACATTCTACAGTCCCGCTTCGATCATTCGTGGACACCGCTAGCGCGTCGCTACAGCCTATGGCTTTACCGTGAAGGCAATCTCGAAACCAGCGAGGTATGTTCCGCTCCGAGAGTGCAAGGTGTAGGGGTCTTGACTGAGCTTCAGTAGCTTCACGGCTCGCCCGTACTCTTTATTCCCGGAAATGCGGGGTCCTCGCACCAGGTCCGCTCTATAGCGTCCTCTGCCGCTAATCAGTACTTCTCGGCCCTACACGAAGTGTCGCCTGAATTTCTGAGCAAGGGATACAAACCCCTCGACTTCTTTGCTGGTACGCTTTCTCTGACGCGCTGTTTACCGTTGCTAACGTTGTACGTAGTGGAGTACAACGAAGACTTCTCCGCCTTCCATGGTCCCACCATCGACTCGCAGACGGCGTATGCCAAGCGGGCCATCGACTACATACTCTCACAATACCCAGCAGATACTTCCATCATCGTCATGGGTCACTCTATGGGGGGCATAGTCGCGACGGCTCTGCTGCCCAACCCATTCATCTCCGCGATCATCACCATGTCGACACCACATACTCTGCCCCCCGTACGGTTTGACCGCCGTATCGATCACATATATGCCGACAACCTCAAGGACCTAGGGTCCGATCCGACCCCTTTGCTATCTCTATGCGGCGGCGCGACAGACCTCATGATTCCATCCGAATCATGCATCCTTCCTGCTCTTCCTAGCCTCGACAATACCTCTGTATACCGCCGCACAGTATTCACTAGTGCTCTGGAAGGCTGCTGGACTGGGGTGGGTCATCTTGCCATGGTATGGTGCCACCAGGTGCGTTGGCGCATCGCGCGAGCGGCGCTCGAGATTGCTGCGTCGCCTTCAATGGAAGCTCGTGCTGCGGCCATGGATCTTTGGCTACGCGACGGGCACACCCTACCTCCTGCACATACGCCGTCTGACATCCTGCGTCTGCATCCTGGAGGATACAACGCTGTCCCGCCCAATCAGCACCTTCTTATCCGCAATCCCTCTGACACGCAGTCGTACATGCTCCCTGTGCCAGATCCTGAAGATGGCCTCACGTCGGCTAAATTCATCCTATATGCTTCACAAGGCTCCATACCTCCTGTTGCGCCTCACCGCCCTCTGCCGTTCCGTGCAACCGTTTATATCTGCCCGAATTCTGATTCACTCACCTGTTCTCCGCTGCCTCCTGACACATTGAAGCTTATTCCGAGTCCTGTGATGGGCGCGCCGTTCCCCGTCCCAGATGCGGGCTCCGACGAGTCGGAAGGCGTAGTACTCTTTGAGGCGGACGTCCTCCTCAGTACGCATTCGAGCATTGTCGTCAAAATTGACTCCGGGGACAAAAAAGGCTGGGTATTCGGCGGTTTCGCTGATAGCGAGCTTGTGCTTGCGGAAGTCGGCCTTTCAAGTAGGTTCATTCCTCGAGGTGTCCGGTGCATTCCCTCATGCTAGCATATAGGGCTCTTGTTTTCTTCGGCCCGTATACCGATACCAAATGGCATCCGTACGGAAGTGCAGCTACCAAGACTGCCGGCAAACGCACTTCTTGTGTATCGCCTCACCCCCGGGTATGACCCGGAGTCGACTTGTTCAGGTAAGGCTCTCATTGCGTTCATGTACTTCCCTCGCTCACGTCTTCTCACAGTTGATACGCTGTTCCTTCCGCTCCTCACACACACTGCGCACCCATCGGAGACGCATTATCACTCCCTTGCGCCGTCCTTCCCTAGGCGAATTCTATTGCATACCCATGCGTCCGCACCTTACATCGCGTCTCAATATCACGACGGGCACAAGATAACCATTCACTCATCGGGCGAATGCTGGGTTGATGAAATCGAGCTGAGCGTAGATTGGTGGGCAAGCATCGGGCGATGGGGTGCCCGGTATGGCACTGCGGCGGTGTGCTGGACGGTCGGCATTGTCGCAGCTCTGATGTGGGACTGGTGGCGGTTGGTGGAAGGAGGCGGTAAGCATTCATGTCATCTGCCCACACAACTCAATATACTCACGCACACCTAGCCCCCATACCGGATGTCCGTAGCTCACTCAGCTACTTCGCCCGCAGACGACTCCCTTGGATGATGCTCCTCTCGTACTTCGTTTCCCTCTTGCCTCTCCGTGTCGGCCTCTGGCTTGGCAACCGAGGCAATGCTGCATTTGCTCCCTTCTCAGCGCTCATACTGCCTATCGCCTTCGGTCTTGTCTGCGTAATGTGGTGGCTGTTACTCGTCTTGATGTGGCCGCTGCGGGTCGTTCACAAGCGATTCGGGAGGTATGAATATTTCCGTCTTTGGTGTAATCATCTAACTGACGCTCATGCGCCGTCAGACGCAGAGAAGATGCGGTGTCGCGTAGGCCTATGACTACCCTGGTCTCCATGGGTGTCATTTTCCTGGTCATCTTCGTGTTGGTGCCATGGCAGGTGGCATTCCTTGGATGCTGGTTGATTCATTTCTACACGTGTGCTGCCTCCCTTGCCGAGTTATCACTGGTGCCGGCGCACCCCACTGGCGCCGAAGCGGTTCCCCTCGTGCCTCTCGCATCGGAATTGTCCCAAAGCCCAGAGCCACCATCCTCCGAACGCCCAGACGATGAGCCAAGTCCTCCGTCATCAGCCGCACGTATACCTCCAGTACAAGTGGTCAACGCCCACCTACACATCCTGCTGCTCATGACATGGCTGCTACCGCTCGTAGCACCCGTGTTAGCGGTCTGGGTGCGCACCCTTGCAACCGCGGGGCTGACGACGCCCTTCGACGGGGACCATAACTTCCTGTATGTTGCGCCGTTCCTCGTCCTCGTCGAGGCACTGGGCGGCAGCGACGCAGACCGATACGTAAAAGCTCTCTTGTGAGTTGTGTTACATTCATTGTATAATTTGCGAACTAACGTGTTTGATTGGCTAGCGAGAGAAAAGAACGCGTGTCGCCGAGATGGGGACTCGCTGGGCTCGCCGGGGTTGCGTTCTTCTTGGGCCCGAGGACGACGTACTATGTGTTTGAGACGGCGAGCGTCGCGATCGGGTGGGCTGTGGTGAAGCGGATTAGCCCTTTCTATTGGAGTAGACGGTCGTTGGTACGACGCAGTTAGACCCACATATGTTGCAGAACCGTTCTCTTGTAAGTACTGCATCTGCCACTTGTCTCAACACGCGCGTCTACTATAATAGCGCTAGGCCATAATCCTAAGACCTTGTAATTGATACAGTTTACGAGATATCGGGTCGGAATATGACGCATCGTGGCCATATCATGGATTACGTCGTGTTGTGAATACAGACAGACAGACGACATGGATGGACTTGACATCATCGTAGCGTCGGATGAGAGTGTGTGGAATGGGTCCGTTTCTCGGTCCGTGGCTGTGAGCGTTGCAGATCAGTTGCAGGGGCAGGCACCGACCTCCTGCTTCATGCTGCCTGCGACACCAGTCTTGTCTCCCTCTCGTCCGCGCCCCTGCTAGCATCCGCAGCTCTGCTTCGCACAATTCGACGTAGACTGAGACTGCTGCGAAACGGACATCTGGACGGTTGTGACGATACGACCCCGCGATCTCTGGCAACTGCACCCCGACTATACCTCCACCTCTATCCCGCCTGCGGAACCACACAATATCGCTACACTCGCTTCGCCCATTATACCTTGGAATACCCTTGCATACCCAGCAGCAGGCTGCACACCCACCGCACTAAACCCTGTGACGGATACGCCGCAGCATCGTAGCAGGCCATGAACGGCGTCCGACGCTTCCTCGGTGGAGGGACCGGGAGCGTAACTTCAACCCCTTCCTCCCAGACTTCTCCGCTTCCACCTTCCACTCCCCCTTCTACGACGAATCCGCTGAACGTCCCGCCAAAGCCGTCATGGCCACCCACATCATCGCCGCCGCAGAACGGCGCCTCGCTCGAAGACAGCCCGAAGCTGACGACCGCCGCGCTCTTCTTCCGCAAGGACCGGCAGCGGCCGCCGGCCTCCTCCAAGTCGGACGAGGACACGGGGAACTCGTCCTTCCAGTCATCCCGCGACTCGGTCGACTCTGGCCGGACGTCCACCCAGCCGTCCTCCCCCGTCGCGGGCCCCTCGTCGCCGCGGATACCCTTGCCCATGCGCGTGTCGGAGCTCGCGCGGAAGCCAGTGGACGGAGATGGGCGGCGCTCATCGACGATGCTGAGCTCGAAGGACGATCTGTTGATGAGTCTGTTGGCGAGCGAGGCGATCGTGGACAGCAGGGGGTTCGAGGTGTTGAATGCCGAGGAGGTTGAGGAGCTTAAGAAGGTGCGCCCAGATGCTCGCGCCGTCTATAATCCCTGCTCGAACATTGTCTCTTTCTATAGGAACATACCGTGCTATCGTCGCGGTTAGTCGCCCTCAACAAGAAGCTCACCCTAGAGACCAAGATACGCGATGCGGCGCTCTCACTATCGAAAGCGAACGCGTCATATAAGAACGTCAACAAGCAGACTACCGAGCAGCTCGACAATGCGAATCGCAAAGTGGAGACCGCACAGAAGGAGCTCTGGCGCGTCTCGGAGCGGGCGGGCGAAATCAACCGCAGGCTTCTCGAGCACCGCGCGGGCGTCCTCAGCTACTCGCTCCGGAGCATGGAGAAGAAGATGGCGCCTCCGGACACGTTGAACGGGAACGGCGACATCTCTGCTTCTGGGTATAGCACACCGAACCGGAACTCGCAAATGAGCCCGACACAGTCGTCGGTCATGAGCGGACAGTCGACCTCCTCACGATCGCGGTTCGATGGCGCGCACTTCTTCGCAGGGCACTCCGATGCAATCGTCCCTGGGCCCACACGACAGGGCCCGTCATCCGCAGAGGTCACCGCGCTACAAGAGCAACTTAAAGCCGCAGAAGCCGCTTTGGATGCAGCTAACGCGCAGCAGCAGAAACTCACGCGGGAAACATCGTCATTACGAGTCGAGCGCGAGCAAATAGAAACGTCTATGGGCATCGAGTTGCGGCAGGCGGAGGAGATGATTGCTGCCCTGGAGCGGCAGCTGGCCGACATGCAGGGTCTGGGAGACCGACTCGCTGCGCTCGAGGAGGAGAAGCAGGCCTGGATGAAGGACCGGAAGGAGCTGGACGAGCGACGGCGAGAGGTGGACACGCTTGAACGACGTCTGGTATTGCTGGAGGACCGCGAGGCGCAGTCGCAAATATTGCGGGACCAAGGCGCCGCGGACCAACGTAGCGGCGTCGCGGAGAAGGAGAGGGAGATCGCAGAGCTGAAGGCCCGAATGGACGCGGAACGTGCGGCGTGGCTCGCCGAGAAGGCGGCGTTGCAGGCGGGCGGGGCGAGTAAGGCGGAACTCGAGCAGGGCGCGGACGCCCTCCAGGAACTCATGCAGAACCATGGCATGCTGGTCTACTCCCGAGACAGATCTATCCGCGGCCTTGCGACGTCGATAGGGAGGCATGTAGAGGATCTCAAGGCCAAGGTCGACTCACATGCCAAGACGCAGGAGGAGTGGAACATGTCTCGGGTAAAGCTGGAGGAGGACATACGCACAGGGTTAGACAAGCGGGAAGCCCTCGTCCACGAGATCGAGGAGGCCCGCAAGGAACGCGATGCTGCAAAGGCGGAAGCGCGATCGTTCGAAGCCAGACTTCGAGTATGTTCCCCACCCGTGCTATCAACTACTGAGACTCATGTACCCGCCATAGGATATCCAGGAGTCCGGCAACGGGCCTGTGGTCGAGTACACCGGCGACGCTGCCAAGATCACCTCTGTCCTTCAGCCACTCTGGACCATTCTCCCTTCACCAGAGGCGCGTGTTTCTAAGCTCGGCAAGGGGGGCAAGCTTGTGTCGTCACCGACCACCGCCAGCCCAGTACTGACCCGGAGTGGTGCATCGCTCTCCGAGATGGACGTCCGCTCGCTTAAGACGCTTTACGACGCCAACTCGTTCCCCTTGTCTGCACGCCCCGGCGCCTCCGAGACCTTCACGGTCGAAGCCTTTGCGAATCGCGTCCAGGCACTCATTGCGGACGACCGCGCCCTTATCGAGAGGCTCATCCGCTTCGCACAGGCGCACGACTTGCTCAAGAAGAACGCGGAGCGCGCGCAGAAGCTTGCACAAGAGAGCAGCACCGCGCTCGAGACGTACCAGAAGCAAGTCAAGATACTCGAGGAGCGCAATATCTCGATGATATCCAAACAGGCTGCATAGTAAGTGGAATTGGTATCCTAGCAGTACTCATCTAACCAGCACATGCGTCCCACAGCCAAGACGAAATGCAGAACTTGCAGGAGGCCATCGAGCGCATCACCGCCGAGAAATTGGAGGTCGAGACCCAGGCCGCCGAGCAAGCGGAGACGTGTCGACAGCTTACGGATGCCAACAACTCGCTCAGCGCACGCGTGCTGAAGCTCGCGGAGGAGGGCGCCAGCACGTCAGATTCGATACGAAAGCGGATGGAGGCGGAGCTCGCGGAATGCAAGAGCTCACTTTCAAAGGCCCAAGAGGAGATCGAGACGATGCGGGTGTCGCAGCAGACACAACAAATGGCGCTGCTCGAGGAGCTAAACTCCGTGCAGACCGAGAACACAAGCCTCCGCGCACAACTGCGGAAAAAGTGATGGCCTTGACGGCCGCACCCCCGGGTGGCGTCCATCTACGTTTCGCGCGCACCCTGGTCCCTAATGTCGTTCCCCCTTCCCCGTCGCTCATTATTTGGTTTTCCCGCAAGCGCGCGCACACTGTCCTTCGTCTACTTGCTGCTCTTGGTCCGGACGAGTCCCTTCTTGTTTGGTGCACACCTCGATGACTGTATCTCTACCGCATATCGATATCCGCATCGCTAGCTACTACTCATTTCCACATGTTGCATCCTCGCCCATGTAATCGTCCACCTTCGTTACGGTAGGTAGTGTCCATGATGACCGTCCTCTTGAGGGCATGCTCTGTGTAAATACCATGACTAACTTACAAACCTCTCCTCGCGGGTGTGCCTCATGAACGAAACCTCCTAAGAGCTCTGAGGATGGCCTGATCAGTTGAGCCATATGTGTACACGTTCGCAGCCGCAGTTCTAGCCTCCTGTCGCTGTCAGCCGGAGACCAAGATGATCTGAGCTGGGCCCGCAGCCTCAGCGCTATCCTATCGCGCCCGAAGCGCCCGTCGGAGTGGGCGGTTTGCGGAACCACCACAGCCAAAGCCCTCGCTTCCATTGCCAATAGCTCTCTCTCTCTTCGACTCCTCCTCTTTCTCGGTAACCTCACGACCCTGACGTGACGCAGGCAGTCTCTCTCTCTCATATTGTCTCTACTATGGCCCCCATGGAGGGCATCGACAGCTTCCTCGACGAGCTTCCGGACGTGGACCGCCGGTCATGCCGGCTTTTGGGCCCTACCGCACTGGTGCGCGCTCGCTATCTCGTGGGGAGGTGCTGGGCGGGTAGCTGACGGGGCATGCGGCGATATAGATTGTGCAGGGCCTCATGGGTGTGCTGGTCATCCTCTCGTTGGTGTACAAACGTCATCGTGAAAGCCCGAAACGACCATGGAGGATCTGGTTCGTTTTCTATTTGCAGCTGGCGAAGCACACGCATTAATGAAGGGCTTCGCAGGATATTCGACGTTTCGAAACAAGTTATTGGCCAGATGTTCGTGCACGGGGTGAACGTGCTCATTTCGGACGTTGTCGCGCACGTCTCGTCAGGCAACGCATGTGTCCTCTACTTCCTCAACATCCTTCTTGATACGACCTTTGGTGCGTCGCGATTACCGCTGGATCTATCCGTACTTCTAATTTTTCTACCCTAGGTGTTGGAATCATTTATCTCGTTCTGCATGTCACGACCTATCTCTTTACCGTCAAGTGTCATCTGAAGGGCTTCGAGACTGGAGTCTACGGCACCCCTCCGCGCATCACCTACTGGCTCCGTCAATCCGCCGTCTATGTGTTCGCACTCACGACCATGAAACTCCTGGTCGTCGCTCTTTTCGCAGCTCTCCCCATCATATTCGACGCGGCGGAATGGCTGCTCACTTTCTTGGGACCCAGTGATGCCGCCCAGGTCATATTGTGCGTTTTTGATCGTATGATCTCACATAGTCTCTTTTCATCTGAACAATTCACAGCACCATGGGCCTGTTCCCAATTATGATGAACGTCATTCAGTTCTGGCTGATTGACTCGATCGTCAAGGGCTCTGATAGTCACTCCCCGCTGTCTCTGGATGCCGACTCGTCCCGCGGGTCTGACGACTTGGACAGGGAACCTCTCTTCCGAACGTCCGAGGATGACAGCGACGACGATGACGGCCTTCCGGCCCGCCACGATATCGAGAACCCCCGTCCTATATCGCGCTCGCGTTCGAGGGACGTTAACCGTCTATCCGGAGAACCAAAGTCTGTCAGCTCGGGCACCACGACTGTCATTCCGTCCGGCTCGAGCACACCCTTGCCAAAGCCCATCGACACGGCAGTTGCGGCCCACGCCTACCCTCCAAGCCAACACACCATTTCTCCTGGTACCTCGCCGTCTTCTTCGATGTCTTCGTCCTCTGCGAGCTCTTCGCACTCCCATTCACGGTCGAAGGGTCGGAGACGATCTCCGCCTCCTCCGTTGTCCCTGCGACCTCCCAAAGCGTTGTATCCGAACGTCGAGATCTCGAGGACCGCGCCATTGGAGGAACCGGAGATACCCCGCGACGAAGATGAGAAGTGGGATGCATGGGGCGACGACGATAACGAGGACTGGGCCGAGCGAGTGGGCGAAGACGAGTGGACTGGACGGCGGATAGCGGCGAAGAGGGACGCTGTGGACGATACCTGGCGCGGACATGATCCTCATTTACGTGATGTCGCACCGATCTCTTGAACGGTTTTTAGATACTCCCTACTCTCCCTTGCATATGCCTACGTACCATAGTTTGTATAATATCTTCGTGCACCGCTAGGTGGACGCTTCGCTCGCTTGAGGCTGAGGGAAATGTGCGGCTACGGAGCGGAAGTGGCGGCGCGGCGATGCCGGACTCAGAACAGTGGGCCAGCTTTGGCGACGGAGTCCGCTGCAGCTGTACTCCGGTGGTCTTCGCAATCTTGCTCTTCACCACAGCTGTCTCTTGACTTCTGGCTTGCGACTCGCGCAAGGAGGGCCACACTGAACGTCTTTCCTGGGGGGATACCTGGACTCGGCACCTATAGACGCATTTGATTGACTCCCTCTCCGGCGCACGCGCAATAATCAGACGACTTTGGAGAAACACCTCATGGCACCCAAAACACAGAAGAGAGCAGCCGCCAAGGTACGTTGCTGAGCGGCTAGGAAACTGTTCGATCACTGCAACTGGGTACGTAGTTCTACCAGGAGGATATCGTACGGCGCAAGGACGACTCGAATACCTTTGGAGTGATCTTGGTGTGTAGTCCAGTCCTCACTTCATGATATACTGATTGCGAACTGGACACGACGTTCCGTAGAGGTGCTGGCAGGATGCAGAAGAGACACCGCCCGCGGGCGATCACATCGACCCGCTCATGAGGCCTCTTGTGCAGGTGCGTGGGGTTGCGCCACAAAGTGTGTCCAGATGGTATGGGCGAGCTCACACTCGGTTACAGGGCGAGGTCGGTGTGTCATACTTCCCTAAACCTATGCGAGAGATCGTACCCGAAGACACGCTTGAGCTCGTGGACCGCTTGTACCAGCCGGGCGACCTTCTCAAGCGAAGCGTAGACGACGTGCGGTCCGGAGTGGTGACCAGGTGCGTACGTTGGTGTGTATTTCCTTGCGCATATGTTTAAGCGACATTCTTGCCGGGTCAGGACACATGTGAAGGGACGGCTCGAACATGCGGTCAGTAGCTTCTCGCTCCCGGGCTGGAAGTCCATGGAGGAGATCGAAAGTGCGGTGGAGATAGACATGGGCGAATATGTCATCTACAACGATTGGGTCGGCCAGGTGCGGTCCCGCGACACTGATATGCACAGAACACATCCGTTCATACTCTGCGAATTTGCAGGTCGTGGAGGTTCGTCTCTTCTTTCAGATATTCTTCTGCGCTGCGTCATGCTAACAGCCCTGGGAATAGATGTTTGACGAGTCTCTGGTCGAGGTGCCTGGCGGTACCCTGGTGCGCTTGCCCGAACTCAGCGCACGGCTGGCAGTAGGAGAGAAGGGCCAGGTCAGTTATAACTAATTATACCGGTGAACCGGTGTTCATACTCTCCTTAAAGGACATTCTGCCACAACCGATGACAAGCGTAACAGGCATCCTGGGATTCCTGATCGGCGGGACAAGACCTAGCGACCGAGATACGGTGATAAACGTGAAGCATACTGTGCTCGCAATTGCATGGCTTGCGATCAACCAGTCGGTGGGTCCATAATCTGTGCTCTCAATTTGTGGCGACAATGCTCAAATGTATCTAGCTCTCACCGGAGGACGCTCAGGGCAAGCCGCGTCCGCAACGCTATTGGTACGGCGCCGATCTTGGCAAGCTCACGACTATCACGCGAAAGGCAGAGGAAGCTATGCGCGTCGGCGATCGTGTGAGGCTAAAGAACTCCAGGGATGGTCCTGTAACAAGACACGGTAGACCTGCGGACGGCGGTATTGAAGTCGACACGCTTGTCGTACAAGAGACGCGGACATCTGTCGACGTGCTCTGGCAAGATGGCACAAGAGAGACAATGGACGTGAAGCAAACAGTACCCTATCTCAATCCCGACGAGTACGACTGCTGGTAAGTGGGTGTGGGTGACGCACAAATATAGCACAGGCTAAACGCTTTCCACCCAGGCCTGGAGACCACGTCCTGTGGAAGACCGAGGACCACAAGCGCCATGTAGTGGTGCAATCCGTGAACGCTCAGGACCGAACCGCGTACGTCCGCGTAGTCGAGACTGGCGCCGTGGAGCTTGCCTCCGTACTCGAGCTGGACCCACACGGCTCGGCTGACTGGTCCCCGCTCGCGCCTGCAACCGACGGCCTCGGCGTGCGCCGCGGAGACTTCGTCTTCATCCACCGCGAGGGCACGACCAACGGCGCGCGGGCGCCCATGGTGCCCCGCATCGGCGAAGTCGAGGAGTGGGTGCGCGAGGCTCCTGCACTTGGGCCGAACGGACAGATTGGGGGATGGCGAAGCGAGATGACTGAGCTTGGCAGTCGTATTGCGGAGCAGCGCGGTAAGGAGGGGAGTGTTGAGGAAGTGCCGCTGAAGCAGGCGCAGAAGGGTGACACCTCCCTCAACTGGTTTGGTGAAGTGCTCGATGTAAGTTTTGCAGTTCCGGTAGACTGCTGCACGCGTGCTAACGACTCGTGAAAGCTACGCTTGGATGGCACCATAGAAGTCGTCTTGCCGAGCTCCGATACCGTCGTCGTTCCTTTAGAGAGGCTCACGCGGCTCTACGACAGCGTAGAGCAGCTTGAGGATCTGTGGGGCGACGACGAAGGGACGGTGGAAGACGAGGACGACGTCGAGGTGTGGGAGATGGACCAGGACGGCCACTGGGTCGAGGGGACCATGGATGACGACGACGATGAGTGGGAGTCCGCCGACGAAGAGCTCGACCCTGCAGACAGCATGGACGTCGAGGGCGGCGAGTGGTCTCCCTCTACCGACACGGTCACGATCCCACCGCCGGTAAACGGAGAGACATTAATGGCCGTCGACAGCGCGCTTCCGCCAGAACCGCAGCCGTCGGCCACCGCCAAGTCACCGTCGCCACACCCCTCAAAGGAAGCAGGCGACGTTGAAGATGGACCGTGGAAACGCTTCGAGGTCCTACCCTCCGCGCCGGTTGACCATGCGTTCTATAACACGCCGCCTGCACAACATACGCGGCAGTTTATGGCGCGAATGTCGAAGGAGTACAAGGCCTTACAGAGCAGCCTACCAGGTGCCGTGTTTCTCGCTTCCAGTCTGGCGCGATCGCCGTCGCTGACGATGGCCGGCAGATTCCATCCTCGTGCGCGCATATGAGGATCGGACGGACCTTCTGCGGTCTCTCATCATTGGCCCGGAGAATACGCCATACGAAGACGCGCCATTCGTGATCGACTGGATGCTCGACGCCAACTTCCCGCAGACACCGCCCATAGCGCACTTCCTGAGCTGGACGAACGGTAACGGCAGAGGTGTGTGATTTCATTTCCGCAGAAAATAGGCGCGATGCTGACAGTCGACCATCACAGTAAACCCGTGCGTTTTGCCGAACCGATGAGATGCGCGTCGCACCGCTAATGATTACGACAGGAATCTGTATGAGGAGGGCAAGGTCTGCCTGTCGATCCTCGGCACTTGGGCAGGCGATAAGAGCGAGTCCTGGAGCGCATCGCGATCGTCGCTGCTCCAGGCTCTGGTGTCGATCCAGGGCCTCGTGCTGGTCAAAGAACCGTGAGTCCTGCATGCGTGACGCATGTCGCTCGCCCCCACTCACAGCCTATCAGATGGTTCTGCGAGCCTGCCTACGAGAAGCTGCGAGGCACCGAAGACGGGATCGTCAACAGGTAAGCGACTCTATTCCTGAAATCACAACCAATCTCCGGTCTGACATCACCACGCACAGTCGGCTGTACAACGAGAAGGCGTACGTGCTCTCGCGCGGGTTCGTGCGGCGTGCGCTCGAGATCCCGCTCGGGGGGCTCGAGGAGGAGCTGCGGTGGTTCTACCACACGAGCGGGAAGCTGCGGAAAGTGCTGGGGGACGCGCGTGCGCTGATCGCGAAGAGCACGGCTACGCAGGGTGACGCGGAGGTGCCCGAGGCGGACCGCGAGCGCGCGGTGCCGCGGCTCTCGAGTGGAGGCATCATTGCGCTCGAGCGGACGCTGGGGAAGCTGCAGGTACTGCAGGATGCGCAGACGGCGACAGAAACGAACGCTGCGGACGACGCGAAGGGCGAGCGGTAGCGGCGGTAGGGCGGCGTGGTGCGCGGTGTGGTGTGGGTAGGTGGGTGGGTCGTAATCTGTTCTTCGACTTCTTGGGCCTCAGAGACATCCGCTACTACTATTCGTTCACGCAGGGAATCGCAATCGATGTATTAGTCTATCGTCCACGCTAAGTTTGAGATGTCTCTATCGTGGTTACCGTGGAGAGTTACTACTGTGCTCTGGTGAGGATGCCAGGTCCAGATAGGCAGCGCGGAGAGGAGGGCTAAGAAGGATCTAGATAGGTAGTGGCTAGGCCGGGTGCGTATGGCAGAGGGCAGGTGGGTCCGACGTAGTCTCGTGTCCAGACGTTATAGGTCACGGGGTCCTTCCAAAACGGGACGGGCAAAGAAACGAGCAGAGGACCCCCCTATAACGTCTGGCGCACTTGGTATAGACGGGTGGGGGTAAGGTCACGCCAACGCCAGAAATAAGTCTGTCCACCCGTCAAACACCTTGACACGCCCTCGATCGGGCAAGTCTATCAGTCACTCTGCGGTCACTGTCCGCGAGCGGGTTTTATTTATTCGTGCTACTCCGCGCGCTGCAGTCTCATTTTAATACAGACCATTGCGGGCTATTCAGACACACTCCTCTCAATTTCAAGAATTATTTGGGCGGAAATTGCGTTGTAGGAGTCCTGAGGCGATCACGCTCGCGCGGCGTGCGCGCACGTCGAAGTGGGGCCGCAGTGACCTTCGTGACTTGGTGACCTTACCCCCACCCGCCTATACGAAGTGCGCCAGACGTTATAGGGGGGTCCTCTGCTCGGTTTCTTGCCCGTCCCGTTTTGGAAGGACCCCCTATGACGGCTGGTGACGAGACTAGGTCCGACGCGTTCGGCGGGGTCGGCCAGGGCTTCCGGATAGTCCGACGCAGTTGGTCCAACACCGAGGGCTGCCTTCTTCTGCTCCAGCTCCACCTCCCACTCTACATCGACATCACTGCGGCGTTTGTGTACATATTACCGTACTCTTGCTTTCTCTTGCGCCTGCTGTGTGCTTTGACCCCTCATCCGCCCGCAATCGCGAAGCTTGGACCCGTTCTGAACCGCTTCGCAGCCACAGACGCACTCGCTTATAACTCGCAGCAGTCGATATCGCGCCCCCATCGAACATCACACACGCCGCTTTTCTAACGTACACCTTACCGCACGATGGACTCCTTCGAGGCTGCCCCCGAACACCCGCCGCTCTCGCGCAACAGCTCGAAGCCGAAGGGCATCCTCAAGAACGCGCCGCTCGCCACCCCGGGCGGCATCCAGCAGTGAGTCCCCATGGCCTCTCCCTGCGCGATCGCGCGCCATCTGCGCGTGTGCTGACCGTGCCCAAGCAGCCTGCAGTGGGACGAGGAGAACCTCGCGCTGACAGAGGCGCAGAAGGACAGCCAGATGAAGATCACGGAGCCCAAGACGCCCTATGTGCGCTACAACGCTGAGACGGACACCGTCGAGGGTGGTGCGTTCTGCTCTCCCGTCTTACTCCTACCTCTGGGTTGTTTCCCCTAGTTAAGGGGGAGGACAAAGCCTCTGGGTGTGACGCTGGTGAATCCACTGACGTCGTATGCGCACACAGACATCCCGAACTTGGACCTGAACGGCCGTGTGGCGAGCCCGGGCCCGGTTTCGCCGCTGCGCGCGCCGTCGCCGACGAGCAGCACCGGGGCGACAGGTGGGGGCTCCGGCCCGCCGTCGCGGCGGACGTCGTTCTCGAGCTCGAGCGCGGGTGGGCGGTCGTCGACGCCCGGGCGCACGAGCCGCTCCTCGAGCCGGAGCACGAGCTTTAACCTGCCGAACGAGGCGCGCGAGGTCATCCGCCTCGATGGGCGGCAGCCCGGCGACGAGATCGAGTGCGAGGAGGAGATGGACGAGGAGGGTGAGTGCTTTCTCTCGCGCTGTGTACTGAGAGGTCGGATCCGAGGATGTCCGACTGTGCTCAGATGGGTGCGGGTATGTCGAACTCGGAATACAGATAGCACTGGCGAGCCAAATCGCCGTTGTGGCACGGTTATGCTGGTCAACATGGTCTTATTCCTGACACGGGTTATCGGATATAGTGGCCATAAGCTGATATGCCTCGGACATCGGACCTCCTCTGTCAACGCGGCATACTATTTGACATGACAGAACTGACGGGGCCCATTTACAGCTATGAAGAAGCACGCAGAGTTCGTGCGGGCGCGTGGGAGGCACTACTCGAACGAGGCGGAAGCTATGAAGGTGCGTGCGGTTCCAGTCGCCGCTGCGGTGGCGGCGCGAGTGTGGTACATATGGAGATGCTGACATCGGCGCCCACCCCCGCAGAAGGCGAAGGAGTTGATGGAAGAAGACGACGAGGAGACGTCGTCTGTTGCGGAGTCCGCGAGCATCGACGAGGACAGCGTGATGGAGGACGAGGACGGGTCGCATGTGAACGGGATTGGGATTGCGCACTGAGGGCGCTGCTGAGACGAAGATGACCTGACGCTGTAGTGTACGGTAGGACTGCATACCCCTTGGCTACGACTATGTGCATGCCGTGTACGACCACCGCTCTATCAGCCAAGGCGTGACTTGATTGACAGAGCGGGCACTAAGTATACCTGTCCCCTTTGGGCAGGGGCAGGAGCCCGGCCCACGTGGGAACTTGAGGAATGCGGGGATGGCCACATGCGGGCTCCCTCCTCTCCTCGCCTCTCCCAACCTGCGCTCTCCCACTGTGCTCCTGCAGCCGGCCTGCGCCATCTTTCCCTCTCTCCCCTCTCCCCATCGCACATCTCCCATCTCCCCCTGGTCTCCAGCCATCTCCACGCCCCATATGGCCTCCCTGGACCTCCCCGAGCCCCCTACGCAGGCTACGATTACCCAAGCTCGCGCGCAGCTCGTCTCCCTGCACGACACCTCGCGGCACCTCGAGGCGCGCATCGCCGAGGCCCGCGACGTCCTCGCCCGCATCGTCGACGAGCGCACCGCCGCGCTCCGTGAACTAGAGCGCGAGCTCGCCACGGTCGAGGACCGTGTCGCCCTCACCAAGGCCTACGTCTCGCCCATCAAGCGGCTCCCGCACGAGCTCCTCCGCCAGATCTTCCTGTTCAACTTCGAGGACTGCGCGTGGTCCGCGTGGGTGCTGTCCGCCGTGTGCGCGCTCTGGCGCAAGGTCGCGCTCGGGATGCCGACGCTGTGGTCCAAGGTGCGTTTCCTGCCGCTGCGGCGTCTTTCCCTTCACTGCCTCGTCTCCGTGTGCTCTTTCCATTGCCCTTCCGCGTGTTGTGGTAGCGCGTCTTATGCTCTAGATGAGCGGTGTGTCCGGCGCGTCACCGGAGATAGGACCCGCCCCGGTCCTAGACCCGTCGCGACCGCTGCCAGGTTCATCACACTGTGTTCGCACTGGGCAGGTCGTTTGATCACAGACTAGGCAAGAGTGCTAGCTTGTATTATCAAGGACGAGCTGTTGAGACCCCTCCTGCCTGCAGGCGCGTTTTCGGTCCTACCGACCGGCACTTCGCCTGAAGGCTCAGCGCTCAGTCAGCAGCCTTCTCCCATAGCATGGAAGTAGTCGGAGCTTGATGCGAGCTCGTCGCTTACGCCACATTGCGTTGCCGTAGCGTGGAGCTCCTCGAAAGCCGTGATCACCACCGCAGCTACTTCAGGCATTACCTCCGGTTGTGTGCCATATCTCTCAGGGTGGTTCGTAGGGGGGAGGGGTTATTGTGCAACCTTTCAGGCGAGTTATGCTCTCGCTGCCGTCGATCGCTTATGTGCCTTCTTGGCAAGCATGTTGCCGCCTCCAAACGGGGAATAATGGACCGACCGTGCTCATTCATACGCTTGCGTTCTGTCACAGATTCGCCTTGTTACGACACAGGCCTCTTCTGCCGAAACCATACGTCTCTGGCTCGAGCGATCCGGCCGCTCCATCCCGCTCGACATCGAGATACTACTCAAGTCGCCGTCCGTACATACCGGCGTGGTCGAGGGTGTCTCCCGCCGCAGATACCTGTCTGTGCCTCATGCTGCGGGTGACCCCTGGGTGGCTGGCGGGTGGACGACGCCGCCACCTCTGGTGCAGACAGCGGGCGCAGGTGGCACGGCTGTGCACCTGCAGATAGGAGGCGCACACCCTACTGTGCACGTTGTCCCCGTGCAAGCTGTCGTCCCAAACGACGGCATGGGTCCCGCGCCTCCGTCACCAACACATACGCATGAGTGGGACATTCCGCCCCTCTCCACGTCCGACAGGATGCCCCTGTCGACACAGCGACTGCGGAGAAATATGCACTGGGGACACATCGCGTTCTACTACCTTGTCGAACAGATGCACCGGTGGGAGCGCTTCATATTCCGATTCGACAAGCAATTCGCATCCATTAGCGCGCTCAAGTCTGTCGAAGGTCCGTTTGCGTCTTCTGCCGTGGCGTGCATTCATTCTCCTGTTCCGTGTGTGGTACTGATTTCTGGCGCGTGACAGGGGACGCGCCGATCTTGCGGGAGTTTGAGATCTCGTGTACGGACCCAGCCTTCTATGGCGACTGGAAGTGGCTGCCGTCCGCGCCGGTGAACGCGCAATTCGACATCAGTAGCCTTCGGACCCTCACGCTCCAACACGTCCCGTTCAAGTGGTCTTCGCCGATGCTTCGCAACTTATGCCACCTCCAACTCCGCAGCCTGCCCACGGTCCACATTGCGCTCGACCGGATTCTCCACATCGTCTCTGCGAACCCGCAGCTCGAATCGCTCTCATTGCACTTTACGTCCCCGAGCCAGCCCGTACTCCCTCTATCCTCCGTCACGCTTAACGAACTCAAAAGCCTGAACCTTGGTGGGCACTACCTCCTCTCAAGCCTGCTCGACTCGCTCCTCCTCCCCGCGCTCGACACGCTCATCCTGGATATCGAGGCCCGCGATCCGATCGAAGACACCGTTTCGCAGCTGCTCTCGCGCTCGGGCACACCCCCACTCACACGTCTTTCACTCTCTTACGGCGCCGCCCCGGGTCCGCACGCGGGCTTCTACTGGGGTTCCGGCGCGGGTGTCGCGTCATGGCATTTCCTGGGAGAGCTCGATCACCTGGCGGCGCTGCACGTCGGCAGCGCGCCGCTCGAGCCGCTCATCTCGGCCCTAAGCGCGCCGGACGATGATAACGGGCAAGACCGGTGGGTATGCCCGCGCCTCACCACGCTCGCGATGCGCGGCTGCCATGCGCATGGGGATGGCGTCTCAAAACTTGTGCAGATGGTCGAGGCCCGTAACCCAGATGCGGGGATGATGGCGGGCGGCGGCGGTGGTGGAGGCGGCGGCGCCCTGGGGCTCGCAGGTATGGGCGGTATGGGAGTTGGGATGGGGGCGCCGTTCGGGATGACACCTACGCGGCTGCGGCACCTGGAGCTGTACGACTGCACGGCGCTGGGCCCGGACGTGACGAAGTGGCTGAAGACGCGGATCGAGGAGGTGGTGTGCACGGAGCCGAGCTTCGAAGGGTACGTCGGCCGCCTCGTCGTCGTGCATTGACCGTGTCCGGCTGTATCTCTGTGCTCATGTGCTTACCGCGCGTCCCCGTTCTGTGTGCAGTCGATATTGTATGGCCGAGGCCCACCACTGGTAGCCCGTGCAAGATCATGATGTATTCTCGGTTGGGGCCCGGGTCCGGGTGCTTGGGGGGTATTTAAGGGATACGTGTGCGTGTTTGTAGCATTACTCTTGCGTCCGTGTACTTGTACGGTAGTAGCTGCTCTTGCGATTGGATAGATGCTCTGGAACTTTCAAACACGGCTGATAATCGGTATGCTTTCTCCTTGCTTTCTCTCTGCTTCTCTGTCTTGTGCGGACGTCTATTGGCCACGCCTTTCCAAGGTACTCGTAGTGCTACATTACGTCCGGAAATCCTACACACCGCTCTCCATAGTCCTTTGTGCACCTCCATCGAAGCCCGCTTACATCCCGAGGCCCATGAGCGCGCTCGTCAGCCGCTCCGCCGCGTTCTCCGGCTCCTGGCGCGCCATCTCGACCATGCTCAGCAGCTTCTTCACGCCCACCGTGAGGCGCGCATCGCCCTCGTCGTCCCCGTCCGTGAAGCCCGCCTGCGCGAGCATGCCGACCGCGCGGCGGCGCTCGTCGTCGCTGCGGAACAGCTCGACCTCGCGCAGCACGGTGTCGAGCGCGCGGAGCGTCGCGATTGGGGGGACGCGCAGCTCCGAGTCGAACACCTCCGAGAGCCCGAGGTCGGTGAGCACGGGCCGCTGCGCGGTCGTCGCGATGATGAGCAGCCGGCGGCCCTTGGGCGGGCGCCGCGCGAGGAGCACGAGCAGCGTCTGCAGCACGGAGTTGGAGAAGCGCGGGCCGATGGGCGTGAAGTCTGTTTTCGTGTGCGTGGCAGGGAGAATGGTCAGTCAGTCGGGCGTAGGGAGAAGAGGGGGAGGAGGGAGGTACGCACCGAGGAGCCGCTCGAGGTTGTCGACGACGATGACGCTCAGCGGGCTCTTGTAGCTGTCCTGGAAGACCTTGGCGATCGCGGCGACCTTCTGCGCCTCGGAGAAGCCGACCATGCTGTCGGGCGTGATGAGCTTCATGAAGGGGTACTGCGAGGCCTGCGCGACGGTCGCTGCGAGCGCGGTCTTGCCGGTGCCCGGGGGACCGTGTAGCAGCACGCTTACGAGCGGCGTGCGTGTCGACGAGCGGACTTGGTCCACAAATAGCTCTCCGGAACGCAGGATCTCCTGCAACGCAAACGTTGGTCATGGACATACAAACCTGTGCGAACACAACGCACCTCCACGACAGAGCTGAAATGGATGATCCCGTTCTGGACGACGCCCTCGAGCTCCTCCTTCGCGACACCGAACGCGGGCTGGACCTCGTCGAGCGCGTTCATGAAGTCCTCGCGCTTCACGCGCAGGTTCTCGACGTCGTCCGAGATGCCCGCGAGCGTGCCGACCTTGACGTGGCGCGAGAACGCGAACGAGGTCGCGCTCTTGACGAGCCCGCTGATCTCCGCGCCCGAGAAGTTCTTCGTGAGCGCGGCGAGCTCGATGAGGTCCACGTCGCGGTCCATCACGCCGTTCTGGCGCATCTTGGACGTGTGGATGTTCAGGATCTGCACGCGCCCCTTCTCGTCCGGGAGCGAGATCTCCATGTGCACCTCGAGACGGCCGGGGCGCAGGAGCGCCTCGTCGATCATGTCGAGTCGGTTGGTCATGCCGATGATGAGGATGTTGTTCAGTTGGTCGACACCGTCCATCTGTTTGGCGGTAAGTCGAGAAATATGACAGACGTCGGGGCATGCTTACCTTGGAGAGAAGCTGGTTCACGACGCTGTCGCCTACACCTGTACCTCCTCCCGTGGAGCCACGTTGTTTGCAAATAGCGTCCAGTTCGTCGAAGATGATAATGTGCAAGCCACTCTCGTCTTGCTTCTCCTTGTACTGTGTACGGCATGAGCATCGCGTGGGTGGCTTTAGCTTACCTGCAGCCACTTACCTCCTTCTCCGCATCCGCAAACAGCTTACGGATGTTTTCTTCTGAAGCACCGACGTACTTGTTTAGAATTTCTGGACCGTTGACGATCTTGGGCTCGCGCGCGTTCAGCATCTTTCCGATCTGCCGTGCCAGGAGCGTCTTTCCTGTTCCTGGGGGGCCGTACAGCAAAATACCCTTGACGTGCTGAATACCGAGCTTCTCGACGAGTGCAGGCGGGAAGACGCGCGAGGCGAAAGCACGTCGGAAGATGGAGCTGAACTCTTGGTCCAGACCACCGATACCCATGTCCTCGAACTTGAAGTTCGGTGCAAGAATGGCATTTGGCGGGGCCCTATAGCCGATCAGTACCATTCAACCAAATACTCTTACACTGCAATGTAGGTGTATATACGCACTTCTTTGCGCTCGACTTCAGCTTGATGGCGCTGTCTGGGGACTTCATGAACGTGATGTCGGTCTTCTCCATAACGACGCCGTAGTGCGTCGCCTCCGACTGTCTGCCCGGGAGGTCGACGATCTGCACGCCCTTCACGGCGACCCGGAGGATTTGGCCGTGGAACTCAAACGAGAGCACCTCGCCAGTAGCGAACACGATTCCGTTGTACGCGCGGAGGAAATTCTTGGCCATGTCGTCCGCAGAGAAGGCTTCCGCGATTTCGTGCCCGCGCTTGGCGAAACCGACCTCGAGATCAACGGATTCGAGGTAAGGAGGCGGGGAGGGCATGGGCTCGACCGTGACAGTATCCCCCGCAAGAGAGAGTCCGATCCATTGCCGTTGCGCCGCAGAGGCACCAATGGTACCTGGGGGGATCTTCCCCGTGTTATCATGTCTGAGGACGAAGGATGAGGATGTGAACGGAATGAACGCTGAGTACAGACTCACCTGGTCGTGAGCGGGTAGGCTTGCTTGACCACAACATGCTGGCCCTGCGGGAAGTCAGAGGCGTTCACGATCAAGCAGTTGCTGTATGCCAGGGGCTCGCTCGGGGATGGCTGCACGGAGAATCTGGGGCACGCGTTAGGCTAGGGACATGATCGTGTCGGAAGCAGGACGTACACTCCTCCTCCCCGAGGCGGGGCCTTTCTATCCTGTCCACGCTTCTCGTATCCAGACTGGTCATCGTAGCGCGGTGCCGGGACGCGTTGAGGCCCTCCACGCATAGGGTCGCTACCACCAGGGACGCGAGAGTACTGCTGGGGCGGAGGGGCAGCCGGAGGCTGATTCGAACGGAAGAAGCTCATAGTGGTCGAAGTCTAAGAGTGTTTGGCCAGTTTAGATTACAATACAGGCAGTCCAGAGTGGTCGTCAGCAGTCGTAGTTCCACGTAGAGATGGTATGCAGTGCTTGGCAAGAGGTTGCAGTCGCCCGCTGCGCGGCGACCGCCAGAGCCCGCACGCAGGCGCGCGGTCGCCGTGCACTCTCTTCCAGAGACCTCCACGTTCCTTCTAAGTCCTTACTGCTGCACTGCCCAAAAGCTGCTACTCATGCCTCACGAATAACGTTGCTCTCAATCAGCCATTGTGCGCACATAAATCGAGGCACGGCTGTGGCCAAGCTTTAGTCTCTGCTACGCATGCACGCGCTCTGCTCCTTGCTCAGCCTCCAGGCTTCTTCTGGATAACACTGTATTGTGGACTATATCTGGCACGGTATGCAAGAATTCGACCGTGTGCCCGGCGCGGTACCGCGGGTACAGGTGGCCCAGTGTGGCCACGGACCGGTATGGAACTCGAGCGTCGCATGAATTGACACCGGTCCACTGCTGACAATGAATGAACTTGGATTGGCTCCGGTATGTTCCCTAGATACTATAAACCCACGCATGCGTTCGTGCCAATTCACACAATGCCCGACGTCACCCACATCCCCACCGAGCTTTGGCACGACATTATCACCCTAGCATGCGTAGATGGCGGCCTCACGGGCAGGTCCCTTGCGCTCGCCTCTAGGTTCTTCTATGCACAGTCGCTCTGTTGCCGTTTTCATTCTCTCGCATTCAATTCTCTCCAGCAGCTCGAGGGATTTCTGGCGTTCCTACGTCTCCAGCCGGTTGACTATCGGCCGAAAATACAACATATCTGTCTCTCCCTCTTGGATGAACCTGTGAAAACATCTACGGTCTCTTTGAAGGCTTACTCCGGGATGGCGCGGGAACAGCAAAGAGCTCACGACTTGAAGACTCAAGAGGAGAGAGCGCGTTGGGACGGAAGGTTCTGCGTCACGTCCATTGCCTTGCTCACCCTTGCTGCGCGGACGCTACGTACTCTATGCGTTGTGGAGGACGGCCTGGCCCCGCTCCCCCTCACATTTCCATGCGAGCTCCCTCAGCTGAGGGAGCTGAGTTGGAAGGGGAAGATCCTCGCGTTCGAGCCGAGCGCTTTGGGGCTGACCGGCACCTCTAGGTTCACGGCAACCTTCCCTGCGCTCGAACGCGTCCACTTCATCACGACGGCGGTGGACGGTATAGTCCCCATGATTCTGCTCACGAAGATACCGACGATCACCCACTTTCGGATATCCAATGTGGGTTACGTCGACATCCTCCTCCCCGACGCGCTTGCCAGGGCCCTCGGTGTAAAACCCATGTATCCCTGGCTCGCAGATGGACCAGAAGATGGAAATGCGGACCCGCAGCAAAGTTCTGTCTCCTCCCTTTCGACGCCCCGTCCCCACCTCCGTCAACTCATCATTCAGGGCACGTCGTCTGCGCCTGGCGGCTGGTGCTGGCACTACAATCGAGAGTGGGCTAGGATTCACTCCCAGCTGGAGGCCCTTGCGCATGGTCCGGGTCTCGATGGAACACACACGCTCGTCTTGGATAGACCGTGGTTCAGGGCGCTTCGTTGGCCTCATCGAATGCGCGACTATTGGCTGGATCGTATACAGGGAGGCCGAGGCTGCTGGGTCGAATCCGAGGCACAGGAGGTCGTATCGGAGGGACAGTGAAGTCAGCCTTGTTCGAACCTCCGAGTACGCCCTCGCTCTCGTCGTGGCAAGCATGGACATGGACATCTCGAGTCGCTCGCTGGCTCTGTAGGCGGTCGTGTAGCAGACCTCCCCCGGTCTGTGTGTATGTAAAGTAAGTGCATCGTTAGTGTGTCCTTGTACTGCAATTCACGCCGCGGTACCGCAGCTTTGTGACTCCTTCTCATCGTTGATGTACACCCGACGCAGCAATTGCATCCGGACGCGTACCACGTATAAAACCCCGGGCATCATCCTCACCTATCGTTTCCGACTTCTCTCCCCCCACCCTTCCAATGCCCGATGTCACTTCCATTCCCACAGAGCTCTGGCGCAACATCATCACCATAGCGTGCACGGACGGTGGCTTCACAGGCACGTCGCTCGCGTTCACCTCCAAGTTCTTTCACGCGCAATCTCATGATCTTCGCTTCCACTCCCTGGCCCTCAATTCTCTCCGCCAGCTCGAAGGTTTCTGTGCGTTCGTGCAGCTCCAGGCGCAGCACGGCAAGCCCAGGATCGAGCACCTGTACCTCTCTTTCTTCAACATTCCTCAAATGCTCCGCTCTGACCCCAGACACGCGGCCCTCGGACACAGTCGGCCCATGGAGTTCGACAACTGGACGACGGAGGTGCAGGCGCGCTGGAATGAGCGACTCGCCGCCGCCTGGACGACTCTGATCACACATGCCGCCCCCACGCTACGGACGCTGTGCATCGTCGAGGAGGACGTGCCGCTCGCGCTCGGGTTCTCGTGCGACCTTCCGAGGCTGGAGGAGCTCAGCTGGAGAGGGTACATCCGCGCTTTCCGGGCTCCCGGCCTACAAGAACAAGGAGCGAGCTTGCGCAGATTCCCGTCACTCAAGCGCGTTCACTTCGTCTCTGGCAACAGCGACAGCGTGGTGGACGCACTCGCAGCGGCCGTCCCGTCGTCGCTCACGCACCTGCGTATCTCGAACGTCTCCGACTGGGACGCGAAGCTGCCCGCCGCCCTGGCGCGCGCGCTCGGCCTACCGCCACCTCCGAGTCAGTTCTGGGATGCGCCTGATGACGAGGATGTGCAACCCGAGGAGGCGACCCTACCGCACCTTCGCGTCGTCGTTATCCACGCGATGCCTCCAGATACCAGCGACGAGGATGCAGCCCCTTTCTACTACGACCCATGGCAATCGGTATGTGAAGAGCTCGACTGGCTTGTAAGAAAGGGCCAAGAACGCATGGACCGCGTGCAAGTACTTATGGTGGCAGGGAAACGGCGTTGGGGCTCGCGCTGGGCGGCGGAACGCATGAGAGTCAACTGGCTTAGTAGGATGACGGGAGGACAGGGTTGCTGGACTGGGTCAGAAGAGGAAGAGGTAGATTTCGAGACCGCCTACGAAGACGACCCACACGAAGAGTATCCTTCAGACGTCGACGAGGACTTCCTGTAATTATTCTTTGGATACGTTTCGCTCAGCATATGGACTCATGAAGGATCTTACACCATCCCTAGCCCGGGCCCGGGGCCCAAATTTGCAACATGCGTACATGCACCCCTCGTCGTTACGACTAGCTAAAAATCAAAACAGACCAAGCACAAATCATCCATCTGAACTACCGAGCTCGCAGTCGAATGACCGGTCACAAGGCACAACAGAGAGAAGACCAGTGAGATCCCCCGACGACACAAGCCGGTACTGCAGTGGCAAGGTCATCGCGCCCCCGGGTTGCAAGCAGAGCCCAGGGGACAGGGGCGGCAAAAATTAGATAACCAAGAATGGGGCCGGTGGCCCCATAATAGTGGTTAAACTATTAAGAACAGATACTACACTTGATCTAAGCCAAAAGGCCAGAGTGGTAAGGATTCACAACGTCCGAGCGAGGCTTATATACTGGGGGAGATGCGCACGGACCATGCGCATTGCTTGCTGGACGCGTGCGCACAACAGATGATGGATTGATGGGATGAGCCCGGAGCGGAAGGCGGAGGCTTTGGATCCTAACAAGAGCAAACAGACTACACCATCCTTCGAGCGTCCATCGCGCAAGCCTGAGTTGCCAGGAGTTTTGATCTGCACCTTGGTGCCTCCAATATATGTGCTGGTGCTGGAATCGAAATGTAAGCTTAATCGTCTTAAAAACATCTACGTCTTCAACTTTTAGATCACTTACAGTATGTAGTCGGTAAGTTTCGACCCTGGCCTGAGGCTCTTGCGTCTGGTCCATCGACTTATTACTTGCACTCTATACTAATATCTTAGAAGAATTATACGGTAGGGACATGCTCGATTACGTTTTTGCATAGGTGCGCATGGACCCTACATACGTGTCGCCACCCTCGGCGTTGACAGGCTGACCTGAGGTCCAAGCACAAAGCCCCCCAATACTTCAAGCCACACATATGCTTGGTCGTCAAACCCGGCAACGCACAGCATGTCATTTACGTGCGACGATACGCTTTGTCCCAGTCAGTGGGCCACGCCATAACGTACCTGTCAATGCTTTGCCCGCGGGTTATATAAGTATGGCTGGACATGCGCCGTACTGTACCCCTTACAGGCGGCCACATTTCACAGAAGGTACGCGTTTTGCCTTTGCTGCAGTGGATAATCTTGACTTTCGCTTTAGTGCATAAACCATATCAACTTGGTCAACATAATGTCGACTGCACCTCGTTTCTACATCGCGCTGCTCAACGGAGAGGTTCTCAACAGTCAGCAAGTCGACTTCCCATACCGCTTCCAATGCATTCTGTCGCATCCATACCTGATAAGGGGGCTTGGATGCGTTGTAGCCACTGTCGACCAGCTCGAGTTTCTGCGCCCATTGCTCACCCAACAGATGCCTTGTTTAGAATTGCTGGACATCAGGGTGAAGCAATGTACGGGCCCAGAATCCGTATGTCTCGGTGGACCCATGCTGGACTTGTCTACGGCACGCTTAATGGCTGTCAAGAGGCTACGGTTGGACGGCATCGCTGTAGATATGGCGGCGCCTTTTCTATGCGGCCTGCGTCACCTCACCTTGAACCAGTTCCCTGGCATCGAACGGCGCTTGCCGCTATCGCAGTTCGTGGCCTCGATATCCAACTTCCGCCGCCTCGAGACGCTTGAACTTCGCAATTACAGTGGCTTTCTAGTGACCAAGACGACGCAACCCGTAGATCCGGTTCACCTACCGTCGCTGAAGAAGCTAGGCATCTGCGACACGCCCTCCGTCACGGCTTCACTCCTCCAAGCCCTGTACCTGCCCGCAGATGCGATCCTCCACGTAATTGTGGACATCAAAGGATTTTACCCGGACGACCTCGGTGACCTGTTCTCCTCAGCACTACCGGCGGACAAGAAAACCCTCCCTATCCTTAAGGATATCAGACGCGTCGACGTCAACCTCATTGGAAGCACTTTCAGCCTCATCGGTATGACTCTCGAGGGCGCCAAGATCACGCTCGAAATCGACCTAGACCTCGAGTTCACCCTCGGGCTCATCGCGCGCGATCACGTCTACGAAGCCACCGTGCGCAGCCTCGACCGCATCTTCGCCGACTCCCCGCTTTGTTATATCGGCCTCAGCGGCAACCTCGCCTGCCTCACGGCCCACTCGTGGCGCGCTGCCTTCGCCCCGTTCCCGGACCTAGAGAGGCTCAAGCTGGAGGACGTCGGGAAGCACAGCGCGGGCGCATTATCCCTCTTAGAGGTCCTCGGCAGTCCTGCTGGAACGCCGGCGCAGATGCCCTGTCCGAAGCTCGACACCCTGTGTATGCGTGGGAGTGCATACGGGTTTGAGCTGCTGGACGAGAGCGAGGCGTGTCTGACGCGCCGTCAAACAGCGACCGGCACGATGCTGAGGAGGTTGTGGCTTGGGCTGGGTCTGCATGTACAGGACGACAAGGCGCGGCTGCAGCTGTGCAGGAAGACCCTCGCACAGATGGTGGAAATTTTCACGATTCAGCCTGTGACTTGCTAGCCCATCTCGGTTTCGTGTTTCGACCTCGCACAGCCGGTTGTGTATTATATGTGTCAACATCTTCCGTGGACTGTATAGTAGAATATATTACCCGTACGATCCGATATACTACACCTATAATATTGCTCGATCCTTACGTATATAATATTGATGCTGCAGAAGAATACATCGACCGTGTACACAGACTTACAGAAACTAGGCCATGAACCGATAACCTGAGGTCTACGCGAGAGCAGATACGGCTGTCTAGGTGAGAATCGAACCTCAAGGATACCTCTGCAGTAAGTAATAGTACCAAGGGCGGCCCGGACGTTCTTGCGCGCGGAGGTAGTCGGGGCGAAGTAGAGACCCCATCTAGACGTGAAGCCTCCGTGTATGACCTGCGAAGCAGCCTTCATCGCCGATTATAGCCGGCAGGAATAGCATGCACAGGGTAAGAAGCTGGAGAAGCATGCGTTTGGGGGCGGCGTTGATTTCCTTCGACATTGCGAAGCCACTTTGTGCGTGGATGCTGATGAGTTGACAGCCCACAAGGCTACGCCTAGCAGATCTGTAACGTGCAGAGAAGAGCTATTGGCGTGGATTAATGCAGGTATTTGGAGTTTGAGTCTATTGCATGAGGGTTCATGTATAGCAATGCAGGTCCGACGAGTAACTGACTCCGACGAGGGAATTTGAGGCCTTCTTGCTCAGTACACTTGAAACGTATGATCCGCACCTGGAGGGACATGATAGCGGACAAAGGTCGGAAATGAGAGCAGCGTAGAAAACGCGAGGCGCTGACTATGGTGGGACGAGCAGAGATGACATGATGGTAGCTGCAGTCTGAGTTTGAGCGAGCTGCTGTGGCACACCCCGCGTCCCGCCGCTGTGCGCTTCAGCCACCCAGCTCTTTCCTCCACCCCCGCCACGCCCGCATCCAAAATGCCGCCAGGCAACACCGCGAGCCACGAAGAGGCCGAGCCGAAGGGTGAATCCTCCGGCCAGGCGTTTTCGCTCGAGAACATCCTCAGCGGAGACCACGAAAATATCGAGCACCCTACCGCACCCAAAGAGGCGCTGACGTCGGCCGGCGGATGGGACGAAGAGACCGCGGGGCAGGAGACCGTCGCGCATGGGTTCTGTGTAGAATGCGAAGGTGCGTAGCGTAGAGCAGCGGCATATATCTCGCACTTTTGAGTTTAATGCGGAGGCCATCAGATCAGCCTGCCCAGGTTTTCTGCGAGACGTGCTCGGATAACTTCTGTGAAGTCTGCTTCCACGCCCAGCACCGGAAGGGTACTCGGAAACGACATGCTACTCGTGCGCTCTCAGGACCTCAGGGGAAGAAGGCCAAGACGGAAGAGGCCAAGCCCACGAACGGAGAAGCCACGAATGGAGACGAGGTACGGCCTACTTCGCGGCATGCTGTGTGTGGCTCACCTTTGCTCCAGATGACTGTGGACGACGAAGAATCCGACGAGGAACTAGAACGCGCCGCAGATGAGGGTTCTTCCTCCGCCAAGATCGACATCGTCCTCTCTTCGCAGCCTACGCCCGGATCAGCCGTCGGCGAATGGTTCGTCGAGCGCTCGAAGTTCATTCCCGTACGCCTCACGCTCGAGGAGCGCAAGTTCCTCCGCCTGCTCGAGGCCGCGCTCAGCGTATCGGAGTATACGGACAAGATCGACACCATTGGCTTCGGCCTTTCCAAGGCGAAGCGGATCGTTCACCAGATCCGTGAGCTATGCGCGATCCTGTCCGGGCTCGTCCTTTCCGCAGACTACAAGCAGGGGCAGGAGCTCTTCCAAGACCGCGACTTCGCGTCGAACGACAATTTCTACCAGGGCATATTCGAGCTCGGCCGGCGGCATAAGATCATGAACCCTGACAAGATGCGCTCGACGTATGGCAAGCTCATCTACTTGTTGCAGGTCAGCATTTCCTTGCCCGGCTCGTCTTCCCTGCACTGACAGCCACCCTTCAGGACAGCCAAACACCTGAAGTCAAGGACCTGCTTAGCTTCACGTGCGTCAAGCCCATCAAGACGGTCTTCACCGTACTCGAGGAGCACGACGCGCTCGACCTGCTCCGGGACGACCTCGTCTCGATTGCGACAAAGGAAATTTACTCCGAGGGCCGCTCGCGGCGCGAGATCCAGAAGGACATCAAGAGCAAGGAGCGTGCGCTTGAGACGCTCGCGAGCAAGTACGCGCGCAAGGGCTTCAGCGAGGAGTCGGTGCGCCAGTGTCTGTACAGTATCGGCGACAACCATGCCTTCCTGCGCGCGAACCGTGATCCGTGCGAGCGCATGATCACGCACTTGAAGCAGCACTTCCACCCGACGCAAGCGCCAGACGGCAAACGCAGTCTCGCGATCAAGAGCGGGAAGGGTGGGGCGCGCCTCACGCACGACCACTCGAAGCAGTACGCATATGTGCTACAGAGCTTGACGCTATGGCGGGAGATTCTACATGGTCAGTCGCAGCAGATATTGTACGTGCGATCCTTCTGACGGTCAAACCCACAGATATGTTCCACTTGTGGACCCTCGCGGAAGGCGATCTACTCAACGAGAATGTCCCGTACCGCCTGCGCGATACCGGTCAGGGCCTGAACCGTGTCCAGGCTGCCCCCAAGACTTCGCGCATGATGCACGCTATCCTGAATCGTGCACAGCGTAGCATCGGCTCCTGGGTTGGCTCCTCCGTCATCCACATGGGCGACCACAACGTCCCGAATGCGCTCATGTTCATCGGTGTGTATCTGACGGCCTAGCTAACGCGCCCTAGGCTGACCACATACGCGTCGACAGACAAGTACTCGCAAGTGTACCGCATCCTCCTCCCCATCTGCAACACACTCGACCAGATCCCACGCATCATTGAGAACCCTGCGCTGCGTTCGTATATCGAAGATGAGTGGGGCTCGCCCGAGGGTCTCGCACGCGAGATCCTCGCCGACTTCTTCCGCCACGGTTTCGACGGCTCCGGCGCAGGCAACTACTTCGACGCAGGTTCGTGTATCGACGGTCGGCTTACCAGCGCGTGGAATTGGTGCTCCACGCTGGAGAAGAAGCGTTTCTTCCCAATTTTCCTACTGTCAGGTCAGTCTCACAGCTACCTCTGCGACCTCAATTACGCTGACTGTCGATGCGTTCAGGCTTTATCGGTTTCGACGGAGAATGGTAGAACGCCCCGGCTTCAACATCAATCGTACTGTTAGATCGCTTTCGCGCGCACTGCTTTGATACATCATCTGTGGATACAACACGTCTATTACAGCTCATAACACGTAGATGTTTTTGCACGCATCGGCGCGCCCCAAGCATACAGTCCCATGCGCCCAGTGCAGGAAACCGTGAAAAGCCGCCAGAGCAGCTCCGGTGATTTTGATAACGTCTCCGAAAAATGTAGCGGAAGCGCGCTCATGCGGCGACAGCCTGCGCGGCTGCCGGGGTCTCCGCGCCTGCTGGGGTAGGGACAGCGGGGGTGACGTTTGTGGGTGCGTCTCCGCCCGCCTTCTTGCGGCTCGCCGAGACAACCTCGAGGACGCTCGCGAGGCCGGCCTTCCACGCCTGCAGCCGCTTCTCGAGCACCTCCCACTGCTCCCGCTCGAATGCGCGCGCGGTCGCGCGGGTGACGTGCAGCGTTTGCGCCGTCTGCGAGAGCTTGCCAGAAAGGAGACCAGCGCGAATGACTGGGATCGCGGTGAGCAACCACCCAAGGACAGTAAGTTGAAGGGGAGGGCACATACCATCGATGACCCATGACTCAACCTGCGAAGGCTCAACCTGCAGCACGGAGGCGATCACGGAGTACGGAACGTCGCGGCCCATATTCTGGAAGCCGAGGGTCGCGAGAGTGAGTAGGCGGATCTTGCGCTCCAATTGTGCACTGTCGAGTTCTGAGGGGAGAACGATCAGAACTGACATACATGGACGGTATGCGATGAGGTCATACCGTATTTCGCAATAGCGTCGGCGTGACTGTCGGCCCACGCCTTGTATTGCGGGAGACCCTCGTTGAGGAAGATCTGCAGCAGCGCGAAGAGCTCGTGCCCTTTTGCGGCGACTACAGCATCGAGACGGAAGAGGGTATCGAAGTCGAAGTATGAAGGAAGGCGGAGCGCGGCGGCCACAGCATCGATTGCTGCTGCCTGGGCGACAGGGGAGGAAGGGGGAAGGGAGCGGACGTAGGAAAGTTGGTACTGGTACGATGATGTACTAGAGACGAAGGGGTGTCAGGTATTGAAGACGGAGGTAGGCGACTGGACTCACGGGTTGCCGGCCTTCGTGAATGCGTGTACGATCAGCTTGAGGAACCCGCTCTTCTCCTCGGAGGAGATCTCCCATTCCGACAGCCACTTGTCGACCTCAATTTGGGAGATGCCGAGGAGCTCGAGCTCGTCGTTGGCGCTCGCATAATCGAGGAGAGTTTGGTAGACGGTCAGACGCAGGGGGGAGCGTCGGGAGATGGAGTTGAAGAGGTTGGAAAGTCTGTAACATACATCATGTGAGGGGGAGGGTATTGATGAGCATGAGAGCGACATACATCCGGAACTTTGTGGAGGTGTGATCGGGGGCCGAGACGATGGCCTTGAGCAGAGTATCGAGGCGCGCACGGGTTTCGGGTGCGTCGAGAGCGTAAAGGGTGAGGAAATGGGAGAAGAGGAGGTTGAAAAAGCCCTCGATCTCTGCAAAGCGAGAAGTAAGGAGGAGCTACATAAGATGGAGGAGCCGGACGTACCCTTCTCCGTGCCCTCACCCAGTCCCTTCACCTGCTCAATAACCGAGCCAAGCACACTCCGTCTCCTCTCCTCATCCTCGTCAATGGGCTTCTGACCCTCCGGGGTCGTCACGGCATCCTTGAAAGGTTGCAAGAAGGCTTCCCGGGCATCTTCAGAAATAGAGCGGGCCAAGTAGTTTACGAGCTCGAGGATCTGGACGCGACACTGTCAGCTATTCGCTCATTTTCTATGGCGGTGTATGCACGTACCTGCTCCTCGAACGTGCCCTCAGCGAAGATGGATATTGAGTCTGTTGCAGCCATGTTTACTGATCGTTTTCGCCAAAGGTCAGGATGCTCGAAATTCAAGAGCAAGCCGCGCCACAACACGACCAAACACCCTTCGTTTGCGATCGAGCGCCCGTTCTGTGCCATTTGCTGTTTCCCGCGAGCACTATATGCCAAGTACTGTCTGCTGTCCTCTCAACCGCACTTCCAGCTCTTTCTGCAGCGTGTGGTCTATGCAATGGGCCTGTTCGCTCTGTGTGTCTTCATCGGCCTCACACAACTGCCAGTCTGCGGCCCGGGCGGGAAGAGTGTGCGGCCCAAGCTTCTTCTGCCAAACCTTGAGCTTCCTGGTGCTGCGGTAGCTTGAACGTGCCAGACTCTTCTGGTCCTCTCATCATACCGTGTACAAGCCTGCATCGGCCAGTATTCCTGAGATACTTACGGACTGTTCCGGCGCTCCCGGTCAAAAAAGCAGTCTCCGACTTGTGTTCCTAGACACCGTCGTATATCTTGCTCTCAAGCCGCGATGCCACTCGCCCCGTATATTGCACCACCCTCGTATGACAGCGTCATTCAATCGTGAGTAATGCTACTTTCAAACCTTTGGTCTAAATTCAAGTCACTGAACAAGACACAGCAACGAACGGACTCACCTCACCACGGGGGTAGACAGACCGCGGAAGATCAACGTGTACGGGGTATATGGCGTGCTCATAATCCTCTTCGCCCTTTTCATCGCGCAGAACGCTGGTCTCGTGCGTTGTCCGCTCAACGACGCCCCTGCCGCGGAGAAGGAAGTGATTCGTCGGCAATGGGGTCATGAACGCAACGCGCACCAGGCCGAGCTCGCCCAGTGGGGCCGGGAACGCGAGGAACACACTGGCGAACTGCGCGCCTGGGAAGACGAACGGGCTGCACATCGTGCGGAGCACAAGCACTGGCTCAGCGAGCGCGCAGAGGAGGAGGAGGCCTGGCGCAGGAAGCGGGACGCCTGGCGCAAGCAGCAGGAGCAGGAGCGTTGGGAGGAAGAGACGCGGCGGCAAGCGATTCGCGAGGCTTTCAGGTTGGAGCGCGAGGAGGAGGAGCGCCAGCGGCAGACGGCCCGTGACGAGTTCCAGGCCGAGAGAGAGAGCTGGCGCAGGGAGCGAGAAGCGGAGGAGCACAAGCGTCAGGCAGCGCGTGACGAATTCCAGGCCGAGAGAGACGGCTGGCGCAGGCAGCGAGAGGCGGAGGAGCACCAGCGTCAGACAGCTCGTGATGAATTTCAGGCCGAGAGGGAAGGTTGGCGCAGGCAACGCGAGGAGGAGGAGCGCCATAGGTTAGAGGTCGTGCGCCGGAGCCAGGGTGTGTACTGGACGGAGCCGCGCGGCGATGAGCATTGCCATTCATTTGGGACCCGCGCGTACTCCTCGTACCTCAAGGACATCCCTGGCGACCTCAACTGGCTGGAGGTATGCAATAACATGCCGCCTGTCGTAATACACGGCCGAGAAATGGGCAGCTCCCCGCACAAGTGCGAACGCGATGTAAGTTCCAACTGCGATACGCTTCTGTTGGAATGTGCTCACGCTTTGTGTAGAAAAACGGTGAGGTAGTCGGTGTCTGGCTTGTCGACTTCGATGAGCCCGCCTGCAAGCCTTACTGGAATGAAATCGTCGACAAGGTACGGACACGGCCCCAAAGGGAACACGAACGTCTGATTGACTTGATTATAACTCTCTTGTAATGTGAAGGGGTGTGCCCCAGGGCGCACCGGCATCCAGGTAAGTACGAGCAACAACGACTGTATCCTCTTCCAATTGAGTCAACCCCCACAGCGGCTTGAGGCTCGTCTCGATGGGATCGAATATCGCGACGATTGGTACAGGATGTGCGCCACGACGCCTGCCGTGATCCACTTCACACCATTTGAGAGCCCTACAAGTTGCGAGGACAGGGTACGTGTCTTGTCTTAACCCTCGGCGTTGTTCGGTTTTTGAGGCGGGTCTTTCTCTTAGGGCCGCTGGTATGGTATGGTGGGTATGTGGGACTATCCCAACCCCAGCTGCCGCTAGGAAGAAAGCGTACAGAACGTCGGCCGACGCAGTTCTCGTGTGCCTTGCTTGCTGTAACCGAGAGCCTCGGAGTAGCACACTAAGCATTCGGACCAAGACGTGTTTACGTAGTCATCTTCGGGCGTTCTATGTTAGTGAACACTCTCATCATCTGTGGTGCATATTGACGTTAAGCGTGTTCCCCCACGGTTAGGACTCTACATTGAGTGCTGCGCTTCTACTGGGGTCCTCAGCTCTCTTCGACTGGCCGCTTTGCTTGGAAAGACCTATGCCGTTTCAGAACGGACACCCGTGCTTGAAATTTTGAAATGGGAGCCTATCAGACACGAGGCGGGCTTCTTCGCCAAACCTCGAGTCTCCTGCGGCACTGCGGTAGCTCATTAAAGTGCGCCAGGCTCTCCTTGTCCTCTCCCCCATCCTTTACGATGTCGTTCGACCAATATGTTTCTCCACCCCCGTACGACAGCATCAACAGATCGTGAGCGGTGCCACTTTCCTCATAACCCGAAGTCGCTGAACGAAGACTACAGAAATGAGCGGACCTCCCTCACCAAGGGAGTAGAAAAACCACGCAAGGCCGGCGTATACAGCGTGTACGGCCTGCTCGCCATCTTCGTCGTCCTCTTCCTCGCGCAGAACGCCGGCCTCGTGCGCTGCCCGCTGGACGACGTTCCTGCCGCGGAGAAAGCGGCGCTCCGACGCCAATGGGGTACTGAACGGGAGGCGCACCAGACGGAGAGCGCCCGGTGGACACGGGAACGCAGGGAGCACACTGCCGAGCTGCGTGTCTGGGAGCACGAGCGGGTCGTGCACCGTGAGGAGCGCGAGGACTGGCTGGCGCAGCGCAAGAAGGACGAGGAGACTTGGCGGCAACAGCAGGAGGCGGCGCGCGACGCGTTCGAGCGGGAGCGCCGGGAGGAGGAGGCCGAGAGACAGGCTGCGCGTGATGCGTGGAAGGAGGAGGGTGAGGCGGAGGAGCGCAAGAGGCAAGAGGTGCGCGATGCGTTCGAGCGGGAACGCGCGGACGAAGAACGCCACCGGCTGGAGGTCGTGCGCAGGAGCCAGGGCGTGTACTGGACGGAGCCGCACGGGGACTGGCGCTGCCATGCGTACGGGACCCGGATCTACACTTCGTACCTCCGCGACATCCCGGACGGCATGAACTGGCTCGAGGTGTGCGACAACATGCCGCCGGTCGTCATCCATGGCCGGGAAGTGAACAAGCCGTCGAAGTGCGAGCGCAACGTGAGTCGTCCACATCGGCGCATGTACGGAGTGACCGCGAGGGATTTGCTGATTTCGTGGTTCCAGAACAAGGGGGAGGTGACCGGTGTCTGGTACATCGATTTCGACGAACCTAGCTGCCAGCCCTACTGGGGTAACATCGCTGACAAGGTACGAGCAACATCCCGAACATTGCAGAGGGCCTTCGCTGACCTGTTTGTGGTATGACAGGGCTGCATCTCGGGGCAGACAGGATACCAGGTGAGCGCTGATATCGAATGCACATCCCACTCCCGCTGAGCTATCTGAAACCATAGCGTCTCGAAGCTCGCCTCGATGGCATGAGTAAAGGTGCAGACTGGAACATGATGTGCACGACGACGGCGGCCACGATCCACGGCGTGCACTTCAATCACCCTACCACTTGCGAGGACAGGGTACGTCTCTTTGCTCGATGTCTGCGAGGGATCGGATACCATGCTGACAGGGCTGCTTACCAGGGCAAGTGGGGCATGGTGGGTATCTGGCACTACACCAACGTCAACTGCCTTTAGGGGCCTTGCAGAACGTTCGTTGTAGCAATTTTCGGCGTCAAAATTTCTTCTCCCCTGTCAGTCGTTTGTTGAATAGCGCATCCATGGGTGTACGAATAGCCGAACGAGAGGCTGGGGCCACTGGGACGAACGAGACCGCGGCTCCGTTTACCATTCGTTCGCGGGTTTCGCTGTGTTCCTGATGAGATTCGGAAAAAAAAACAAGGCGCTGTGAGCAAGTGCGAGAAGAGTCATCAGAGCCCCAGTGCACGGGCAAGTATCTGCGTGGAGGTCCCGGAGGAGAGTGGATGCAAACGCCGGACGAAAGCGCGGTCAGATATGTTGTGACGTAGGTACGTCACACGGCATCCAGGGGATTCCAGGGCGGAGCGAAAACCTGGCGACGGTAACCTCCGCATCCTTGCCTCCGTACCTGCACTGCGTGCACCCATCAGCGTTGCGCTCACCTCACCGTTCTTCTGAATATCTTCTACCACAGCCTCCTCTTCTACCTTCTCAGTCCCCACGCCATCAGAAGACGTCTCTGGGGTCGGGACACTGGCAGCGTCATGTCTTGCCGACGGTGCGACGTGGCGTTGAAACGAAAACACAACCCTTCGTGTCGGCTTACCCAGTATGGTGATTCATGTGGATGCAGGTCTACTGCGCTTTGAATATCGCCACTGGATGGGAGTCGCATCGATTTGCCCGAGATGTCGGGGTTGTGCTTGGCTTCGCGAGTCGTCGTCGAAAGGGCGGCCAATCAAGAATCTGGACGGCACTCCTCGAAGGTCTTGGCACGCGCATCATGTGGGTCCAGGGAGGTGGATGAGAATGTAGCCGGCCGACAGCACGATGTCCCGCGTCGTCGACGACCGTTGCAGTCGCCGACGCGTCGGACGCGTTCATCACGTGGGTCGTATATAACGCGGTATCGTCGGGCTCGACGAACGTGCATCCATCTTCCCCGGCGCCACGCCCCCACATTCGTTCAATCTTAGCAGCCGTCCGTGGTACGTGCTCTCCTCTACTTAACGTCCATGTGCTCCCCCCATGCCCTCGCGTCCCCGACGTCTGGACACCACCCCCCTCCTCCCTCGCGACGACGGTGCTGACCTTTTCCAAAAGCCCAGGTCTTCGATAGCCCCCCGCGTGACCATGGCGTTCTCCATCTTGGCCTCGCTGCTCTTCGTGTGTTACGCATACGCCAGGGCTGTGCCCCGCGCATATATTCAGTTCCGCGACACCTCCGCGTGTCTAAACGTAACACGCGATGTTCAGCAGAGCTGGTCCATGTACTCTCCCTATTTCCCAGCAGCGGATTATGTGGCTCCGCCCGCGAGCTGCCAGATTAATCAGGTATGTACAACTCATTCACGATTGGCGTGCGAGCGAGGTAGTCTGCAGCGAGGCATCCTCGCGCAGACCGTCTTATTCTTTTTCGTCGTGCCATTTGGTGATATACGCTCGCGCGACACTTCACTCACTCTTATTTCATACAGGTCCACATCGTACGTGAAGAAAGCTATCCATCTGCGAATCTCGCGCTGAGCGCCCGCTGCAGATCCAACGTCATGGTGCACGCTTTCCCACGTCCGGCGCAGCCAAGCGCATCCAGGCGGCAGTAGCGAAGCTGAAGGCCGCGTCCAACTACACCGATCCCCTGCTCGCGTTCGTCACGAACTATACCTACAGCTTAGGTCAAGACAGCCTCGTCGAACTCGGTGCGACTCAGTAGGTTTCCAACATGTCGCTCTTCCTTGCTCGTTTATTGATTATGCGCCTCATTAGGTCCTCTGAAGCGGGCCAGGAGGCGTTCGCGCGGTACTCGTCTCTCGTGAGCGCGGACGAGCTTCCCTTCGTTCGGGCGTCAGGCTCAGATCGCGTCGTGGCGACTGCCAACAACTGGACTGCAGGCGAGTTCATTAAGTACTCTGCAAGAATATACAACTAACCCACTGCTATGCTTAGGCTTCGCGCTCGCGAGCTCGGATAGCATCAAGCCCGTGCTCTCAGTTATCATCTCCGAGGCGGTGCGTCCCGCTAAATAGACACACGTCTCCCGCACGCGCTGATGCACTTGTAGGGCAATGATACCCTCGACGACAACATGTGCCCTGCTGCAGGCGATTCGGATACCCAGGTCAACGAATGGCTCGCGCAGTTCGCACCGCCGATGACCGCTCGTCTCAACGCAGGCGCACCCGGCGCGAACCTCACGGACACGGACACCTACAACCTGCTCACGCTATGCCCGTTCGAGACTGTAGCCACCGAGCAGCGTAGCGAATTCTGCGACATTTACGAGGAGCTGCAGGCGGAAGCCGCCTTCGCATACAACGCCGATCTCGACAAGTTCTACGGCACTGGGTGCGTTGTCTGGAAAACCCCGCACGTGGAACCATCTTCCTGACACATCCATTCGCTTGCAGATACGGCCAGCCCCTCGGCCCCGTGCAAGGTGTCGGGTACATCAACGAGCTCATCGCGCGCCTCACCGCGCAGAACGTGTCCGACCACACGCAGACGAACAGCACGCTCGACTCCTCCCCGGACACGTTCCCGCTCAACCGCACGCTCTACGCGGACTTCTCGCACGACAACCAGATGGTCGCCATCTTCTCGGCCATGGGCCTCTTCAACCAGTCCGCGCCGCTCGACCCGACGAGCCCGGACCCCGCGCGCACGTTCCTCGTGAACAAGATCGTGCCGTTCTCCGCGCGCATGGTCGTCGAGCGCCTCGACTGCGGCGGCGCGCAGAGCGTGCGGTTGCTGGTGAACGACGCGGTGCAGCCGCTCGAATTCTGCGGGGCGGACGCGAGCGGGGTGTGCACGCTGGACGCGTTCGTGGAGAGCCAGGCGTACGCGCGCAACGACGGCGAGGGCGACTTCGAGAAGTGCTTCGCGACATAGGTCCAAGTGTAGACACCCGGGGCAAGTGTACGCGCTCCGTAGACCCTTCGCGGGGAGTAGAGATGTACTTATCGATCAAAAAGAGACCCTGGCTGCTCTGCTCTCGCGCCGTGCGTCCCTCTCTTCCTTCAGCGTCTTGATCTCCGCCGAGTCGACGGGCTTGAACGCCCACGTGAGCGCGTTTCCGCCACTCCGTAGAACTCGGAGACCCATGTCCTCCAGCATGTCGTCGGCGTACTGCGGCCACCTACCACGGATGGGCAGAGCATCATTAGCATGGCTCTCGTCGATGTCGGATGGACGTACGTGAGGAATGTGAGGAATCCAGCGTAGCTGGGGTTGAGTGCGGTCGGAACCTGGGGGTAGCGCTGCTTGAGCCACGCAGCCTCACGCTCGCTCGCGGCCAATGCCGCTTCCACGCTTCCTGGGAGGCGCATCTCGTCTTCGAGGAAGTAGGACGAGATCCAGTGGGCGGCGATTTCGGATGTGTAGCCGTTGTTCGTGGACAGCTACGAGGGCGGGATCAGTTTAGGCCTCCTTGGGCTGTACGGAGGACGGCGGCAGACGCACACAGGTACCATTTACAGCGAGATCACGACGCAAGATGTTCTTCGCTGGGACGAGGCCGCGGTATACTTGCGAGGACCAGCGTCGCGTATCCGGGTGAGTAGGTGGTGGGTCCGACAGCGTCGTGTAATCCCAGCGGTTGATCTCGGAAGCCTGTGGATCGGCTGGCTGCGCATTCAGCCCCAGTTCTTCTATGGTCTCTTCTGCAAAACGCGTCGTCAGCAGGACCGGTCTGTATATAGAGCCGCTGGTCTTCGCTTACTCTCGAATAGACTCTCCCAAGACGACTTGTAGCCAGTTCCAAGGACCACGGCGTTAGCACGCAGCGTCCGGCCGTCCTCGAGCATGACCGTTTCTCCATCCGCCCCATACCCCGAGACGTGGGCAGGACTGAGAACTTCGATCTTGCCTGCGACAGCAAGCCCGTAGAAGGAGTTCTCGCGCGGGACACCTTCGTCGTTTATCCGGACGTGCCAGAACGGCGAGACGCTGTTGCGGAGGGGCGAGCCTGCGGGGACCTTTTCTGCGAGATACTGTAAGATAGCTCAATGAGAATATATCACAAGTTCTAGAAGAGTAGAAAGCTCACGGCGCTTTGAAAGAGAGCATACCATAAGAACCGGATGATGTGTTTGCCGAGCCAGGTCGTGTGCAGGAAGCGTCTGACAGGTGCATGTCTGGTTCAACAAATACCAGCCACGAAATTCGTTAAGAGATGCTCACTCAAGTTTTGTACGCAAGTTGATGTAGGGTGATATCACCGCAAGGAACCTATGTAAAACGTTCGCGTTACCTCATGTCCACTTGGGTGGGAGGGAAGCTAATCTTACCTGCTGTTCCTCAAGGCGGCCGGCAGCGGGACAGGATACGCCAGAATTGCATCTAGGTTATGGCAGACAAGGGTGACCTTGCGGCCTTCGTTGGCCAGGAATGCGCACACGCTATGATGAGTGATAAAAGGTGAGCCACAGCGGTGTGGCGAAGCGTTTGAGCCACTAACTCCTGTGCAGACTTGCCTCCTCCGACCGCTACCACCGAAGGCGCATCAGGTGCAGGGTCTTGCTGTGCCGCAGGAGCGCTGGATAGAAGCGCGTCTACTTGCGCTGCGAAATCCGCGGTGTGGATCACCGGCCCTGTGAATTGGGCGGCGAGCGCAGCCTCCGGTCCCAGTATGTCGGGCACTTTCGGGACGCTGCAGCCCTAAACACAAAGTCAGCTCATTCGCAATGGCCGCGCAGGAACGCATGCGCACCCCGGTACAGAGGACGATGCGAGCGCATTCCCTCGTATCTACACGGCCGCTCTGTAGGTCATGCACGTCGAACTGCCAGCCCTCTCCAGAGGGATGCCGCCGAACCCGTCGGACCTCCTTGCCGAACTGGATCTTGTCCTTGAGGAACGTCTCCGCGAAGGTCTCAAAGTACTTGGAGACCTCCGGGCCTGATAGGCGACCTCGGAGCGCACCTCCAGCGGCCGGTGGAGGCATATTTAGTGCCGAGAAACAATATTGCCCGTGTACGCTAGTGAGAACCGCTGTTTAGCGTCAGACCACACATTCTAGGAGCGAACTCACTTGTTGAGGTATAATCCTGGGTAGATGCGCGTCGCCGCCCATACGCCGCCGACCGAGGCATCCCGTGTAAGCACCTGCACGTCAGTGAAGCCATCTCGTATGAGCGTGTGAGCAGTGATCAATCCAGCGACGCCGGCGCCGATAACTACCACAGGACCCTTGCGGGGGTCGTGGTTTGGACTCGGATGGGAGGAAGACATGGTACGGTCTCGACGGAAGATCAGTTGCGGCCTCAATAAAAGACTCCGAGAGCGGGGACCACCTGTATCAAACACGTGGCGTGCCTGTGGTCAACGTTCGGCACTCGGCCAGAATCCGGAGGCGAGACTTCAAACACAGCGCACAAACTCCATGGCGTGTGACCTATACATACAACCCAAATGACATCCAATCGACGTGCATAGCAAGAGCACGTCCGCAACGCTCGTCAGGCCACGGTTATCCCATCAAGCCTGTTGCTGCTGGGCGTCCCTAGTGGAGCGCTTGGCGTCGCGCTCCTCCTTGAGGTGTGCAATCTCCTTGAGATCGATGACCTTGAAAGGCCACGTGAGTCCGTTTCCTCCACTACGCATCACCGCCAAACCCATGTCCTCGAGAAGGTCATCGACGTGCTGGGGCCACCTGTGCGAGTGGTTTCGGTTGGGCAGCTGTTAGAAGACCTCAATGGCGGGGGAACACGCACGTCCAGAATGCAAGATATCCCGTATGGCTCGAGTTGAGGGCGGTCGGCACTTCGGGGTACCGCGTCCGAAGCCACGCTGCAGCGCGGTCGGTTTCTGCGAGGGCGGCCTCGGGCGTCTCAGGAAGACGCATCTCGTCTCCGAGGAAGTACGACGAGATCCAGTGGGAGGCGACCTCCAGCGTGTACCCGTTGTTTGGGGAGACCTACGACACACTGATGAGCCACACCCCATATTGAAAGAAATGAAGACTGACGCAAGCACCGTTCACTGCGAAGTCTCGGCGAGCGATGTTCCTCGACGGCACGATGCCTCGGTATATCGACGACGACCACTTCTTGGCGTCGGGATGGAGGGGAGGGGGGTTGTACAAAGACGTGTAATCCCAGTGGTGGTCAGAGCTCGTCTCTGCTGCTGGATGTGGATTCAGGCCTAGCTCCTCGGCAGCGTTCGCTATGGTTTCATCAGGTGAGCTTGTCTATAACCCCAATCAAATGCACTGACCTTCGAAGAGCGAGGACCAGGATGATTGATATCCGGTGGCAAGAACGACCGCACTGGCACGAATCGACCTCCCGCTGTCGAGAGTGACCGACTGCCCGTCTTCGCTGAAGCCGACCGCATGCGCGGGGGTTATGACGTCGATCTTGCCAGCGACCGCAAGGCCATGGAATCCATTTTCGCGAGGGATGCCTTCATCGTTGATGCGAACATGCCAGAACGGGCTTACGGTGTTACGCAGAGGGGAGTCGGTGGGTATGTTCGCGGCTTTAAACTTAAACCTCGGGTGAGCTGCTTTGCGCCGTCGACAATTTAAGAGATCCGACACTTACGGAGCTGTCCACTAAACCATTCCACATGAAGTCCACCGTCTTCTGCCCCACCCGCGTCGTATGAAGGAACCGCCTGCTTATTCCATGAATCACCTCCGACTTCATTCTCGTGTTCATGAACGTACTCGAGGCTGGTGCGTAGATGTATATGAGGCGAAAACAAAGATAGTAGCCTGAAATTCGACGCCATTCAGATGCTAAACGGTTCAGCAGTTGCAAATTAAGAATCTTACCGGCTCTTCCGGATGAAGTCGGGCAGAGGTTTAGGGCCTGCGGTGAAGGCATCGAGATCAGGGCATATCATAGTCACTGCCCGACCCTCATTGGCCAGATACGCAGCTATGCTGGTGAGGCTTTAGTGAGGTAGGTTTCGCGGGCCGAACAATATAAACATACTCTTGCGCGGACTTTCCGCCTCCTATGACCACGACAGAGGAGCCCAAAGACTTGGAAGTCTCGCTTGGGTCACAAGGAGGCACGCTTGCGATTAGATCCTGTAGCTTTGGCCCGAAGTCCACGCTGTGGAAAACGAGACCCTTGAATCCTGCCGCTCGCGCCGCATCGGGGCTCAACTTCATCGGGAGCTTGGGAGAATCGCATCCCTGTAGATGTTGAGTAGATAGTATTTGGCAAGAGATAATCATCCTCCTACCCCTGTGCAGACTACTAGGCGACTGAAGGGCCTGGTCTCCTGCTTTCCAGTCTGTACGTCGCGTACGTCTAGAAGCCAACCTTCTCCGTTCGAGCCGCGGCGTATGTTGCTGATATCGAGCCCAAACTCTACGCGATCCGAAAGGTACTTGTCGGTGAATCGCACCATGTACTGAGCCATATCATCGCCCGACAAGCGACCGTCGGCAGAAGATGGTGGGGGCATCTCCAGGGGAGACAGGCGATACTCTCCATGGACGCTATGGGACAATCGTAAGAAGAAGAAGCGATATAGACCTAAAGTCTCGTACTTGTTCAGGTGAAGTCCAGGATAGACGCGGTTCGTTGCCCAGATGCCGCCAACACGAAGGTCTCGCGTCAGGATCTTGACGTTCGTGTAGCCATCGTGGATGAGTGTATAGGCCGTGATCAGGCCTGCAACACCAGAGCCAAGGATCGCGACGGAGTCTGAGCGGGGGGCATTGGTACCCTGTGAGGCTGACATCGTGCAACTAGTAGCGGCGGCGGGGTCGGGTCGAACGACAGCACTGGCACTGGTGGCTCAGAGACGTTTAACGGGGGTTGGTGGATGAGGGGCGAGCATAAGGGCCGTACTATTCGAACGCAACTGTACGCACTCGCAGCTTCCTTGATGGACGTGCACGCCGGCCGGTGGGCGCATCGAAATGTCACTTCAAGAAGAGAAGCTACTATCCCCGCGCTCACTCGGAACTACGGTCACTTCGGCGCTTATTACCTGGGAACTGTTTTCAGGTACCGCCGTGTTCGACCGGTGCCTTTCTGGGAGGGTCAGAGCATGCTATGGGGATATCATTAGATGCCGCGACTATCGAGTACCATGCGGCCCTCTTCGGTACCTTGCAAACCTCGATCGAAGAAGATGGTAGAGCCTGCGGAATCTTATGGGCAGTACTTACCCGGCGTCCGAGTCAAACTCTAACTTTGCGGGCAAACTCCGCCAGAAGCTGCGGCACCGACATGCCAGAACTAGGTTCGCTCACTTGGGCGTGCCACCCATGAGGGAGGCCCGAGTTGTATGTCATCGTTCTGTGGTCCGGACCTGATTTCTCCTTATCATTTGGCCCAGCTCATGTGGTGCTGCGTTAAAATACTATTTTTAGTGTGTACTCGACAGCGTGGAAGGGGGCACATAAGAGATACGGCTGTCCGACATCGCCGAGGAGCGTGTTCACGATGGTCTTGCAAAGTTTGAGTAATTATCTGTAAGCTAGCATAGATGGATTTTTAACTTGAATGGAAACACGCAGCATTTCTCGACTCCTCTACGCCGCATATCTGTTGCAGGGATGACACCGTCAAAGTAAATAACGTATCACACAGTACATGCATCCACGTCTAAGCTGCCAGCATACATCGGAAATCCGGGTCAGTGACCGGCACTTCCATCTTGCACGCCGTCGAAAGGCTCTACTTCTAAAGGCTGAGCTTAGTCCATAGCGTGCAGTAACAAGCGTCAAAGGAAAGCCAGCTCAACGGCGGCATACACACCTGTTGTTCACCGTACGCCTCATACACCTTCCTCCAATCCTTGCATGTCAGAGTTCGCCAGGCCTGGACAGCATGTGCGCCTCCTATATCGACGACTGGTTCCAGCACCGTGTCCCGTCGACACAGCACCATTTGCCGAATATAGTTCAGGCAATGCAGAGCGACCGTGGAAGGCGGGTCAAGTTCCGCTGCAGGCGGTTGTCGCGAGACGTATTCACGGCGCATGATGTCGAGACAGCGAAGTTGGTGGAAAACAGAGAGCATGAATGGCTGGCGGTCCGGGCCGACGTGGACGATCCCGTCGTCGAAGGGTGTGAGCGCGGCCCATTCTGCGTCGGTTTCGGTGGTGTTAATTTGGTAGTGAACGGTCGGCTCGAAGTACATGGACACATCCGGGAGCGTTCCGACATCCCAGACAGGGGAAGCACCCGGATACGTAGTCACTACATATCTGGTAAGTTATGCCATGGGGATGGAGTAGACGACCACTCACCGATTTCTGGTCGACTTAAGTCATACTTGGAACGTTTCCAGAGCCCAGGGAAGGAGAAGATATACGAGAACAGGATGAAGGCGCATAGAGCCGTAGCTGTTACAGCGACGGAGGGCATTCTGCGTGAGGGCTCAGGCTTCATGACGGACGGCGAAGAAGCGTGAGGTGGCGTAGTAGAGGCACTGGACGTAGAAAGCCCCAGCAGTTAGCAGAGGCAAGTCTAAATCATCTCTCAGCGCTCACCTGCAGTGCTCGGACTAGAAATCCATAAATAAGGGGAAGCGAAACCGAAAACTCATCTGCGGGTACCGGGCCATTCAGGCATGTTTGAGTTAAGGTTGACCGCGGTCCAATCTGAGAGAGAGCCAGAAGCAGCGGACGGAGAAGGATTCGTCAAATCTTCTCCAAGCGAGATACTGCGCTCTTCCAACAGATCTTCCGACAGATATCCGCACGTCTGGCAATCGTCCGAGTGAGTCGTCCCGAGTCAACCGTGGCGCGGGCAGTGCGCTGGTAGTAGCTCTCTCCACTTCTTGGGACCCCTGACACTACCGCAGTTAGTTGGGTGGCGTATCGCCGTATAGGAACCGAAATGTTTGACCTGCTGCGGCTGTCCACCGATGGGTTCGCACCCCAGTATTTGCAACAGAAGCGCGCCGTGGATGATACAGGCCGCCGCATTCGCACTCACGCGGCGTCGAAGTAACCCATGCTAGCCGGGTTCTGCCCGAATTCTGGCTTGTGACGAGAAGCCGGTATCAAGCTCAAGGACGGCCTGACGCTACGTTCATAGCTTTGAGTTCCGCCGCGGATAGATGAAGGCGCCTTCAGATTTCAAAATCTGTTGGAAGCAGTAAATGTAGTTGCCCATCTGAATTTGCGTACGAGCCGTTATCTCAGCTGGCAAACTGAAGATCCACCTTCTTGTCCTGCATGTGACCGTGATTGAAGTCAGTAAGAGGTCAACATCTGATAGAACTTCCGCACCAGGTCACGCTGTCCGACTCCAGGCGAAGGTGTACGGTGGTCCGGGCAAGGAGTCTTGCAAGCAGCGGGTCGGACGGCTCGAATTTGCCACGCATGGTGCGAGATTTCGAATCGGGAGAGACAGAGAGAGATAACGATTTCGGCAGTCGAGGTCACGTTATTGTAGTAGCCGTTACGACTCCGAGACAGCGAAGAAGGCACGTACTTATCACCATGTGCGGTGAACGCAATCTGCAACGCTACTTACTGACTGGCTATAGAGAGAGGTACCGGAGAGGCACGACGCACAAACTTCCGTCAAACTCCGACCAAAACTGCGCCAGAAATGCGCTGGGTCCACGCAGTACTGGCATGCTTCAACTTGAAGCGAGTTCAAGTTCATTAGCATCTCTTAAACAACTTGCTCTAGTATGCGCATCTAGGCGAAGTATGGCTTTGTCACTAAACTTGGTCCGATCTGCAGCCTTCCGGTTATAGATTCAGCTAGGCCCCGCTCCGTGCCACTCGCTACAGGACGCCCTACTAGTACTAGTATCTGTATCACAAAACTATCTTCGCTTGAAGTGCGGGTCGTCAGAGGCAGCGATACTATAGCGGCATTCAGGACCTCTCGCAAAGTACTTTGTAGGCAAACTTGAATAACGCACCGCTTAAAAGTTAGCTCCTGTGCAACGCCTCATGGGCACACCAGCGCCAGGAACGGCGCCGTCCACGCCCTCCTCCGCATTGACAGGTATGTCCAATTCAACGTCGCTGCACTGCCTGGGGGTCACAATTCCTGAGGGGTATTTCTGTCAGTATCGTGGAGAGCCTCTACTATTCTGGCCGCGGAAGTGACGTACGGTTGGAGTTGACCGGGATGGCGGTCGCGGACCAAGCGAGGAGCACCGAGAAGAGCAGAGCGAGTTCAAATTTCATGTTGTAGTGGTGTGCTGTTCTTGAAGATGCGGGGGAGAGAATTTCACCGCGGGGAGCAGTGTCCTCGAGTCGCAAAAAATGCAGCTCTTATGCCAGTCGCTCAGACAAGCATGCGCATCTGCCGGGAACATTGGGCGAAGTGAACCTCCCGACACGGCCAGAATTCCCCATGACATCTGCTCAAGCAGGGCCATAGAAGATGCGATCATGGAGCCCATGACTTGAGGTTCCGAGTCAGAATTCGGGTCGTGCTATAGAAGCTGATGTCATGTTGTCCATATTATCTTCTATCCTTCCGGGGCTGGCACCGCCGCGCATGATGCATGATGCCCGCGCCGCAGAGTCACGAATTCACAATCCGCCCGGGGTATACTAGTACTTATGAGGGCCCTTGATACACGCGGCCTCGGCGGACTGGAACGCAATGTCCATGTTCATGATAAACTTCGAGGGTCGGCGCCACAATAACCGAACAGGTTCCATCCTCGTTGCTTGCGAATTCACGCTGGGGATGCCAACCGATCACCACAGGAAAATGGCGCATAACACCATATCGAGATGAAATATAGCGATACAATTGACATGGAAGACTTCGTCCCAGGTCAAATGATCCTTCCGTGCCGGGAACAGCCTACGGTAGGCGCATCTCCCAGTCGTCTGCCTGGCAAGTCTCCTGACAAGATGTCATCCTGTGCGAGAACTGGTGAGCGTGATATACAGGTTTGGTCAATGAGATTACATACATGGAGCCGTCGCGTTGGTGACCTTTGGGGAAACGACGGGCGGGTGAGAATGCGACCAGTTGTCCCAATTACTCGCCATCGCATCGTACACTTGCCTCCAGTCTTGGCAGACATGCGTAGAAGCGTCCTGCTTCACATCGTACTCGCCCTCCAGGACGTCGTAAGGCTCCAACGTGAGGTCGGGGTTGCAGAGGATGAGTTGGCGAAGGTAGTTGAGGCAATGGCCGAAGTGCGCGAACGTCTGGTCACGGTAATCGCCGGCAAGTGCGAAGCGCATGAGACGAAGGCAATGGAGCTGATGAAACATCGAGACGGCGAAGGCTCTCCCCTCGGGGCCAAGGCGCATGTAGCCGAAACCTTTCGGCGTATTCGCCGCCCATTCCTCTCGTGCATCTAAGCCAGCGATCGGGTAATGCGCCGGGTTCTCGACGACCAGCAGGACTGGGGGCGTAGGCGGAAGCGGCCACAGCTCGGGAAAATCGTCGCCGACGTATGCTGATTTGAGCTGGGTGTGAGACAGCGTGAGCGGTATATCGATGTTGTGCGACGTACTGTACTCTCGCTCGGCATGGTTGTGCAACTTGGAGTCGCCTGGGACCGTCAGGAAGGTGACCATCACATTCACCGCGGTCAGCATGACGAGCGTGCAGAGAGCGAGGACGTAGAGGGTGTAGGCACGCATAATTTGGAGTAGTAGGACGGCGACAGAATGTGCTATGAGGAGAGTAAGACTGGGGGTGGGAGGGGGAGACCCACAAGAGTCTGAAGTCCCTCCTTGGGCCGGTCACGGCTACGAGTTCAATGGGATATTCTGCACACAATGGTCAGATAATCACATCACCCCCAATCCAGCTACGCGCTCCCGCTGTGGCCAGTAACTCGGATTCGGAACGATTTGAGCACATAAGTAATCTCACAGAAATTCCTGTCGTCATCCGCTGAATCGAGAATGATCAATGATCCGAGAGAGCTGTACGATCTTTCTGACGGACAGGCCGATGGAATGATACACTCACGCCATGCAAGGTCTTCTCAGAGGAACCACACGCGGTGGCCGCCAGATTCGGAACATGCACATCGAATAACGGACCTGCGTGGCAGAGTTTATCAATATCAGGATAACACGGTGTATACGTGAAGTTGCACAAACGGAATATGTCACCTGTGACTGTGCTTCTGCCACGGAGGAATTGCGCATTCAAAAGAACAGCTAGCAAGTAAAGGAGACAAAGACACTTGCAGTATGGGCGCATCACCGTCGGAACGGCGGAAGTGCGGTAAGGGGTGACATGGGTCCTGACCGTCCGGTTTCGTGTCAAGACGCCGGAGGCCCAGAATACGGTTCAAACCTTAATGTACACACCTGTACACCTTTGTACACGCTTCCCGAGGCCACCGAGCATCACTGTGTCAACTCTCGTCTCGGAAGTAATGTACATCCGCAGCTGTGTCCGCGTGGATACACGCCTCGATGCATGATGGTTAGTTCTTCTCGGATTCTCTCGACAAAGTAACTGATGTCAGCATGTGGGTTCCAGCAGCGCTCACTGCGGAGCAAGCACCGACGCATATTGAGAGCCCGAGTAGAACCCTATCACCCCGTCCCAGCCTATTCTCTGCGATTGACTCACTGTGTCCTTCGTAACCCGCGCGTCCACGCAGCAGTGAAATCACCGTCTCTCTATCTACCATGGTCTCAGATGCACTGTACACCCCCCTCCTTGCGCATCCCGATGCCCTGGCACACGATGACCACGATGACGAGCACTCATGCAAAGGAGCTGCCCACGGTGACGGTACCGGTACGCCCATTGATCAACCCGCTAATTCCCTATGCTTACAATATGCGACAGTCGCCTGGGGCAGGAGGATCGTGTCTGAACGACTTCTGTGCGCTTCGGTCTTGGTGGCCTGCGCTCTCTCCGTCCTATCCTCGGTTGTCACCATGACCCTGGTAGCCTTCGGAAACACCTCCGATGCTGGTGTTGAATATCTGGAGTACGCGAGCACGTACATCGGACTGGACTCGGTGTTCCGCAACCCAGCAGCTACTCCACTGCGCCCTCTCCGCGACTTCCCTGTTGTAGTCGGCATCGTCGACCAACTGCGGCCTACGATGTCATACCCAGACACACCATCGTGGGAATCGACCTTCGGTGCTGTATACACAGCGGATCGTGGTGTTCGGATGTCCCCGACCGTTCGTACTAGTTCCCCGCTAATGTACGCAACACGCTCACACATTCTCAGTACAGGCGGCCACGGTGGTCCAGTTCTGGGCTGGCGATTACGGCATGGAGCGTTGCTCCCTGGAGTTCACTCTACCTGCTTCTGCAGGGGGGGAGACTGTCTTCATCCAGGCATGGCACGTTGACGCACCCCAGAGACTCTCACCTGAGAGCCTCGCCTGGGACAGCCGCCCAAAGAAGAGCGGGCTCCTGCTCTCGCAAGAATTGAAAGCAAACAGTACAGTCCGATCTGAGGAGTTCTACTGTCGCTCCGGGTCATTTCAGGCTTTCGAGCTCGGGTGCATGGGGGACGGATGCCTGGTTGACTTCCGTCAAAACCCGAAGATGGAAGCAGGTACGCCGACCTCGCACAGATGTCCCACCGCCATCTGACACATCCTGGACCTTCTCAGGCGGTGTGTGGTTGATCCAGCGCTCTTCTATGTGAACGCGCAGGTGTTCGACTGATATGCAGTATTTGTATTCAATTGGGCATTTACATCGTTAAATTGATCCTGCATCCATGTACTTCGGCCTCAAAGGCCTATGGGGGGATCGCGCGAAAATACGAATGATGCAGCCTATACGTCAGCCTGACACATGCTGTTTGACAGCCACCCCTTTCCTGTGCGGCTCACGTCTATTTCGAACTACTTCTGTCACTCATCAGGATGGCACAGGTGATCATCATACTTATTGCGGCAACAAAGTTACCTCCAAGTTCCGACCTGCACGCATGATTACCTGGCGGAATCGCCCCTCTTCCGGTAACCCATCATCACAAGCGGATGCCATATGTCAGAGAACCTGATGGCGAGTTGTGGCGTCTGGTAAGTTATTCCGAATCACTACCAACTCTCCGAGCGTGAGGCCCCGCAGTGTCTTCTGACGACAATATTTGGGTATGTCGACAGCGTCCGGACCGAGCACTGCTTTCACACTGGGCATATATTTGAGGATCGATGCCATGCCCCTACGACAACCGCCGTTCGAGGTCCTTCTAGCCAACCGCTTCGGATCCTTCCTCTGACTTTGCATCTGGAAGATCAAGCCCAACTTCCTGGGGAGAAGACCGAGGATGTCATTTGACCCAAGCGACCCCATTCCTGGGACGCGTGTGGAGTATATTGCCGTAGTTGCCTCCATGGGCCTATACGGGATCACCTGCATGCAGACGTGAGTACGGAGCCTTGATCAGTATACTGGTGTCACGTATGCTGTTCGTAGCCGACTAACGTTTTCCTTACCAGATTCATGTATTATGCCAAGTGCGTTGGGTATACTATTTTTGAGCGGCTGTGTCGCTGACCACGATCATACTAGCCAACGCAAAGGCGGAGACCGCTGGCCAATCCATATACTGGTAAGAAAATTCTGGTATTTATGATATGTCATACGCGTGACTCATCCACTTCTGTAATCCTTTCAACGGCATGCATGTAGGTTGCTTTCTTGTGGTAAGACATGTACTAGTGCGCGTTCCGCATTCCACGTTTCACACTACCACAATCCAGGGCCATGGACACCACACATCAAATCATTACGAACCGGGGCTGTAAGTGCACCATCCTTCTGGCCGTTCTCACTGACTAATATGGACCTAGTCTGGGTCCTCATCTCGCGCGTGCATGACCCATTCATTCTATCTAAGTAGGCACCATTTATCACATCGCACGACTCCAGCATCCATTGACAACTTATTGGCATCCCTCTAGAGAGTATCTCGTGAGTTCTTCCAAATATCCTCCGCTCTCACGCAGCGAATGTTAACATTTGCCTCGCAGTGGGCTGGACTGTTCACGGTTAGAAAAATCTGGCTCTTTCCGGGCCCTCCTCACGCTTCTAACATCGACGCACTCATAGAGCCTTGTCACGCTTCCCACTCAACTGTTTTTCGTCATGCGGATCTGGCGAAGTGCGTCGGTCTAGCCCATAGATTCGAGATACCACCCCGCGATCTCCGCCTAACCTTCACATCTGTTTCACTACAGTCAGCAAGAAGAACTGGTTTGTACCGTTGATATTCGTACGTGGTCCGCCTTCACACTGCATTGATATGGGACGTTGATAACGTCGTAATACGCAGGTCCCCTGCAGTCTCTTCCAATTCGGTAGGTTCTGCCGTGCAGCTAGTGCCATTCCCCCGTACTGCTGCTAATCATAATGCAGGTGGATATATCGGTGCGTACTAGGGTTCATATAGCGCGACCACAAAGCTCAAGACCGTGGAATAGCTTTCTTAGTTCTCTGGTGATGCTTCCTTCGTCACTGCTATTTACTCAGTCTGTACTAATCTCTCCCCGCAACAGTTTGAATGGCGGGCCGACCGCGGAGATCATCTACGTCATCCGAGTATGCCATTTTCTCCCTGTGCGTTCAAAGAGCTCATGAGATGGTCTGGTAGAAATTACCCATGGCGTTTTGGGGTGTCGGCGCCGCCGAGGACGTCCTGATCTCCATGTGCTTGGTTTACCTCCTCTGGCACAACCGTGATCGCGGAGGGTTCAGGAGGTATGCTTGAGGAAACCAGACGTAGAAAGACGCACTGACTGAAGAGTTCGCATCGTAGTACCGAGAGGTTGATTTACCGCCTCACCGTCTTCGCCATCAACACTGGTATGTGGACCTCGATGTGCGCGCTATTCGTAATCATCACGGTGCGTCCGAGCGCCGATTGTGTTCTCAAAGCCTGGGTATTGAAGATCTTCCCGTAGATGGCTGCATATCCTCAGATACAGACCTATGTGGCACTCTACCTGGTTGTCTGCCCCTTGTACTGCAACACGCTCCTTGCGAACCTGAACGGTCGAAGCTACATACGCGGGGACGACTTCACCGAACCCATCAGCCTCCTGGGCCCTAGTCAAGGCCGTATTGCGTTTACGTCTTTCCCCTCCACAGGACCCCCAGTATGTTTCTCTTCGCCCGTCGTAGCAGCCGTATTGACCTTTGAACAGATTTCCCAGGAAACTACAATGACGCTCCGGGACCTGCCGGTCCCCTCCCACTCGAACAACTCAAGCCTCAAGCTAGAGAAGGTGATGAAGCACGACGAAGTTTAGCTAGCCACTCAGCACTGTCTCCTCCATCTATGCCAGTTCCAGTTCTCGTCATATTCCCCGTCCTCGTCCCCTTCCCCGTTCTCATTTTACCGATATACATATTTATGACATCCGTTATGTACCAGAGGTTTCATGAGTCGCAAGGAACTCATAGACTACCTGACGCCCCTCTCTTTTGCTTGTCATGTGTCGGAACGCGCACCAGTTGCCATTACTCATGCAACCTTGGCACGCTAGGTATACACACAAAGAGTTTACGAGTGATACAACCTGGCATATATAAAATGTGCTACAACTCGCAGACAACAAACTACATACGGACGGACACATGACGCAGGGGTACAATACAGAAAGAGCAACGGCATGGTTCGTGCCGCCAACTCACCGACGCGACAACAGCGCAGCGACGAACAGCATCCCTCCCAGGGCGCCAAGCGTCGCGACGACGGCCCAGTGCGTGTACGCTTCGAAGGGGTGCTTGACGTCCATTCGGCTGGTCACCGTCGCTCCGCGGAACGAGTAGAAGGTGATGCCAGTCATGAACGCAGCAATTGCCCAGGCAAGGAACACCAGAGGCAGCGACATGATCACGCGACTCCGCTGCAATTACTGGTCAGTTTGTGGGTTGCACGGCCGCATGGCGAGAATGGCATACCGAGAGATGTGTCAACCCCTCACTCCCGATGTAGACGACACTCCTATCGATGTCGGTCTTGTATCGGAAAAGCGCGAGGACAGACGACACCATGCTGGACGCGGAGAAGAGGATGGCGAGGAATCCGGTGAGACGCGCCACATCGTCGAGCGAGGGGAGCGAGAGGAAAGTGACGGATGCGCTCATGATGACGGCGGCCTGTCGCAAACATATCCTGTCAAATCAATATCCTACTAGGAAAACTAGTACACTCACCACTAGGCAAGCGCTTGCGGTGAGCATGAGCATTGGCCCAGCCGTGTGCAGCCCGCTCTCCTCATCAAAGTTGTGGTGGCGCGTGCGCGTCATGAAGATATAGGGGATGCCCAGGCACAAGCAGCCGATGAAGAAGTCGAGGAACGCGCGGCGGAATGGGATGCGAGTCTCAGCGGTACCCTTGATGGCGTCGCGCGGAAGAGGCTTGTCCGGACGGTAGTAGATTTGCCGCCATTGCGCTGCACACTACTATCAGGAAGCGTCTCAAAGGACTGGAAAGCCTCACTCACCAACTCGGAGCAGAACGCGAGAAACGATGCGCGTCTGCACTACGGCCGTGTTCGGGGTGGCATTGGAATCGAATGACCGCAGGAGGCTCATCAGCTCCTGGCACTCTTGAGGAGCGAAGGGCGGCGGAGCGGGTCTAGCCGAAGGGAGCAGGCAGTCTGACAAGCAGGTGAGTAGGTAAAGCGCGCTGTTGGTTCATCCCAACGTACCGGTGTAAGACCACTTCAACGCATCCATTGCCTCGGTGTGAGTCTCGGCTGGGAGCGGAGAGTGCGCCGGATGCCCCTCCATGAAACCCCAGTACCTGTACTCCAGATCGAACTCTGCAAACGCACCGTCAACCTCAGATCGTGTTCACGCACAGTATGCACTCACTGTCGTCCTCGGAGAATCGCTCCAGCACCAAGCCTTCTCCGGTGACCATCGGCGGCGGCTGCAACGTGATGATGCGCAGCTTGTGGTTCACCCAGCTCTTCACCGGGACGACCTCGTGCCGCATAACGCCGACGTCCTTGAGCCAGAGCTCCCAGCCTTGCGGCGGGGGCATGGTCAGCTCCGTAGGAAGCTTCTTCTCGAGGTATTCGGTGACGACTTGCAGCTTCTTCGAGTTGCGCAGATCGATGTCGGTCGTGACGCGCTTCTCCGCGTGGTGGTAGTAGTACGAGCTGTCCGGAAGGACGTATTCTGTCCAGCCCAAGGTGCGAATAGTGTTCGCCGTAGTGAGCTCGCCCGTGACAGGACCTGAAGTGAACGGAATGGCCATTGCATCGTTAGTCTTCGCGCGGCTTGCAGACTTCCCGCCGACGTGTGCAAGGAGGGGCATCCGTTCGCTGATGAGCTGTGAGCTATGCTGGATGGTGACTGAAAAGCAGCAACTTACTCCATATCCTGTTGCGCGCTCTCGGCAAGGGATGCGCCATCGCGCTCGCCGAGGCTGTATGCCGAGGGTGCTGGCTGGCGACTTGACCTGCTTCGCGTGAGTGAGTGATATAGCTCACTTCTAGGAGAATACGTACTGCGCGATGATGACATCCTGCATAGGAGGCAGAGGGAACGAGATCGGAGAGGGAGAGTCCTGTATCTGCTGCGCGACATGCAATATGGGCTGAGGCTCAGTGACCGGCCTGTAAGAATAACAACGTGAGCGGAATCGTGGGGCATACGTGTGAAAGATACATACTCGGGCATGTTGACACTTTCAATAGGCGACAAGCTCTTCTTAGCAGACTCTGGAGGATCGGCGAACGGATCCTCGGCCGGGTCTACGAAGCTGTGCCGAAGTTCAGTAAGGGTGATCACGATACGACACTGCGAACTGACCGGACGATTGAGCTACGACCGCGCCTTTCTCCTATGGTTGTGTTCGGGACGACATTGCCGTAGGAAGAAGCCAGCGAAGACTTGCTCTCGCGAGTGGAAGCCTTTCCGGATTGCAGGCCAGATTGTTGCGACAGTTCTACGGCGTGTTGGGGGACCTCCGAGAGACTCGAGGAGGACCGCTTGCGTCCCAACGCTGGTTCGTCGCTCCAAGCGAACGTCGAATCGTCACTAGGGATCTGGACATGAGACGTAGTCTGGTAGCGTGCGGGTTCATCGACCGGGAACGGTTGGAGAACTGATGGAGCGGCCACTGCGGGCTCGGGTGCTCGCGGCTCCTCGACTTCGGGCTCTGCTACGGTCGGAGCGATGGGGTCGCCATATGAGAAGTAGTCGGACCGGTGATCCTCCATGATCGCTGGACGAACGGGTTCCGCGGGAGGGGTGAGGGGGACCACGGGAGTGGGCTCGGGGAGAGGTGCAGAGGCGGCTTCAGTGGGAACGTCTGCAGTAGCAAGCACAGGGCTCTCCACTGCTGCAGGTGGCTGAGTGACGGGAAGTATGGGGTCGGAGAAGCCGAATGGCTGCGGTTCAGGAGCTGAAGCCGGAGCTGCATGGGGGAGCTCAGAGGCAAGCTGCTCGGGCGACCGAGTGATCTGCTCTGCAGTGGTCTCTTCTTGAGGCGCAGAAACAACGATCGGCGCTGCTTCTGCTTGTGGTACTGGCGCTGACACCGGCGTAGGTTCGAGGACAGGGTCTGCCTCTACCGCAGGCTCCGACGCTGCAGTCGAGTTATGGAGGGGGGAAGGGCCTAAATGAACTTGGTTGGAAGGAGACTCTTCCGCTGTCTCCACAACTGGACTCGGAGCGACATGGGTCTCCGAAGCAGTCGGCGCCTGCGCCGGGTCTACCTTCAGGGAGTTCTTGGACGAAGAGCGCGACAACGTCGGGAGCTTCGAGCCGAACGCAAGTCCTGTCGAAGCGCGGCGCATAGCGCTTGTCATGCGATTCCGCATCGTCGACCTTGCCGGGGAAGGCGAAGACGGCCGCGACGAGGATGAAGTGGTGTCAGATCTCTTGGGAGGGGTGGCCATAGTGGGCAAAGATAAAGCAGTAGATCAGCGGGAAGGGAGGGAAGGGGTGGAGACTGTGCTCCTCGATACAGAGGACAACGTCGTAGGCGGCGGGGGTATATATTGCCCTGGCGGACGCAAGCCAGGCGGTTGTCTCGAGGCCGAGCGCAGGCGGGCAGACTTCCGGGACCACGCCATGAGATATAGATGCGATGTGCCTGCAGAGATTGGGTCGGCTAGGGAGTGCTGAACACACGTGTCCGTCGAGGCGCACAGATCAAGGGTAGATAGAAGGGCCGTACCACACGATGTAGACCTTTACTTACCTCCTCAGATTGGCCATGAGCTCATTTACCCCCCTCCTCCGTGTCCATATGAACGCTAACGTTAGTGAGAGCGGAGACCGTTGGGTGGAAGGTCAATATGTTGTGCTTGAAGGGAGTTGCGCTCCGCTCCTCCAACGATATCAGACTTCCACGCCAGTGTCTCACGGAAATGAACTGCGCGCCCGTCTCTTCACAGGGGACTCGCCTTGGAAGGTACGAGCTGAGGGGATGACCGTACAGCATCCGACTAGAAGGTGGCCTGCCTCACGCAGGATCAGGTCAATGAAAGCCACGTCTGCCGCGTGCACCCAGATATGCCGTCGGAGACTGGCAGCTAGACTCGATGAGGTCACGACCCAGTGTTTCATGTTCGGACAGTGTGCAATGTGACGAAGGAACGACGAAGAGAGTGTGCATTGTCCGAGCCCATCGTGGTGAGAGAGAGAGAGAGAGAGATTGGAGTGCAATCAACGCCCAAGTCCATGTACAGGGCAGCTGAGAGCCGCCCGTAAACGTTACACCGCTTCGTCCACGTCTACCAGCTCCCTGCTACTGCGCCCGTGTCCTCCACTTCATTCTGTTCTTCTACTCGCGCTGCTCAACGCTTCGCGCGGCCTTGAAGTGCAATCATGTTGCTGGATATCAACGTGAGTAACATTGCCGCATATATGGCATAGCCGACGCGATCCTGAAACGCTGCTACTAGCGGAAACTCTTCACTCGTTCAGACCGCGTCAAGGGTATCGACTTCCACCCCACTGAGCCCTGGATCCTTACCGGTCTCTACAACGGCACGGCCAACATCTACAATCATGACACCGGCGCACTGATCAAGACGTTCGAGGTCGCGGAGGTCCCCGTGCGCTGCGTCCGCTTCATCCCCCGCAAGAACTGGTTCGTCGCGGGCTCCGATGACTTCCAGCTTCGCGTCTTCAACTACAACACGCACGAAAAGGTCGCGGCTTTTGAGGCTCACCCAGACTATATCAGATGTCTCACAGTCCATCCCACGGCAAGCATCGTCTTGACGGGCAGTGACGACATGACAATCAGGGCATGGGATTGGGACAAGCAGTGGAGATGCATCCAGGTGCGCCTATACTGATTCGACATACATGTCCTTAGGCTATAACCAAATTCCGATACAGACATACGAAGGTCACACCCATTACATCATGAATATCGCGGTCAACCCCAAGGATCCCAACACCTTCGCCTCGTCATGTCTGGACCGTACTGTCAAGATGTGGTCACTCGGTTCTGCCTCGCCAAACTTCACTATGGAGGCGCACGACAAGGGCGTCAACTACGTCGAGTTCTATCCCGGTGCGGACAGGCCATACCTCGTTACTGCGAGCGACGACAAGACCGTCAAGATCTGGGACTACCTGAGCAAGAGCTGCGTCCAGACCTTGGAGGGCCACTCGAACAATGTGCTCTTTGCGGCGTTCCACCCCAACCTCCCTCTCATTATCAGTGGTGGGGAGGATGGCACCGTGAAGTTGTGGAACAGCGGGACATATCGTCTTGAGAACACCCTCAGCTATGCGTTGGAACGTGCATGGTGCGTCGCACTCCGCAAGGCATCCAACGAAGTCGCGGTAGGGTACGATGAGGGTCTTGTGGTCGTCAAGGTCAGTAACAGGCGTGTGTCTCTCGCATATATGCTCATTGGTTCCGCAGCTCGGACGCGACGAGCCAACATATAGCATGGACACCTCTGGCAAGCTTGTGTACACGCGCAACAACGAGGTCCTCTCTGCCAACCTTCAGACCGTCCAGGAGGACACGCTTGCGGACGGCAACCGGATACCGCTCTCAATCAAGGAGCTTGGTACGACCGAAGTCTTCGCGACGTCGCTGATGCACTCGCCCAACGGCCGGTTTATCACCGTTGTCGGAGACGGCGAGTACATCGTCTACACAGCGCTTGCATGGCGTAACAAGGCGTTCGGTAACGGCAGCTCATTCGCGTGGGCGGGAGACTCGAACACGTACGCTGTCCTGGAGGGCAAGATGAAGATTCGGGTATACAAGAACTTCCGCGAGCGCACTGGCACTGGCATGAAGGGTGCTGGGTCGTGGGCTGTTGACGGTGTTCACGGCGGCACGCTCCTTGCCGCGCGGGGCGCTGGCTTTGTTGTGTTCTGGGACTGGGAGACCGGAGAAATCGTCCGTCGCATTGAAGTGGATGCCAAGAATGTAAGTCGAGTGATAACCGCGATGCGTTCAACCACCTAAATATGCGGGTAGGTCTACTGGTCGGGCACAGGTAACCTTGTTGCGATTGCGTCCGAGGACTCGTTCTATGTACTCCGGTTCGACCGGGACGCGTACAACGCGAAGCTCGAGCAGGGTGCGGACCTCGGCGACGAGGGTGTGGAAGAGGCCTTCGACCTTGTAGCGGAGATTTCTGACAGGTGCGCTAAATGGTATAACTCGTAGGCTTCATCTTACCCTCGTTCAGCGTCAAGACGGCAAAGTGGATAGGCGACTGCTTCATCTACACCACCGCAGCGAACCGCCTGAACTACTTCGTCGGGAGCGAGTCTTACACGATCACGCCCTTCGACACGTGGGTTGGCCTGTAGTCTATCCTCGCGACCTGTCTAACCTGTCTCCAGGTCTCTATTCCTGCTCGGATATCTGCCCGCACACAACCGTGTCTACCTCGTCGACAAGGATGTAAATGTGTTCAGCTACTCGCTCTCTCTGAACGTGGTGGAATACCAGACCGCGGTGCTTCGAGGGGACATGGAGGGCGCGGCCGAGATTCTGCCTTCAATACCAAAAGAACACCGCAACAAAATTGCAACCTTCTTGGAGAGCAGAGGTACGAACCCCGCACAGCGTATACGCGATGTACCTAACGAGTTACAGGCCTCAAGGAGCTTGCATTGGAGGTCACGACAGACCCGGACCAGAAGTTCGAGCTCTCCCTACAATTAGACGACCTCGATGCGGCCGTCGAGATTGCACGCACCGTCCCCGAGATCGAGGCCGAGTCGAAGTGGAAGGCGATCGGCGACCGGGCACTCGCCGTGTGGCGGTTCGATCTCGCCCGCGAGAGCTTCGAGAAGGCAGGCGACGTAAGTGCGTTGATGCTGCTGCTGCTCGCTATCGGGGACCGGGAAGGCTTGGCGAAGCTCGCAACTCTCGCAGGTACGCACCCACACACGTGGCATCATCGTGGCGTAGTGCTCACAAGCGCGCGTCATGCACAGAGGAGAAGGGGCAGAACAACCTCGCGTTCGCCACCCTGCTCCAGCTGGGCGACCCCAAGCCGTGTGTTGATCTGCTGATCAAGACGCACCGCGCGCCAGAGGCCGCCATGTTCGCGCGCACGTACGCACCTGCGCAGGTGCCGGAGGCGGTGAAGGCATGGCAGGGCGACCTGCAGGCGAAGAAGCGGGCGAAGGTGGCGGCGGCCATAGCCGACCCATCTGTGAACCCGGAGCTGTTTGAGGAGGGCTGGGAGGAGGCACTGCAGCGCGAGGCCGGTGCGCCGGCGCCTCAAGCAACGCTCACGAACGGCGACGCAGACTCAGGTGGGCTGTTATCATCTTCGCTCGTCAAAACACCCGCCCATGACATAACTTCCTCAGGATCAGAGGATGAGGAGGACGAGGAGGAGTCGTAGATACCATCATATCCTTTATTTCTCACGTCCTGCCCGTCACCAACCCGCAGTGAGTTATTCCAGTACATAAATGACGGTTTTCGAACACAAGCCCGCTGCATCTGCCGTCCACACGTCACAGAGAAGCACTGCGCCGCTGCAGTTAATGTTGTCTGACCTTTGTGGTTGCAACAGGATAGATGTGGATATTATAGAACCTACACCTCCTGATCTATAGGGCAGGAGCGGGACGTGAGCGACTCCGTCCCACCAGCACTGTCGGTAGGAGGCTGCCGGTGCTACCATGCGTATCAGCGAGTCGCCTGGGCGGAGAAGACCCCGGACTTGTGGTCGTATGGGAGGATAGTGTGTGACTCCGTCGACGTATGGTAGGTGCCGGCAGCGCGGACTATGATGACCACAGTGCCTCCGTTTCTCACCTCCAAGAGGCCCGGCGCATTGCATTGAAGTCATGGCCGAGTATATCTGGGTTGCGCACCGGGTCTAGATATGTTGTGAGTGGATGAGAAGCTCAAAGGTCCCCCCTCGTGCTCCTCGATGGTCTGGGGTCAATAACGTGAAATAATTGTGACTGTTGGCTGTGTCAATCCACCCCCTAGAGCTCTAAGTCTAGCTGTTTCAAGTTTAAACCACCCCTGGAGGTCGAGTGAGGTCCACCTCCTGTCGAAGCAACCTTGTATGCAGGCTGCCAGGCTTGTAATCACAGCTTCACTGACATCAGTGATCCGGCGTTGTTAACGGTGCCTATCCGGAGCTCCGGCGATGTAACGGAGTTGGATTCACTTCCTAATGAACGGAATTCCCCGCGTTGTAATCTTAGCAACGCGGGCATTACACACGCTTGATCCCAGAATAAACCGCTGGCCGGAGCTCGTTGATACGCGGCCGGAGGCTGGGCTGAGCCCGTTGCATGCTGTCGCCGTTACGCACGTCACGGTCGCGGTCGGGCATAGAAGGCCTCTCCGCTTCGTTTCTCACCACCTTCCGTCGTCTGCTCACTGTCTCGGCTGGCGTCCTCGCCCTCTACCCTTCTCTTACCCCCAGGCCACCCTTGTAGGTCATGGCCTCAGCACTTGCCTCGCAGGCGGTCAGCTCTGGCGACCTCAGGGATCTCACAGCCCCCTCGGCCGCGGCAACCGTTCACCCTTCCGATGACACCATTCTCTCTGTTCTCCAAGCTCGCTTTCGTGCAGACCTACCCTACACCCGCATCGGTGCCGCCAACCTCGTCGTCGTTAATCCATACAAGACACTCGCTAATGTAAACGACGTGACCGCGAAGGAGTACGAGGAGAGGTCCTACAAGGACACGAGTTTCCCTCTGCCGGGCACCGCCCAGCTGCCACCACATCTATTCGATCTTGCCGCTAGGGTGTATCTCCTCATGAGGAGACGAATGGAGTCGCAGTCCGTCATCTTCAGGTGAGTTCAGTTTGAAACATTCCGCATGACGCCCTAATAAATGTGCATCGCAGAGGTGTTACCGCCGCGGGGAAGAGTGCCAGCTCGCAACTACTCGTCAACCAGATTCTCCGACTTTCTTCCCACTCGAAGAAGGAAGCTCGGCTGGCCGAACAGATCAAGTCGCTCTCAACATTACTCGATTCCTTCGGGAACGCGAAGACGCTCGTTAACCCAAACGCCTCCCGCCACAGTCGTTACCTCGAACTCCATTTCAACGAGCGTGGCCGTATCCAAGCGGCGAAGGTGTTGACGTTCGGCCTGGACAAGTCGCGGCTCTCACGCCTCTCCTACGAAGAACGCACCTACCACGTTTTCTACCAGTTCCTCGCCGGCGCTACCCCGGAGGAACGCGACCGGTATGCCCTTGAGGATGTCTCGGACTACGCACTGCTGGCGTCATCTGGCTGCTACCGCCTCCCCGCGGGCCCATTCAGTGACGACGGCATCGCCATGGACGAGTTGCGGGCGGCGATGAAGATCCTGGGATTCAAGCCTAAGCATGTTTCTGCTATTCTTGGTCTCCTCGTTGCCATCCTCGCTCTTGGGAATCTCCAGTTCGGCGAAGCAGATGCTCGTGACGTCTCCGCCTACGTCTCGAACACGCCCATGCTGGACCAAGTATCTCGCATGCTCGGCGTACCGGCGGATGAGCTCAGCGAGGTTCTCACGAACAAGACGAGTTACGTGCGCAAGGAGCTGTACACTGTCATGATGAACGCGCAGCAGAGCGCCGCCCAGCGTGATCAGCTCGCGAAGGATCTCTACGCCATCCTCTTTGCGTACGTGACCGAGACCGCGAACCACAAGATTGCACCCAGCTCGCAGGACCCCCCTCCCTCGACCCAGATCGTGCTGTTCGACCAGCCTGGATTCCAGACAAAGGGTCTCCCGACTAACGCCTCGGTCTACTTCGGTGGCCCAGCACCCCTTCTCGGCGCGCAAAATCAGGCAGGCTTCGAGGAGTTTTGCATCAATTTCTCGGACGAGCTCCTCCACTCCTACATTCTGCGCAACACGTTTGAGGACTCCGTCGGCTACAACAGTCAACTCACCGGAGATGGCGTCGCCCTCCCGGTTGTTGCTACTATGGACAATGCTGGTTGCGTGGAGCTCCTTCGCGGTGCTCAGCTCAGCGAGCGCGCTCACAGGAAACCGGGCGGAGTTCTCGGCATCTTCAACAAGGCGTCCTCGTCCTACAGGTCAGGGAAGAGCACCGAGAAGAAGGAAGAGGAGACTCTGCAGGAGTTGGTATCGAAGTTCGGGGTGCACGCCTCGTTCATCGCCCCCGGTAGCGCAGAGTGTCCGGACAAGATGACGTTCGGAATCAACCACTACGCCGGGAGCTGCAGCTACGACGCCCGCGGTTTCATCGAGAAAGACACTGACATCCTCGACTGCGCCTTCGTGACCCTCCTCCGCAACTCCTCCGACCCCTTCATCGCGAAGCTCATGGCAGGCCCCAGTCTTGCGACTGAACGTCACTCCAAGGACGAGAGCATCATCGTCCAAGCTCAAGTCTCTTCACGACCTCTCCGCGCCCCCACCCCCATCATCGCGCGCGACGGCTCCACCGTCGCTCCCGGCGAAGAGCACTCCCGCCTTGACCCTTCCAAGGTTTACCCCATCACCACGCAGCTCAACTACACCCTCTCCGAGATCATGTGGAATCTCGATCGTACAAGGCAATGGTCAGTGTCTTGCATCCGACCGAACGACTCGGGGACCTCGAACTCGTTCGACAAGCGACGCGTCAAGGCCCAGATCCGCGCTCTCCTCCTACCAGACCTCATCTCCAGGCGAAAGAACGACTTCATCGTCGACTTCGAGCAAGCCCCATTTTGCGACCGCTACGTTCCTACGATCCGAGGTTCCGAAGCGGAGCGGATCAGGCAGTGCGCATCCGCCAACGGGTGGAAAGAGGGCGAGGACTACGTCGTCGGGCATCGCATGATCTGGCTGACGTACGCAGCATGGAAAGTCGTCGAGGATGTTCTTCGTGCCCAGGAGAAGGACCAGAAGCGTGGTGTGGACGGCGTGGACGACGAGAGCGTGCTGCCTGACGATGCGACCGAGTACACTCACCAGGAAGGCTCGCTCGCGCCTGTCGCTGGCGCGTACTACGGCGGCGGCGAGAGTGAAGACAACCTACTGCTGACACGAACGGGTACCAACGGCACCCACTATCACGACCCTAACGCCAACGCCAGCTACCCTAGCATGCCGGTGACTCCTACGAACCCGAATACCCCTGGATACGAGGCTGACGGCTGGGGCTCGGAGTGGGACAAGAAGAGCGGCGCTCCCCGAGATATGGCGTCGAAAGAGGCCGACATCGTTGCGAAAGCGCCGAACACGGTCGAGGAGGTCCCTACCAGCCGGTCGCGTCGAAACTGGCTCTTCGTGGTCTGGGCGACAACCTGGTGGATACCTGCCATCGCTCTCAGCAAGATCGGTCGTATGAAGCGCCCCGACATCCAACTCGCGTGGCGCGAGAAGGTGACCATCTTCTGGCTGATCTTCCTGTTCAACGGTATCGTCGTCTTCTACATCGTCGAGTTCGGTCGCCTCCTCTGCCCTAACTTCGACAAGGCATGGGCTCTCAACGAGGTCAATCAGCACACTGGCGACGACGACTTCTGGGTGACAATCCAGGGTACCGTCTACGACGTGTCGAACTTCATCCACGGTCAGCACTCGGACGTCGCCAACTTGAACAGCAACGGCGCCGACACGCTGGACATCGTCGCCGGCCAGGATCTCACTGGGTACTTCCCCATTCCTCCTTCCCTCGGTTGCCCGGGTCTCGTCACCGACACGTCATTGGCCCTCACCGCCGCCAACTTCACCCCAGAGGCGCCGCAAGCGATGCACAAGTCCGGAACGGGCGGCTACTCGGGTTCGAAGCTCGCCAACCAGGACTGGTACACCGCGACGTTCTTGCCCAAGATCCGCCAGTTCAAGAAGGGACCTTTGGTATGGGATAGGAACGCGGTCAAGGCGGCGGCCACCGACCCAGACAACCAACGGTAAGTTGATTTGGCGGTACCACTAAAACGTGACTACTTAATCCGCCTTTGCAGGATGTGGGCGATCTACAACAACGCGGTCTACGATCTCTCGGACTACATCAACACTGTAGAGATCAACACCGCGTCGCAGTATTCCTTCCTGAACTCGGACATCGTGGACATCTTCAAGCAGCAGCCTGGTCAAGACATCACCAAACCGCTCAACAACGTGCTCGCGGGTCTGGATAGCACTACGCGGGACCAGAATATGCAGTGCATCAACAACATGTTCTACTACGGCGAGCCCGATTTCCGCAAGGACGCCCGTTGTCAGGTGCAGAACGTTCTCCTGCTGGTGTTCTCTATCATCCTCTTGACTTCGATCGGTGTCAAATGTAAGTCTTTATGACTGATCGCGGGCGCGCTGTCTGACGGTGCTGTACAGTCTTGGCTGCTCTGCAACTGTCGCCCAAACGCAACCCTGAGATGCTCGACAAGTTCGTTCTGTGCCAGGTCCCTTGTTACACTGAGGGTGAAGAGTCGCTCCGCCGTACGGTCGACTCCTTGGCGGCGTTGAACTACGACGACAAGCGCAAGCTGATCTTCATCATCTGCGACGGCAACATCATCGGTACTGGCAACGACCGCACGACACCTCGTATTGTCCTCGATATCCTGGGTGTCGACCCGAAGCTTGACCCGGAGCCGGTTCTGTACAAGGCCATCGGTGAGGGATCGAAGCAGCTGAACTACGGCAAGGTCTACTCTGGTCTCTACGAGTTCGAAGGTCATGTCGTCCCGTAAGTCCTCTCGCTGTGCTCGTGAGGGTGTTTCTGGACGAATTGCTTATGGGTATTTCAGGTACATCGTCGTCGTCAAGGTCGGCAAGCCTACGGAGCGCACCAAGCCGGGCAACAGGGGCAAGCGTGACAGTCAAATTCTCGTCATGCAGTACCTCAACCGTGTGCACTTCGACGCTCCCATGGCACCTCTCGAGCTGGAGATCTATCACCAGATGCGCAACGTCATTGGTATCGATCCTGCCTTCTACGAGTACATCTTCACAGTCGATGCCGATACAGTGAGCGCTCCCTCGCATCCCCCCGAGAACGTACCACTGATAGAGTTCAAAGACTGTCACCCCCGACGCCCTCAACCGACTTGTTGCAAGCGCATGTGACGATTCAAGTATCATCGGTATCTGTGGTGAGACCAAGCTCGATAACGAGGAGGGCTCGTGGTGGACCATGATCCAGGTAAGTTTATCGTATGACGTGCCAACGAACCACGACTCATAGTTCTCAAGGTATACGAGTACTACATCTCGCACCATTTGTCAAAGGCGTTCGAGAGTTTGTTCGGCTCAGTGACGTGTTTGCCCGGTTGTTTCTCGATGTACCGCATCCGGACAGCGGACAAGGGACGCCCCATCATCATCTCGAACCGCGTTATCGAGGAGTACGCGGAGCCAATCGTCGACACCCTGCACAAGAAGAATCTGTTCTCGCTCGGTGAAGATCGTTACCTCACCACGCTCCTGCTCAAGCACTTCCCCACGTTCCGGACGAAGTTTACTCCCGATGCGGTCGCGCACACCATCGCACCCGAGTCTTGGCGTGTCCTGTTCTCGCAGCGTCGTCGGTGGATCAACTCGACGGTGCACAACCTGTGCGAGCTGGTGTTCCTCCCTGAGCTCTTCGGCTTCTGCTGCTTCTCCATGCGCTTCTTCGTGTTCATCGATCTGCTGGGCACCCTCATTCTCCCGTCGACTGTCGTCTACGTACGTCGAAAATCGTTCAGTACTTCGATGCGTCGCTAACAACCGGCCTGTAGCTCGTCTACCTCATCGTCGTCGTGGCCACCGGTAACGCACCATTGCCGCTCATTTCCATCATCATGTTGGCTGTGGTATATGGTCTTCAGGTGAGGACAATCGCCGTACAGCTTGTTTCAGGGTTCTCACGCATCACTCTAGGCTCTCATCTTCATCTTGAAGCGTGAGTTCATGTTGATCGGATGGATGGTGGTCTACATCCTCTCGTACGTTTTTATCTCATATCTACGAGTGCAAAAACGTCTGATCCGCGTTACTCCAGGTATCCGGTGTACAGTTTTTTCCTGCCCATCTACGCGTTCTGGTGCATGGACGACTTCAGTTGGGGTAACACTCGTCTGGTCATTGGCGAGGGTGGCAACAAGAAGGTCATCATGAACGACGACGAGAAGTATGACGACAGCATGATTCCTCTCAAGAAGTTCAGCGGTATGTACTCCTTGCTATATCTACCATTGACTTGTCGCTGACTTTGCGCTAGAATACGAGGCGGAGGCATGGGAGACAGGTTCCCGCCACTCCGACGAGACTGGCTACGGTAGCAAGTCACCTTCGCAAGGGCGCTCGCGTGGACCGCATTCGCGTGGGCCATCGCCTCGCCCGAGCTACCACCAGTCTCAAGCCGGCGGCGACTACTACCGGGACACGAACATGACCAACCCTCAAGGTTCCACGTACCACCAGAACAACTCGCAGAGTAATCTGTCACACTACGGCGGCGCACCACCCCAGTCCCAATACGGCCTGCCTCAACTGCCCTTCATGGGTGGTTTCGGCGGTTCCGGTTCCGTGCACGGCTCAGACTACGGCGGGCAGATGCCCGTGGCTCACCCGATGGCGTACCAGGGCACAGGGAGCATGTACGGGATGATGCCGAATGCACCGCGGAACACGGTCATGACCAACATGAACATGTTCGGAGGCGGAGGAGACGTGCATGGATCGCAAGGCGGGTTCGCGCCACCGATGGCGCCGGGCCTCATGGGACAGCAGCGGCCAATGTCGACGTTCTCGCTCGCGACGACTGTCAACCCATTCGCAAGCGGACCAAGTCTGAACCCCGAGCCGACCGATGAGGAGCTCGTCACGGCGCTGAGGGCGTATCTCAGCACTCAAGATCTTATGACCGTCACGAAAAAGTGAGCCACCGTGTTTCATGATTGCGAGGCGGTTAATAACTGACTGCGATCCTGCAGGACTGTGCGCGAAGCGATGCAAGCGCGATTCCCGAAGGCAGACTTGTCGGGACGGAAGCAGTTCCTGAACGACTCGATCGACACCATTCTCTCTCAGTCATAGACAATCTCGGACTCGGACGCGCCGCCTGGTTGGCTGTACATGGTGCTCTCGGATCGCGGACTGCTCGCTCATTGACATTTTGGACTTTGTGGCTATCCCCCCTCTCTCGTTGCATCGAACGTTACGGCTACGGACTCGCACTCGCATCATCATCCATTTTAGCAGCATTGTAGTAGTCGTCGGACCTATCTAGTGATTTCATACTATTCGATGCCCATTGGGCAATGCTCTCGATCATGCCGAGCCTCGCATGATCTCTTGGGGTTGTGGCTGAGAGCGTCCGCGGCGAGCCAGGGCGACCCGCTCAAGGACATGTCCATGAAGCCCTCGAACGCCGGCTATATGCTGCAGTACGGCAACATTGCCTGTGCAACCCGCATCTGTTTCGGCTGGGTGCTTGCTGCGTAGGCGAGGCGCAGGCCCGTGTTTTCGAGGCCTGGGGTCACGGGAGTGCCAATCACGACCGCAACCGACGACCCCACGCATCCACACAACGCCTATTAGCCCCGTTCCGGCCGCCTTCCCCCCAACCTTTGCATCCTGCACCGTTCCGGACGCCTGCTACGCCTATCCTGGAATCGTCAGACCTGCTGTATGACCTGACCTACCGCAAATGGCGTCCTCGCTGCGCACCCCAGACAGCCCCCCTCATCTCGGTCGCGCGCCCTCTTACATCCACTTCACCCCGCGCCGCGCAATGGCCTCCTTCGAGAATCTGGTCGTGCTCGCGAACTATGAGGAGCACCTACGCGAAGCTCGGCGCGTCGTATGGAGAGACAGGGGCGAGAAGCCGGTCGAGGTGCTCGACCTCGGGGATTGCTTTGAGCACGCGTGCAGGGGCGGCCTCCGTACGTAGCCTTCAGTGCATACCGTCGCGGTTACTCACCGGCTCGCTGTATTGCGCTGATAGGGGCGGGAACTCTTGCGTTCGCGATCCGTTCAGGCGTGAACTTCATCCTCCTTCTGACCCGGATTAAGCGAATCCCCAAGTGAGTACATACCCACGAACGCACGAGACATCCCGCCCCGGAGTAGCTGGTTCATGTGTATTCTCTCCCTTGTGGAAGTAGCTGGTCACGGCACGCGTAAAGAGCTGCACTGACAGACGTTTGGTAGACGTTTCCGGCTGAGTTTGATCCGCCATGCACTCTTCGGAGAGGACTCCGTCCGATTTGCGGCCACGCTCGGTACGTCTACCGCCACCATCACGATACACCTGTACTGAAAGCGACACCAGCCTCATTCGTTGGCTTGTACAAGTTCATCCTTAATGCCCTGCCCATCCTTCTCCCTCAGCCACGCATAGATGAGACAACGCATTCTCGGACACGTTCCCTCTTCCGCGCCTCCATTCCGGGTGGCTCGGGGCAACCTGGGGCTGACTCTCCATTTGACGAGGAGGCCTCAGAAGATGTAGAACTTGGTATCCAACAACGGAAGAAGGGCGCACGACAGGCCAGGCTGTCGATGAGTGCTCAAGTGCACCAGATGTGGGTGCGGAAACGAACTCGGTGGTGGTACTCCGCGTTCGCGGGGTCCGTCGCCGGTGCGATCGCTATCATGTTTGAGAAGCGCGGTAGAAGAGTTGGCATCGCCCAACAAATGTTTGTCCGGTAAGTCGCATTGTACAGGTACGCGGGTGCGATGCTCACGACCCGCCTAGAGGCCTGCAGGGGTCGTTTAATGCCATGTCAGTGAAGTCGGGCTTCAAAATCCCTCATGGGGACGTGATCGTGTTCACACTTTGGTACGTTATGTTGTACAATGGGAACTGAGCGCGACCCTGACACCCAGAAGCTGTGGACAGATCATGTATGGGTTCCTCATGCGACCAGACACACTCCCATCATCGTATAACAGATGGTCTGTGCGAATGGTGCAATAATGTTTTTGTCCGCTGAACATCGTCTCTAGGATTCAAGTGGCCTCTAAAGTACCCGCTGACGGAGTCGCGCTCAACATGTCCCTTGTTCGTGATGGCACCTTCGACCCTCAGGTCATGGAGCACGTTTTGACCTATCCGGTAAGTCGCACTACACGCATCCTTCCATCACACCCCTCTGACGTCTCTGCAGGGTATTACTGCCAAGAATCATTCCCGCATCTTGGAGCTGCTCGCGGGTGCCAAGATCCCCGAAGATTTACGCACGTACGGTCCACCATACGGACCATGCGCCGCTGTGCACCCAGACATCGACTCCTGCTTGACAGTGCAGGTCGCGCACTTCTGGGAGGTGTTCCGTTGGATGCTGCCTATCTACGGCGCGCTGCACTTCATCCCCATGATGCTGTTCCGCCGAAATACGTTCATGAAGCGCCCCGCCCACATGCTGCTACGTGCCGCGCTGGGCACTGCCCGGAGCTCCGCCTTCCTTGGCGTCTTCGTGACCATCTTCCAGAGTACGCCGCTCGCGCTTTGCGCTGCCGGAGAAACGATTGCTTACTGCCCAAACAGCGTACTTCTGTGGCAAACATAACCTCTATGAGAGGCTCGTGGCGCTTCGGGCGCCCGGCGCTCGGTCGCTGCTGGCTGCGCTTGCGAAATGCTTGCCGCCATGGGTTTTGCAGCTGCTGATCGGGAAGTTCTCCTTCTTCGTTGGCGGCCTGCTTTCCGGCTTGTCGCTGTTCGTCGAGGAGAAACGGCGGCGGGAGGAGCTCGCCATGTATGTCCTGCCGAAGGGCCTCGAGAGCGCGTGGGTGATGGCGCGGGGCAAGGGGTGGGTGTTCGGGATGGGACGGTACGGGGACGCGTTGGTGAGTACTTGGTTAATCTATACGTTATGTGCAGGCGAGGCTGACTTATTTTTTGAGCTTACTGCAATGGGAATGGGCATGGTGATGGTGAGTTTTGGAGGTGTTACATAGCGATCGGGTGGAAGCTGACATTCATTGCCATCGCAGAGCACTTACCAGGTTCGTGATGCGTAGTCGTGTGCGGAGTGTGGCCGTACCAAACGCTGACCCCTCTCGCAGAATGACCCGCAGCACCTATCCGGCCTGGTCCGCCGCATACTCTACCAATTCGTCGGCCCCAACTAAGAGGCTGGCTCAAGTAATCATCGCCATACGGGGGCCGCTGACTTCCGTACTTTACGATATATCTAACAGTGTACGGTATAATGACTAGAGTCTGGAACGCTTCTCTACCCGGATCGATCTCAAGGACGCACTGTGGGTACCCTGACAGGTGATGTGACAAATTTCATTCGCTCTACAGTCTTCAAATACTTCCGTCTTCACTGCCAGTGTTTGCAGGACACACAGTACAGGGCATGCACTAACAGACTTATCGCCAGTAATGAAGAACACCATTACATGTGCGCGCGCAAGCCTCGTGGTGGCCAATATCTGACGTGTCGGCGTCAACCTTGGTCCCCGGTATTTCGACCCCGTCGCTGCCATACACAACAGTAGGTCCTCTCTCACTTTATGGGATCGCTTCTCAAACGATAGATCCAGTTTATCTCTTTTTGCAATCGGCAACTTACTATAGACCGTCAGATTCCTGTCACTAGGAAGGACAGGGTAATCCAATGGGCGACGACCTTGAAGGTCACTCAAACGCGCAAGTTCTGCAAAGGGTATTGTCAGTGCCCGAGCTGGGTCATTAGCGCGGCTTCGGTCCGAGGCTATACAACCCACGGGGGGTTAGGACGAAGTTCCGCCCATCCCATGAGGGTTGCGCATGCCTATGGTACGGAGCATATAGAAGCTGCCACATAGGCTTTGCTCCCCCCACAGTCACAGCCCTACTTTGGCTTCGACCATCACAAGCATAGTCCGCAGAACTCTCGTGAAAGATGAATGCTAACAAGTGGTACCTGTGAGTTGTATCAACATCGTCTACGAAACCCACACTGACAACTCTCACAACAGGTTTAATGTCGACAAACAGCAGCGAGCCCAAACCTTCTTCGGGACGCTGGACGAGTTACTGCTCGAAGGAACCCCTGAAGAGGATCCAGGAGGGCACACAGCGCTGCTCAACAGCCTCCGCACGCCGTGTTTGCCGAGGTAACTGCATCCCTCCTCCATTACCTGGCACCCTGCTGACCGGTTCGAATTAGAGAGGTCGATGAGTGGTTATCCGCGGGCGGTGAAACCAGACAACAGTCCCCTCTCGCATGGCTCCCTGTCGAACTGTTGGATATGGTCCTGGACGAGTTGTTGATGCGGGACGTGATCATGTTCGCAATCACCTGCAAGAGTCTGCTCATCACAACGGAACGGCGCGTCCTCGCCGTGTTGAAAGCTCTCCACGCTCCCTGGCAGAACGGCCGGCTCATCTTGCTCGGTATGGACGGCACATATAGGCGCGCTGACCTCCCCACTGGCCTCTTCAATGACGCGGAGTGGCAGCGGATTGCGACCACGCCCCCACCGCAGGCGCACAGAGGAGTGCTTGTGCAATCTGCCAAGGTCCTCGACATCTGGGGTCTCGCGCGGTACGAGATGACTCTCGGCGGACGTGACTCTCTATACCACCTGCGCAGGCGCGTGCCCACGACGTTGCGCCCCATCAGAGGCCCTTCCTACGGGCAGTGGAACACACCCTCCGGCGGGGTGTCTGCGAAGCGTAGCGATGGGCCAAGCGACTTCCGGATGTTCTCCATGCTTTGGGGGTGTGCGGGCGTGGCGTACCCGGAAGGGGCGCGCGTCCTGTGCAACATATCAAAGGGCGAGTATATCCGGGAGGACACCCTGACGGTTGCAAGGGACACGGACGCGACGCTGGCACATGCGTTTCTTGCTCGTATCGCTTGGTCGACACAGCTCTCCGTCACGGCGGAGTGCTTGGACTGGGCGAAAGAAGAGGTCAAGCACGGACCGTGGGCGGGCGACCGATTTTGCGTCGCGACGATGGACACGCTGCCGGTGCTTGGACGAGGAGTGGGTCCGTGGGCGGATGTGACGGACGCGGCGGATCGGCTGCTACGGGATCTCAAGGGAGTGGCCGTCCCTACATTCTAACCGGGCATATGCGTGGCCGGTGCGTGCTAGATTATCTGCCGATCAATCCTTCTTGGTGACTATGCGGACTAAACCAACCTGTTGTAGCTCATGGTGATCGCGACGTACCTTCTCATTCAGTGGCCAAGTTGCACACTTACATATACCAATCTGTGCGATACGAACGTCGGTATGTGGTATACTGCTACGCATATCTTCGTGCTCAGTCTCGTATGCAATGGTGCTGGGCAAATGCCTATCGCGCTGACCACCACATGCGCTTAGACGCCGCTGACCATGATCAACGCCTATGTCTTGGGCGTGGTTTCCGTCAGTCACGGCGCAGCTTTGACCTGAATCGCTTAACCACGGAAGACGTATAAATGGGTGCTCATTGGGGTATACCACCCCAACATATCCGTCTCTGTCTGTGTTGTACGTCCTTACTCGCTGAGCCACTCATCGAAATGGCTACACCTACTAGCAAGTGGCGTCTGTGAGTGGTACTCCTCCAGCGTGTTATAGACATGGCGGATACTGACGCGTTATTTCTCTGGAGCTTGAATATCGATCGGCAGCAACAGGCGGAGACCCTAAAAGGAACACTGGAATCATTACTCCTCCAGGGTACGAACGACGTGGATCTGGGAGGACATACAGCGTTGCTCAATTACCTGCGCACGCCATGCCTACCAAAGTGAGGGCATCCCTCCTGTGTGACCTTAATACCTGAGCTGACTATATCGAATCAGAGAGGTCGACGAGTGGTTGACAACAGGATCCATAGCGAGGCAGAACTGCCCGCTCGCATGGCTGCCCGTAGAGCTCTTGAGCATGATCTTCGACGACCTGCTCATGCGGGACTCGGTCATGTTCGCCATCACCTGCAAGAGCCTGCTCATCATAGGGAAATGCCGCCTGCTCGCCGTGCTGAAGTCCCTCCACGCCCCCTGGCAAAACAGCCGACTCATCCTGCTCGGAATCGACATCATCTCCGGACGCGCCGACCTGCCCGCCGGCCTCCTCACCGACGCGGAGTGGCGGAAAATCGCGAATGCGCCTCTGCAGAAGCCCCGATCGGGAGTGGCCCTGCGCATCACAGGGCTCAACCTCTATGGGCCGAGGTATCATAAGGCGGCGCTCGGAAAGCTTGACCCACTGTACCACCTGCGCAGGCGTGTGCCTATGGTACTGCGTTCGAGGGACAAGGGCCCTTCCTACGGGCAATGGACCACGCCCTCCGGCGGGGTGTCTACAAAGCCCAGCGAGGGTCCTAGCGACTTCCGGTTGTTCTCCGTCCTCTGGGGGTGCGCAGGCGTGGCATACCCCGAGGGCGCGCGGGTCCTATGCAACACGGTGAAGGGCGAGTACATCCGGGAGGACACCTTGACGGTTGCGCAGGACAGAGAGGACGTGACGCTGGCGCACGCGCTGCTCGCCCGTATCGCCTGGGCGAATGCGGATTACAATATTGCGGTGAATTGCGCGGAATGGGCTAAGGCCGAGATCAGGCGCGGGTCGTGGGCGGGCGACCGGTTCTGCGTTGCAACGATGAACACGCTGCCCACGCTGGGACCGGAAGTAGGTCCTTGGAAGGACGTGACGGACGCGGTGGATAGGTTGTTGAGGCACCTGAAAGATCCAGACTTTTACATGGGCCACGAGTAGATCATGGAGTGCAGACGTTCAAGGCATCAAAGGGGAAATTACACTAAGTATTCAGGTCTTTCGCAACGGATAACTTCAGATACATACTGAGGTGCACCCGCTATGATATAACGTCCCCAACACGACGCTAAGCTTAGTTTAAAGCTGCTTTCTGTACACTGCGCGGTGGCGGTGCACCTCGAACCAAATATGGCAAATCCCGACATGGCGTCCATGACCCTGCGCGTTTCGTTTTATACTACTACCACTTCAAACACTCGCAACTCAGTAAGTACGCACAATTGCGAAATGTAAACCGTCCGTTGGCTCCTCGACAAACGTGTGATGAATCTCAAATGACGGACGCCCGCGTTTGGGTGTGGAGAGGAGGGAGCGGCGCACAAGTGACGTCAGGCGGACTTCCGGGTGACGTCCCTCGCCATTAGGAGACGGCCCGTCAAGTGGCCCCGACCGACGCCTTATAACAGTCCGCAGCCCCCGTCGTCGCCCCCAATAACTCACTCAGCACCAACACCATCGTCGCCAACATGCTCTCCAACTCACTCCGTCGCGCAACTCGCACCCTGCCCTCCTCGACCCGTCTCTTCCACGCATCTTCCGTCACCGCGGCCCAGACAGCCCCAGGAAAAGACCCGCGGCTTTCGCAAGGAACGGTCAGCCAGGCGGGCAACAGGCACTCCCAAGACACACACGACCAGGCCGCGCGGGGCGGTCAACGCGTCGCGTCGGGGGAGCAATCCTCGGGCCCACACGATGCCGCGTCGCGTAAAGGCAACCAGAGCGCCGACCACTCCGAACTCTCGGGAAACCAGGAAGGCGTCGGTTTCGCTGACCAGGTCGGCTCTGCCTCCAGTACCGCTAACAAAAGTGCAGCGGCGGGAGAGGGGAAAGGCCGCGAAGAAGATGCCATGCCCGAGGGTTTGGCTGCGACTATCAAGAGCAAGCTCGGGCTAGGATCGAGCAGCGGTGGTGCGAAGCAGACCAGAGCATTCCACACGTCGGCGGCGCGCGCTGCGGCATCCACAGTCGGCCAAGCCCCCGACGCGAGCAGGGAGCCCAAGGAGCGCACCAATGCGGACCAGAACCCGCACTTGAAGCACAAGCCCGCCAGCTCCGCGCAGGCATCTCCCGACAAGGGCAAGGGAAACGCGGGAGAGAACCCAACGCTGCCGTCGCATCAGGTACGTGGACGTGTGCGCCGCATCTCATCCTGCAATGTGCTCACCGTACTCCAGTTTGACAAGAAATCCTCGTCTGGCTCACAGCAGAAGCGCACCTTCTCGATGTCTGCACGTCGTCTTGAGGACAAGAAGCACACGGCCGATTCGTATTTCAAGGACGTCGACAACACTCCTCCGGCTTCGTCCAAAACGCATCAAGTCGACGGTTCCGGGACCGGGTCACAGATTCGTCGCCCGAATGAGCCTATGACGGGAGAGTTCTCGCGTGCTGGACCTGAAAGCAAGGAGTATGAGACCGTAAGCACCCACTTCGCATCTCGAAACAGAACATGAGACTTACACTGCCCACAGACGACCAAGAATGGCCAGTATGATACACCTCCCGACCAGGGTCCGGAGTCAGAACAGAAGGGGCGGTATGGGAACATGGCCAAACTCGACGGTAGCCAGTCCACCGACAAGGGTGTGAGCAACAAGGATGAAGGACCGGAAGGTGCAAGCAAGGGTGGTCGGAAGCCGGAGGGCCGTTCGTGAATATCAGGAACGCGCGGATCTGGTCGTGCAGAGAACAGAGTGTACCAGTAGAGCTCATTGTAATTGTGATTTGTAGAACAACGCCTGAATCGCATCATGGTCTGGTACAGAAGTACAACACCCGAGATATGTACAGCCCATGCAGGTACAGTGTCCCAACAAGAAGTTCAGCACAGGCGCAAATCTACACAGCAAACTCCAGAGAGGGTATAGACGGAGCACTCGTAGCATAGCAGCAAGAATCTCTCTCACTGGCCGACTTGTCCGGTCACGCTGACAAGCTGCAAACGTTAAAATCAAACCAACAACGGCCAACTAACCAAGAAGAAGCCCAACGAGCACTGCGCCGAGCGCCGGCTCAAGCCCGCAGACTGCCCATACGGCGCGACGCGAACCCATGCAGGAACTCGCGACACAAGTCCCGCAGCTCCCAGTCATAGCTACCGCCGCCCGCGTCAGCACCAACCAACCCACGAGAAAAACAAAACACTCACTACGTCCGATCCTCCAACTCCGCATCCTCCTTCAAGTCCTCCGCCCTTGCCCTTGCGCTCAGCTCCCGCCCCAAGAACGTGAGCAAGTCCGCGTCCGTCACCAAGTACCGGTAGCGCAGCACCTTCCCCGTCGCGACCTCGAAGTGCATCACCGCCCCAGGGTCGTGCCGCGCACGTCCGTGGCGGCGCGCGGGGACCGGGTAGCGCACCTCCCAGTTGCACACCGCGACGGGATCGTGTGTCAGCACTGGGGTAGTCGTGTTCGCCGCGGGGGGCAGCGCGATGCCTGTGAGAGAGAGCGGGAGCACCCAGGAGGCAGAGTCGTCGATCCAGCGCCAGCCGACGCGGAACGCCGGCCACGGCTTGTGCTGGGCCGCCCCCGCCGCAGGGGCAGGAGATCTGCGCCCGACGATGGCGAGCGCGGTGGGGCGCCCGTAGAGGAAGGGCGCGTACGCGAGCGCGTCGGGGAAGGGCGCGCTCGCCGCGGCGGTCAGGGCGGACGCGGGGTCGGGCTCGAGCTCGTCGGGGGGCAGCGTGGCGAGCATGCGGAACCCGCGCCGCGCGTACTTTTCGAGCCCGGCCGAGCGGCGCTTGGAGCGGCCGCGGCAGGAGGAGGAGAGGAGGGAGAGGCGCTTCTCAAGCGTGGCGCGCGGGAAGAGGCAGTAGGCTTTCTCGTAGCTGATCACGTTCATCACGCATGCTAGATATTGGGGCGTTCAGTGGTATATAGGCGAAGGGCTGGGGATGTGGGGTACGCACTGGAGTGGAAGGCGAGGATGGCCTCCATGGGCGTGTTCTTGGCGACGATGATCTGCACCTTGAGCGGGCGCGGCTCCCGCTCTTCCAGCTGCACCTCCAGCTCCTCTTCCGACTCCTCCGCAACGACGCGCTGGGCCCCCAGCCTCGGCGCGGGCTTCGTGAACGTCAGGATCGCCGCGACCCCAGGCATGCTGTAAATCCCGTCCTCGCGCGTCGTCATCCCATGCACGACCTCGACCTCAAACCGCGGGTCCTGGTGCTCCGTCGGCGCAAACGCATACCCCTCCTCGACCAGCCACCGTCCGACCTCCCGGCGGTGCCTTGCGTGCACGTACAGGTCCAGGTCCGACTCTGGGTACAGCGTGCGGTCGAAGAACTGGAGCGCGGACGAGCCCGAGACGAGCGTGCCCGTGCGCGCCTGCATTGCACGAAACGCCCTTGCCCGTGCATAGAGCTCCGTGTGCGCGTGCGGGGCCGGGGACGCGCAGAAGGACGCACAGGGGGCGAAGGGGGAGGGGAAGAAGCGCGCGAGGAGGCGGTCGATGTCGAAGGCGAGGCGGGTGTAGGCGGCGATGGCGCGGTGTGCGGCGCGGCAGGTGCGGGCGAGGCGGAGGAGGGCCGCGGCGGAGACGGCGTCGAAGATGGGCTCGTAGATGAGCTCGATGTGCAGGATGCGCTCTGCGAAGAGGGCCTGGGGGATGTGATATGTCGGTTAGATGGTACTTTTGCATCGGAGAGTGGGCGTATGTATCCGATAAGGCTCATAACATCTCGCTAGAGTGGTAACGACTCCTAACGATCTCAAAACCGGTAATAATCGTACGTACACGAGACTGTAAGGGCATGTCTTGACGCGCCCGAGGGTACTATGTACAGAGGGCGACGGGGCCGGTGGAGGTATCGAGGCGAGTCGACGGCGGGGTGCTCACGAGGAGCTCTGCCGTTGTCTAGACGTCTACCGATAGTTCTTCGGCTACGAGGGTGCCTCGTGCGGGAAGGGGAGAGCACAACAACGTTGACCTCGTTCCCGGACGCGTCCGGTGCGTGTCGTTCAACTTCCAGCTCACGTGCACTATTAGGCCTGGTTGTGTAATACTTACCTCAGAGAGTACGTACTGAGACTGACAGGAACTATCGCACGCTATAGCAGACTATGCATCGTGCATTTAGTGGGCTACTGCATGCACAACCGCGTCGGATTTGTCCAGACCTCCGAAGTGCGGCGCGGCGCGACGCGTCGATGCAGATCGCGGACACGTCTGTCACAGATCATGCATGCTGTGACATGGGCGATCAATCGATCGGAGGTGATCGAGGAGGTGGTCCTCGGCGTTCTACGTTCGGACTGCTCGCTGGACTTGCCTCCGCCGCCGCTGGACGTGAACCCGGCGTTCTGGGGCGCCTTGACCACTAACCACCACCACCTGCGTTGTTCCCACGCTCCCCCAAGCGTGCGGAAGGCGTGCCATGGTAAGAAATGAGCATATGTACGCCTGGGCGTGTCCCTAGGAGTGTGTAGCCCGCAGTCTGAGTGATAGGAAGCGGCGGAAGTGATGTAAACAGAAGGTAAGTACGAGATTGTGTCCTCTGAAACGGCTATGCCTGCATAGAGCGGATGCCTGCATGATGCGGATGCCCACACATGTGTGGATGCCCGCGCGCGTGCGGATGCCTACGCGATGAGTAGATGCCCGCCATGCAGCGGATGCCCACAATGAAGTGGAGGCCTGAGTGGGCAATGGATGGTTATGTGGGCAGGAGAGAGCGATGACGCGGCCTGAGAACTGGGCGCCAAACAGACATATGAGATACCAAGCGAGCACGGCGGGCGAGCACACCCATAACTAAGCCCGATCCTTCTGAGCCACGGCGCAAACATAATGCAAGGAGCCCGGAGAGCAACGGGTGCATCAACCTGTGGTGGGAGTACGGTATGATCTCGACGAACTCCTGTAACGCGCAATGCGCAACCGGATGGCCGGGACCTGAGTGACCGAGCTGGGCGACTGTCTGCATCTGGCAGGCATGGCTAGCGAAATGGAATACCATATAGGAGCAGAGACGGGACTGCAATTTGGAAGGGACTAGTAACTGCAAGAAACAGCCGCATCTGCTTGACTCAGAACCAACCTGCGGCTAGTGACCGGGATGCTAGCATGCAGAATAGGTGAGAAAGTACACCGCCTCTACTGCCTCCTAAACATAAGGCATACAATATAATAGAATACAACTTGCCCTGTCTGGCTCCTAATCCACCAGGACCCCTGCATATGATAGACTCCAGTACCAGAAGTGACAACTGAAGGCAATCTATCCCTGCACCGCACGACTTGCCATGAACCTATACAGCCTCAATCTGCATGGAAGAGTGATTAGTTGGCGTCATATACCTGACCTAACTAGCTCCCTCTGCTACCACTGCTGCCACAAATGAGTGTGTACCTTGAGACATAGAATCAGATCCAAATTAGATGATCTTGAACAGCTTCAAATGGAGCTAGACGCAATTCGCTTGCGCCGCTGCCTGAATGTTCTATTCAGTAGACTGATTTCTGGGCATGGAAGCCCTAGAACAGCATTCAGAACAGCCCCACATCCCTATTCAGAGAGATTACCTGCCTGCTTGCCAAATGAACTAGTTTTATCATGGCGTAACTCGCGACCGCCCGTGGTGAATAGCTTCCAGTAGGGAATAGCACACCTAGATAGAACCTAGAAACCCCAAATAGTGCATGAACCAGCCCTATATGGATAAAATGAATGATTGGGTATGGACCCTTGGGCCTGAGCCCATATAAAACAGAAACAGAATCCGGATGTGGCGCTGCTAGAACCAGCTAATCAAATGTGAACTAGACTTTTAAAATAGGCCCTGCCCTGTAAAGTTATAAAAGGGCAG